GGAAACATGACTCATTCCAAACACCACAGGTCTACACCAACTCAGAATTTGGGATTATTACATGTGAGAAGGTTGGAATGTATTGTGAATTATAATTCTGGGATGGCAGGAGGAGCAACCACCCATGAATACATTAATCTCTGTTTGTCAATAAACAATTGATGTTTAGACTCCTTTCCTTTCCTGTCAGTTTAATTATTTAACTCTAACCAAACTATATTCCACTTAAAACCTTTCAACGCAACAGTTTTATTGGGTCAGATATGAGTAGGTGCAACTACAAGTACTGGTCCTGTAGGTACAAGGGTCATATTGCATTCTACACAATTTGAGTATGATATTTAATGTCATAAAATATAGCATCCAGAACAGAATTTGAGAATGCAAGCATAATTTAAAATAAAATAATAAAAATAATAATAAATATAATAATAATAATAATAAATTATTAATCATAAATATAATAAATATAATAATAAATAGATATAATAATAAAAAAGACTGGGATTCTTTTTCACTTTCTCTGTGTTCGTATCATTTCCCATTGCAAGCATTTGAGCAGAGTTACTTTCATAATCCTCATTTTTAAATTCTTGCCTCATTCCTAAAACAAATACCAATTATCATATATTAATTGCCCACTCAGACTGAAAAACTCACATATCTATACTCTTACTATCAGCATTAGTAAAAGAGTACTTTTCTACCAGTCGTGTGAGGTATTATTCCCATTTTACATGCAGGAAGTTGGGGCTGTGGAATAGCAATCTCCTTTGAGATGCACAATGAACTTGAAAACAAATATCCACAATATATAATATGTATCTGCTGTAAAACAAACAATGTATAACAAATGTATTGAACCATGATAAAATAATAAAAAAATATTTTTTTTAAAAAAGAAACCAAATATTCATGTTCCAACTCCAACCATGTATACGCTGGTCAAATATTGTGTGGGTTTTTCCCCATCTTTCACTTATCCAGTTCCATGCACTTCACTGAGGATGCAAGTGAGATCTTATAGTCCAACTGTTTGCTCTGCATGCACACTAACATTTCCATCTCATTTTATATAAATATGCAGGTTTGCTTTCCAATTGTTCACAGATGGCTTGTGGCTATCACAGTCATATCCACAACCCATTGCTACAGAAGTAGACAAATCATTTGAAGAAATAAATAAATTTACATAAGCTGTTTACTCTCATAACATGATTTTAGGGAAAAAAATGTTCAGAACCAATATGAATTAAGGGTGTAACGGGGCTGGGGTGGGGTATGACAGAGTCCCCCAATTCACCAATTGCAACCACCTTTCATTCCATATGATGAAAATCTGACTCAAACTTCCATGAAAGAAACATTTTTGATTTGTTTCAGATCAGATGTATTGCCCTCAAATGCTCAATTCAAACTCAGATAATGCTGAAGTATTTTGTTAAATTGTGGCACTGACCTATTTTTTTTTTCTCAGAGTATAATGAGCACACTCCCTGGTTCACAGACTGTATTGACAGGAACATAAACACACACATGCAGTGCCTCAATCTCCAATGACTTATTCAACTGCTTGGGCCACACATTACCTTTACCAAGTAGAACACAACCCATATTAGAACTTACCATGAATATTTACTTCAGGGAGGCACAATAAAGGCATATGGAAGAAAGGAAGGGTTATTTCTTCCCCACTAATCACAAAGGCAAGAAAAATCCAATGCATTTTCATTACAAGAGAGCAGGAATTAAGACACTGCTTTCTATCTGTTATTAACTACCATCAGTGAAAGACCCCTATAAACCACAGTCCCCAACAGCAATGCTTAGGGCCCTTCCACACAGCCATATAACCCAGAATATCAAAGCAGAAAATCCCACAATATCTGCTTTGAACTGGGTTATCTGAGTCCACACTGCCATATATTCCAGTTCAAAGCAGAAAATATGGGATTTTATTCAGCTGTGTGGACGGGGCCTTAGACCTTTCTTCCTCTTTTCCTTCTACTTTGTTGACCATCATTATATTTTCCTATGAATCATGTTGTCTCATATGTGTCTAAAATACAATAGCCAGTTCAATTATTTGGGCTTCTAGTGAGAATAATTATAGAAGTAAAATTACAATGTTTTTGCACAGCCTCTAAAAAACTATGCAAAGCAGTGTATTGTTAAAGGCTTTCATGGCTGGAATCACTGGGTTGTTGTAAACTGTATGGCCATGCTTCAGAAGCATTTTCTCCTGATGTTTCGCCTGCATCTATGGCAGGCATTCTCAGAGGTTGTGAGGTTTGTTGGTAACTAGGAAAATGGAGTTTATATATCTAAGGAATGTCCAAGATTGGGGAAATAACTCATTTGTTGGAGGTAGGTGTGGGAACACGTCCATACAGCCCAAAAAACGCACAACAACCCTATGTAGAGCAGTGTTTTCAAACTTTGCTCCTCCAGGTGCCAGCTTACCAGCTGTTAGGAATTGTGGGAGCTGAAGTCCAAAACATCTGGAGGAACACAGTTTGAGAAACTCTTGTGTAGAGTGCTGGAACAGAGGATAGAGGCTTGATCAGAGGTGATGTGAGGCAATGGAACCACCTGGTGGGTTCCATGACTTACTAAGGAGGCTAGGACAAGGGAGAGGAGGGGATTTCCCACCTCCCTCCTCTGCCTCCTTCATATATAATGGGAACTACTACAAGGCTTGTGAACAATGGCTTCAAACTACAAGAGAGGAGATTCCATCTGAACATGAGGAAGAACTTCCTGACTGTGAGAGCTGTTCAGCAGTGGAACTCTCTGCCCGGGAGTGTGGTGGAGGCTCCTTCTTTGTAAGCTTTTAAACAGAGGCTGGATGGCCATCTGTCAGGGGTGATTTGAATGCAATATTCCTGCTTCTTGGCGGGGGTTGGACTGGATGGCCCACGAGGTTTCTTCCAACTCTTTGATTCTATGATTCTATGAACTCCTGAGAGTAAGACAGATGCCCCAGTCACTGCTGTAACCAGCAGTGAAATGGGGAAGGGGAGAGGAGGGGAGAGTTATTCCCTCGGGTCACATGAGCCAGGGAGTGCAGGATGGCTGTCAAAACAACTGTAGTCAGTTCTACTTAGGAAGCAGTCTCAGCTGTCTGGGCTGTCCTGTTCCTGAGGGGACAACCTGAATCCTACTTCACAATTTGGGGTTACCTTCGAATTAGGTTAATCCAGGGTAAGAAGCAGCTCTGGCTCATGTGAACCCGGATGAGCCCTGTGCAACAATTAGTCCTTGGAGGATTTATCAAATCACACATTGGCCTAAGAGATGAGTGTAGATATGCCCTCAATGTTGCAAAATAGTGAAAACTATTAAGAAAACTAAAGTAGGGAAGGTCCCTGGACCAGATGGTCTATCAGCCAATGCCTGTAAATGGTTAAATAACCAGTTGTTTCTACCATTGCTACAGACAATGAATTTAATCTCAAAAATTAAAAAGGCCCCAAAGTTAAGTATAATGCAAACATTAATTATAATACCAAAGAGGATCTGTGATGTTACCGTCTCTAAAACTATAGCTACATTTTCTTATTGAACGATGACTACAAGATTGTTTTTCAATTTTAGCATAGAGGATGAAGATGGTTTACAAGATTTGATAAATGATGACCTAGAATCATAGAGTTGGAAGAAACCACATGGGACATTGAGTCCAATCCCCTGCTATGCAGAATAAGCACAAATTATCCCCAAAAGACAGTCATCCAGTCTCTGTTTAAAATACTCCAAAGAAGCGTACAAACCTATCTAGTTTCCTACTGAATAGATTGCTACATGACAATACACAATGGATGTTGTTGTTTTTTTTTATCATAGCTAGATAAGCACAATATTTTTGGGAGGGTGCAAATTGATCTTTTATGTCAGGACTCATGAAAGCAAATCAAATTCTTGACTAGACCCTAGAAGTCACTTTTTTCACATATATGCACACAAACATATGCATTAGTCCCTATGATCCAGACAGTAACAATGAATTTGTGAAATCTTTGCTTTCGACATAATTATCAATCTTGCAAATAATTAACATTGGTCCTAATCTTGACCAAGAATAAAGAGCCCAGTAGTTTCCTAAGAGCCCTCCAAATGTATTTGAGTAGTAAACGTTTCTTTCACCAATACCTTCTTATTACAGTGGTTTAAGTAATGGGAGAGCTGTTTTCGTTTTCTTTCCTCTATTTCTTCACTTGACTTCTTGTCAATTTTGTCCTGAATTTTCTGGTGTAGTGGTTTCGAAACATTCTCAAACCATTTCTTGTACAGCATTTCCTTCCTCCTTAAGGCTAAGTAATCGCTGTGCTTCAAATACCTGTCTACTTCCTAATTGACAGAGAGACTATTATAAAGACAGGGAGCTGATGAACAAATGACACAATCAGTATCACTGGTTGTTGCAGAGGATTAAAAAGGCAGACTATTAATCAATAAAATGAAGCAATGGTTAACTCATAATAACATTCCTATATGTAAGACGTTTGCATGAACAAAATGTTTTCAAAGAGACAGCAATGTTAGGTTTGTTTCACCATAAAATGGAGAGAGGGGAAATGAAAAGATGAAATAGAAACCTATTTGTACAGTATAATGGCAATAACTATACACTCAAAATCTTTTCTTGTTCAATGTTTAAATATGTGTTAGTTTTTAAAGTATTTGTAACAAAATCTAAATATTATGTGTTTAAACTAGGCATGGGTAAACTTGCCTGGTTTAAAGTAGGTAAGTAACTTTATTTTTATACCCCACCACCATCTCCCCACGGGCTTGGGGCGGCTTACAAGGGGACAAGCCCAAAATCACAAATAAAATAAAACACATTAAAACCAATCAATAAAATAATAAAACAAAACCCAATCATAAACAACATAAAAACAAGGTGGCTGAGGTTAAGTCATAGCTGGGATCAGGCTCAATGAATGCAATAATTCCTTAAAAGAGCCAATGGAAAGTGCAGAGATCAGATATACAGGGACTAGGGATCAAATGTAACCTAAATAAATGACGAGGAACAACAGGAGGGCCAGAATAAAGTGCAGGATTTAGAATAGGTCAAGATAATGCTCTAATGAAGCTGCCTAATCAAAGGCACAACGGAACATCCAGGTTTTTAATTCTCTCTGGAAGGAGAACAAGGTTAGGACCTGTCTTATCTCCCTAGGGAAGAAGTTCCAAAGCCGGGGGGCCACCACCGAGAAGGCTCTCTCCCTCGTCCCCACCAACCGCACTTGAGACTGTGGCGGAAGCGAGAGCAGAATCTCCCCATATGATCTCAGGTTCATAAGGGGAGATGCGATCACAAAGGTAGGTAGGTCCCAAACTATTTAGGGCTTTGTGGGTGATCACCTGCACCTTGAATTGGGACCGGAAACTTATTGGAAGGCAGTGAAGCTGTTTAAACAGGGGGGGTTGACTGCTCCCTGTAACTGGCTCCCGTTAGCAGATCTCTGAACCAACTGTAGATTGAACTTTTACGTTTCCTGAGATCCAGTGACATAAAGCAGAATTATAGAAATATTTTTATAAATTACGCAACCATTATTTACTACATGGCAATAACAATATGATTTTTACAGAGAAAACATTATTTGCTACCTAGAAACAGCTTTCAAAGGACATTTCCAACATGCAATGCATCTCTAATACAAGACTGGGTGTTCTTAATGATGTATCAGGGAAGCTGCCTTGTCGAAAAGGGAACATTATAATAGCAAACAATAGAATATTCAAATAATGCAAAATTCTACTTCAACTTAAGAGACTAATATTTATACCTCGACATTAAAATGTCTTTGGTGTCATAGTTGTACAGAAAGTATGGACAACTTGGTTTTTAGGATGCACCATTATCACATAAGAATGATGGTGATGATTTCAGAGGCTAGATCACGCTTGAAATTTTGGATCGGGATGACAACTAGAGAGCACTGTCACACTAACTGGTCAGAATACAAGCAGTATTATCTATTTTATACTCTGCTCAATAACAGAAGATCTCTCTGGGGGCCCTTCCACACAGCCCTATATCCCAGAATATCAAGGCAGAAAATCCCACATTATTTGAGTGTGGACTTAGAAAACCCAGTTCAAAGTAGATATTGTGGAATTTTCTGCCTTGATATTCTCTGAGATATAGGGCTGTGTGGAAGGGCCCTGGAATATAATGCAGCATTATGTAACAGAACTAAGGGCCCTTCCATACACCCATATAACCCAGAATATCAAGGCAAATAATCCACAATATCTACTTTGAAGTGGATTATCTGAGTCCACACTGCCATATAATCCAAATACCAACTAAATTTAGTTATTGGGGATTTGAAAATGTAATCGATAGAATCGCAGAATCATAGAGTTGTAGGTTAGAGGCTTCAAAAAGCACTATTTCATTGGGGGGGGGGGAGGCTCCAGGGGCAGCAAGAGTGGCCTTGGCAAGCTGAATGTGGTTTTAAACTGTCTTAACATGTCAAATTAATCAATAAACTTTTTGTTGGTTTACATTATTTATTGTGCTTTTAAATTGCTTTAATTTGTTTAAATTGGTTCGGAGATCCTTGGATATAAGGTAGGATATCAAAATTTAAATAAATATAATAATTGGGAACTGGAAGCAGCAGAATCCTAGCACAATGTGGGACCCTTATTTGAAAATAAACAAAACATTTCCAGCCACTTGATAGCTTGCCTCTTTGATACAGATATTATTTGAAGCATTCTTTGATACAGATATTCTTTGAATGGCAATCTGTGCACTCACATACAGAGTGTCCACGCCTGTGCAGAGTCGTGGTACAGAATCTTCAGATAGCAGAGAATTTGGGTGAAAAGCTCTGCAATACCTCTTTAATGCTTACATTCAAGCACCTGCCCACTTAATTTCAATGAAGGGCAAGAAGTAACACTAACTCCAATGCTTCCAGAAATATCCTGCATGATTCGCTGTTTTTGAAATTGGGAGCTATATCAAAAATCACTTTATTTTAAATAATGCTGGTGGTGATCAGTTAGATTTTAGAGTAATGTTTCCAAGCTCTACCAAAATTAGATGACAATTACAGAAGGGCAAAATTGGAAATGACATTAACTTCTTAAGGGGGTGCCCATACCAGTGCTGTTAGATGTTCCCAGCACACTCTTGTTTGTTCATCATTGTTGCTAGGCTGTGCATTACAAGGACCTCCCTCTCCATTGATTATATCTGCTACATGCTCCCTTAGCAACCCTCTAAACGTGGACACAGTAATAATCTGCCCAGGAAAGCAACACTGCATGCACCAGAGAAGTGGGATGCCATCCATGATGGTTCACCAAAATAAAGCATTTTCATATTGAAGGTGTCAGAAGACACTTTGTTTAATCACCATGTATGAGAATTTTAAAATTTGTATTTAGTAAATTGTGGGTATTTCATGGTCCCAATACGAATTCTCATCCCCATCCCATGGGATTAAGTTACTACAACCAAAGGACATGGTTTCAGGTTTGTTGAAAAATTATTAGATATTTTTGACCCATTACACTGGGTAGAACGAAATAATACTACAATTTGTTTTCTGTGTCAGGCGTGACTTGAGGACTTTGCCTAGAGGACACCTGGATGTGTTACCATCCTGTGGGAGGCTTCTCTCCTGTCCCTGCATGAGAAGCTGGAGCTGACAGACGGGAGCTCACCCCTTTCCCTGAATTTGAACAACCAACCTTTTGGTCAGCAGTCCTGCTGGCACACTACAATAGTAAAAAGCAAACAATCTTTTCCACCATTTCTGAAAATGGTTTACAATTATTCGGGTGAAAAATTACAAGTCTAGGTGTTGTGGACTTTGCCACAAAACCTATATCAAGGGCAAGGAGAGAGACACAAAAATGTCCCAATCTGGTCCTGAGAGTTTATGTGCCAATTTTTGTTCTTTAAACAGCATCTGGGAGGCAGGGAGCTATAATTAACACAGTATGAAAATAATAATGAGACTTGGAATTGGTCCTGATTCATCTCCCAGCTTTTATTAGCCTGAGGAAAGAAGCCTCCATGGTTACCTGATCACTAAAAATCAGGCATATGAAATGCTTTTGAGAATTTAATATTATGCCTACTTTATCCCATAATGGGCTAACAAGTAGTGAATCTACTCCAAATTTATGACATCACTAGCAAAAGAAAGTTTGTAGAGAAAAATCAAATAGAAAAGGAAAAGGTATTCGTCATTTAAAATAGATCTATACTTTCTCAACTTTCAGAAAGGCATACTGCAAATAAATGTTATGTTTTCTTACCCTGACAAAGCAGTTTCCTCTATCCAATAGGGATTGAGTAGAACCCATATCCTGTCTTTCATTAACCAGAGCCTAATAAAATACCAATAAAATCTGTAAAGTCAAACTGGTTAATAAAAACAGAATTAATTTAATAAGCAGATCTGCACTCTATGATATAATAAGTTCCATGATCGAGAAGAAGTAGCTGAAAATAAAATAGGTTTTAAAGCATTCTTTGATACAGAATAATGGGTCTTTGGATGGCACAACTTGAGATAGCATAACATCTAGATTATTTCATGGTAAAACATAAATGGGAAGACAATTAAATGGGAAGTGAAATGTCTACCTAGAAGACTAAAAGAAAATTGTTTTGATGGGGGATCATGTCAACATGCTTCAAGAAATATTTAATTAATTTAAAATTAATTAATATGTAGAATACTCCTAAACAACTTGCATATCCCAATTTCAAGTTTTAAATTTTAGTACAGCACAGTATAATCCCTGTAAGTACTTTGCTAGGCTCTGACCACATACAAAGTTAAGTAACTCAGATTAGAAAATTATTATTATTATTATTTTATTATTATTATTAAAGCTGCAGCAGTGTAACTAAACAGATGAACAAATACACAAAATCATCAAATCAAAAACAAAACAAAGTTTAAAACCCCCCTACTATTGCTCATATTCTGAAGCCATGCTACCAACCATATTTTGCCAGGTAGAATAGTGGCAGGAAAAGAACTATGGTGGTTTATCCAGCATTTCTACTGGTCTGTGCTTCAGATTCACATTTACGATATCTTCAACAAGTGTGGTTGGGACTTCCAGGATGGAGTCTCTCTCACTAATAAAGCTTCTTTCTTTCTCTGAGTGGTAGAACAGCTGTCAGTCCTACATGCATACACATTTAGCCCAAATGATTTATAAAACTATATTTTAATTATATATTATTAAAATACAACGGCAGTATGAAAAACCCCTATGCAGAGCAAAGAGGAACTAGGTTTCTTTTAAAATCAAAACACAATCAATAAACTGCATGGAACTCAAAAAAATTATGCCTTCATGAGGTGGCCATCAGGCCTTTAAGAATGTGTGGATTGGGGTTTTCACTCAAAGAAAAACATTGTCAAGATGGCTTTCTTTTTCCCGTAAGTTGACGGTATTAACCATTTACTCTTACCCCAGTTCCCAAGTCAGTTTTACCTGCGCAATGGAAAAACGTTTCTGAGTCAGCCAATTCTCTGAAATTTTATACTTTTCAGGCGGAGAACTTCTTGTCTTGCTTGGTGATTTGCTTAAGGATGTAGAGGCTGTTGGAAGAGACTTGGAAGGGGAGGGGGTACAATGAATGCTTCATATTCTATATCCCAATTTCAAAACTGCATACCATATATACCCAAGTATAAGCTGACCCAAATATAAGCCGAGACACCTACTTTTACTAAAAAACAAAAACTGGGAAAACATTTTGATTCGAGTATAAGCCGAGGGCAGGAAGCAGCTACTGGTAAATTTCAAAAATAATAATAGACACCAATAAAATTACATTAATTGAGGCATCCGTAGGTTAAATGTTTCTGAATATTTACATAAAATATTTAAGATAAGACTGTTGAACTCTGATTAAACCATTGTTCTAAGCTTCTTCAATGTAAATGTACTTACGTATCCTTCGAATAATAATAAGGGGAGCAAAATAATAAATATAAAAATTAATAGTAGTTGAGTAAAATAATGGAAATGTAATAATAGAGTAAAAATATAATAGAGTAAAATAATAAATGTAATAATAACAACAAATAGAATAAAATAATAAATGTAATACAAATAATAATAATAAGAGAGTAAAATAATAAATAACTTTGACTCCACTATAAGCCGAGGGGGGCTTTTTCAGCCTAAAAAAAGTCAATGTATGTATGTATATATGTCAGTTGGTAGTTTGGTTTGTACCACAAAGGCTCCTCCATGGCTTGATGGATCTCAACCAAACATGGCACACATACCTTTCACTATTCAAACTAAAACAATCAAGGGGTTTGATCTAACAAATCACTAATATACCAATTTCTTTATTTATGGTTTATGGATCATATATTTTATTATGTTATTTATTTAAAACTTTTCTACCCCGGTCTTCTCGACCTCCACAGAGGGAGTCAGGTCGGCTAACAGCAGAAAGTCAATACACAAATACATCTAAAAACATAATATCATAATAAGTTATTACAGCTTACATCTGTTCAGCAGTAAGTTCAACCGAGTCCAATTTCCAGATAACTCATTCATATAATTTATATCCCACCAATTAGGCACAAAGTAAACAAGGTAATTTCAAAATACCAACACAACTTGATATAGTAATCTTACTCTCTACACTTAACCATCTTAAAAAAAAAATAAAGATCAGGTTTCTGAAATATTAATCCTAAAGGTGACTGAAGCCAGAAAACTTTTATAACTTTTCAAATGCTGAAAATCTAGTTATCTGTCAGAAACTTTGCTATATGTATGAATCAATTCATTTCACTTGAGGTTTTAATAAAAAATATATTACATTATATTTTGTGATACTGCCAAACAATTAATATTTTTCCACCCTTGGCACTTACTTCTTTTGCCTCCGGCGTCATCTCTTCCATTAGGGCCCTTGGACAACGAAGTCTTATAAGCCACTGCAAATCTAAACTCTCTTTTTTTGACACTCCCGGGTGCACCTAGTAAAAGGATGTTTAAATTTGAAAAACAAAACCACACTACAATAGTTGAGAATGTACAAAAATAAGAACCGAGATGAATAAAAACCATCAATGACACACTTTCAGACTACAGTTTGCTAAAACCAACTATCAGATTCCTAATAACGCAGTGTCTTGTCTTTTCTACCAAGTGGAATGGTTAGCCAACAGTTAGATGTAGTACATCAAAACACAACAGTTCTAGTGTTACATCATAATAGGAACTATGGTAACTGTTCTCAGTTCCAACATGCTCTGTTCTTTCCAACCTGCCAGTTTTGCTTCACAGAGGGCCCTTGATATCTGCTGGAATCTGGTTCCAAGACCCCCTGCCTACCATGGATACCAAAATCTATGGATGCTCCAGTCCCATCATATACAATAGGACAGTAAAATTGTTTTTCTTCTATAAAATGGCAAGATCCAGGGTTACTTTTTGGATTTTTTAAGGGGGGTGGGATATTTTCAAGGTGTAGGTAGTTGACTCAATAGATGCAGAATCAATGGGTAAAAACTGCCAACTATACTTGCTTTTAAATGGGACTAATGATGTGTTCTGCACTAGAGAAAGTGGCACAACAGCAGTAAATATATAGGAAGCTATGATTTAAACAAAAGCTTAAGATGAAGAAATCAGGAAAAAAAGTCTTTAAAGATGAACAGGGTGTTTTAGAATTTTGAAGTATTGTCTCCAAGAAATAAACATATTGAGGTCATAATGTTGTTTACTCATTCAGTACTTATCTTCTACAGCGAGGTAGATAAATTGGGGCAAAACAAGTCCTTAATTATGCAGAAACACATACCATAAACTGAGAAAGCATACTAATTTTGTTTATCTGTAACAAATAAATCACAATAAACCCTAAAAGATAGTAAGTGACTGAACCACCAAACCTCTCATTCTGGGTAGTTTTGCTATCTATGCTTGCCATGCTCGCATGTCCATAAATACATGTCTCATGGTCACGGAACAAAATAAGAAGTTTGATCATATAAATAAAAATGTAATGTTTGTTTGTGAGATTAACATAACTCAAAAACCACTGGATGAATTGCTGCCAAATTTAGCCACAAGACACCTACTAACCCAAGGAGTGACCATCACTCAAAAAATTGATTTTGTCACTTGGAAGTTGTAGTTGCTGGGATTTATAGTTAACCTACAATCAAAAGATCATTCTGAACTCCACCAACAATGGAATTGAACCAAACGTGGCACACAGGACTCCCATGACCAACAGAAAACACTAGAAGGGTTTGGTGGGCATTGACCTTGAGTTTGGGAGTTGTAGTTCACTTACATCCTGAGTGCACTGTGGACTCAAACAATGATGGATCTGGACTAAACTTGGCACGAATACTCCATATACCCAAATATGAACAGAGATGGAATTTGGGGAAAATAGACCTTGACATTTGGGAGTTTTAGTTACTGGGATTTATAGTTCAGCTACAATCAAAGAGCATTTTGAACCCCACTAATGACAGAATTGTGTCAAACTTCCCACACAGAACCCCCATGACCAACAGAAAATACTTAAGGCCATCCAGTCCAACTCCCTTCACTATGGTAAGAAAACATAATCAAAGCTCTCCTGACAAAGAGCCACCCAGCCATAGACATAGGTAGATATATATGATTCACACACACAGATATAGTATAATAGATTTGAAAGGGACCCTAAAGAAGGACAATTATATGTTGCATGTTCCAGAGTATGCAAACCAGACAATCTCCAACACTGACAAAGAGACAAGAAATACTTTTAACCCACAAGCATAAAGAAATTATATATATTAGAAACCAACACTTTCTCGTTACTTTATTTTCCAGATCACCAGATGGCCACAGCAACACGTGGCAGGGGACGGCTAGTAGGAAATAAAATGCTGAGCAAACGGATGTCCAGGAGGCAAGCACAGCGCAGATGGTGATGAATCCCACTCACCCTGTGCTCACTTCATCCCCATCTTTGGAAGTCAGGTAACTCCTTTCCTTTACCCCAGATAAAACAGAGGCAAAGAACACAGGAAGAAGAGAAGGAGCGGGCACCAAGCGCCACTTTACCTGGCCTATGGATCCTGCCTCCCTTTCTTCTTCCTCCCTACCACAGGTCTTTTTTGCCCAGGCAAAGAAGGGAAAGTTCTAGTGAAATAGACACAAGTGACACAAAGAAGAAAAGGAGTCTTGGTCTGCAGGCTTGCTGACATAGCAGAAGTGCACAGGGCTTGCTCTTTCTCCACCACTTTCTCTACACCCCTGAATACAGCGGTAGCACCCCATTTCCCTCCAGGGATTTCATGATTTTCCGACTTTCACAGGATGGGGAGGGAGCTGTGCCTCTAATCCCCATGAAAGTGGAGGGCCAACTGTACCTATTATTATTTACTACTTTCTGGATTTTATTTTATACCAAAAGAGGAGCTAACAAATATTTTTAGCAATTTAAAATTCAAATAGTATTTAAGAGACCTTCAAGTAGGAAGGGAAAGTGCAGGATTTCACCTCATTCCCCATATTTTAGTAGTTACACTATTATCTTTGGGCAAGCAGATGTTCTAAATCAGAGATGAGCAAAGTGTGATCCTCCATATTAGTGTTGCAGATTTCCAAATAGCAATAAGAAACAACTAGTCATGTCATACAGAGTTGACAATCAGGTCACTAAATACCAAATCAATTTCAGTTCACTTGGCCATGTACCTCTCTGAAAATTTGGCGCATCATCTACATTTATAAATTGCACAATGCATACAATTCTATGTTTAGAAGGACTCCAAAACTTCAGGATTTTTGGCATCTTTTCAGTCTATCTAAAAGGAAACACTTTTCAATCATAAAAATTGAGAACTTCCCATCCTACATGGGACAAACCTTCTAGCTCTCATGAAGGAATAACCCTTATAATTAGGGGCATGAACTAACCCTACTTCAGGTGACATGGGCTTTCAGCATTCTTCACTTGTGCTGTGGTGTTGATATAAGTTGCACCCCCACAACATCTAAGGAGCTGCAATTTATCCACACCGTTCTATATGTCTCTATCAAAGCAAACTCTAAGGAAATCTACCTAACAGAACTGAAAAAAGGAATTAGTACTGTACACCCCTCATACATGAAATCATTTTCAAGTCACCTATGCCACATGTTCACTTCAATTTATCTTCACAAAACACAAGTGGGATGCAAGTTATGTAATGAATGAACTGTAGATGGTATTTTAGTTAAGATGGTTTCTAATTCCTTTTTGACATCTGTCTTCAGAGTTAATGTTGATTTTTTAAAATTTCTATTTATAAAATGTATTGATACTCTACCCACCAAGAGATGTCCAATACAAAACATTCACATTTTATTTCTTTGCTTAATTTTTAAAAAATTCAGCCTCTCTAACAAAAATACAGAGGACCACAGAATGGCCCAACGCAGGGAGTATAAAGACTGATAGATTAACTAACTATGCTTTCTCCTAAAGCAGTGGTTCTCAACCTGTGGGTCCCATGTGTTTTGACCTACAACTCTCAGAAATCCCAGCCAGTTTCCCACCTGTTAGGATTTCTGGAAGTTGAAGGCCAAAACACCTGGAAACCCAGTTTGAAAAGCACTGTAAAGGAAAATTAACCCTGTAATTTCGATCAAGATTCGACACTAACCCTCCAACTAAATCAATTTCATTCAATATTCTTGGGGTAAAGAACACGCTGAAAAATGCTAAGAATTGTCAAAGGAATTGCTAGGAAAAAAGGAAACCTGTGTATCTTTAAAATGTGCAAGAGAAGAGGTTACAAATAAATATTACTATTCACATAAAATCCAGCAGCATCTCCTTAAGATCCATATGACCACTAAACAGAATGCCTCACCTTTAAATACAAAACTTCAAGAAAAGGTTTGACTGTGTACCTTGTAAGATGTAATAGGCATCCATTCTCTCGCTTTTGTTAAAGCATCTGCTACATCTAAACTGTCTGGTAATCCCGCCTTTTGATGTGATGGCATTCGCTGTATCAAGGTGAAGTAAGAAAAAAATTCATCTGAAACTATGTCTCATTGCCATCTCTGTCTGATCAACATGCTTCAGGGACAACAATGTGCATCAGAAATGGTTTTAACAACAGTGATTCCCAAATTCTGGTCCTCCAAGTGTTTTGGACTTCAGCTCCCAAAATTTCTGGACATCTTTAGTAGTCTTATTCTTCAGGAATCTACCTACAGTCCATTTTTACAGATATCCATCGTTATATTTTGTAGCAATTTACAGTTTAACTATACATTATGCAAGCAGACATTTATTTAATCTGTACTGGATCTTTAATCATTCAACTCCACTGAGTGATTCCAAATGCAAAAATATGTGAGAAAGATCATTGTTTACTACATCTACAATCACTTTGCTAGTAGACATGTAGAAACTTTAGGGAAATGTATTCAGGCACACACATTCAGGTGCTGTGGAAAGGAGTGAACGTCTCTTATGAAAATCTCATAGCTCAGTCTAGAATGTTTCAGATTCATAGCTCTGCACATAGGCATGACCATTTGTGTGAGTTGAAGATGCTATTAAGGAGATGTTCAAGTGTGATTCTTGCAACAAAATAAGATGGTGGTTTCATCTGTTTATGTTTCTTGACTGTGTCCACAAGCATTACTAGATGTTAAAGTCTCTTGTATCGGTGAAATGGAACATAGGACAGGAGAGATGCAGACAACCTGGAAGCACACTATATGCTAAATATGTGTGGACAATTTAGCAAACAGTTATAGTTAAATAGTTGTGTAGCCCATTAAGCATTCACACATACTGCCCCCTCTTATCTAGTTTTGGACTTAGTGAAACAATATTTACTTTTTTGTTTTTAGCATATCTGCGATATCGATGCCGTGCTCCTGGACAGCAAACTTTTATAAGCCATTCTTCTCCCGAACTCTCACTACTACTACTTAAGGATGTTGATGAATCAGTCTGAAAAACATTAATACAACCAAAATTAAGTAATGATAATTCAGAGTACTAAGTGTTTGTTTTTTAAAAATATTTTTTATTATTTTATCATGGTTCAATATATTTGTTATACACTGTTTATTTTACAGCAGATACATATTATTCAATACAACCTACCATACTTTAACTTTTGGCATCTAGTGTTATTTTTCTGCTTATACATATTATCTATTCCTCACCGCTGTGCTCCCCTCCCCCCTCCCAAGCCACAGCTTTTACATATCATCTGTCCAAAATTTCAATTCTTCTTGTAAAGGTAGCTTTCCTTCTTTCTTTTTTAATCCCTTTTCAATAATTTTTCTCCATACACCATCAAAATCACTTTGTTTCCATATACCTCTTTTAACTTTTAATATACATGTCAGCTTATCATTTATTGCCAATTTCCATACTTCCTTGTACCACTAAGTGCTTGTTAATGCTGCAGGATGTGGAAAATATTCAGATTGATGTAGTTTAACTGGCTTCTTCTCAAATGCTAATTTGATGTAAAAGCCCTCATAAGTGAATCACCATGAACTAAACCAGTCAAGTCTTCGCCATAGCTTATGCTGTCAACCAACACTGAGCAAGTCTCATGATTCCCATCACTCGGACAAACCCAACCTAATTTTTTTACACTTCACTCAAATGCCATTCAGATGTCTTTTCTTATTTGGGGAGGGAGGACAGGGTAGAAATATTGTCATAAATACATGACTAGAGGTAATCCATTGAAATGAATGGAATTGATTCATCATAATTAAGTTATATTCATTTCAGTGGAACTATTCTAGTTAAGAATAACAATAGATTTAGCTACAGATATGATGGATACTTCCTGTTGAAATGTCAAGGAAAGGGGCGAGAGGGCAACAGCAATGTTTCAGCTTTCAAAATGGTAAAAATAATTGAGTGAATGAGACTAGGATATTGGCAACTGCATACTATCCAATTTCTGCTTCAAAAATCGCAAAATCTTTTGACCCTTCAATCTTTGATGGATTTCAATATCTGACAGTTGAATATTTGGGGCTGTGCTCTCTAAGCATTAATTCAGATTTGCCATATAAGTGTGATACTTTGGTAACTGAATTCATTTTGTGGTAGGATTTCAACTAAAGTGAGGAATATGATGATCATAATAAGTGAGAGCCAGAAAGAGCTGACTCGATTTCACTAAAAGAGAAAAGTATTGTAGAAGAAAAAACATGTGGAGTACATGATCAAATATTTGGTTAGCAATGACTATGCTTTAATTGTTAAAGTAACCAATTAATATAAATATTGTATTATTTTGTGCTTTTTAAAAAATTCTAAGTCTATGTCGCTTACTTGCAATCAAGGCCTCTTCCACACAGCTGAATAAAATCCCACATTTTTGGCTTTGAACTGGAATATATGGCAGTATGGACTCAGATAAACCAGTTCAAAGCAGATATTGTGGGATTTTCTGCCTTGATATTCTGGGTTATATGGCTACATGGGAGGATCCCAGGTGTCAACATACATCCCATTATATGTAATGCCTTGGCAGTGGCAGAAGGTGCTATATGGAAAGATTGATAATCCTACTTGAATTTTATATTCTGAACTCTCAAACGGGGTAATGGCAAGTCATACACACTTCCTTCACTATGTTTGACCTTTCCAGACAACTTTCAGAATTCTCAATAGGAAAAAAAAAACTATTGAAAAGTCATTATTATTGTTGATGAGCAATTCTTAACAGGCATTGTATACATTAGAAAGAATTGGCAGAAGCTAGAGCAAAGCTTTTGGCTGCCATCTATAGGTGTGTCATGCAAATAAGAAATGACAAAAATCTTGGAAATGCTGTATTATAAATTGTGTATTTTAAAAAATACAAACGAAGGTTTTTCATGAGATATGCTGTGCACCCATACATTATGTTATGGCCGTTTATGTATGTGTCCCTATCTCTTATAAGGAACCTCTCTGGTTTACTAACAAAACTGAATCACTGTGTTGCGAAATGCCTGACTAAAAAGTGTGCCATCAACATGAAATGTCTGGAATGCTTTGCTCTTATTCTGTCATCTTTTCTAGCCTGAAGTAATGCAAAGTGACTCTGGAGTACATCGTGTTGTGTTCACTTCAACATGGTTCAAATTTACAGCCAAATACCAAGCATGGACAGACTGAGCGCAGAACGAATGCCGTTTGACAGCTGTTGCACAATTGCCATGGCTCTCTCCCCAATTTGGGATCCTGTGATATGTAGCTTGTTGGTAGCCCCAAGGCTCTCAGACGTGGAAGGAGGCTCAAGACAAGCAGTCCCCAAGTTATGATCAAGGCTGGTTCTGTAAGTTTGTTCTTAAGCTGAATTTGTTTGTAAGTTGAAACAGAGACATTTTTTCAGTGTTACCCTGCCCCCCCCCCCAAACACACACATACACAGTGGAAACTCTAGAACATCCTAATTTAAGAGCATTTTGAATTTAGAACTGTTGCTTTGACGTAAGAACGGTGTTTTCAATTAAGAGCTGTCGCTAGGTCTGTTTTGCTTTGACATAAGAACAGCACTTTGAATTATGAGCTGTTGCTCAGCATAAGAGCAGCATTTGAGTTAAGAGCTATAGTGACAGAGGGAGCGCTAGTACGAGGGTACAGGGCTTTAGGGTTTCAAGGAAGCAGCCTCTGTGCCTCGTGCCTTTGTCTCTCTGCTTTGAAGAACTCGGGGCTAGTTGATTATGTGTGGTTTTTATTCCTGATATGATTGGCTTCATGGAGAGGGAGAGAGAGCAAGAGAGAGAGGCTGGAATAAGTTCTGTATGATGAAAATTATGCTTTAACCTCTTTGCTTTGTGCTTCCTTGACATAACTTTGTGCTTCCATTTAAAAGTTGATATTTCTTTTTTTAATCGTTCCATGTGAATGTGCAGGTTTTGCCTTGCTGTTACATTGGCGAACACACATTTGTTACCTCAAATGTGCTTCCTTGCCACAACTTTCTGCTTCTACCATTTCCAATTCCATCTTTCTTTATTGTTCCATGTGCATTTATTGTTCCTTGATTTTATGAAATACATTATATCATAGAGTTGGAAGAGATCTTGTGGGTCATCCAGTCCAACAATAAATTTGTCATTTATAAAGCACATGTTCCTATTTAAAAACATGTAAACAAAAATGGGAGAGGGTGTTTAGGGGTCAGAATGAGTTAATAGCACTTCAGGGAGAAAATTAACTTGGAGATAAATGTGTTTGCGATAAGAGCTCAAACACTGAATGAAGCAAACTCTTGTCAAGATATCACAGTATATATAAGCTTTGGGTAATATAGGGAAGAGTTAACACCACTGTGGTGTTTGTTTTACCATCTGTGCCAGTGTTCATATTTCACCTCACTGTGCTGCCATCACCGCTCAAAAAGGGCACTTTGAAATGGTATTCACTCTTTGACTTTTGCACTTGAAGCAATTTACTGCTATTGACTTCCCTCAATGTTGGTTTCTGACTGCCTTTCACATAATCTGCCAGTGCATGTTTCTCTTCTTCTACCGTTTGTTATTTGTTGTTTTTGTTGTTGTTATTATATTCCCACCCTCAATGTACCACTCTCCCCTTCCTTTATTCACAACCACCGTTGCAGAATGTGCGTTATGCTCGGAGCTTCTGGACCCAGCTCTCATACTGAGAAGCTGGAATGTGTCCAGAGGGGGGTGACTAAAATGATCAAGGGTCTGGAGAACAAGCCCTATGACGAGCGGCTTAAAGAGCTGGGCATGTTTAGCCTGAAGAAGAGAAGGCTGAGAGGAGATATGATAGCCATGTATAAATATGTGAGAGGAAGTCATAGGGAGGAGGGAGCCAGCTTGTTTTCTGCTTCCCTGGAGACTACGACGCAGAACAATGGCTTCAAACTACAAAAAAGGAGATTCCATCTGAAAATGAGGAAGAACTTCCTGACTGTGAGAGCCGTTCAGCAGTGGAACTCTCTGCCCCGGAGTGTGGTGGAGGCTCCTTCTTTGGAAGCTTTTAAACAGAGGCTGGATGGCCATCTGTCAGGGGTGATTTGAATGCAATATTCCTGCTTCTTGGCAGGAAACTGGATGGCCCATGAGGTCCCTTCCAACTCTGATTCTATGACTATGACTGACTTTTCGAGGAAGCTTCATTGGAGACACCTTTTCCCATAATAATAACTCTTTTAAGGGCAAATTTTAAAGGAATATATTCAATCCATTTAGAAGCATCTATAATACAGGCAGTTCCCATGTTGTGAACAAGGTAGGTTCTGTAGGTTTGTTTTTAAGATGAATTGGTATGGAAGTCAAAACAGGTACATTTTTAAGTGCAACTCCATATTAGATAGATAAGATAGCTTTGGATAGCATAGGGAAGGGTTAACACCCATGTGGTGTTTGTTTTGTTGTGTGTGCCCCTGTTCAGAAGATCTCACCACACTGCCTTGTTCCCATGATAATTGGATCTTGAAAAAAATGGCAGAAGCACTTTATTAGAGTTTTAAGATTCTTTGCACATTGCACTTGCCCTGAAATCCAACATACCACCTGTCACACCCAGCACTTTTTAATCTGTACCCATTACTTGGCCTGGCCCTAGTTTTACCGTGTTATGGTGTAATGTTTTGTTGTTACTGCTTTATGTTTTTTGATTTGCTTTGAGCTGTATTTGTTATGTTGTTTTGTTGAGGCCTTGGCCTTTGTAAGCCGCATCGAGTCCTTCGGGAGATGCTAGCGGGGTACAGATAAAAGTTTAATAATAATAATCAAAACAGGTACATTTTTAAGTGCAACTCCAGATTAGATAGATAAGATAGCTTTGGTTAGCATAGGGAAGGGTTAACACCCATGTGGTGTTTATTTTGCTGTGTGTGCCCCTGTTCAGAAGATCTCACCACACTGTTTTGTTCCCATGATAACTGGATCTTGAAAAACATGGCTTGTTGCAGAAACAAGGATTGGTGAAAAAGCTTCAGTGGAGACATCTTTTCTCATGATAACTCTTCCAGGAGTAAATGTCCCTCCCTAGGGGTAGATTTCTCTCCCTTCCTGTTGTCTCAGCCCTGTTCTTAACTGTGAGTCGTTTGTAAGTGGGGTGTGTGTAACTCGGGGACTGGATGTACCTCACAAAGCCCAGGATTCACTATGGCGGTGGATGTGGGGACCAAGCTGGGCTCTCTCTGCCTCAGAGAGCCTTCCTGCCTGCCTGCTTTCCTCCCCCTCCTCTCTCTCTCTCTGCCTGCCTGCCACTCACCCGCCGGGGGGGCTCCGAAGGGGGCTCGGAGGAAGGCAGGGACTCTTTGGGCGTGGAGGTTAGCGGCCCCTCGGGGAGCTCGGCCGCTTCGTCGCCGCCGCAGCCGTCGTCCCCCGAGGCCTCCATGGCCCACTCGGGGCGGGAGGCAGATCTTCCTGGCCGCCTTCCTCCTCCTCCTCTCCTGCCCTCTGCCCTCCTCCCCTTCCGCCCTCCCTCTGCCTCCGCCGCGCGCTCAGCCGCTCACTTCAGGGACGCAGCACAGCCTGTGTTCCTCCGCCAGGACAAGGAAAAAAGTCCCCCTCCTCTTTCCTTTCATTCGCTTAGGAAAGCTGAGCTGACCCCACAAGGTTCCCTTTTCCAAAACGTGCTTCATAATGCAAACACTTCTTCTTCGCCCTCATTCTCTTACAGTTCAGCACAAGGAAGGGACAAGCTTGCTGTATCCCTCCGCGCCGCCTCACTGAGGCCTTGGCCCACCTTCAGGGAGCCGCGCACGTGTGTGCGCGCGCAAGGCCGGCCTGCTTCTTCTAAGCCAGTGGTCCTCAACCTTCCTTTTGCCCCGACCCCTTAATAGAGTTCCTCATGTTGTGCTGCCCCCCCCCCCAACCATATGCTACTTCATAACTGTCATTTTGCTATTGTCAATTGTAATGTAAATATCTGATGTATTGTATTGTCGAAGGCATTCATGGCTGGAATCACTAGGTTCTTGTGGGTTTTTTCGGGCTATATGGCCATGTTCTAGAGGCATTTCTCCTGACGTTTCGCCTGCATCTATGGCAAGCATCCTCAGAGGTAGTGAGGTCTGTTGGAATTAGGAAATGGGTTTATATATCTGTGGAATGACTGGGGTGGGGCAAGGAGCTCTTCTCTGCTGAAGCTAGGTGTGAATGTTTCAACTGACCACCTTCATTAGCATTTGAAGGCCTGGCTGAGCCTGGGAAATCTTTTGTTGAGAGGTGTTAAGATGTGCCTGGTTGTTTCCTCTCTGCTGTTTTGCTGTTGTAATTTTAGAGTTTTTTAATACTGGTAGCCAGATTTTGTTCATTTTCATGGTCTCCTCCTTTCTGTTGAAATTGTCCACATGCTTGTGGATTTCAATGGCTCTGTCGGAAGGTATTTCCCTTTATGAGCCAACTAGAGCTTTTAAGATCTTTTGGGGAGCCCTTCTCTGGGTCCCGCGCCCTTTTCAAGTGTGACTGCTGGGGACAGGAGACAGGGCCTTCTCAGTGGTGGCCCCTCAGCTGTGGAACACGCTTCCTAGCGAGATCAGACTGATCCCATCCTTCCTGGTCTTCAGGAAAAAGCTAAAGATCTGGCTTTGTATGCAGGCTTTCGGAGAGTAGGATAATATGGAATTCGACCTCAACAGTTTGAACGATGACTATGGAAAAATCCATGTATGGAAATCAAGTATGTATATGTGTTTTAATTGCTCATATGTTTTAACTGTTTTATAGTTTAATAGATTATTTATTATTGTTACGTGTATGATACAACATTGAATTTTTGCTGGAGCCTATAAGTCACCTTGAGTCCTCTTCGGGGTGAGAAAGGCAGGGTATAAATAAAGTAATAAATACATAAAATCCTCAATACTGCTTCACATATACATGAAACCACTGAGATAACTCATCTAGAGTTTTGGGGTGCATAGCCATGTATATGCAGATAACACTCAGCTCCATTACTCGTTCCCACCCAAAACCAAGGAAGCATCTTGTCATCAGTAATGGACGGGATGAGAGCAAAAAATTCAAAACTTAATCCAGACAAGACAGAGGTCCTCCTGGTCAGTTGGAAGGCAGATCAGGGAATAGGGATCCAACTTTCTGTAGTGCATAAATAACCTATAGGATATTCACATTTCTACTATTTTCATATGCAAGGATAGCTGTGTTGACTATGAAACAAAATCTTGTGTGTATTGCTAATTATGGAAAGCACAAAAGTGAGAGGTCTTATTACAGCTATTTTTGAGAAATTATTTTAAAACTAGCTGTCCCCTGTAACACATTGCTGTGGTCCAGTCTGTGTATATGTGCTTTGTGTGTGTATATATTTGTGTATATGTGTCTGTTTGCGTGTATATCTGTGGTTTTGCACATGTTGTAATGTATTTTTTTTTACTTTTTAAGTCTCTTCTGCTGTGTTTTTCTGTGTTTTTATGAGTGATGGTCACTCGTTGGCCAGACACATGTATTGTATCCAAATTGGTTGTCAATTCGTCCAGTGGTGTTTGAGTTATGTTAATCCCACAAACGAACATTACATTTTTATTTATATAGATGGGATCCTTTTTTCTGTATTTTGAAAAGTGAGGACCATTCACATTTCCATAGCATCCAGCAGAGCAGTATGATAAACGTGAAAATAAATACTAAATCCCCACTGGCAAGAATAAATTGAGCTGTCTAATTAATGTGAATTAATGACTCAGAGTCAAAGTACATTATTGTGATTTATCCTGATTCGGTCCAAGACTTTCTCTTTCACAAGCAGGCATTGGGCGCATGCGGGGAAAAAGGCTGCGTTTGAGGCAGTTCCATGCTTCCCCATGCAAATAGCCCCGACCAGGACTGGTACTGCAACATAGCAATAAATCCATCACACTATGTTCCTAATCTTCCACCATCAGTAGTGGGGTGCGGTGGAGGAACCAACTTTATTGGCAAGAAATAAAATTATTGCATTCAAGAATCAGATAGATAAGGTTCGCCTTTAATATTTCATTCATCTTTAATATTTCATTTGCCATCAAAAGCTAGGATTGGAACGTAAAGCCTTCCAGATGTTGGACTACAGATCTTCAAAATTAGGAGTGTTAACCATGCTGGCTTGAGTTGACGGGATGGAATTCAACATCATCTGCAGATTCTCAAACCTAGTTTAAACATACATCCTTAACAAAAATGTTAGACAAGGACAAACTGACAACAAAAATGTGTGCTTCACTGATGAATTTGAGGCGCCACTTTTGTATTTCATACCATCTTTCCTAGCATATAGACTGTGCTGTCAAGCGCTGGGCCTGTGAAAGAGTCTGTAGACCGGACGTGTTTTCTGAATGCCCAACGGGACACCGGGGGTGCCTCGGCTGAGAGGCCTTTTGGATTTCCCCACACAAAGTTCTTTTAAAGACTTAGAAAGTTTAACAAAGTTTTTATTGCTGCTGAAATCTTCAATACATCAAACAAATACTTCAAGACTTTGAATCAACTGGTGGCTTGCTTAAATCTTGTCCACAAGAGACAGGCAACTTTCTTCATAAACTGTTTCTTCTTTCTACAAGTGAAATCCTTGACCCCCTCCCTGGGCAATCCGACTTAAGCTCTGCTGGTGTGGGCCCCTACACCTGGTCCAAATTGCGTTATGGCTGCTGCGAGTGGTCCTTACCAAACAGAGTCCTTTCATAGATTTCCAAGAGGAAAGAAGGCTTTCAATTCTCAACGAAGACTGACTGTAGAGCTGTGGAACTAAATTCCCCAACAAAGGCTATGCTGTAGTTCTCTGTAGAGCTGTGGGACTGGATCCCCCCAGCAAAGCTGTAAAAGACGAAGCTTTCTACAGGTGGAACTGATTCACATCCTGTACGAAAGGCTTCTCTGTGTGAACTGAACTAGAGGTCCCCTTTTTCCCTCCTTAACCCAGAAAAAGGGGCGAAACTAAAGAACATAATGATTATTGATGGGTCATTGGCCCTATGATTGCAAACCAAGGGAAGCCACCTTATTGCAAAATGCATGGAACTTTGGAATACATGCAAACACTCAATAGAAAGGAAAATAAGTTGGAGCTCCTGGTACAGCCGTACCAGCACATAGACGTTATTTCCTTTTGTGCATTTGGGTTGCCTTTCTTTGTGGTTCAGTAGTGTCTCCCTGTGTTTGTCCTGTATTGATCACCAGAGGTTCTTGAGACCTTGTTCTTTCAAAACAATAACATTCAATTTTTTCTTCGGCTGAGACGGTTCTGGTGCTTATTAAATGAAACCCTTCTCTCAGTAAGATGTCTATCAACAGGCCTAGAACATTAGCACCACTAAACAGTTTCCTTTGATCAGGTTTTATAGAAACATACCTGGAAAAAAAATTACAGGGAAATATTTTAGTGTTAAGAAATCTTATGCAATATTAATGCATTTGGTTCAGCTTTTGAACAGTTGTATTTCCAAAGCCTTAAAAAATGAAATAACATATTGGAAAGTCAATGTGAAATTGTCTGATCTTCAAGAACTTGTGAGATTGTTGGACTCGTCAAAGAAGCAATTCCAACTGGAAGAAAGCAGCATTCTGGAAAGATGTATGTTCCCGTATGCTTTAATTACCAAGACAGCAAGCTAGGACTGGAATGTTCATTTAAAAGGACATAAAAATAGCCAAGTCCCATTTTTTGTATTTACCATTCTCACCTGGGCACTCTACCCTCACGCCATAGGTCCTATTTTGAAATTTGCATCAAAGCACTGTTATACCATACACTCAGTAATTAATTTCTTGATGAACCAAACCACATTGAACAACCAATGTTACACACAATGTGGGTTATTTTATAGTATAGAAAGACAATAAAGTAATTTACAAATGGGGAATTAAGACAGAAGTCAATATGTGTGAATTCTCTCTCATAAATGCACATGTGTACAGGCAGTTCTTGAGTTACAAACATCTGACTTACAAACAACTCCTAGTTAAGAATGGGGGTGAGACAACAGGAAGTGAGAGAAATCTGTCTCTGGGAAGGGAAATTCACTCCCAAAAGAGTTATCAAGAGGTGTCTCCACTTAAGCTTTATTACCCATCCTTGTTTCCACAACGAGCCATTTTTTTCAAAATCTAGTTATCACAAGGACAGAAAGTAAGATAAAATCTTCTGAATGGGGGTGCAGGCGGCAGGGGTGTTAACCCTTCCCTATTCTATCCAAAGATATATTTGGCTGGAGTTACACTTAAAAAATGTACCAGATCCAACTTACATACAAATTCAACTTAAGAACAAACCTACAGAACCTATCTTGTTCGTAACTTGGGGACTGCCTGTATATAAGTGACCTCCTCTTTTCTGTCTAGTCCAGTGATTCTCAACCTGAGGGTCCCCAGGTGTTTTGGCCTAAAACTCCCAGAAATCCCAGCCAGTTTACCAGCTGTTAGGATTTCTGAGAGTTGAAGGCCAAAACATCTGGGGACCCACAAGTTGAGAACCACTGGTCTAGTCTATCTCACAAAACAGTGACTCCTTTTCTCTCTCCAACCAAAGGTGACAAATGCACTCAAACAGCTTATCACTAATTAGTACACGTTTTGCTCTAGTGTCGGAAATAATACATTTGTGCTGTTGTCACAATTTGAATGAAGTTTTCCTTTAGTCATACACATTCTGATGTTGCTATAGATTTATTCAGAATACTTCCCGTTTAAATTTAGGACTTGGATGACATATATATTTTCAAATACACACTGAATAAACTTACTGAAATATCTACCTTGCAGCATTCTTCCTTTTTCTTTTTTCAACAAATTCTATATAAGAGTTAAGGCATCCTCCAGAGGTTGGGGGTTGCCTAGACGTGCTCAATTCCCCATGAAAACATTTGCCATTTTCAACCTCCCTTGTAGTTTGCACCTCTCCCAACTGCCCAAAAATGGGAACCAATATACTGTATATACTCGAGTATAAGTCTAGTTTTTCAGCCCCTTTTTTAGGCTGAAAAATCTCCCCTCGGCTTATACTCGAGTCAAGGTTATTTATTCTTTTACTGTTATTAGTATTATTTTATTACATTTAACGGAGCCCTAAACGACTCCGGCCCAATTTACCTGTCCGAACGTATCCTCCCCTATGAACCATCAAGATTGCTAAGATCGTCTGGAGGGGCCCTGCTCTCGATCCCACCGGCCTCACAGGTGCGGCTGGTGGGGACGAGAGACAGGGCCTTCTCGGTGGTGGCCCCTCGACTCCCTTTTTTTCTTTTTCCCCCCTTTCCCCCCTTTTTTCCCCCCTTTTTTTTCTTCCTCCCCCTTTTTTTTTCTTTTTCCCCCCTTTTTTTTTTCTTTCCCCCCCTTTTTTTCTTTTCTTTTCCTTCTTTTTTTCCCCTTCCCTTCTTTTTTCCCTCCTTCTCTCCCTCCTTCTCTCCCTCCTTCTCTTTCCCCTTTTGGTGGTGGCCCCTCGACTCTGGAACTCCCTTCCACTGGAGATCAGAACTGCCCCTTCGATCTTAACGTTCAGGAAACAGGTGAAAACCTGGCTTTGGGGATTGGCATTCAACGAATGAGCCATGATCCTGTGATATGGATGGATGACGACGAATAATGACTTTGATGACGACTGACCACTGTAATCATGATTGTATTTTTGCCATTTTAATTGTTTCAATGTTTTAATGTGATTTAGAAATATGATGTTTTAATGACGGTCTGTAATATTGATGTTGGAAACCGGCCTGAGTCCCTCGAATGGAGGTGAGAAGACCAGTATACAAAACTACCAAATAAATAAATAAATAAATAAAATTATTGTACTCTATTATTATCATTATTATTACATTTATTATTTTAATCTATTTATTACTATTACTATTATTACATTTATTATTTTAATATATTTATTATTACTATTATTACATTTACAGTATTTTACCCTATTACTACTACATTTATTATTTTACTATTTTATTATTGTTTTAATTGCATTTTCATTACTTTACTCTATTATTTTTATTATTTTAATAATAAGTACATTTACATTGAAGGAGGTTAGAACAATGGTTTAATAAGAGTTGGACAGTCTTATCTTATATTACAGTTTTATGTAAATATTCAGAAACATTTAGGCTATTGATGCCTCAATTAATGTAATTTTATTGGTATCTATTTTTATTTTGAAATTTACCCATAGTGGATGCAGTTCCCACCCTCGGCTTATACTCGAGTCAATATGTTTTCCCAGTTTTTTGTGATAAAATTAGGTGCCTCGGCTTATATTTGGGTCGGCTTATACTCGAGTATATACGGTATATTGTATTATTGCTAATTTTCCCCATAGGTCTATTTCATACTCACAGGAGTCTCTTTTTTTCAAAACCAGAAAGGATTCCAAATGGCCACCCATGCTATTGAGATTGGGAAGGAGGAGATTCTGCCCAATTTCTTTTGTACAATTAGGCTGGAGATGAGCTGGCGGCACATGAAGAGCCTGGGCATAGGGCATGGATTGTATGTGCCCACTCTTGACTTAAAACCAAGACAAGCAGGAACCAAAGGTTTTCTTGGGTGGGCACAAAATGGCCAGCTCAGGTGCTTTCTATCTCTTTCTCGTAGTGACTGAAATAATTTAAGAAATCAATAACAATATATTGTTTGTGTAGTGTTAGGCAAGATGTCTACAAATGGCAATTAAAGTACCTTGCAACAAATTGATCATTGTAGTCAGTGCCGCACTGGAAAACAAGATCATGATGGGAAGGCTTCTCTAGAAAAAGGGGTGTCAGAAACTTCTGAGAAGGTACCTCATGGTTTTTCCAGCTTGTCCCTGTAAGTTTCTCTTCAAAGACAGTGATCCTTCCAGCGAGTTCACTGATGGTGAGGCTGAAAGAACCAAAAACCCGGAAAAAAGCCTGGGTTTCTTGGAGCAAGAACCGTATTTCCAAGATCTCTGGTTTTGATTTCAGCAAATGTTCTTGACTTAGGAGATCGGCCACAGGATAGAGCTCATAGAAAACAGCCTCCCTTTGCAGCCTCTGGTAGTCTGAGAAGTCAGTGGGCAAGGAAATCTGGAGGGTTCGTAAGATGTCTAGAATGTAGCTGAACAGAACTCCATCACGATCGACAAAAATAACGCCATTCACCAACCTGAATTCCGGGTCATTGCCATTTAGCATTCTTGCCAGCCTAGACTCAGGGAATTTCTGCAGTGTAGAAGACCATGTTATGAATTTCAGTCCTCCTACATTCAAAGATATCATACTTTGATTGTTCATCCTCCCTTATTAAAACAAAAAAAGTCTTCAACTGCTATGTCTCAAAAAATGTTTAAGTAGAGCCAAAACAGCATATTCCGCTAGGTGTGGTATGGAAAAAGAAAGCTAAGCAGGTATTGTTTTGCTTAGCAACAAACACCATGTACACATACAAAGTAAATATACAAAGGGCTGGTTACTTGGTAGTTAAATATTTATTTTATTTATTTATGACATTTATTTATGACATATCTCAGTTAAACTCTCTGACAAAAAAGTTCCTTTTTAGAAAGTCTTTTTATAGGAGCTCAGCCTCCATTTTCTGTTTTCAGGGTTTTTTTTGCGGGGAGGGGTTGCAACATTGGCATGAGGGAATGGTGAAGTAGGGCTGAAGATAGGCAGAAAAGTGGAAAACTATCCCAGATACATTTTGGAAGAAGACTTCAATTGATCTCCAAAGGTTCAAATGTTTTTGTTTATATATCCAAGTCTCATGTAATCTGAAGGCTTCATTTCACTCATGATATTAGTTTGAAATTAAAAGGAAGTTTGGAAACAAATTGAACTGCTACTTTTCTTTCTGCTTCTTTTATTTTGAGGAATGGTGTAAGGGGAATATAAGGGTCTTTTATTGCATGTGACAAGGGGGAATCTTTCTTTTCAATCCCATGAATTGGATGAATTAGCATACCCACCTCAGCACATCTGACTTTACCCAAATCTTGAGGCAACGCTATTCTGCACAGATCAGATGTTTATTCACATGTATCCCTTTCAACTGACCAGGATCTCATTTTTCCTCTGGCGAATGCTTTCACTTGTTCACTCTCATTCAGTCCATTACTGAGGCTGCTTTAGATGCATAAACAATTTCCTTGGCTTTGAGTTAAGTTGTAAAAATTGCAGCCTCCCTACTTTCATGGAGTGGTAGTGGGCCGATATTTTCTGACTCAAAAGCTAAATTTTCTAACAACATATTGAATTTATTTTATTTTATGCCTCTATTATCCCAACACAGATCTCAAGGTGGATTACAGATAAAATTGCGTAAAACCTAATAAAACTCCCCACAATTAAATACATTTTACTTAAAGAAGTATAACATTTCAAAGGGATACAAAGGTTAAAAACTCACACAAAAAAGCATCCGCCTCAGTATAAATCCCCCTGAGAATGATTACATATTAAAAGCTTGGCTACAGACATTTCTGCCTGCTGATGCAAGGAAAGACTTGAGGGCTCCAGCCCTGTCTCCAATGGAAGGGTTTCCAAAGATTGGGACCAGGCTCACCGCTGAGAAGACACTCTCTCTTTCTCTAGTTTCCTTACCAAGTGAGCCTGTGATGGTGGCTGGATTGACAAAAGCCTCCCACACTGAAAATCTTAATGTTCTGGCAGGTTTTTACTTGATGGGGCTACAGTCCCAAAGGAGAAAGCCACAGCTTGCAGCCTATAGATCAGTGTTTCTCAACCTGGGGGTTGGGACCCCTGAGTGGGTCACAAAGGGGTGTCAGAGGGGTCGTCAAAGACCATCAGAAAACACAGTATTTTCTGATAGTCATGGGGATTTCATGTGGGAAGTTTGAGCCAATTCTATAGTTTGGAGTTCAGAATGTTCTTTGATTGTAGGTGAACTATAAATCCCAGCAACTACAAACTCCCAAATGTCAAGGTCTATTTTCCAAACTCCACCAGTGTTCACATATGGGCATATTGAGTATTCGTGCCAAGTTTGGTCCAAATCCATCATTGTTTGAGTCCATAGTGCTCTCTGGATGTAGGTGAACTACAACTCCAAAACTCAAGGTCAATGCCCACCAAACTCCAGTATTTTCTGTTGGTCATGGGAATTCAGTGTGCCAAGTTTGGTTCAATTCCATCATTGGTGGAGTTCAAAATTCTTCTTGATTGTAGGCGAACTATAAATCCCAGCAACTACAACTCCCAAATGACAAAATCAATCTACCCCGAACTCCACCTGTATTCAAATTTGGGTATTTGTGCCAAATTTGGTCCAGTGATTGAAAATACATCCTGCAGATCAGAAATTTAGATCACGATTCATAACAGGAGCAAAATTACAGTTATTAAGTAGCAATTCTTTGCCCACATGAAAGGAGGATGATGAATGGGATTGTGATGGTGTCGGACGATTTGGCTCTTTTAACTGGGATGATAATGTTTTAATGTGTATGGTGCTGATATTTTAATCGTGTAATGAAGTGGCATTGTGTTGTTATTGTATATTTTTGTATGTTAACACATGTTGTGAACTGGTCCGAATCCCTCTTTGAAGGTGAGAGGGTCGGTATATAAAACCTCGAAATAAATAAATAAATAAATAAATAAATGAAAATAATGTTATGGTTGGGGGTCACCAGGACATGAGGAACTGCATTAAGGGGTTGCGGCATTAGGAAGGTTGAGAAACACTGCTATAGATGGAGATATATCTATACATACACACACACACACTCCCTACTTTTGTCCACACTCCACCTCCTCTTCTTTCACACTCCACATCAATGTATTCACTTCATTTTACTGAATGCCTATCCACATATATTCACTATCACACTTGACTCCACTCACACATCTATATGCACATAAAAACTCCACTCATACAATATTTTACTTGGAAAACAAGGAAACTCCTGTTCCCTTCAAGCAGTGCAGAAATGCTGCAATCTCAACACAAAGCAAGGAAATGTTTATGTGGCTGGATCAGCATTGCTGCAGCACTGAACCAGAGAGGAGGGAGAGAGGGAGGCGTTTCCTTTTGTGCAGTACGATTTATTTATTTATCAGAAGCAAGTTGAGGGTACAGTTAAAATGCATTTAAAAACACAAAGTTTAAAAACTTGGCATTGTGCTAAATGTCATTTGGCCAGAATCTGGCCACTCGTAGTGCCTCTGATATCGCTGTGAGAAGGTCCTCCATTGTGCATGTGGCATGGCTCGGGTTGCGTTGTAGTAAGTGGTCTGTGGTTTGCTCTTCTCCACACTGACATGTCATGGACTCCTTTGTAGCCACATTTCTTAAGGTTAGCTCTACATCTTGTGGTGCCAGTGTGCAGCCTGTTCAGCGCCTTCCAGGTTGTCCACTCTTGTGTGTGCCCAGGAGGGAGTTTCTCATCTGGTCTCAGCCACTGATTGAAGTTCCGGGTTTTTGCCTGCCACTTTTGCACTCTTGCTTGTTGAGGTGTTCCTGCAAGTATCCCTGTAGGTCTTAGGAAGCTGTTTTTTGATTGAAGGCATTGGCTTGCTGATATCCGAACAGACGATGGGCTGGAGATGTCAATGTCTTGGTCCTTTCATTGCTGGTTGCTACTTCCCGACAGATGTCAGGTGGTGCAATACTAGCTAAACAGTGTAATCATCTCAAGATGAAAAGCAGGATGAGAAACAGAAAACAGAGCTAATGGTCCTGCAATTCCAAATGACATCAGCTGATAAACATGCCCAAAAGCCAGAGGTAAAACACAACCAACCACAACTGAAGGGCCACAGCTTCCTTATCCCTGCTTCAGTTAAGTGAAGCTCTGAAAAGGAGTAATATTAAATTGTAGGCCTCATATATCAGTTACAAAAATGGAATATGTCCCCATGTCTCACTGCTCAAGATTGTTGGAACTGTGCCTTGAAACAATATTCCAGGTTAGATGCAGAATGACTTCTCTCTGACTTCATCAGAAAGGCAGGAGAGACTTCCTATTGGCACAGATACCAAATATCTAATTTATTTCCTGGTAATTAGTCAGATTTACCTCCATATTATGTTTAGGAACAGAGTTAACTTAAGCAACACACTGAAAAACATTATTGTTGCTTATTTTGTTCTTTTCTTTGTAAAAGGTAGAAAAATTATAAAAATTTGTACAATCTGAAGACAAAAATAGTTTTTCATTTGTGTATACAAACTTATAATAGATTGTTACAACGTACATGATTGGGAAAAAAAGTCACGCTTGCTGATGATCCTGTATATAAGTGTCTAAACATTTACCTCTTCCACTATGAAATTTACTCAGTCATATTGCATTTTATGTAAACACGTTACATATTCTGTTGTGTACACAAATTCACATTACACATTGAACACGTTTTTTCAGCTTTTTCAGTCTATATGGGTTATATTAATTGTATTGTTTTATTTGTACGTCACCCCATCTCTATCTGAAAACACTATCCCAGTTATATCCTACCTTGTCCATGTCCAGCATTATTTTTTAAATTTTAAAGTATTACATTTGGCCCAGCCATAGCTTTTAAATGCTTGTTGTTATTGTTACTGTCTATTGTTTACTTTTGTTTATGAGATTTATTCTAACTGTTGTATTGATTGTTTTCTTATTGTTTTTACTGTTGATGTACTTTGGGCTTGGCCTCATGTAAGCCGCACCAAGTCCTTTGGGGAGAGGGTAGCGGGGTATAAATAAAGTTTTATTATTATTATTACTTTGTTGTTTTTACTGATGTGTTGTTGGGCTTGGCCTCATGTAAGCCACCCTGAGTCCCCTTGGGGAGATGGTGGCAGGGTATAAATAAAGTTATTATTATTATTATTATTAAATAGAAGAAATAAAAAGTAGTGTTGGCATCTGTTTAGTGTGTTAACGTATGTCATTGTAACCCACTTTTTTGGTTGTCGTAGAGGTCAGACTGAACCACCACCAAAACTGCTTCAATCCACTTTTTCAGTGTGGTAGCTCCCATTCCTTTATGACCTTCATGTCAGCATACAATGTAGGAATTTTTTGTCTATAGCCGGATGCACAGCAACGGTGTCACCCATAGGCACTTCCAGAGGAGCTCTGTCATATCCTGGAGGATGCCTGTCATAATAACATATCCTGCTACAATGATAGTAGCAAAATTCGTCTTTGTTGCTCTTGGAAGGGCACACTGAAAATGTGGGTTTGGGGTGGGTTCACTGGGAAACTTTGAGAGATATGTGCCAGAAGTATTGTCTTCTTTGATTTGGTATATATTATTATTATTTCAAAGTTTTCTATACCGACCTTCTCACCTCTTTGAGGGACTCAGCCCGGTTTCCAACCATAAAAACACATACAATCAGTAAAATATCATAGTTCACAATTACAGTAACACATTTAAATATATTTAAAACTACGGTGGTCAGTCGTCATATTAAAATAAAATATACATCATCTTCCATCCAAAATCCTAGGGTGTTGTCTCATTCATCGAAAGCCTGTCTCCACAACCACATCTTCACCCGTTTCCTGAATGTCAGGATAGACGGGGCGGTTCTGACCTCCGGTGGGAGAGAGTTCCAGAGTCACGGGGCCACCACCGAGAAGGCCCTGTCCCTCGTCCCCACCAGACGCGCTTGTGAGGCCGGTGAGACCGAGAGCAGGGCCTCTCCAGACGATCTTAATAATCTTGATGGTTCGTAGGGGAGAATACGTTCGGAGAGGTATACAGGGCCAGAGTCGTTTAGGGCTTTATAGGTTAACACCAGCACTTTGAATTGTGCTCAGAAGCTAATTGGCAGCCAGTGGAGCTGGTGTAACAGCAGAGTGGTGTGCTCCCTGTACCCAGCACCCGTTAGTAATCTGGCTGCCGAGCGTTGGACTTGCTGCAGCTTCCGGGCAGTCTTCAGAGGCAACCCCACGTAGAGAGCGTTGCAGTATATGTATTTTATCTATATGTATTTTAATCTTGTATTGTTGTATGATGTTTTAACTTGTATTAGTAGCATTGAATCCTTGCTGTAAGCCGGTCTGAGTCCCTCTACGGAGGTGAGAAGATCGGGACACAAAAGTTTTAAATAAATAATTTGTCAGCATTTTCAACTTTACATATTTAGCTTATTTCAGAAGCCGCATGTGTAAAACGTGTCAACATGTATCTGGACCACAGGGAAAATGTTATCGATACATCAATACTATTTAATTTTTTTAAAAGCACTAATGTTTACCAATAACTTTAGATGAATCTTTTAAAACTCCAAGGCAAATGCTGGGCCGTCCATGTACTGGATTATAATCCCATCAAAACTAGCCAGTATAATAAATTGTGAAGGATTGTGGGAGATGCATTCCAACACCTGAGGAATACTTGTCCACCAGCCCTACTCTAAAACAATAACTTCAAATGGTCTTTTTACATAAGAGCTAGTTACAAAAGTTTGTATTTGCACACAAACTGGGCAACGTTATCCAATATCACCTGAGCATAGTTCGCACATTTTTCACTAAGAACAAATGCGCTGTCTGTCATTTTTTCCCAATAGAAGGCGGCATGATCTGCAATCTCTGCTGTATCTGCCAGATAACGTGAGCTTAATGCCGAGACAAGAGTCTTCCAGTACTGGAGAGTATCAACAACAACATCCATGTAGCACATCTGCATAGTACCAAGGATAAGCAAGCAAAACAAAGTCGTCAGGATAAATGTAGGTGAAAAGAACAGAGAAATTGCCCCTTTCGCATTGCTTTTCTCTTGAGGTAAAGACAGTTTGTCCACATCTGCTAACTTAAATTGTTCCCAGTGGCTGGTATCAAAGTCTTTGATCGTAGAGCTGATCTCTACAGTTAGACAAGGCAATCTGGTTTCCTTGATCAGTTTGATTTTCTCTCGAAATTCTTGCATCTGTTGCAAGAATACAATGGGTTCAGACACATCCTTAAAAGCTTCCGCAATGTTAAATGCTGTCCGTTGTTCTCGTATGATTGTGTTCAGTTTATTGATTTCTGGGTCATAAGCTTGCATAACGGCAAGCTTCATTGTCTCGAAGTCTGAAAGTATCTCATTCTTTTTTTGTTCCAGCGTATACTGCAATTTTTCGAAAAAGTCTTTGACTCTGTCATAGTCCTTCGTCAACATCTGCAGGGCTTTCCGCTTGCTAGTTTCCAAAGTGTCTAGTCGGGAAAGTGCATCCCCACAACGCCAAGTCTCAAACCCTTGGAACAACGTCTCAAAAGCACGTTTTTCCTGGCAGTAAGCGTCTTCGATGGAGCAGAACACATGCTTTATATGGTCTCCTCGAGTTGCACAAATACCACATATCAACTGTGTGTCTGTCTGGCAAAAAATGTTGAGAGGTTGGCCACTGTGCACTTTACACACAGGCATTTTTGTGGTCACTTTAATTTTGTTATACTTCTCCACAATACCTTTCAGAGAATAATTGACTTGGAGGTTGTTAACTCCGGTAACAGTAGTTTCCTTTCGACATGTAGGGCATTTGAAGGGAGATTGCCTCCAAATTATGCTCCGGGCATTTCCCTCCAAGATCCCTTCCAAACATTTCTTACAGAAGTTGTGTGAACAGGGCAAGGCCCGAGGGTCATCAAACAAACTGCAACAAATGGGGCATGTGAGGTCTTCTTCAAGGAGCTCCATTGCAGTCTAAAACAAAAGGAGACCATAGTTTATGCAAACCAGTATAATGAGTATAATAATAGACCAAGGCTGGATCTACACTGCCCGATATCCCAGGATCTGATCCCAGATTATCCACTTTAAACTAGATTAAGTACTGTTCTACTATCGGGGCAGACTTTTAAGGGGGAGGGATGAGTTGAAGGAGGAAAATTATTTTCCCCATTTTTGCTGGTTATTGCTCCCCATTTCCTCAAACCTTTTAAACAGAGGGCCAGGTCACAATCCCTCAAACTGTTGGAGGGCCGGATTATAATTTGTGAAAAACATGAATGAATGCACACTACACATATCTTATTGGTAGTGCAAAAAACACTTAAAAACAATACAATAATTAAAATGAAGAACAATTTTAACAAATATAAGCTTATTAGTACTTCAGTGGAAAGTGTGGGCCTGCTTTTGGCTGATGAGATAGGATTGTTGTTGTTGTTGTGTGCTTTCAAGTCATTTCAGACTTAGGTTGACCCTGAGTGAGGGCTGGGTAAATAACCTTGAAGGGCCGTATCTGACCCTTGGGCCTTAGTTTGAGGACCCCTGTGATAAAGGATAGTTGTTTCCATGATGGGGGCATTGGTGGGGGGAATAACAGGTGGTGGCCCCCTGACTCTGGAACTCACTTCCCAGGGATATCAGGCATGCCCCAACATTGGCAGTCTTTCGAAGGAGCCTGAAAACGTGGCTGTTTCAGTGTGCCTTCCCGGAATAAGGAAATAATTCCCAGCATAATGTCCTCAAATGCACTTTAACTATCCGATTGGATTGCGCTCCCCTCACTTCTTTAAAACCTTCCTATTAGATATATCCTACCTTGTTCATGCCCAGCGTTTATTTTTTAATGTTTAACTATTACATCTGGTCCGGCCATAGGTTTTTTAATCCTTGCATGTTAATGCTTATATGTGATTTATTTAACTGTATTGTTATTTTTTGTTTATTGCTTTCTAGTTTATTGATGTGTTGTTGGGATTGGCGTCATGTAAACCGCTCCAAGTCCCTTGGGGAGATGGAGGCGGGGTATAAATAAAGTTATTATTATTATTATTATTATTATTATTATATATTCCAGTTCAAAGCAGATCATATGGGATTTTATACAGCTGTGTAGAAGGGGTCTAAGATGTATACACAAAATAATGGGCTTTTTATGAAACAGGGGAACATCTTGCTCAAATAACTCCCTGTGGAAAAAGATGAGGAAATCAATGTCCTCTATTCTTTTTCCCATTTGGTCTTGCTCTCCCTTTCCTGCCTGGCTGCATCATGTGCTTTGAGTTGAACAGGCAGAAGGGCGGAAACAAAAAGTAGTTTCTCATCCAGAGAATTACAATGTGCCATTACTTTTTTTTTCCTGCAGAACAATTTCCATATTATTTTGGCCCCAAGACAAGGCAATGGATGGAGATAAAGGGGACAGGGAAAACTCACCAGTGGTTTACTGCCTCATTTAAGTCCCTTCTACACTGCCATATAAAATCCAGATTATATGGCAGTGTAGACTCATATAATCCAGTTCCAAGCAGATAATGTGGATTATCTGATTTGATCATCTGGGTTATACGGCGGTGTAGAAGGGGCCTAAATTGTCCTGGTCACAAAGGAAGCTTCATGGCACATCTTGCTCCACTTTTGGAGGCCAGGAAGCCACAGGCTGCTGTAGCCCTTATGTGCGCATGCGCGGGGGGAGCCGCAGAAGCAGGCGATGGGCCTGGCCTTTACTCACCCGCGTCCTCTCTTTCGGCCGGTACAGCCACCCCGACGTCGCCTTGAAGGCCGCAGCCGCCCCGGAGAAAGGCGCCAAGCGGCGGCGGATGTTGCCACGGCCCGCAGGAGGGCCTCCCTTTCCGCTCCCGCCGCCGCCTCGCCCCGCCTTCCCCTTTCCGTCGCCTCTTTCCCCGATGGACTGGAGGCGCCCGCTTCCTTGGACTCCATTTCCCAGAATCCCTGGCCATTGACCATGGCAGCGGAGGCTTCTGGGAGATGGAGTCCAAAAGGCCTGGAGGACTCGCCTTTGGGATTGGTCCAGCATTTCTGTGTTCTCAAATAACATGCTGTGTCCAGGTTGGTTCATCAGGTGTTCTGCTATGGCTGACTTCTCTGGCTGAAGTAGTCTGCAGTGCCTTTCATGTTCCTTGATTCGTGTTTGGGCAATGCTGGTGCATTTGGTGTCTAACAACTACCATTTCAGAATACACAGAGAAGTCATTGAAATCAAGCACGTGGACAATTTCAACAGAAAGGAGGAAACCATGAAAATGAACAAAATCTGGCCACCAGCATTAAAAAACTCTAAAATTGCAACAGCACAACAACAGAGAGGAAGCAGGCAGGGACATCTAATTACCTCTCAACAAAAGTTTGCCCCAGGCACAGTTAGGCAATTGTATTTATTTATTTACTTTATTTGTATATCTTCTCAGCCCTTAGGCGACTCAGAGCAGTTTACAACAGTTTAGGTATACACAATACAAAATCATTAGGCATTTAAAAGCAATAGCATCACAAATCATTAAACATCAGCATCAGTACATCAATATAACAAATCCATCAGGTCTCATCAATGAAATCAGAATCCAAACTCGTTATCCATTATTCCATGTTCCGATAATCAGTCAATCAGGAGGAGAAATGCCTCTAGAACATGGCCATATAGCCCAAAAAAACCCACAAGAACTGAGTGATTCCAGCCATGAAAGCCTTCGACAATACATTGAACATCTCTACGGGGAGAAACTGTTCCAAGACACACGGAAATTGGAAAAACTAAGGACCAGGAAAGCACATCTACTGTGCTCCCTGACTTTCCTTCAGGAGAAATGCCTCTAGAACATGGCCATATAGCCCGAAAAAACCCACAAGAACTGAGAGAATCAGTCAATCAATCACACTGCTTAGTCGAATGCCTGTTCAAACAGCCAGGTCTTTACTTTCCTCCGGAATGCCAGCAAGGAGGGGGTCGATCTAATATCTGCAGGAAGGGCGTTCCACAGCCGAGGGGCCACCACTGAGAAGGCCCTGTCTCTCGTCCCCGCCAGGCGTGCTTGTGAAGCCGGCAGGATCGAGAGCAGGGCCTCCCCAGACGATCTTAATGTCCTAACTGGTTCATAGGAGGAGATGCGTTCGGACAGGTAGGTCGGGCCAGAACCGTTTAGGGCTTTAAAGGCTAAAGCCAGCACTTTGAATTGTGCCCGGTAGCAAATTGGCAGCCAGTGGAGCTGGCGCAACAGAGGAGTGGTATGCTCCCTGAGTGCCGCTCCTGTTAGTATCATGCTGCCAGGCAATCAAATGCTAATCAAGGTGGTCATTTGAAACATTCACACCTAGCTCCAGCAGACAAGAGTCCTTTGTCTCACCCTGGTCATTCCACAGATATATAAACCCTTTTTCCTAGTTCCAACAGACCTCACTACCTCTGAGGATGCTTGCCATAGATGCAGGCGAAACATCAGGAGAGAATGCCTCTAGACCATGGCCATATAGCCCGAAAAAACCTACAACAACCCAGTGATTCCGGCCATGAAAGCCTTTGACAATACATTGAACATTACATTCTTATTTATATAGATTATATTATATTACTAGCCATGCCCTGCCACACATTGCTGTGGCCCAGTCTAGTGATTCCAATGTTATCCCCTATTACAGAGTTTCTCAACCTGGGGGTCGGGACCCCTGGGGAGGTCATGAAGGGGTGTCAGAAGGGTTACTAAAGACAACAGTATTTTCTGTTGGTCATGGGGGTTCTGTGTGGGAAGTCTGGCCCAATTGTATCATTGCTGGGGTTCAAAATGCTCCTTGATTGCAGGTGAACTATAAATCCCAGTAACTACAACTCACAAATGTCAAGGTCTATTTCCCCCCTACTCCATCTGTGTTTATATTTGAGCATAAGGAGCATTCGTGCCAAGTTTGCTCTAGATCTTTCATTGTTTGAATCCACAGTGCTCTCTGGATGTAGGTGAACTACAACTCCAAAACTCAAGGTCAATGCCCACCAAACCATTTCAGTATTTTCTGTTGGTCATGGGAATTCTGTGTTCCAAGTTTGGTTTAATTCCATTGTTGGAGTTCAGAATGCTCTTGGATTGTAGATGAATTATAAATCCCAGCAACTACAACTCTCAAATGACGAAATCATAATGTTTTGAGTGATGGTCACTCCTTGTGTTGTGAGATGTTTTGCTGCCAAATTTGTTGTGTTTTCGTTCATTGGTTCTTGTTTTTAAGGTACTCATTATGCACAGAACATATTTATATATATATATATATTATATTATATTATATTATATTATATTATATTATATTATATTATATTATTAGGACAGTGCAGGAGTCAAGTGTTGGTATCTCACCAAACTACCAATCCCAGGATTGAGCCATGGGGTTTAGGGCCCCTTCTACACAGCTGTATAAAGTCCACATGGAACTGGATTATAGGACAGTGTGAATTCAGATAACCCAATTCAAAGCAGATATCGTGGATGATCTGCCTTGACATTCTAGATCAGTGGTTCTCAACCTTCCTAATGCCGCGACCCCTTCATACAGTTCCTTATGTTGTGGTGACCCCCAAGCATAACATTATTTTCATTACTACTTCACAACTGTAATTTTGCAACTGTTATGAATTGTAATGTAAATATTTGATATGCAGGATGTATTTTCATTCACTGGACCAAATTTGGCACAAAGACCCGATACACCCAAAATTGAATACTGGTGGGATTGGAGGGGATTGATTCCATCATTTGAGAGTTGTAGTTGCAATGATTGGTAATGACTATAGGAATGGAACAACGGGAAATGATACTGGATTGTGATTTGGACGATGAGACGACGCTGAATGGTTTCGTAGTAATGACGATGTTTTGGTATATTGATGGATTGTGAATTGTTTTTTTTATACTGTGTCTTGAATTTGTTTTTTCCTATGTTGTACACCGCTGTGAGTCGCCCCCGGGCTGAGAACAGCGGTATAGAAGCAAAGTAAATAAATAAATAAATAGTTGTTGGGATTTATAGTTCATCTGCAATCAAAGAGCATTCTGAACTCCACCGATGATAGAATTGAACCAAACGTGGCACAGAACTCCCATGACCAACAGAAAATACTGGAAAGGTTTGGTGGGCATTTACCTTGACTTTTGGAGTTGCAGTTCACCTACTTCCCAAGATAACTGTAGACTCAAAACAATGATGGATCTGGACCAAACTTGGCATGAAAATCAGTATGTCCAAATGTGCACTTTGGTGGAGTTTAGGGAAAATAGACTTGATATTTGGGAGTTGTAGTTGATGGGATTTATAGTTCACCTACAATCAAAGAGCATTCTGAACCCCACCACGGTGAGAATTGGGCCAAACTTCCCACACAGAACCCCCATGACCAACAGAAAATACTGCGTTTTCTGGTGGTCTTTGGTGACCCCTCTGACACCCCCTCATGACCCCTCCAGGGGTCCCGACCCCCAGGTTGAGAAACACTGTTTATGTGGCTGTGTGGAAGGATCCAAAGTGGTGTCAAAGGGAACTGATTTGAACGATCGAGGCCCAAGCCTCCACTTCTGGAGGCTTGAAAGCAAATTCTGCGATTTGACTGTGTGATCCTTCCAACTCTGTCGGTTTTACGCCTCCGGGGGGCCGGACGTGGTGGAGAAGGAACTACCTCGCTTGGCCTCTTTGCCCACCTGCGCGCAGGCCGGGACGTAGGGCGCATGCGCAGGAGCGCGCGGCCTCTTGGCAGGTCGGTTGAGCATCAGCCATGGCGGCGGCGACGGGTCCTGCCTCGTCTGTGTGGTGCTGCTGCTTCCGGTGGGGCTGCTGCGGAGAAGGCGGCTCCGGGCACATCCCCCTCAAGGAGATGCCCGCCGTGCTCCTGGACACCCAACGGATGGGTAAGGCCCACCGAGCCAGGGAAAGAACGGAAGGAGGGAGGGAGGGAAGGAAGGAAGGAAAGGGACGGCCATTTGGGCCCTGCTTCTAAACCTCCGGGCCTTCCCTCCCACAGAGTTCCTTTCCAACTACTTCATTGTGTCAGCTGTCCGAGTTATGGAGACTGTGAATTTTTCATCGGGTTTTGTTAGGGAAAGAAGACTCAAGTGTGGTTTTGGCAGTTTCTTCTTCTGAAATACAGTTGACAGCGTCTAGTGCAGTGATTCTCAACCTGTAGGTCCCCAGATGTTCTGGCCTTCAACTCCCAGAAATCCTAACTGCTGGTAAACTGGCTGGGAATTCTGGGAGTTGTAGGCTAAAACACCTGGGGACCCACAGGTTGAGAACCACTGGTTGGCAGTAGTACTATCCAAGGCTGATCCTGCTTAGCGCCCAAGATCAGATAGGATTTGACGCCTTAGGCCAGTAGTTCTCAACTTGTGGGTCCCCAGATGTTTTGGCTTACAATTCCCAGAATCCTAATAGTTGGTAAACTGGTCTTTCATTAGGTTCTTGTAGGTTTTTTCTGGCTATAGGGCCATGTTCTAGAGGCATTTCTCCTGACGTTTCGCCTGCATCTATGGCAAGCATCCTCAGAGGTAGTGAGGTCTGTTGGAAATAGGAAAATGGGTTTATATATCTGTGGAATGACTGGGGTGGGACAAAGAGCTCTCTGCTGAAGCTAGGTGTGAATGTTTCAGCTGACCACCTTCATTAGCATTTGAAGGCCTGGCTGAGCCGGGGAAAATGTTCTGTTGAGAGGTGTTAAGATGTGCCTGGTTGTTTCCTCTCTGCCGTTTTGCTGTTGTAATTTTTGAGTTTTTTAATACTGGTAGCCAGATTTTGTTCATTTTCATGGTCTCCTCCTTTCTGTTGAAATTGTCCACATGCTTGTGGATTTCAATGGCTTCTCTGTGTAGTCTGACATGGTGGTTGTTGGTGTGGTCCAGCATTTCTGTGTTCTCAAATAATATGGTGTGTCCAGGCTGGTTCATCAGGTGCTCTGCTATGGCTGACTTCTCTGGTTGAAGTAGTCTGCAGTGCCTTTTCATGTTCCTTGATTCATGTTTGGGCAATGCTGCGTTTGGTGGTCCCTATGTAGACTTGTCCACAGCTGCATGGTATACGGTAGACTCCTGCAGAGGTGAGAGGATCCCTCTTGTCCTTTGCTGAACGTAGCATTTGTTGGATTTTCTTGGTGGGTTTGTAGATAGTTTGTATGTTGTGTTTCCTCATCAGCTTCCCTATGCGGTCAGTGGTTCCCTTGATGTATGGCAGGAACACTTTTCCTCTGGGTGGATCTTCATCTTTACTCTCGTGGCTTGTTCTTGGTCTTGCAGCTCTTCTGATGTCTGAGGTGGAGTATCCATTGGCCTGGAGAGCCCAGTTGAGGTGGTTCAGTTCATCTTGGAGGAGATGATCTTGGTCTTTCATTATCTTATCCAAAATGCCCTCTTAGCTCAAATCTAACACTCACCTTTTTTTTTGTTGCTAAATTGCGATGTCCAAATTAGGGTGCACATTAGATTCACAGCATCATTCTAGTCCAATTTCCTGCCATGCAGGAAAAGCACAAAGTACAGTAGAGTCTCACTTATCCAACCTTCACTCATCCAACTTCCTGTATTATCCAACGCAGTCTGCCTCCCGCCCGGATCCACAGCTGCTTCAATACATTGCGATGTTTTGTTGCTAAATTCGTAAATACAGCAATTATCACATAACCTTACCGTGTATTGAACTGCTCTTTCTTTCGATTTGTTAGTGCTTAATTTGTAAAATCATAATATAATTTGATGTTTAATTGGCTTTTCCTTAATCCCTCCTTATTATCCAACATTTTCTCTTATCCAATGTTCTACCGGCCCATTTATGTTGGATACGCAAGACTCTACTGTAATTTGGTAATCTTAGGCCCCTTCCACACAGCTGAATAAAATCCCACATTATCTGCTTTGAATTGAGATATGTGGCAGTGTGGACTCAGGTTACTCAGATCAACGGAGATACTGTAGGTTGTTCTGTCTTGAGATTCTGGGTTATATGGTAATGTGGAAGGGCCCTTATTCTTCTCCTTTCTAAGTGATTTTCCCAGTAGAGGCGTTAGCATTGTGACTGTCATTTCCACAGAGCTTTGTTTTGGGCATCCTCAGGTTGGCAGCACACATGTCTTCGTTGGTGATATCCATCCATCTTTTCTTTGGCCTTTGTCCACGTAGTTACTGCCCTGCAGTCTTCAAATGTTGGTTCTCTTCTCGTGACATGGCCGTATCACCTGCATTTTCTTGCCGATCGCTTTTATTCCTAGTGTTTGATGGATGTCATCATTTGGTACATGGTCAAGAATTGTCAAGCCAAATGTCCATCCCAGCATTTCCATATCCATTGTGTTAACGGCTTGTTCGTTCATAGAGGACTACTGGGTGAACAATTGTAGTGTTGATCTTAGCCTTGAGTTGTTCAAGATTTTTTGAGTAACACAGAATGCCAGTGGGTTGTCGCCATTTCAACCAGGCTGCATTTATTTATGAGCATACGTCTGGCATTGTGTCGCTGTCTATGAAGACCAGTGACCCTCGGTATTTAAATTGGGTGGCCTTCTTTAGTGCATTTCCATTAATTTGGATTGTTTTTCCATCATGAAAGCCACATTCCAGATACTCTGTTTTGGGTATGTTCAGTTGAAGTCAATTTTCACCGAGTCTGTCACTCCATATCTTGAGAGCTGTTGTTGAAGGGTTGCACATTTTTTGTGGCTGAGTGCTATGTCATCTGTATATAGGTGTGTCCAGGAATGCATAGTCTGCAAATCTGCTGTAGCAGTATCCATGGAGAGCATGCATAGTAATGGTGAGAATGCTGATGAGTTTTTAGTATCATGCTGTGAGTTTTTAATGTCAATTCAACATGTTTTCAATGTCTTAAATCTTACAGGAACAGATGTTGTTGTTGTAAAAAATGGACGACGAGTGTGTGGTACAGGAGGCTGCTTAGCCAATGCTCCTTTGCATCAGAACAAGAGTTACTTTGAATTTAAAATCCAGTCCACAGGTTAGTAATTTTTTTTACATTTTCCAAAAATGAAAAACATTATGGATTGTAACTCGGAGGCTGACATTCTCAGAGTATCAGTGTTTCTGATTCTGAAAGGACAAGGGCAGTGTACAGGGAAGAAGAAAAGATAAATAGAAAGGAGATGCAGAATGGATAGGACAAAACAGAAAGGAAATAATAGGCTGGCATAAAGAGTGAAGGTAGAAAACCGTAGTGGGAAATAATTTTGCCCATCCACATTAGTTAGCTGAGTGAATGGCTTTGTGAGAGTCAGCAGAAACCGTCTTGTTATTTCCAGCCAGTGACAGAAAAAAATGGAGGATTCACTGCTACACCCTCACTATTCAGCTTTTAAGCGTTTGGAGATTATGCTGCATGCTGCTACCCAGCATGTGGTGGGACTACCCTGTGCCAGTGGATGGTAGGACCTACCATAACTTTGGGCTACAAATTCCCCCTCTTTGCTGTAGGTCCCCATCATCCAGACAAACACTGCTGTGCCATGGTAACAAAACAATTATTATTCATTTTCTGATCTTTTTGTTTTGAAATAGATGCTAAAATTCAGTTTAGCTCATTTTCTGTCACGTTGACCTGCACTTTCTTTCACAGCCACTCAGTTTCCCAGAGGACTAAGGTGCTGGAATATGACAAAAAAAAATATCTAGAAATAATTTAATTGCCTACCTTTCTGATTCCATAGTGACCAAGGCATGGATCAAAACATCAGGAACATCCTCCAGGCCCACCTGATGTAAAATAATTGTAACTTACTCACTCTTGTTGACATTTGTTGCTGTTACAAAATATTTGTTTTACATCTTCATGACTCGTATTTGGGATCCCTTCGGAAAAGTGATGAAGGGAAGACCAGCAAGGGTTCCTTTATTCTAAGTTCTCTCCCCAATTAAGGGAAAAAATTGGTTTGATTTCTCGATTTTTATTCACACACATAATTTTACTTTGCAATATTGCACCGTGCAAAGTAAAAGTTTGTATATGTGCCTATAAAACCAGGGAATTAGACTAAACAATTTGCAATGTAGTTAGGCTATCTGTATTTAGGATTCCAACCTGAGGTATGTACACTTGAAGTTTGCTCCTGACTTAAGTCATAGTTATACCACTCCTTTGCTTCTTCCTTGCACTTCTTTGTTTTCAGGAATCTGGGGCATTGGAGTTGCAACTCAGAAAGTCAATCTAAATCAGATTCCTCTTGGGCGTGATACAAATAGTCTAGTACTGCGAAACGATGGTGCTCTTTACTACAACAATGAAGAAAAGAATAGGTTGCCTGCAAACAATCTTCCACAGGAGGGGGACGTTGTGGTGAGTTTTTAAGTACTGCTTATGAGAATCCGACCAAGAATTGCTATTGCATTCTTCAAGCCATAGCTAATTTCAAAGTAGATATGAGCTTTAGCAGACTTCATTGGATCTGGACATGCTCTTCTTCCTGTCAGGAGGATCCAGCAGCCAGACAAGGGGCCAAGATGTTGGTGCAGAATCTGCAACGTGTAATTCAGTGGTACATATAAAAAAGGCAAAACCTCCCTCCTTAAAGTTCTAATAACTCTCACAGTGCTGAAATGTTATTAGATTTTAGAATATTTCTCTGTGTGTGGTAGTCTGTGTGCATTTTGTGTATGGCACCATTGCAATTTTCACCAATCTTGCTTCTATTGGCCAAAGTAGAGTTTGTTTTCTTGTTCAGAAAAAAAATAGCACCCACCCAACTTAGGTAAATGGAAGCAAACTAATATGGACAATTTTTTTCATCATTATTTCTGAATTGAATTCTTCAGGCTGCACATGATACTTAGATTTCAAGATAGAACACATTCCTTAAACATTTTTGCATTGAGCAAGTCAAGATCCAGTTCTGTATGCTGGGATTAGGTACCATTAAGTCTTAATTTCAAATCAGTTTAAAATTGATATGCATTAGATTACACTGTTAGAGTTTACGCTATTGCTACTTAGTTTCATCTTTGTGGGCTGTTCTATGTTGTGAACATTTGGAGGCACCTTTTTCTGTATATAAAAAAGACCATCAATTAAATTAAAATACTGATCAGAACCTATGTTATTATCTCTAACAAGGTTCAAATAATTTCCTTGGTGGATATACCAATGAAATTGTGTCATTTCTGGCAGTGTCATTTTTGCCTGTGTATATCCATAAGTTTGTTCCATCCTTCTTTCATATATATATATTTGTATTCTTATTGGCATTTTTTGAAAATACAATAAATTTTTCATTTCCAATTTATTTTTCATTTTACGCACTTTAATCATTCCTATGTATTTGTCCTATCATAGACATTTGATTATGCAGTTTTATTTTTGAGATGAGAGCTGCATTGCACATTTGGAAAGTCTAGAACACATGTGTCAAACTCAAGGCCCACGGGATGAATCCAGCTCACCATGTCATTTTCTGTGGCCCTCCAGGTACTGGACTTCAAGTTCTGTCTTCTTCAGCTTTAGGCATCATGGCTAGAGCTGATGGGAGTTGGGGTACAGTAACATCTGGAAGGCTGCAGTTTGGTCTGTTTAGTCAGGAGAGAGAGGTTTAAATTTAGATTTTTTATTATTATTTTTTTGTCGTGTCAGGAGCAACCGCTCCTGTTGTGAGAGAATTGGCCATCTGCAAGGACGTTGCCCAGGGGACGCCTGGATGATTTTTGATGTTTTATCATCCTTGTGGGAGGCTTCTCTCATGTCCCCGCATGAGGAGCTGGAACTAATAGAGGGAGCTCATCCGCCTCTCCCCGGATTCGAACCTGCGACCTGTCAGTCTTCAGTCCTGCCAGCACAGTGCTTTAACCCACTGCGCCACCGGGGGCTCCTTGAATTTAGATACAAGGCTTGTCGATAGGATGCCTCACTTTAAATTGCCCTTTAACCTTTCCTTAATTTCAGAACCATAAATTCTGTTGGGCTGCAGTTCCCATTATCACCAGTCCGCATGGCAGATAATCAAAACTGATAGGAATTGTAATTCAGTAATATCTGGAGACCCTAATTAAGTAAAACCTAAAGAGCCCCGATCCCTATGTTTTATATATATATATAGAGAGAGAGAGACAGACAGACAGACAGACAGACAGACAGAGAGAGTTGGTCCTCTGTATCAACAGATTATCTGTCCATGGGATTTAATGGCTCTTTGAAGGCAAACCATAAGGTTGAATTGGCCTCCTGGTCTAGAAGGTAACTAAATTCCAAGTTGAATCAAATGGTGTATCTACACCACAGAATTAATGTATTTCAATACCACTTTAACTGCCATGGCACAGTGCTCTATAGCCATGAGAGTTGTGTTTTTCCAGAGTCTTTAGCCTTCCCTTTCAAAGAGTGCTGGTGCCTCAACAAGCTACAAATTCTCAGGATTTCATAACATTGAGCCATGGCAAGTTAGTGGTATAAAACTGCATTAATTCTACAGTGTAGATGCACCCAAAGGAAATCAAAAAATGAAATCAAAAGAAATCTTAAAGCATTCCTAATCAGCTTTGCATTGCTAATTGTAGGTTCTCTAGAATTTTCAGATAAGCTTGATTCTCTCATTAGAGAGTAAGCCATATTTAAATTAGTAGGGCATATTTATGAATAAAGCTGCATAGGATTATGTGCCAAGAAATTTTAGATTTTGTCACCAAAGGTTCTTAATTTTATGTATTTGTTGAAAAAGCAAAAAGGAAGATTTAAAAATATTTCACTTTTGTCTTATAGGGAATTACGTATGACCATGTAGAACTTAATGTTTATTTAAATGGAAAAAATATGCACTGTCCGGCTTCAGGAATCAGAGGGACTGTCTTCCCTGTGGTGTATGGTACGTTGTGGTACTTCAAGCCATCTTTACATAAATGAGCATATTATTTGACTCAGGTTAAATTCCTACTCCGTTATGGAGTTCACTGAGGGTGATTAACTCCATAAAATCCACCTAGCTTCCCTTGCAAGATAGCGGTGCTGTTGAAATTAATTGGGAACCATTTACTTTGGAGCTTCTGGGAGGAAAGGTGGAAAGTAAATGTAATAAATAAATGGATAAAAAGAAAAACTCTTATACTGTAGCAAATTACCAAAGGCCTACATTAGATAAGCACATATTTCTACTTCTTGATCAATTTCCTGTCAAAAGGCCACTTTTATTTTGGGGAATTTTGCATTCATTCTCTGATTATTTAAAGTTTCTTTGTACAGTAAACATTGAATTAACATGAAAATGACAACTCGCAAAATATTCTAATTTTTTTTTTCAAAATTTGGGATTAAAATGGCAATTCTCTTTTAAGAGTTGTGGCAGAATAAGTATTTTCTTAATGTATAAATTATATACCTGAAGCCAGTAAGTTAAGGTGGTATATTGGGTTTTTGAAAACTTCACAGGGTCAGTTAATGGTTCTGAACTGTCTCAGTATACTAATATCCAGGGGAAGGCAGAATTTTATTTGCTAGAATTAACCATACCAATATGCTTTACCATCCTAGATTAATGTTTGGATTGAGACAGAGTTACCCTTCCAGTTGTGGACTTCAATGAACTTGGCAGTGCAGTTCTCAGCTAAATAGTGGAGGGCAGAGTAACACCGTAAAAATACTTTCTTGACACTTTTGTGTTTTAATTTGTTTAACTGGGATTAGGTCTGGCTTAATTTCTCTTAAATTACAAAGTTTGTGATTTTAGACGTAGCATTTTCTTTAAAAGGAGAATTCTAGTTGCCAATTCTTGACACCAGGTTTTCTAAAGAGGTTGAAGTAACTCTCTGATGTATATATTAAGGAACTGCCCTTCACCACCTCTTACTTTAAAGCTTCCCCGTTTTCTACCTGATTATCACCTCAATCCAACTGTAATTTTCTTTTTTCCCTTCTTTGTTTAAAAAAAAAACATTGTTATGATTATTGAGCCTCACTTCTATTCCATATTTCTCCCATCTTTAATAATGTTCCCCTCCTCCCTCTTTTAAAACTCCCTTTCTAATTTTACATTGCTTTTTCCCTGAGTATTTCCTTTCTTGTAGTTTGACCCAGGGCTTCCTTAGGCAATTTCAGCACGCTTGATGTTAGGACTGAGTGTTGGAAAATACCTAATAGTAGTGAACTTTTGACTTGAAACTCTAGCAAAGGTGAAAAATAATGTATTCTGAAAAATCTGTCAGAGGATTCTTTCAGCTAGAGCAGGCATGGGCAAACGCAGGCCCAGGGGCCGAAATGTGACCCTTGGACTTTTTTCTCAGGCTCTCCTCTCTCTCACCATCCTGTCCTTCCTTCCTTCTCTCTTTCCTTCCTCCCTCCTTTCCTTCCTTCTGTATTTCTCCCTTCCTCCTTTTATTTATTTATTTACAGTATTTCTATACCGCTTTTCTCACCCCTAGGAGGACTCAAAGCAGTCTCTAGATCTCCTTCCTTCCCTCTTTCCTCCTTCCCTCCTTCCCTCCTTCCCTCCTTCCCTCCCTCCCTCTCCTTCCTTCCTTCCTTCCTTCCTTCCTTCCTTCCTTCCTTCCTTCCTTCCTTCCTTCCTTCGGTCTTTCTTCCCTTCCCCCTTCCCTTCCTTGCATCCTTCTCTTCCTCCCTCCCTTCTCTTTTTCCTTCCTCCTTTCCTCCTGGGGGATGTTTACCTGGGAGAAGAGAAGGTAGAGAGGGAACATGAGAACCATGTTTCAAGATGTAACAGGATATCCCATTGAGGAGGAGGGGGAAAACTGACTTTCTTCTGATCTAGAAACCAGGGCACAAGGGAGCAATGGTTTCAAATGGCAGGGAAAGAGATATGACTGAAAAGATTAGGAAGAACTTCCTGAGAGTAAGAGCTGTTGGAGAGTGGCATAGCCTGCCTCAGAGTGTTGTGGAGCCTCCTTCTCTGGAGGCTTTTCCGCAGAGGCTGTCTATCATTAGTGCTTTGATTGTGCTTCCTGCATGGCAGGGGGTTGAACTGGAGACCCTTGGGGGGTCTCTTCCAGCTCTAGGATTCTATATCAGGAGTAGGCAATATGGGGTCTAATGGATACACTTTTTCTCTCTCATCCTGACCAAGACCAACACTTTTGAGATCTAAACATTTCCTGTCTTTCCTTTACTTTCTGCCTCTGAAAGAGAAGAGGAAGGAGAAGAAAGGGCAGGGAAGGGACTTGGGGAGTACCCCCTCCCTCCCAGCCCACTCACCCCGCTCTGGCCCACCATGCCCCCCAAGTTAGAAAGTTTGCCCATGCCTAAGCTATAGCAATGGCCATGGCTACTGTCTTCCTAATAATGAAAAGGTTCTACCATTTTATTTGTATTGTCAGGGGAATCAAAAGTAGTAGGTGTCCTGGGATGTGCCACAGGACATTTTACTTTACTAATGTGATATAACAACACAAAGGTGTACTCAAGGTGATGCTGGCCAAATATTATTCCGCAGAAAGTTTTGTGTCACAAACTTAATCATTGCCTGCTCATGTATGGTGCGCAATGTAGATTAGCAGTTAGAGAAGTTCCCAGAATTGGGATGTGACAAAGTTCAACTGTTGATATGCCACATATATTTGTGATATATTCGCTGTCTCTTATTTTAGAAGTTCTGGGGGTGAGGAACTATTGAAACAGGGACACTGCACTATGCAAAGGTTCCCAGTGTGATTTAGAGCTCTTCTGCCTCCCCACTTCACAATCTATCCCTTTGTGGAAGGACTGCAGTGAAAGTTGAGGGGCCAAAGACACATAAAACTTTGCATTTAAGGTTATTTGAATGTTAATTATAAATATATGCAACTTTTTCCTAATTTTCTTTTTCTTTTTCTCTTTACAGTTGATGACAGCGCCATTTTGGATTGTCAGTTTAGTGACTTTTATCATACCCCACCGGCAGGGTTTGAAAAAATACTCTTTGAACAACAGATTTTCTGAATGTTCTCACTGATAATTCATCACCATTTTACAAAAGTCTCCTCTCAAAGCTTCCCTTTATTCCCAGAACGCAAACCTATATGTCCTAAAGTTTGTTTAACTTTAGAAAAAGAATGCATTGCCAAAGAAGCGTGTTCCAAATGTTAAATTTAACTATCGTTTTGTGATGTGGATAGTACTTGTATTTGAGGTAAAGGGATATAGCTTACAGTATTAAGTGACCCCAGAGTCTAATGATGCTGTATAATATAATCATTTTATTCATTTGATATATTTTACAAATTATAAGCTCTGTTAGTTCCAACTTCTCTTGTATTCAGAGAAACTACTGAACAACACGGATTTCAAATATCTCAAACAGCAAATCACAAACTGCAAAACTGCCGCTGCGCCCCCCCCCCCTTTAAAAATTATCGAGATTGCTGTATTAAAATGCACTGCATTAAAGTCAGATACACTGCTGATTGTAAAAAGAAAAGTCAACCCTAGTTGAAATTGGTTGTTATGATAAAGGCTTACTTTGGAGCTCTAACCAGTTCTTAGGGACATATGTTATTTAAATATTTTTGCAGTAAACATGTGTGAACTGTATATATTTGTGGCTGTATTAAATTGCTTTTGGTGCACTAAAAATATAGCATAACTTTCATAAAAACAGCATTATTGTATGTCCAGAATATGCTCTAAGTGACCTCTTGCTTTAAATAAAATTAACATTTTTCTTTCTGAGGAAAGAAACATTTTAAATGGAATACAGCCTTCTGAATTTTATAATATACAATCATGTATCATGCATAACTGTTAAGCTTTTGTTTCTCCATTTTCTTTGTTATTTGCTAAAATGTTGCATTTTACTGTTGGTTATGGGTGTTTTCAAGTAGGTTTTTAAAAGTTTACATTAATATCCATATGAAATATTCTATCAGATTTTACAGTCTTCTTAACAAATCAAAATAATACTCTACTAACATCATTTTCATTTTTTATAGTTTTCAGGGGAATTACCCTTTTGCAACTTTCTAAGAAAAGTATTTGAGGATTTTATTTGTAGATAAGAGACTTAATGTGTTGTTGAAGGCTTTCATGGCTGGAATCACTGGGTTGCTGAGTTTTCTGGGCTATATGGCCATGTTTCAGAAGCATTCTCTCCTGATGTTTTGCCCACATATGTGGCAGGCATCCAGGATGCCTCCCACAGATGTGGGTGAAACGACAGGAAAGAATGCTTCTGGAACATGGCCATACAGCCTGGAAAATTCCCAGCAACACAGAGCTTAATGTTCATACATAATGGTCTTAATTTGTGTCACTTCATTCAAAAATTCTAAAACCTGCTGACAAAAAGGTATTTGTGACATGCCTTAGTCTACTGCTGAATTACCTTACTGGTACAACTGCATTACTTAGATATCTAAGTCTGTAAACCTATGGGAGCTTATGTTAAAAGCTAGTCTGGTGTAGTGGTTTGAACGTTGGACTACAACATTAGACTACAACTCTGAAGTCAAAGGTTTGAATCCATACTTTGCCATGGAAACTCACTGAATAACTTTGGGCACATCACGCTCTTTTAGCCTGAGAGGAGACAAACCTTGCCCAGAAAATAGGATGATAGGTTTGCATTGGAAACAGCTTGAATGCATACAACAATTTGGTTGGTATATTGGTACTAGGACCAACGAAGCATGTGATAAGTGCTCCTGATGATTTCCTATACCAATAAGGTGTTTTAAATGAGCAATATAAAATTGGTATTTTGTTTCATAGCTATTGGTCACAACATAGCAACACGTCATTACCTAAGTACATAACAATATTTCCCATTAACATTCAGAGATACAACCTAAATCTGAGGGCAGTTGTCCAAATGAAATGGCATCAGCAGGCCTCTGTATCTGGATTCTGCATTCACAGATTCATGGCTCAAAAGTATTTTTTTGAAAAATCCAAAAAGCAAATCTTGATTTTTACCACTTTATGTAAAGGATGCCATTTTACTTTGCCATGATATACAGTGGGACTCAAGCACCCATGAATGTTGTTATCCAGAGCATCATGGAACCAAACCCCAGCAAATAATGGGGGCTCATTGTACAGACAGTCCCCGAGTTACAAACATCCAACTTACAAATGACTCCTAATTATGAATAGAGGTGAGACAATAGGAAGTGAAAGAAATCTACCCCTTGAAAGGGGAATTCCCTCCTAAAAGAGTTACTGTTATGGGCAAAAGATATCTCCATTGAAGCTTTGTCACCAATCCTTGTCTCCACAACAAACCAATTTTAAAAAAAAATTATCACAGAGACAGAAAGTGACATGAAATCTTCTGAAGAGGAGCACAGACCAAAACAACCACCACGGGTATTAACCCTTCCGTATGCTTTCCATACTCACACAGACTTATTTAGCATTAGTTACACTTTAAAATGTACCTGTTCTGACTACCATACAATTCAACTTAAGAATAAACCTACAGAGCCTATCGTATTCATAACTTCGTGATTATCTGTATATCCATTTGAAGTCACATTGACTCATAGTAACTGAAAGAGGACTTCAAGACTCTTAGTTGTTGTTTCATCCAGCAATTTTAACTCCAGCCTTGGATTCATCAAGCCCTGCACTTCGCATGATGTGTTCTGCATAGAAGTCGAATAGACAGGGTGAGAGTATACAGCTCTGCCGTACTCCTTTCCCAATCTTGAACCAGTCTGTTGTTCCGTAGTCTGTTTTTAGTGTTGCTACTTGGTCCTTATACAGATTCCTCAGGAGACAGACAAGGTGGCTTGGTTTCCCCAGACCACCAAGAACTTGCCACAATTTATTATGATCCACACAGTCAAAGGCTTTAGAATAGTCAATAAAACAGTATATTAAGATAAGACACTTGACATTCCAAAATGACTGAGTTGCTGCTCATGATAAGTATATTTTCTCTATTTCGCTGTAGTAAAGAAGAATTAATATAATTTGAAAGATCTGTGAAAGACCTTTAAAGTTTCATTAAAAATGACACAACTGAACAATTAGAGGGGCAGTGCAGGCCTGAGGTGTTATGGCCTTTGGGATTAGCTGGAAGCTCCCAGGGCCCTTCCACACAGTCCTATATCCCAGACTATCAAGGCAGAAAATCCCACAATATCTGCTTTGGACTGGGTTATCTGAGTCCACACTGCCATATATTCCAGATCAAAGCAGATAATGTGGGATTTTATTCAGCTCTGTGGAAGGGGCCCCATTTATCTGAGTCCATACTAAAATATATTCTAGTTCAATGCAGAAAATGTGGGGTTTTATTTAGCTCTGTGGAAGAGGCCCTAGATAACCCGGGGTCCTTCCACACAGCCCTATATCCCAGAATATCAAGGCAGATGATGATGATGATGATGATAATGATAATAGTTGTTGTTCATTCGTTCAGTCATTTCCAACTCTTCGTGACTTCATGGACCAGCCCACACCAGAGCTCCCTGTCAGTCGTCACCACCCTCAGCTCCTTCAGAGTCAAGCCAGTCACTTCAGGGATAGCATCCATCCATCTTGCCCTTGGTCGTCCCCTCTTCCTTTTTCCTTCCATTTTCCCCAGCATCATTGCCTTCTCAGCTTTCCTTTCTTCTCATGATGTGACCAAAGTACTTCATCCAGCCAAAGTACTTCATGATGTGGCCAAAGTACTTCATCCAGCTGTGCCCGTACCTTGGGAAGTCTGACTTGGCCACAGTAGTCCACGCTCTGGTTACATCCCGTATAAACTACTGCAACGCTCTCTACGTGGGGTTGCCTCTGAAGACTGCTCGGAAGCTTCAAATGGTCCAACGATCGGCAGCCAGGATGCTAACAGGAGCGGCAGTCAGGGAGCATACAACTCCTCTGTTGCGCCAGCTCCACTGGCTGCCAATTTGCTACCGGGCACAATTCAAAGTGCTGGCTTTAGCCTTTAAAGCCCTAAACAGTTCTGGCCCGACCTATCTGTCCGAACGCATCTCCTCCTATGAACCAGTTAGGACGTTCAGATCGTCTGGGGAGGCCCTGCTCTCGGTCCCGCCGGCTTAACAAGCACGCCTGGCGGGGACGAGAGACAGGGCCTTCTCAGTAGTGGCCCCTCGGCTGTGGAACGCCCTTCCTACAGACATCAGATCGGCCCCCTCCTTATTGGCATTCCGGAAGAGAGTGAAGACTTGGCTCTTCGAACAGGCTTTCAACTAAGCAGTGCAATTGATTGATTACTGGAATATGGATTAATGGACAACGAGATCGGATGCTGATTCTATTGAGGAGATGTGATGGATTGTTATTTTGCTGTATTGTTGTATTGATGTTAATTAATTGATATTACTGTTTTAAATGACTAATGATTTTGTATTGTGTTGTTGATACTGGTTGTTAACCGCTCTGAGTCGCCTGAGGGCTGAGAAGAGCGGTATACAAGTGAAGTAAATAAATAAATAAATAAATCTTGGCCTCTTCTATTCTTCCCTCCAGTGAGCAGTTGGGTTTTATTTCTTGGAGTATGGCCTGGTTGGATCTTCTCGCTGTCCAAGGCACTCTCAGAATTTTCCTCCAACACCACAATTCAAAAGCACAATCTTCCTTCACTCAGCCTTCCCTATGGTCCAGCTCTCACATCCATAGGTGACTATGGGGAATACCACTGCTTTGACTATGTGGATCTTTGTTGCCAGTGTGATGTCTCTCCTCTTCACTATTTTATCGAGACTGGACATTGCTCTCCTCCCAAGAAGTAAGCGTCTCCTGATTTCCTGGCTGCAGTCTGCGTCTGCAGTAATCTTTGCACCTAGAAATACAAAGTCTGTCACTGCCTCCATGTTTTCTCCCTCTATTTCCCAGTTGTCAATCATTCTTGTTGCCATAATCTTTTTTTTTTAATGTTTAACTGCAACCAAGCTTCTGCGCTTTCTTCTTTCGCCCTGATTAGAAGGCTCCTCAGCTCCTCCTCACTTTCGGCCATCAAAGAGGTGTCATCTACATAAATAATAATAACTTTATTTATATCCCGCCACCATCTCCCCCAACGGGGACTTGGAGTGGCTTACATGGGGCCAAGCCCGAACAACAGATGACAATACAAAAAATACAAAATTACAATAAAATAAACATATGTATTGTCGAAGGCTTTCATGGCCGGAATCACTGGGTTGTTGTAGGTTTTTCCGGGCTATATGGCCATGTTCTGGAGGCAATTTTTCTCCTGACGTTTCGCCTGCATCTATGGCAAGCATCCTCAGAGGTAGTGAGGTCTGTTGGAAGTAGGAAAAATTGGTTTATATATCTGTGGAATGACCAGGGTCATGCCTGGGGGAATCTTTTGTTGAGAGTGATTTTATGTGCCTGTTTGTTTACCCTCTTGTTTTGCTTTTGTAATTTTTGAGGTTTTTAATACTGGTAGCCAGATTTTGTTCATTTTCATGGTTTCTTCCTTGGTTTACAACAACAAAACAACAGAGGGGAAACAAACAGGCACATAAAATCACTCTCAACAAAAGATTCCCCCTAGGAACTTCCAAGCCATTGAATGCTAATCAAGGTGATCAGCTGAAACATTCGGGCTATATGGCCATGTTCTAGTGGCATTCTCTCCTGACCTTTCGCCTGCATCTATGGCAAGCATCCTCAGAGGTAGGGCTGTGTGGGAGGGTGATCAAAAAATCCAGGCCGTTTCCACACAATGGGATAAAATCCCACATTTTCTGCTTTGAACTGGAATATATGACTGTGGAAGGGCCCTGAGTCAGAAGAAAAAGGATGCTTGCCATAGATGCAGGCGAAATGTCAGGAGAGAATGCCTCGAACATGGTCATATAGCCCGAAAAAATCTACAACAACCCAATTGTTTTAAACTTTCCCCCTCACAATTCCTCAAGCCAGTCCTTCTTCCTACATTCCAGCTTGCCAGGCTGCTTTCGGCGCACGCGCACAACCCTTTCCGAAGGCGACCCTCTAGAAAAGGGCGGGGCGAATTCCCGAAGCAAAAAAAAAAAAAGCAAGCAAAAGGCATGATGAGCAACAACCAGGAAGCTTCATCCCCGAATCATGTGTCACTCTGTCATTTTAGGCGCTCTACGCTCCGCCTCCCTCCCTCCCTCCCACGACTCGGGGGCCCTGAGAGGCGTCGCGTGCGGCGCGCGTGCGCAGTGGCGGGGCCCTTCTGCCGTTCGTCACTGCGCGTCCTCCCCTTTCGCGCGCACGCCGCCGCCGCCGCTCCAGCCCAGAGCCGCCTCTGCCGCCGTCGCCATGGCTGACAACGCCGCTGCCGCTGCTGCCGCCGCTGCCGCCGCCGCCGGCCTAGAAAACCACCGCCTGAAGAGCTTCAAGAATAAAGGCCGCGACGTGGAGGTCTGTGCCGGCTGGGCGGTGGGGGCCTCGCCGTCGTCGCTCGGCTCGCAGGGGGAGTGGCTGGGCGGCTCGGGCCTAGGCCGGCGGGAGGGAGGCAGGGAGGGGTAGATAGAGGGTCCCTCCCTTCCTCTCTCCCTCCCTCCCTCCCTCCCTCGAATAGGGCGTCGGTGGGCCCTTCCTGAGGCGGGGAGGGAGACCGCTTTGTGTCTGCGCCCCTTCCCTTGGGCCCAGAGGGAGGGAAAGAGGGAGGCACTGCGGGAGAGGAGGCTGGAAGCGGGTCAGCACCCCTCCCTGCCCATCGCCCTCGCCTTTCCCCTTTCATACTCTGCCAGGGCAGTGGGAGGATTCACAATGGTGGTGGGCCTTGCTATTCTTGGCCAGGCTCCTTTCCCCGCTCTATTCTGACAGGCGGTTGGTTGACATCTCCACGGAATCCCCTCCCGTGGAGCCCAATGACTGGCCCCTATTGTTCTCCAGTCTTGAAATTTTTCATGAAGGCCTTGTATTTCATTTTATTCATTGATCTCGGGTTTTTTAAAACCCCGTCTTTTTTCTGACTCAGGGCCCTTCCACACTGTCATATATTCCAGTTCAAAGCAGAAAATGTGGGATTTTATTCCATTGTGTGGAAAGGGCCTGGGTTATCTGAGCACCCTCCCACACAGCCCTATAGCCCAGAATATCAAGGCAGAAAATCCCACATTATCTGCGTTGAACTGAGTTATTTGAGGGCCCTTCAACACAACCGTATAACCCCGAATATCAAGGCAGAAAATCCCATAATAGGACCCCCCGGTGGCGCAGTGGGTTAAACCCCTGTGCCGGCAGGACCGAAGACCGACAGGTCGCAGGTTCGAATCTGGGGAGAGGCGGATGAGCTCCCTCTATCAGCTCCAGCTCCTTGTGCGGGGACATGAGAGAAGCCTACCGTAAGGATGATAAAAACATCAAATCATCCGGGTGTCCCCTGGGCAACGTCCTTGCAGATGGCCAATTCTCTCACACCAGATGAGACTTGCAGTTTCTCAATTCGCTCCTGACATGACAAAAAAATAATAATCCCATAATATATGCTTTAAACTAGGTTATTTGGGGGCCCTTCAACACAGCCATATAACCCCAAATATCAAGGCAGAAAATCCCATAATATATGCTTTGAATTTATTTTAGGGCCCTTCCACACAACCATATAACCCCGAATGTCAGGGCAGAAAATCCCATAATATATGTTTTGAACTAGGTTATTTGAGCACCCTCCCACACAGCCCTATAGTCCAGAATATCAAGGCAGAAAATCCCACATTATCTGCTTTCAACTGGGTTATCTAGAGCCCCTTCCACAGAGCTGAATAAAATTCCACATTTTCTGCTTTGAACTGGAATATATTTTAGTGTGGACTCAGATAACCCAGTTCAAAGCATATATTTTGGGATTTTCTGCCTTGATATTCTGGGATATAGGACTGTGTGGAAAAGTTCCCAGGGCCTTCCATGCAGCCCTATATCCCATAATATCAAGGCAGAAAATCTCAAAATATATGCTTTGAACTGGGTTATCTGAGTCCACGCTAAATATATATTCCAGTTCAAAGCAGGAATTGTGGGATTTTCTGCCTTGATATTCTGGGATATAGGGCTGTGTGGAAGAGTTCCCAGGGCTCTTCCACACAGCCCTATAACTCAGAATATCAAGGCAGGAATATCAGTGTGGGATTTTCTGCCTTGATATTCTGGGATATAGGGCTGTTTGGAAGGACTCTGTGTTACTAGGGCCTCTTCCACAGAGCTGAATAAAACTCCACATTTTCTGCATTGAACTGGAATATATTTTAGTATGGACTCAGATAACTGGGGCTCCTTCCACACAGCTGAATAAAATCCCACATTATCTGCTTTGATCTGGAATATATGGCAGTGTGGACTCAGATAACCCAGTCCAGAGCAGATATTGTGGGATTTTCTGCCTTGATAGTCTGGGATATAGGGCTGTGTGGAAGGACCCTGGGAGCTCTTCCACACAGCCCTATAACCCAGACTATCAAGGCAGAAAATCCCACAATATCTGCTTTGAACTGTGTTTTCTGAGGGCCCTTCCACACAGACCTATATCCCAGAATATCCAGGCAGAAAATCCCACAATATACTTTGACAACAGATGATAGAGCTGGATATTGGGGGCAAGGATTATGAAGCAACCATCCCCAGCAGGGACCCACTACTAACTACAAATGCTAGAATGAGGAAAACCGTTTTTCCCCCTATTTTCCAAATTTTGTAAAATTAGATTTTTGAGACTCAAGACTGAAAGCAGAGTGTGAAAGGAGTGGCCAATGGTGGGACCACCAGAGATGAGAAGCATCTAAGTCTTACTGTCACTTTTGTTTCATGAAAAACACAGACAGTTGGTCAGTTGTAATTAAATAATGATTGTGTACCATCATACAGGAATTGAATAATAGAAATTCCAAAGATATGAGTGACTTCATTAGGTTGTGATTGTAAATAAAATTGGAATGGGCCACACTGATTACTTTTTTGAACAGACATGAATAAACCTTGGATGTTTGTTTTCTAGGGGCCCTTCCAACAGTCCTGGGTTATGTGCATCCACACTGCCATTTATTCCAGTTCAAAGCAGATATTGTGGGATTTTCTGCCTTGATATTCTGGAAAATTAGGGGCAAATTCTTACATATTTCAATCAGGACCATGGTCAAATCCTGTTGCTGTAGGTGGCAGTATTTCCATAAGTCTCAGAGTTATTTAATGAACAGCAGGCTGCCTTTCCATCAGGAGCTAAGCTTAGCTCTTTAGTCTTCAGCTGCTGCTCTTTATAGAAAAAGGTCAGAACTGGCAAATCCACTTCTGAGTATGCCTTGCTAAGAAACCCCTGTGAAATCTGCAGGGTTGCCATAAGTCAACAAGTAACTTGAAGACATACATATACACAACTTAGGGTACAGTCACACTATACCTTCCTCAAAAAATACAGTGAGATAGGAAGATCTGTAGCTGGATTTGTCTTGAATAATACCAGTGTAATTTTGGGAATTGTTCTTATTCCTCACAAATGGTACATTTGAGCCAAGGAAGGGAGGGGGGGAGTACTGTCTTCCCTACAATTACCCAGGAGCCCAACATTATCAGAGTGAATGAATTGTGGATTAATTATATTTTAAGCTAATCTGTTGGAAATGGCAATTTAAATGTAAGTAAATTGAGGCTGCAGTCTTCAAAATGTCATATATAGTTCCAGTTAAGGTTTTATTTTTGGAAAAGGCATGTACTTGTAAGACTGTTTAATAAATAGATAGATAGATAGATAGATAGATAGATAGATAGATAGTAGGGCTGGGCGGTTTCGTTCGTTAATTTTGTATATCGTTTTTTTCTCGTTAATTTCCCATATACGAAACGATATCAAACTTTTTTCCAAACCCGGAAGTGTATTTTCAAAATCGAAACAGCATGCGCCAAATATTTTTGTATTTCCGTCCATTTCGGAAATACGTAAGATGGCTAGATGCTTGCTGGGAGCTCTCCTCTCTCTCCTCTCCTTAGCCAGTCAGAGCCTGAAAGAGGAGGAGGAGGAGAGGGCGGGGAAGGTGCCGGCTGAGCAAGCAAGCGAGAGGGCGAGCGACCCTCAGCGGGAAGGCGGCCCCGTCCCTCCTTCCTCACCTTTGCGGTGGGTGTGCTTCGGAGGAGCCAGGCCCGACTCGGCGGCAGCGCTTGAGGGCCCGCCAGAGTGAGTGCCTGCCTTCCCTCCTTTCCCTTCCTCTTTTCTTTCTTCTCCTTTCCCTCCTCTTGGTGGAGAGAGAGAGAGAGAGAGAGAGAGCCCGCAGGACTCAGGAGGGTGGGACGGAGCTGGGAGCAGCGGGGAGGCTCAGTCTGTTTGCCCTGTGGCTCTTTTTGGCAAGCATTTTCTGCCAAATATTTTTTTTATTATTAAAAAAAAAATAATTAAATTAAAAAATATTGAAAAAATATTGGAAAAAAATTTCGTTGATGCTTTGCGCATGCGCAACCGCGGGCGCCATCTTTACAAAACGTTTTGTAAATATTAACGAAATTTCGTAAATACCAAACTTTTTTTTATGGAAAATTTCGGATATATTTTTAAATACAAAACGCTGAGGCACCCTAAAAACGAAACGATATTAGAAACAAATTTTTCCGTTGTTACCCAGGCCTAATAGATAGATATGGGTATATGGAACGTATTTGAGATTTTGGTTGTTATAGTAAAATAGTTATGATCAGCTTCAGAATTTGAAAAAAAAAACCCTAAATAATGTGTTGAATCCTTGCATTCTTCTACTTCCTATTGATAAATAATTTTGTGCATAGCATATAATGAATCTTTCTGTATGGCGTTTTCTAGCACAATTAAATTTTCTACTAAAATCGGGTCGGTTTAGAATAATTAATCAATAGTTTGCTTTTCCCCCACCTGGGACCCAAAGCAGCTTCCATCATATATTAAAACAGGACATTGCATGCGCAAGGCAACCATTCCTGCCACCTAGAAAAATGAAGGACACAAAGATCCACAATGAACAAACTTCTGGAATAACAAAGACCACAACTTGTTTATTGGTTACATCTGATAGCACAGGGTTGGCAGCCACACATGGGTCCTAGATCCAGCATCAGCCAGCCTCAGTGCTGTACCAATGGCAAGAATTCCACACAAGGTTTTTCCTCAGGCCCCCCTCCAGCCAGCCAATCAGCTCAAACCAAATGGTATATCTGATTGGGTGACTATTTTCCTGCACCTCGCAGCCTGCTAGGAAGGTGATAGCGCACGAGAAAGAGGCACCACGCTGCAACTTGCCCCACCCAGGGAGTTGAGTAGGCATTTTCAAACAATCTCAGTATACATTTTTTAAAGACACGATGCACTTTAAAACATCAATTTATTTTAATGCACTTTAAAATCTGATAGACTTTAAAAGACAGCATGCCTGTTTCAATAGCCCAACCAGTCAAAGGCTGGCCTGCTTAAATAAGATAGCCATTGCCAGCTGGTGAAAAGAGAACAGAAAAGGTGCCCACTGAGCCCCTTCCTTGGCAGGGAATTCCATAGCCTTTAAAAGCTCTCTCTCAAATCCTTACCTGTAATGGTAGTGGGACTAAGAGAAAGCCTTCCCTCAAACATCTTTAAACTCAGGCAGGCTTGTATAGAGAGATACGTTCAGGACTTGAAAGATCAGAGCCAACACTTTGAATTGTACCTGGAAACAAACTAGAAGGCAAACTAGAAGGCAATGTTTCAGCCAAAGAGTTATATGCTCTCTTACCAGCCTCTGCCAGAAGTCAAGCTGCAGTGTTTTGAGCTTGCTGTTGTTTCCAAATAGTTTCCAAAGGCATCCCTATAGAGAATAATCCAAATGAGATGTAATCCAGGCATGTTTTACCATAATAATAAGATCGGGCATTTCAAGGGATGGGCTTAGCTAGGTGCATTAATTTTAATTGTGTAAATGCACTCCTGTCCACCACTGACATCTGGACTTGTCAAAAGGTATGGCTAAGCTAGAGTGTACCCAAGTGTGTTGATAGAATGGAAAACAGAATTAAAGACCAGTATCTTCTGGCTGGCATATCCAGATGATTTCTAAATTATGGCTTTTTAAAAAGCTGGTCTGACAGTTAATATGTATTGGATTTATAATACTGGTCTTTTAAATAGCAACTATGTATGATATTTTGTTTTGTTCTTCCTAGCCTTGATGCATGGGTTGAGGTGGGTGAGAATAATAATAATAATAATAATAATAATAATAATAATAATAATAATAATAACTACTTCTATCACTGCTATTACTGTTTTACATATTTTTACTGAGAATTTTAGATCAACTTAATTAAATCATAAGCATCTATAAACACTGATGTTTAACTCCATTACTTAAAGCTACCTCTCTGAACATCTCTAATCATCTGGGTGATCAAGTCCCTCTTAGTGAAATAACAGAGGGTGCCAAACAGCAAGTCAAGCATTTTTCCATCTTTGGTAATATGTAAATACAGAATTTGTGAAAAAACATCAACAACAAAGAAACTGTGCTTGAGATCTAGTGCAACCAGGCCAAGAAGTCCCAAGACACCAGAACGTACTTAGACCTTGCAAGATGGGTGGCCCACATGATTCCTGGAGGTAGAGATGGCGTCACAGAGAATGCTGGTCTCAGCATTGCTGCCACAAACATACACCCTGGAGTTTGAGGGTGCTGTGTACAGGAAGTGTTTGGACAGAGCACAAGAATAGCACTCTGCCCTGTCCAAAAAGGGACTTGTGTGTTTGCATGTCATTGCATTGAGGACGATAATTGTAGAAATAGGGAAAGGAAGCCTGAAACATATGAAACTTAAATTCTGGCCATTAGAAATGGCCGAAGTTGAGAACATAGTATATATTTGAAATTACTTCCTTCATGTCAGTTAGAGCATTATAAAGTATGATGGAACTGTCACACAGAGATTCTAGAAATGCAGCATTTCAATGATGTTCCCAGGAATACTTGATTTCCTCAAACAGGCACACTATCTTATTTCAGCCCAAAAGGATGCAAGTATGTGTGTAAATGAGAAGAACTGATTGTCTTCTAAAGGGCTCTTAAAGAAGTCAGTGCTACAGAGAGTAGAATAAATATTTAATAATTTATCATCATCCAAATGATAGGAGTGGTGGGATTGGCCTGTTTCTAGTTAAAGATATGTGAGGAATTCTGAAATGAAAGAGTTTTGAAGAGCATTGCTGGTGGAGCTCAGTTTGGTGTCAGGGTTCATATTCAGTCTTATTGAGCCGTTCTGCAGTCTCATTTGTTTTAAATTGCACCTAAATGGGAATGTTGGGGTAGAAAATTCAGAACCACTTTGAAGCATAAGGGAGAAAATGAGTGTTTTATAGAATTCAGTTCTGTTCTGTGAACCTTTTTCACTTTTAAAAATAAATATATCCTATGTTCTGTAAAAATAGGCATGGGCAGTAGTGTTCAAATATGAAAGCTGAGCATAGCTGAGTAAAGGTTCTGCTGGTTGTAAGGACAGAGTGTCAGTACTTTGTATGCTTCTTTTAATAGTAATAATAATAATTCATTTCTTATCTGCCTCTCCTTGTGATTTGAGGTGGGTTACAACATAGCGGAAACACATAATCATTATATAAAATATACATATTACAACATATTTCTACACAATCCATAGTTTAAAATACACAGAGCATGTAGTGGACATGAGATGTGAAATTAAAATCCATCATTAAAACTGGCTTTTTCTCTGACCAAAGAAGCAGAATAAATACTGTATGTTAAAAGTTCCACATTTACTTAATTTACATGAAATACATAGCTTGCAGAATTCAATTTTTACTTAGGTAAAGCCATCACCCCCAAACTTTGATCCTCCAGTTGTTTGGGACTTCTTCTCCCAGAATATTATCTGCTTATTGCTGCTCTAGCGCAATCTTCTGCATTGAGCAGGGATTGGACCATAAGCCTCCTTGCAACTTTGATTCTCGGAATATATTTTTTTCAGTGCAAACTATGTTGGTTTTCTATGAGGTATGTGTGAAAGTATAAATACAACATATTGCTTGACTAAGAGAAGTGTGCTTTCTCCCATCCATTATTTCTCCTAGCGGGGGATACTTCTAGTCTTGGTGCCTGTTACAGGAAAAAGTAATCTGTTTTGGAGGAGTTGTGGGGAGGGGGGTACAGAACAGGACGGTTACAGTCTCCCTGACCACTCACTTCACACTTCAAATTAAATATTGCACTCTGCTTTATAGAAAATCAGCAAATTGTATTGTTTAACATATAGGAAGTGACTATCTGGTCCAATCTATAACTGAGAGTTCTGCAAAAGTGGCTAAGCTGAAGAAATTGAACAACCATTGCCTTCTGAATATTAATTTAATTTATGTATGTTTCTAACTTTTTCTTTGCAGACTATGCGAAGACATAGAAATGAAGTTACTATTGAACTTAGAAAGGTAAGTATCACTTTTGTTTGTCTTTTGCTGTGTTGAAAGTGATTATTGGTTTTAAAAGCTGTGTAATTAAGGGCAAAGGTAGGTTATTGTTATGCTATTGGAATTGAGTCTACACTAGTGTTCTCTGATTCATGCACTGTTGTATCCTTGTGTTTCAGTCTAATGAATGAGTTGTAGTATTTGCAATGTCTTATCAGAGCCCTATTGTGTTTGCTTTTTTGTGTTGATGTGTGCACAGGCACATTTCTGTGAATATGTTGTTAAGTTTGCATATTTCTTCTTTTGAAAAGGGCACAGTCCATCTTTGTATTTAAATTTGAAGATTGTTAAGCTTCTGTATATCTGCCAGTAAATCCAAGGACAGGAATTGTTGTTAAAATTGCAACTTCCAGCACTCCTCAATGTTGGTTTTGCTGACTAGAGGCCAAGGGGTGTGCTGTCTAACAGTGTCTGGAAGGCCTCATCATTACCACCCCTTCAGTACACAATAGTTTTTACTGGGACTGGCTACTGGTGTAGGACAACTGGCCAAGTCTGTGCATAAGACTGGGCTTAACAATGGCTACAGTCTGGGAAATGAAGGTTTCAAGGCACTTTGTACAGACAGTATGTACATAATGTGTCCGTTTTCGTCCTCACTTCTTCAGGTGATACCCTGGATATTTGTTTCCTAATGTTTTTAAATGTATTTGTTTTTCTGTTTTATTGTTTAAATTATTTGTCGCTGTGTTTTTGTTTTCCTGTCATTGTTAAGTCTTTGAATCAACTATTTTATTCAAAACTTTAATATACAGGTTGAGCATCCCTTTTCCAGAATTCCAAAATACTCCGCATGTGCAGCTGAGAAGGGGACACGGTTGCTTTTTGATGTTTCAGTGTACCTAAATGTTCTATGCAAAAAACTATTACAAATATTGTGTATGAAATTACCTTCAAGCTATGTCTTATTCTATAAGTTGTATTTGAAACATCAGTGAATGTCACACTCTATCTCCAAGATCTCTCTATATATACATATATGCAAATATAGATAATTCAAAATCTTTAATCCAAAACACTTCCAGTCCCAAGTGTTTGGATATGCCATACTTGGTCCTTATTCCAAAGAGAAAGAGTAATGCTTACTAGTTTTTAGAGATTACATTTTGGACATTACCTTTTTAACAGTAAATTTGGTACCAGGAATAGGAATAACATAGAAAAAAAAGGAGATTCTTACACCTAAAAAAAAAGCAGTTCAACATGTTTCAGCAGACTTTTATTATATATATTCATGTATAAGTAGACATTTTAGTAAAAAAAATCAGCCCAAAAAACCTGGCTGGACCTATTCACTGATCACTGTGAACATTGTGTTGTCAAAGGCTTTCATGGCCTGAATCACTGGGTTGCTGTGAGTTTTCCGGGCTGTATGGCCATGTTCCAGAAGCATCGTCTCCTGATGTTTCGTCCACATCTATGGCAGGCATCCTCAGAGGTTGTGAGGTTTGTTGGAAACTAGGCAAGTGAGGTTTATATATCTGTGGAATGTCCAGGGTGGAAGAAAGAACTCTTGTCTGCTTGAGTAAAGTGTGAATGTAACAGTTGGCCGCCTTGACTAGAATTTAATGGACTTGCAGCTTCAAAACTGGCTGGTTGCTGCCTGGGGGATCCTCTGTTGGAGGTGTTAGCTGGCCCTGAATTATTCTTGTCTGGAATTCTCATGTTTAGTGTTTCTCTTTATTTGTTGTCCTGGTTTTAAAGGGTTTTTTTCTGGCTACCAGTAGATGTGGGCGAAAAGTCAGGAGAGAATGCTTCTGGAACATGACCATACAGCCTGGAAAACTCACAGCAACCCAATGTGGACATTAGTTTTAAAATCTTATTATAAAAAAGGAACCATCCCTTCTCCAATCAGAGTGGTGAATGGCAATGGCTTAGCCTATCCCAGAATAATCTAAAAGATGCACTGCCCCTCTTCTCTCTCCACCATGGCACCACTCCAGGCTTTTTTGAAAGCCCGGGTGAGGAAATGGCAGCAGTGCCAGGGGCAACTCTTCATTAGTTGTTTCCCTTTTCCTTAGAATTACCTCAATATATCAAACTCCATAATTCTGCCCCAAAATTTACAACATTTATATCCTGCTTTTCTCACCCTCAGAGCGACTTACAAGTTATTCGTTCATACAATATATTATATTATTAGCCTAGCACAATATTAGTATTATACATTACTATATTGTACTATACCACTATACTGTACTATTATTAGTAATATTACATGTAATATAAAATATATAATTATTTTGTATTATTATATTGTATTGCATTATAATATTATCAATATTATATGTGTATACAATATATTGTATTATTAGCATTATATATTTCTATATTGTACTATACCACAATACTGTAATATTATTAGTAATATTACATGTAATATAAAATATATAATTATTATATTGTATTATTATTAGTATTATATTGTATAACTTTCTAATATTATCAATGATAATGCAATATGTTATATTTTAGCACAGCATAATATTAATATTATATATTACTATATTGTTGCTGGGCGGAGGGGCTCCTAACCAGTGACACATGATGGAACTCTGTCTTCCTGGCTCCCCTTGTCCACTCTGGCCCCAGAGTGGCAGTTGATGCTGGGGGGAGGGGCTTCCAACCGATGACCCAGGAGACATTATAGTTAACTTATAGATGAGTGTATACGGTATGGGAAATAAAACAATTTGGGTAAGCATATAGATTTTGAACCATTCAGAGACCGCTTGAAGGCTTCTTCCAAAATGTAATTGAGTGAACTTTTTATTTTATTCATATACCTGGACAATAATATTAATTTATATACATTGTTTTCCCATTTACTTCTAAAAACCAGTCAACAGTTAGAAAGCATTGAAGCTTATTGTCATGATTCTTTTCAGAATAAAAGAGATGAACATCTTTTGAAAAAAAGAAATGTTCCCCAGGAAGAAAGTTTAGAAGATTCAGATGTTGATGCTGACTTCAAAGCAGTAAGTGACTTTGTTAAATGCCTTATTATAACTTGAAACCTTTAACTACTACAGTTAGAGTAACATGGTCATTCAAAGCATGGCACTTGTAGAAAATGAAAAATGAATTGTATTTGTAGAGGGCACCTAAATTACATGCCATGTTCCTTGTTTTTTTGAGAATATTTGACTTGTAATGGGAATTATCATTGATAATTTTAATTTCTGTTTCTCTTTTTTTTTTAAAGCAAAATGTAACACTGGAAGCTATATTGCAGGTAAGTCCATAAAGAATATGTTATTTATTTAAACTAGATTTGTTTGTTTAATACTTGACTTTTTAAACTTTCTGAACTATATATTGCTACAGAATGCTACCAGTGATAACCCTATTATCCAGCTGAGTGCTGTTCAGGCTGCAAGGTAGGTGTCTCTTCATACTGATGTTACAAGACTAAAGTAGCATTAATGCTTTCTTTACATTAATGTTTTTATTGATTTGCTTCATTTTGATTCTACAGAAAGTTATTATCAAGTGACAGAAATCCTCCTATTGATGACCTAATAAAATCTGGAATTTTGCCAATATTGGTTAAATGTCTAGAAAGGGATGATAAGTAAGTAATCATTTATTTTTCTCATTTGTTATTTCATGCATTAAAAGCATTCTTCAAATATAGGGTAATTAGGCTTTTTTATAATTCTCAATGCAATGTTGGTCTACTACTAAAAGTTTTATGGTAACACTGTGGTGTAAAATCCTCTTAGAATCATGCAGATTATACCACGTGTTTTAGGGCTTGATCTAATCATTCTAGAAGAGCCTGTATAAGTTATGGTATCCCAGTTAGATACTATTTATTTATTTATTTATAAATAAATAAATATTTCATATTGTTATATAGAATGCACTCTCTACCACAAAAAAAGGTATCTTCATTTCACCATGAGGAAGGGTTTCTTAGGTTTTGGGATAGTAAGCAGCTTTGCTCAAGGTTCACTTGAGCAAATGCCATTCCTCTTCTATTCTGTGAAGAACATTACTCTTTTGTCCTCACACTTCCCAAGTAAAGAAATAAGTGGGTATGAGAGAGAGTCTGTGACAGAGTGGGCACAGAGAAAGGAAGAAATAAACCTGTAACATTACTTTAGAGCCAAGGCAGCTTTCCTCTTTCACAGACTGTTGTGAAGCTCTTTATTCCTATCCATACAAGCACACATACATATGTATAACATACATCCCTGGCTGGAAGAGGGATGCAAAAGCATTATAAATGAAATGCTTCTTTGCTGTAGCTTGATTTTTGAGTAAGAACACCACAGATTGTTTAACTTTTTAAACCTTTTCATTCATGTGATGCTTAGTTTTACTGTTGATCTCCAACAGACAGCTTCAGCACAGTTGGTGCATTCAGATCTAACACAACACCAGGTAGACTCAGACTTTATTTGGGCTGCTTCTTTCCATGTGCATCTTTGGGTACAGTGGTATCCAGCCATATTTGAGCCTTCTGATTCTGCTTATTGGGGTTATTGTTGTTTGCTTGTTCTTGGCATTGAATTTTTGCCATCTTTGTTATACTTTGAAAACCGCCGAGTCCCTTTGGGGAGAGAGGACTGGTAATATTATTATTATTATTATTATTATTATTATTATTATTATTTGAAACACAACAAGATGAGTCCACAGCAGACCCTTTGCTGGCTGTTGAATTGGATCACACGTCGGACACTTCCTAAGTGTCAAGGACTGTGTGATGTATCGGTGAATAATGCGTTCGGATCCCAGTAAGTTGGCCTTCTGCAGCTGGCAGATGGTAATTTTGTCAGCACCGATTGTGTTTAAGTGCAGGTCAATGTCTTTAGGCACTGCATCCAGTGTGCTGATCACCACTGGGACCACTCTTCTTCTTCTTCTTCTTCTTCTTCTTCTTCTTCTTATTATTATTATTATTATTATTATTATTATTATGCAGTACAGGATTGAGAGTCAGGAACTGTAGGATCTTCCAGCAGACATAACTGGTCACTGGAAACCTTTTTGCTAAAAGTAGACAATACTGGACTAAACAAAAAGTAACATAGTAAAAGTTAGCTTCCCATGTTCTTACTGCAAGAGCTACTGCTTTCCAAAACTTTAGGGGTAGAAAGGCAGGATGTTTCCTTCTCCTAAGGTGTATTGTTGGTTAATTAACTCAGTATTTCCTTCTCAGCATTGCCCTCACAGGCAGTAGCCTTTTAATATCACCTCCTACTTTTTAAACCAAAGGTATTACAAATTAAACCCGGGACCCTCTGTATGGAATATATGATACACCTTTTATGAGTTTGCCAGGTATTTTTAAGAAACCAAGTCTTTGCAGACTTAGTAGAGTGCTTATGAATTAACTGGTCTCCATCCTGGAATAGATTTATGCAACAAATGTCACAGACATTTTAGAAGTACTCATTCGCTTTCTTCTACTTGACCATCACCCTTTTTATCTTGTTATCTTGATTTACACAATAAAAAAAGATATAATTAAAAACCCAAGACAACCTATTCCTGGGAGAAGGGGACTGTCAGATCACATTGGCTTCATTTTCAGAACATTTGTACTTCTGTTAGGAGCAATTAAATGGTGCCAGAAGCCCTTGATTGAGCATGTTTTCTATACAATCAAGAGTGATGTTCCTAGGAGAGAGGATTATTTTAGCACAGGGTGAGACATCACAGGCTGTTTTCTGCAGAGCACAATCTTTGTTCAGAAGGCCTTCAGTTAAGGCTTGCCATTATGACTGAGACTCTATTCAGAATTGCTCAGAAAGCTAACTAGGCCTGAGTTAGGTTTCAGCTCTGAGGAATGGTATGAATGGTATGAAACAACTCTTATGATACTTCTTCTTACACCTTACTAGATTTTATTGATTCCAAGTTTCCCCCACTTTCTTGCCTTGCTTATTTGTTCAGTTATTTTCTTATCTAGTTGTGTATAAATAAATTACTTTGAGTACAATTTTGTAATATTATTGTGCTGTATTAGGAAAAAAATGGAAAAGCAGGAGACATGTTCTGTATGTATTGAAGCTTTGCAAAAGTTCCTAATAGAAATATGCAAACACTTTATACTGTCCATATTGTTCAGAAACAATAATCAAAAATTGATTAACATTATACTTATTCTTATAACAGGATATAGCAGTAGAAAAGATAAATGATAAATACATAATAGACATGGATATTGTATAATGTTTCACTAGGATTTCCATACTTCTGTCTGCTGACATTTTTGTGGTGCAAACACTATTTTACTGTGATGTTTTTCAACAGCCCTTCCTTACAGTTTGAAGCTGCATGGGCCCTGACAAATATCGCATCAGGCACTTCTGTACAGACTCAAGCAGTTGTTCAGTCTAGTAAGTGTTCTAAGTATTTTTATTTGAGGGAATAGGTATTACTTCACAGCCAAAAACACTCATTTTCACATGACATATTCATTTTTTACAAGAGGGCATTTTTTTAGAGTTTGTTGTGTGCAGATCATCTGTTTTGTACGTCTATTCAAAATCTGTTATGTGTTTTTTGTTCCTCCTTACCCTCACAATATGGAAGTGTGAGAGATTGAGCACGTTCTTGTTTGTTTCAGTTGCTAAATGAAGGGAGCAGTATTTGTTTTCCCCAAAGCCAGGAGATACAGCAAGTGCTTATGGGATGTCCTATAGCAATTGTCATAATTTGGAGTGCAAGCAGAGACTGCTTCTATAAGTTGAAATATGGTGGAGAAAAGTTCAAAAGAAAAGGAAATGTCTGTACACTACAATGTGGGGAGTCTTTCATTTGTTTCTCATTGGCATAAGAGTTTTTGGAGTATGGTGAGTTTTGTGGAAATTATTGCTAGACTCCACCAATATCACTCTGTGCGGAGTGACAGTCTTCTGGGCCACAAAGCTTCCTAGCCCTCTCTTAGTTGGTGGATAGAGCCTACATTTCAGGATGTAAATGTCAGTCCTTCTTTCCCTTCTATTCCTTCTTGAAGAAGTAATTATCTAAAAAATATGGCAAATTTGATTTTGGATTCTATACAAAAGAGAGGGTTGTGATATACTGTATATTCCTGTGCATAAGTTGACAAATTTGATTCAAATATCGTGGGTTGGTTTATCCATGGGTTAGTGCTAGAAACAGATGACAACTATGATGCTATCTTAATGAGCTCTATGCTCATCCGCCTTTGGGGCACTTGAAGTGAAGTGGAATGGTGGCAGCAATTTTTAATAGAGCCCTGCAGGACTAATGGCAAATTTTTATAGGGGCTTACTGTATAACCCTTGTGATGTGCCACAAGGCTGGAAACCATTTCTAATAAGAGCTTACTGTATAAACCTTCATGAGGCTGGCAGCCATAATCCATAGGTATCTATTGTATAAGACTGTATAATTTCTCCCAGATTGCCACTAAATGCCCTCAGGCTGGAAGTGGTGAGGAAAGAGAGAGGGCCGCCTTCTTCATCAGTTACCCCAAGTAGCTGCAAACACTTCAGCAGCAGTAGTGGCTGGGATCACAATAATGACATCCATCCTCTTTATGTACACACTCCTGCTTGTGTTGCTAAGTTTCAAGTGGGACACTAAATTATACCATCGGTGTACCCCTAGGTTTTACCCTTGACTTATCCATGAGTCACAGCAAAATCTATACTTTTGGTCCCAAAATCTGAGGTCAACTTATACACAATGTTGATTTATACATGGGTATGTTTAGCTAATTATATGTCAAAAGTGGTATCAGAAGAATGTTTTGAAATGTCAAGCAACAAGTGCTTAGTGTATTGCTTATATAGTGATAGCATGCAAAACTTTTATGGATTCCACATTTGACCAAAATGAGCCCAGTGTTCTGCTGTTACAGATGCAGTACCTCTCTTCTTAAGACTGCTTCATTCACCACATCAAAATGTTTGTGAACAAGCTGTTTGGGCCCTTGGAAATATTATTGGTAAGTACTATCTATGTTTTTTTTTAAAATATGGCAAGCATTGAAGGGGTTAAAAATCTGTGGTTTTTGTTTTTTTTTACACTGGCATTGCCTTATCATACTATGTTTCCTCCAGGTTTTCTTATTGGTACAATAGAAGCATTTTTTTTTACAAAAAAATATTTCTTTTGTAAAAATTTAGCTTAATTTACTATGAGCATAGGATTACTTATATTGCTCAAATTCTCATTGAACAGTAATTCTGTAGAGTTTACTGGTTACTAATGGGGAAACATAGAACATCAGTGTCCAAGCATAAGTCACTGCATACATTTCAAGGTTTCTCCATCATGAATGTAATTTTTTAAAATTTTCATTTCTGTAGGTGATGGTCCTCAGTGTAGAGATTATGTCATATCACTGGGAGTTGTCAAACCTCTTCTATCCTTCATCAACCCCTCCATTCCCATCACTTTCCTCCGGAACGTCACATGGGTCATTGTAAATCTCTGCAGGAATAAGGATCCCCCACCACCTATGGAGACAGTTCAGGAGGTAAATAAAGAATTACAGCTAAGTACAATTACACCCCCATATCACTATAATCCAGCTTCCCCTTAATGGCATATCTACTGTACATTTTAATGCATATTTATTTGTGCCTCATTTTAGTTGCAGTTGGCTCTCCACATTGGAAGGTCTAACTTTTGCAAATTTATTTTTTACAGTTTGATTAATATCTTCTCTGTCGGTCCTCCAATGTGACTCTGGGGTCAACTTCTGTCAGAGATTGAACATAAACTTGTACTGGAGAACCTAGAGACTCTCCAGACATATGTAGGTACTCCAGTGTAGTTCTATGCTCAACTTATGGCAGCAGTTGACTACAGAGATCCTAGAGATTCCTAAAAAGTGTTCTCTTAGGTTTTTTAAAAAGTGCTTTTATTTTGTGGTGGTCCTGTTCACCTAACCCCAACAAATGTGAAGGGCTTACTATGCTAGTAATTAATTATACTTGCATCGGATGAATCTATCTTGTCTGACTGTGAAGTCAAATCTTTACCAACTAAAGAATGCAGGCTAATGAGCCTCTTTTCCCAAGTTTCAAGTCGATTTAAGGGAACATTATTTGAGTGTGTATACTGATGTTTGACCTGCAGAATCTCAAGTCTGTACTTCGAATGTACCCTTGTCACTGAGATCGAGATAGTTGATACTAACTCCTTATCAGCATAAATAATTTCTGCAGACATTCTGTTTTATCTTACTCCAACTAAACCTTGAGGATAAGGTAATATTAAAGCTAAACCTTCGGGCCTTAAAAACAATGTTCAAAATGTACAGAATGGTGGTCATTTGAAATTCAAGCAACAATCCAAAGTTGATAGAATAGCACATATATTACAGACAAATATGTTAAGAAATGGTTTTAGAGAGCATTATATAATGTATAAAAGTCCTTAAATCTCAGTTGAAATTAGAATGTATGAATAATCAGGACAATAGTGTAGATTTTGGAATTACGTTCATAGCGTCTTAGATTAGTATCTTACCTTTTTTTTCTAATTATAGAGACAGGTTTGTAGACTTTAGCAGGGGGCGTGAATCAGATTGTCACACATTACAAAATACATCGTTCTGGCCTCAAAACCTGCCCTGAACTTATGCATGAGGACAACTTATATATGATAGTTTAAAAATAGTTAAATTAAATATTTGGATAATTTTAATGTATTTGGAATTAGCAGTAATTTATTTCCTTGAAGTGAAAGCAGATGCTTTTTATGTTCTTGGTTTTCAGTTTTGCGAAGAACTACAAAGGACTGGATTTTTCTTTCTACACTCTCTTTTTATCTGACTCCCCCTTTTGCCGCCTTTAGGCGAGTGTAGAAATAATTAGTTTAGTTATATAAAACTGACTCAAAAGTTAATGCTTTCCAATTTAGATCACAAATATTAAGTGTAGGTTAAGAGGAAATAAAGCAGGAGGTGGGAGTGAGCAAAATGAATATCACTAGAATACTATCTTGGCTACCTATGGTGAGGTATCATTAGTGTGTAAGTGGTGCTGAAACCTTTATCCTTTGGCATAACTTTCCCTATCTATCTGTGCGCTGATAACACACAGCTCTACAGACTAGCTCGGATGTTTTGCCTTTCATTCAGTTTCACATCTCCAACTGCCTGCTCTTTTTGCTTATAATTATTCATTACATCCAAGGCAGACCTAACATCCCATCTTTTCCCCAAGTTCTAATCTCTTGAGAGAGTGGTGGTTTAAGTGTTGAACTAAGATTCTGGAGACCAAGGTTTAAATTTCTGCTCAGCCATGAAGACCCATTGGATGACCTTGGGAAAGTCATTCATCCTCAGGGGAAGGCAAAGGCAAATCCCCTGTGAACAAATCTTGCCAAGAAAACCCCAGAATAAGGTTGCTTTCGAGTCTCTATAAATGGTAAGGACCTGAAAGCATACAACAACCTCCTTGTTCTCTTTTCTTAACCTTTTTCTCTCTGTCAACTTGGGGAAAAATTCATATCCATGCCCTGCCTATTTCTTCCTTCGTCTTCTACAGCAGGGGTAGGGAATGTCCACCCCTGGGTGGTATAAAGACCACAAAGTCTGGCTCTGTGGCATCTGTCCCTCCCCCCCCCCTTGCTTTTGGGCAGGACAAACTGTAATCCGTTCTGAGGAGCAATCAACCTGCCTACCCCTTCTGTGACCTGCTACTCAGCTCTTCTGGGGATATGGCTGGAGGGAGGTGCACAGACCCAGCCGGAGGAGAACCTGTGGCCCGGACAAACTCCCAGTCAGCTAACCAGATACCTCCTTGCTTCTTGCACTCTCCCTTCCTTCCAGTTGGCCATGCTCCCTTTCCATCTAAGTTGCAAGAAGTTGGAGGAGCTTCCAAGGCTGTGCTCGCCGTCCAGGCCCACCTAGGTACTCCCCTCCTCCCATGAGTCGAGCCCAGCTTCTCTCCCCTTCCAGTGGTTTCAAACTCAAACTTGTGTACTTTCAGGAGTTTTGGATTTCACCTCCCATATCCTTTCCATTGAACAAGCTGGCTGGAGCTTCTGGGAGTTGGAGGCCCAAACATCTGGAGGACCACAAGTTTGCCACCTCTGTCTTAGCCCCTCACCCTTCTCTCTGTCCATCTAGGATCTTCCCCTCTAATTTTGTATGGCTTGCAAATGATATTTTAAATATCTAATGACCCCTGGCAGAAAAAAGATTTTCCATTCTTGTTCTATAGCTATCTCCCTGCTCATTGTTGCTTTACTTTAATCAACTGGCCATTTTTCCAGCATTCAGTTGCCAAATTTTTTCACCTTTCTGGTTCTGTTTGTGTGCCTTTCTACTCCTTTAATCCGTTCAATGACTTTTTGAACATTCTTGGATCCTACATGCATTTTTTAACCTTCTGTATTCTCCATTCCTCACCCCCATCTTATCTCTCTGTACTTGTAAGACCAGTAAATCTTTCTTTGACTTTTGTTCACTTAGCTCCATCACTCTCAGCTATGCACAAGCGTTTGTTTCTGAAAACCATTTTGCTCATTGTCTCTTGCTGTTTCGAATACCTGTAACCTTAATATGCCTACCTTCTTAATTTTGTTAAATGTTTCTGCTCAAAATCTTTCTGTCAGAAGCCCTTTCTGTCATCCCTTAAATACAAAGATAGGGAATTCCTTTGGCATTTAAATTCATGGTCTTAGAAGTCACATTCCAGCAGTGGTTGGAGTGAAATGTATTGAGTTGAATCCAAAACGTTGTTGCTAGAGTAAAACCAAACTAGCTGGGAAATATATTCCAATATTTCCACCAAACATTCAAAGGAGCTCAATTCCATAATGGCTGCTCAGAAGTTAATCCCACTGTGCTAGCATTCCTGCCTACAAGTCACAGTACATTTCCATTCAACAGCTTTTCTGCTTATAAAGCTTAGTAGAATTCTCTAAGATTTAAATATTCTCTTATCTCTGATCAGAGATAAAAGTAGAAGGTAGAACTCCTGGGCTGGAAGTTTCATATTCCTACCTTGTTCCTGTACTTACTGAAATTAACTGAAAGCATATGTATATAATGTACAACATATTCTTCCTGTGCTTACACGTTCTTTTCTTCATATTAAATATGCATTTTTAGGATAATTCCTGCTTTTTAAAAATAAAATAAAAGAATTTAGATGGTGGTATATAAATATAGGATAGATGAAATGAATTAGCATCCACTCGGTTTTGTTTTTGTTTTTTTTACATTTCTATTTATCTTAGCATTGCATTGTTACTTGAATGCTTATGGCAAGAATGGAGTGGAGTTAGCCAGCTGGATTTGTCCCTCTTTCTATCCCTGATGCCTGGATTCCTAGACAAAATGAGCTAGACTAATGAGTCAGATTTGTCCTATGAGCTGTTTTTGTTCCTGATTTAAATAAAATACTGCTATAAATGGAGGTTTAGTGTATCTGCTTAATGATAATCATAGTAGGGTTGGTGATAGGTAGGGATGCATGGGTTATATGTAGGGTTTGCAGTGATGTTCAAGCTAAAACTAACCCTTTGATTGCTAGTAAGATGTAATTAGAAATACTGCTTCACCTTTTAGTCTGAAACACAGTGGTACAGACCTTGTGTTTCTCTAACTTTTTTGCATTTCTTTTAAAAACAAATAGCAGCATTGGTAAATCAGTTGTATGTCTATCTCATCACATTTGGTTTGATTCAGAAATTATTCCGAAGGCAAGATTGATTTATGAGCGACCTCTGAAGCATTTTTAATAAGTCCTACATAACAGCAGTAACTCCCATTAATCCACATGGAATCTATGTACCATTTGACACCAGAATGGTAGTGTTCTCAGATATATAGTGCAGCTGTGTTCTTTTGCAACTTTTTTATAAAACTACTTACACAAGGGTCTAATCTGTTATTACTGTTCTAGTGGGAATTCACATTCCTCTACCATTAAAGTTGGCCTGAAAATCTAACAAAGCAACAGAATCCAGCAGCATCTATGTTTGTTTTATTTTTAAAAATTGACTTACTCAAGTTTTCCATGACCATGTTCTCAGAGCATTTACAACATAAATTGATACACACGCACACATGACAGAAAAGCTTGTGGACAATTGACTAGAAATAGTATTGAGCCTAATAAATAGTTTTTTTTCCCTATTTGCAAGTTGTTGATAAAATGTAAATGTTCAAAATGATATGGCGGTTTAAATCATATTTAGAAGTGAGTGTGTTCTTTTCCTTCCTCTTTTGAACTTACCTAAAAGGTTAAAATAGCTGTGGGCTTGTTCTTTGTCCTTATATTATTGAACCCAAATATTAAAACACAGGAAGGCATGTAAGTTTAAATCTTCTGAAAACTACAGTAACTTATTTGGTTTCTCCATCACCTAGTTTTGCATGCATGTATTTCCTTGTACATTTTGCCTATTCAGACCTTAATGGACCATTGTAATACAATTTTGTTCCCCAGATTTTACCAGCCTTGTGCGTTCTCATATACCATACAGATATAAATGTAAGTAATTTTTTCTGAGTATTTTTCTTAGTATTTGAAGATATTTCCTGTTTATTTTACCTGAGTCACTGTATAAAAATACTTGCTTAGAGAAACGTACCATAATCCATCTTATTCTTTGCCTTTGTAAGAAAAAATATTTAAAATAGGAAATGGGTACCATGTTCAATCACATAGATTTACCATAATGGCTTAGTATATGCCTAATTTGAAATTTTGTGGAATGGCTTTTCGCATGTGGTGAATATTGAAAGGAAAAGATAAATATGGGTTGCTAAGCAGTTAGCTTGTGCCTAGGACAGTTCTTTCACAAAGTAGAGTAGCTGGTTCAGTATTCCCAATAGCAATCTCACTAGTCTCTAGTCGAGCTGCTTACATTACAGCTGCTTTTGAATTCTGAGATCCAAATGTTATTGCTATAACTCACTTACCCTCCCATAATGCAAATATCAATCCTTGTGTCATTGTTATTAGATACTGTGAGCAATTAGGGCTACATCACACAGTCCCACCTAAAAAAATTGCCCCTAGAGAGCTTTAGGGAGGTGTGTTTGCCACTTACCTCCTTTTCAGCACATGGGAGTTATCAAGGAGGAGCTGGATATCAGATTTTGTATATTGTTTAAGGAAGTAAAGTCACATAAAGATGAGAGTTTAATCCATTAACACTAATAGTATCCAGTGTAAGACTACACGGAGCCTCATTTTTAAATAAAATTCAACCAGTTAAAACTTTTGGAATGGGGTTAAAATAAGTTTAACTAAAATAACTTAAAATCAGTCTGGCAGAAAAATAAGATGATCGAACGGAACAAAACAAACTGGAATTATGAATTGTGTTATTCTATGAATGAATGAATGGTTTATTGTACCAGCAATAGGCCATGACATCAAATAATATACAACCTTTAAAAGTAAAATAAGCCCTTTCTGATATTAAAACTTACTCTATATACTGGCTCCTTAAAATTACAGTAGCAGTGACATGTTAACAATAACGATGTCTGATTTGTATCATCCCAAACTATTTCCATTTCTATCCTCTGCTGTGAACTTTACTAATTTAGCTTGGATTTGTTTGGGCTGTGACAGCAAATGTGGCAACCTTTAATGTTTATTTTTGGAATAATCAGCTAGCAAGTCATAGATAACTGTTATTATAGAACTGTGTAATTCTTTGAACAAATATGCCTTGAATTTCCTTTGACACTATAGTGATATTTCTTGTGAGGCATGATCTAATTTATTCGAACACAAACATACATGATGTTATGGTGCTTCCACTGTCCTGGTTACTTTGCTGTTTAATATTACAGGATTGAGTTACAGTGCTTTTATATAGCCACCTGCTTCTAAATTGGAAAACCTACTTCTGCTCATATGACTAGTCAGTTGGCTGCTTCTAGAATTCATAATTCAGTTTCAGGGATAAAATTTGGAGCTAAATAAGATTCTAGGAGAACAATTTTGTCTTTAGAGGACAGTTAACAATCTTTTCTGGAATTTCCTTTGTATGTTACTCGAAATTTGCCAGCATAATATAATTAGTTGATACTATTACTAAATCTAATCTGTCTTGCACTATTATTTAGATTGTTTTGAGATGTAGGAAGTACACTGGAAATGCTAGAAAACTTTTTCAGAGCATGTTAGAAATTTTTATCTAACAATATTAACCTTACTCAAATGTTTACCACTGGCTTATATTTAAACATGAAGTGTCTCTCTTCTGTAGATTCTTGTGGACACAGTTTGGGCCTTGTCCTACCTAACGGATGGTGGCAATGAACAAATTCAGATGGTGATAGATTCAGGAGTTGTACCTTTTTTAGTTCCCCTTCTGAGCCATCAGGAGGTTAAAGTTCAGGTAACTTTTTTATTCTATTATATTGCATCGTAGCCGAACTTGAAGCACTAGGCTTCAACCCAATCCATTGTATTATTTCATTAGCTTTGGTACTCGGCAATCTCATTAGAGGATGTGGGAAACTACAACTCCCATCCTCATCTGTCATTGTCTCCAAACTTTGCCATGGTGGGCATCTGTGATTGCTCCCAAACAGCACCAGCGGTTATAGTTGGCCAGGATGGGTACATGTGCTAAGTTTGGTCCAGATCCATTGTCGATGGGATTCAGAATGCTCTGATTGTGGGTGATCTACAACTCCCAACCTCCCAACTCAATCCCCTAAAACCCTACTAGCACTTAAAGTTGGTCATGAGAGGGGTGTCTGTCTGTGTGCCAAGTTTGGCCCAGATCCATCGTCGGTAGAGGTCACAGGGCTCTCTCAATATGGGTGCCATCTTGAAAATCGCAGATACATGCCTACAAATATACACACATATTTTCACTGTTATTATATAGAAATAAATAGATATATAGATAAATATGGAAAGATTTTGGGCCACAAAACATGATGGTTCTAAGTTTAGCACCACATACATTATCCAGTTATTAACAATTGATATACTCATAGTAGCATCTTTTAATTAAGTTAAAAAAAATTCACGATAGATGAAAGTTGTTTTGAAAGGTTATATTCAGCTTTTAAATAACTATCCCTCATTTATTTATTTATTTATTTATTATGTTTCTGCCACGCTCTATCTCTCTCTGAAGGGGACTCAGAGCAGCTTGTAGTTTAAGCATTTCAATGCTACATTGCAAATACAAACATACACACACATCACATTAAGCAGTAAAAACAGATAAAACATATAAATACAATTAAAATTGTTAAGACATAGCCCTAGTCCTGTAGTCGTCATTTGTGTTTCTACAATTTAGACTGACTGTAATAAATTTCATGAACTTAATGTGTCAGTCATTTTCAGGCTGATTGGTGTTTGTGTCTCTTTCAGTGAAAGAGAGGAGTAAACCATACAGGTTATTCTTGTGATATACTGTAGCTATTTTTTCAGACTTGCAACTGAGATCTTTAGGTCCAGGTTATTTGGCTGACCACATACCCTTGTACGAACCTGCCTGGTCCCTGAGATCTTTAGGCGAGGCCCTTCTCTCTTGGTCCTACCTCAGTCCCACTTCCATCTCAAGCTTGGTTGGTGGGAACAAGATCGCGGGCCTTCCTTCTCGGTGGCTGCCCCTCAACTGGAACTCCCTTCTTCTCAGAGAAGCCAGAATGGCCCCCTCCCTCCTGTCCTTCTTGGGGCGGGCTAAACGCTATTTATTGAGACAGGCTTTTAAAGATGAAGGCGTTTGAGATCTGGTCGGGGTGTTCTGTGGTTTTGTGTGCTTTTATGGTTTTAACGTGAATTGTTTTTAACAATTGATGATGTTTAATACTGTTTTAATATTTGTATATTTGAAGTTGTATTGCAGTGCCTCTAATTGTGAGCCGCTTTGAGTCTCTGTATGGAGAGAAAAAGTGGATATAAGTGAACATTATTATTATTATTATTATTTACTTTATAAATTTCTCTCTGTTAAGCTTGTTCTTCTATGCTTTCTATATGTAAGAAATGGAACCATACATATAGCTTGCTACTCCTCTATATTATTTAATCAACTTGGCATATAAAGAATTTCTTTTTTCACTTTTAGCAGGTAGTCTCATCTGGTCTATTATTCATGTTCCACTAATTTTAAAAAAATGGTATGCTGTATTGTGTAAAAACTACTGATCGGGAAACTGAAACTGAGGCATGTGTAATTAGTTGCATCATTTAAATATGTAAATTTCACATTTATTCTTGTCTCAGAATCAGTCCTACATATAAATTAGTTCTAGGAATCATATGTAGACTCTTTAAAAGCAATCAATTGTATCACTGCTTAAACCATAGACTGCAGCTCTGAGAGCAGTTGGCAACATCGTGACTGGTACAGATGAGCAGACGCAAGTCGTTCTCAACTGTGATGTCTTATCTCATTTCCCGAATCTTCTGACCCATCCGAAAGAAAAGATAAATAAGGTGAGTGAAAGCCTTCTGTAAATTTTACATTTTGATGTGAATTCGGTTGCTGTCTTTGGGTCAAATAAATGATAAGAGAAATAAATTTTGTTTCAAAAAGAATGCAATAAGTTCATTTGGCAAGCACCCCCCCTAAACCCCCCCCCCCAAAAAAAACAACAACAACAGTATATAGGGAAACTTCCTGGCTGATAACAACTAGCAAGAAAGGATTGACTGATTGGGTACAGATAATAATTAATGCTTCTTTATGAGAGCAGTCATTCAGAATGGCTATTTCTTTTGAAAAATTATTTTCACTCTGTAATAATTATTGGCTAGTGATTAGTATCCCACATGTGGCAACGTGCACAGGTATGTGAAACCTACATAATTTTGGAGTCTCTTGGATGACTATCTGGGACTTTTCAAATTAAGATTCTGAACTTGCTTTAAAAGGAAATTGCCTTGATCACCAGGAGAGAGACAAGTAGCAGTGCGACTTTTACTATTTTGGGCTTTGTGGGACCTTTTGATATCATCTGGAGCAGTCACCGCCTAAACTGACAGCATGAATCCGAAGCCAGATTAGTGGATCTAATCCCATTTGAAATGGCCAAGAGTAATACTCGGGATACTAAAATTTTGAGCGCTTGCAGAATTTCATCATGTTCCCACGCTGCTTAATAATTCTGCCAAAAGAGAGAAAACAGTATGGATGAACATTACACCTTCAGTTCCCATTGGCCAAAACCTTCCAAACCATATGTCAAGAGAAATGGGACTTACTGGAAAAAGTTGTACAAAGATTTGGTGTATTGAGGCCAGTATTACTTTTTTAATCTAAATTTCACAGTGCAGTAAATGAACTTTGTTTTTTTTTTGTTTTTTAAAAATTATTATATTATACACACGCAAAGAAATACGATCATTTAATTGGGGTTTTCATGGAAAGTGGGAGAACACTAAGTTTATAGGAAAGTAGGAAAATATATAAAAATAAATGGGAATAGAAAAAAGGAAAAAAAGAAGAAAAGAGAAAAAAAGGAAAAAAATGACATACAAAAATACCTAAAGAAAAATAAAATAAATAAATAAGAGATTTAAAAAATCCTTTGATTTCCATTCTGTGTCTTCCCCTATATTATGTAATTACTTGTTTAAACTATATCTCATCTCGCTCTATTAACTCCTTTTTAATCATAGATAGTGAAAGGACAGAGATAAATGTATTAAAGATAAAAGAAACATAGATTAAAAAAAACACGCAAAAACATGTTGCTAGACACTGTCTCTCTGTCTCTTCTCTTTCACATATTTCTCAAAGGGTGACCAATCTGTCACCCTTTGAGAATACCTCGGGCTTTCCAAGCTATTCTTCAAAAAAAAAAAAGTTAGTTTGTCCATGTCTCTAATTTCTTGTATTTTATTTATCCAGTCGTCTATTTCCGGAATTTTGTCTAAGTTTCGCATATGATATTCTTGCTGCGGTTAAGATGTAGATGAATGAAATACCTTTATTTTGGTCCAAAGTTAGATTTGAGTCAGTAATATTTAATAAGTAATACTCTGTTTTTCTTGGGAATAATATTCCCATTATTTTTTGGGATTCCTCAAATGAACTTTGTTTAATCATCTTCCTAATTGAGACAGATGACGGCCACGGAAATTGAAACTGGAATCCAGTAGTCGGGGTTGGTGCTTCTCAAGTCTTGTTTCAGATTAGATTTCATTAGCTCTGAATCATCACATTCACGTTGAGGGAGTACTCCTTGATTCAGCTTTGTTATCTGACTCAGACATCTTCAGTGAAATGAAGTGGTTTTAATTATTTGAAGTTGCCATGCCAACCAACTACAACCACATCTTGAGAGGGATAATTAGGCCGCCCTGAGTCCCCCCTCGGGGGTGAGAAGGGTGGGGTATAAATATAGGAAATGAATAAATAAAATAGTGATTCATGCCTCCTAAGTTTAAACAGGCATGCGTCTGTCAAAGCTGAAAAGTTGTTAATTGTTTTTAAATAATTATAATTTATATGAGCAAATAGATAAATGATCAGAAAAGGGTTTTTCATGTGCACAGTATTACAGCTATGCTGAGAAAGAGATCACTACATGAACTCTGTAGGGCAGCCACCTGGTCTCGGGACACATTACTGCTGTTGATGTTGTTGGCATGATGTCACCCAGCACCAGTGAATTAACTTGTTGTTAGCTACAGAAACCACTAAGAGCAGGTTGCTTGGCTCTAATTGTGGATCTTTAAATTGTCATCTGTTAATCCATACAACCCTCCCTCCTCTCTATTTGCATATTTTCACTGATATTTTGCAGTTAAGACTGGAATAGTGAGAATAGTTTTGGCAGTCTCACATACCCACAGTGGAATGGGGAATAGGAGTAGACACACAGCTCTATTACTACTTTCCACCTAATTCCAAGGAAGTGGTTCCAGTATTACACTGGTACCTGGCAGCTATATTGGACTGGATGAGGGCAAACAAATTGAAGCTTAATCCAGAAAAGAAAAAGGTGCTCCCGATCAGTCAAAATACAGAATAGGGATTCAGTCTGTGTTATATGGGGTCCCACTCCCCCTGAAAATGCAGGTTTGCAGTCTAGGAGTGCTCCTGAATTCGGCTCTGAACTTGGAGGCCCAGGTATCAGCAGTGAGCAGGAGTACCTTTGCACAGTTAAAGCCCATTCCTGGAGAAGTCGGATCTGCCCATGGTGGTTAAAACTGGTTGGATTACTATAATATGCTCTATGTGGCACTGCCTTTGAAAAGTGGTTCAAAGAGCAGCAGCCAGGCTTCTTACTGGGGCTGGCTACCAAGAGCATACAGTTCCCCTGTTGCAACTGCTTCGTTGGCTGCCAGTATGTTTCTGCACACAATTAAGAGTGCTTTTTTTGATCTACAAAGCCCTATATGGCTCCGGTCTAGGTTATCTGAAGGACCGTATCTCTCTCTATGAATATGGTAGACATCTACGATCATCTCTCTGTCCCACCATTCACTCAAGCGTGTTTGGTGGAAACATGGGAGAGGGCCTTTTCAGTGGCTGCTCCCAGACTATGAAAATCCCTCCCAAGAGAGTCCAGGGGTGCCCCATTCCTGCTGGCCTTTCACTGGCAAGTAAAAACCTTCTTCTGCCAGCAGGCATTTGGGGAAGGATGAGGAGCATGCCCTGGGGAGGTGTGGATGGGATGGGGCAGGTGTGCGTGTGTGTGTTTTAAAATGTATTTTAATTGTATTTATCATGTTTTAGATATAGTTTTAGCCAGACACACAGTATCATTTAATTGTGTTGTCAAAGGCTTTCGTGACCGAATCACTGGGTTGCTGTGAGTTTTCTGGGCTGTGTGGCCATGTTTCCAAAACATTCCGTCCTGACGTTTTGCCCACATCTATGGCAGGCATCCTCTGAAGTTGTGACCCCACAACCTCTGAGGATGCCTGCCATAGATGTGAGTGAAACGTCGGAAGGGAATGCTTCTGGAACATGGAAAACTCATCGCAACCTACAATTTAATTGTTTTTAATGCTTATATTCACTTTGTTTTAAATGAATCAAAGTGTGATTGTAATATGCCGTGAGTCCCCTCAGGGATAAAGGCGGGTATAAATAAAGATGATGATGATGATAATAATAATAATAATAATAATAATAATAATAATAATAATAATAATAATAATCGTGATGAACAATATTTGTTTGATTTCAGGAAGCAGTTTGGTTCCTTTCTAACATCACTGCAGGAAATCAGCAACAAGTTCAAGCTGTAATAGATGCTGGACTTATCCCAATGATCATTCACCAGCTGGCTAAGGTCAGAAATTCTAAGATTGCTGATTTTGCATGTTTTTGCTATGCTAATATACAATTATATCCACTAGTTTGGTTGTTTTATTCATCCAAATATCTTTTATATCCTTTAGGGGGATTTTGGAACACAAAAAGAAGCTGCTTGGGCAATAAGCAACTTAACAATAAGTGGTAGGAAAGACCAGGTGTGTGTATTTATTAAATACCACAGTAAAACATTTCGAAGGATCTAAAGAAAAACACAATGTAATTCTCAATATTTCTTGCTGCTATTCAGGTTGAATACCTTGTGCAGCAGAATGTAATCCCACCATTCTGTAACTTACTGTCAGTCAAAGATTCTCAAGTGGTGCAAGTGGTTCTGGACGGGCTGAAAAACATTCTAATAATGGCTGGCGATGAAGCAAGCACAATAGCAGAAATTATAGAGGAATGTGGAGGTAAGATGCGTTTGATCAGACGTAACATACATGAGGTTTTTACCATAATCAAACCTATACACTATATAAGGCTCAAAATATTACATTTTATAATGTTTAGTGTGTTGTCATTTTAATTGGATACATCAAAACATAATAGGTAAGCCAAACAAGTGGATGGTGGCCAAGATGGCCAAGCAGGTAGATGATGGCCAAACGTAATCATTGGAGGGTATCCTCCTGCCCTGCCAGGCCATCCCTTCCTTCTTATTTCTGCCTTTGAAATATGTTCAGCAAAAATAATCCTTAAAAGAAGTTTTACCCTGCACGTCTTTCAGGGGAACAGACAAAACCTTTGTGACACACTGACCTATCTCCTCAATATATAAAGGTCTTCTGCAATATATAGAATACATGCTGGGATTATTGAACTGGTTCTGTTTGTACTTTTACAGTATTCTATTATCATTGAACATTTTTTATTGATATTTATTTCATCTAACAGTTGGAATCCTTTAATATTTTCAAATAATAAAAATATTAGTGTAACTTCTGATTGCGACAACTTTTTGAGAGAATTTAATTCATTTAGAGTACAGTTCTAGGGAATAATAAAATGTAGTTCTGAGAAAACTTGCATTTGATTTTGATGTTATTCCTGATGAATGTGTGAGTAACACATTATGATGGTATTTAACTTGAGACCTCATATGCCACTTTGATAACATAAAGCCCAGGACCTAGATTTTATATTATGCACTTATTTTGCATTTTTCTTTTGCTGAATTTTATAGGTCCTGGCACACTAATTTGTTTCAAGCTATCAGGGCCGTAGCCAAAAAAAAATTCGGGAGGGGTTGAAATTTTTGGGGGGGGGTTGAAAATTTTGCGGGGGGGGGGGGTTGAAACCTGCCTCCTAGCTCACGCTGAAGCAAAGAGCACAGCAGGGGGCAGAGCAGCCTTCAATAGCCTGCAGCTCCGCCCCTGTCAACCACCTCCACCAAGTCTGGCCTCCTTAATGAGAGCATTCAACACACACACACCCAACTTGGTTGCTTCGCTACATCGGCTATTGCTGCAAGTAATGACAGTGTGAATAAATTGTCAATATTTGCTTGAGATAGTGCTTGCAGTTCTGGAGGGACTCTTAATTTTTTGCATCTCATAGACTTAGCATGGGGATTTGGTTAACCAGTTAAAATTCATGAGTAAACCATGAATTCGGGGGGGGGGGGGGGTTGAACCCCTAAAAAAAACCCTCGCTACAGGCCTGCAAGCTATTTGTCTTAAAGCATGAAAGCTTATAATGGTGACTAAACTTTATTTCTCTTGCCATTCTTCAATTAGGTTTAGAAAAAATAGAAGCATTGCAACAACATGAAAATGAAGACATTTATAAGCTAGCATTTGAAATAATCGATCAGTATTTCTCTGGTGATGATGTAAGTACCCTGACTTTTAAACTATAATACAGGTTTAGCATCCTTTATTTAGAATTTTGAAACTAAAATACAATGATACATTGACTTAGAGAGTTTAATTTGTTCTGTGACTGAGCTCTTAACTGAAACTGCTCTTATCTTAAAGCAAATTTCCCGTTGAAATGCTATTAATCCATTCTGCCACCCCCCAAAAACCACCCCAATTTTAATGTATTTTAAAATAAGAAAAATGTGCTTTATAAATAACAAATAATGTATAAAATGTACTTTTAAGAAAACAAAAATAATTACCCTTCCAAACCAGAATTTCATTGGCTTTTTTCAATTTATATTAAAGTCATTTCCTCTGATTTGCTTAAATTATCTTATTGCCTTTAATTGTGTTTATTATTTTAGGGCTTCATTACTTTGGGGTTTCAGTTTTTTTAATTACTAGTTTATACTATGTAGTTATACTGCGTAGTTGCTTTTGATTCCGTTTTATGTAGATATCATATAGGTTGCCTTGGGTTGCTTATGGAAGGGCTGTTGAAGGTGGGGGTGAGGAAGCCACCATTGTAGGGCCTCCTCAATTTAGGAGTTTTTCTCCATTTCTATCATTTAGCCCCTCTTGCCTTTGCTTTTTGGACCACTTTCTCACCCCCCCCCCCCATGGTTTTATTTGGGATAGCAGATGGCGACTACTGGATGGTATATGTTCTGTATCAGAAAATAGAGCTGATGTGGTCTATCCAATGCAATTTCCGAATCAGCACCCCAGATAAGCATTTCAGATCAAGGGTACTCGGTTTGTAGTAATCAATGAGTGTTTTGTAGCCCAAACTAAGGGCCACATGTGTCCTTCCCTCGCTGATGTCCACCATGGGATACTGGTGCTGTAGGCTATATCTTAGGGGAAGAAATGAGCAGAAATGTCTCTGAGTATTCCTTGTCTAAGAAAACTCTATGCAATTTATGGGGTTTCCATAAATTGAAGGCACGCACATGCATGCACAGGTATATACATACACTCATACAGGGTGCCTCCAATTTTCTGAGGAAAGTAGCTTACTCTAGAAGGCCCATATTGCATCTCTAGAGCATTCATATTGATATTCTTGCAGGCTAATTCAGATCCAGGAGACACCTTTTTCCAACATGAAATGATTCAAAGGTCAACTTTCAAATCATCTCATGTTGAAAGTTGGACTACAAAACAAGGGGCTTACCCAAGAGAAGGCCAAAAATATGGTGAAATTGCCCCCACAGTCATTGGTTGGGGGCGGGGGAGAGAGATTTTTTCCAGTGAGTTGGCCCACTGGAAAACAGTAAGGAGTATGGACCTTTCCTCTCCAGCAGTTATCTATATCCCTGTCAAATGCTTTGTAGAACTAGCTTTGTGCCCATCTTTAGTGTGAATTTCATTTCAGCATAACATCTAGCAAGGCCTAATCTTTTTATCATCCAAGCCTTTGTGATTTCCTTACTGCTTCTTGTGATGTATATGGGCAAGAAAATAAGCATCCAGTTGGCCGTTTGTTTAAAGGTTTCTTACTTTCACGTCTGCTTTCTTCCTTGCTTTTCTGCTTTTTATCCCAGTTTATTAAAAACATTACCAATTGTGCAAACTTCACAAAGCCAACATCCTTAGCAAAACAGAAGAAAAGTATCATTATAGTTTTCAAACATTTTCAAGGTGGTTTCAGGACATTGCTTCTATGCATTAATTTCAAGCCAAACAGCTATAGCATTCAGCTTTTTCCAAAGTTGGATGGAATGCTCATTCTTTAAGGCAGTGGTTCCCAACCTGTGGTCTGTGGAGCACCAGTGGTCTGTAAGAACTAAAATATGGTCTGCGGCCTCACAGTTACTACACCGTTGCAACGAGAGCGACTGGTCATGTGAAATCCTTATAGTGCCAAGGCTTATTAAGTATGGTTTTATTTGGGATAGCAGATGGCGACTGCTGGATGGTATATGTTCTGTATCAGAAAATAGAGCTGATGTGGTCTATCCAATGCAATTTCTGAATCAGCACCCCAGATAACCAAACCTAATCTAAAGTTGACCAAAAACTGATTTGTAACCCTTTTGGTACTAATGTTGGAGAGTGGTTCTTGGTCAGAGTAGTCCTTGGTCAAAAAAAGGTTGAGAACTACTGCTTTAAAGTATTCTCACTTGTACAGTGAAAAACAGCAATTAACTTCGATACATTTTCGTTGTCTTTGTAGATTGATGAAGACCCCAGCCTCATTCCTGAAGCAACACAAGGAGGTACTTACAATTTTGATCCGACGGCCAATCTTCAAACAAAAGAATTTAATTTTTAAGCTCAGTACAACACAGCTTGTCTATACCACACCAGTAAAATATACCACCAGATGATGTCTCCTATTGGAAAAAAACTGGCTCCAAGCATATGCCTCTTTGTCTGATGCTTCTAAAGCAAGTCGTACATCAGTCACTTTGAATTTGCCAAAAGTAACTACCACATGGACTGTAAATGCATATGCATGATGTCATAAACTGTTAAAAAATGAACAGTCCCTGCTCCCTTTCCTCTTTTCCCTTCTGCCCCCCTCTTTCTTCCTGATTCCACATGCTGGTGACTGCACTTGGCAGTTTTAAGAGTGTCCCTTTCTGGAGGCACATTGGCTTTTCACAGAAGAATAGCTTTCTTTGGAAAATAGTGGATCAAGACTCTTTAGTATGATGCTTACATTTTGGAAAACTTCTGAGAGAGGCCCTGTTTATTTTTATTTTTATTTCAGGCCTCTGCGGTTGTCCTCTACAAACGTATTTTCATATATTTAATGTGGAAGTATAAATAATGAAAATGCAACTCACAATATTTTCATTGGTGAAACTGAAATTGACAAAACAAACTTCTTTAAAAGAACTTGGTAATTGATCCATTTAAAAACAGACTCCATGTATCAGTAATTGTGTTCATTACTGCCTTAGAAGCTTGGGTTTGAAGAATGAACTTTGTACTCGGACTAGTAAAACATTATACCTAATTTTTGAGAACAACAAGCTGCACTTGACCACCCTTCAGCCTGTGTGTTCCTGCCATTTTTGAAATAATGAAATGCTGTGCATGGTATTTTACCTGAGCTACAACCTGTTATGGACTTGAAAATGTTATTATAAGTTGAAAGCAAGAGTCCTGCATTAAAGAAGCAACACTATCCTAAATGAGCATTGGTTTGACAAGAATCTTGCTTTCATCTTTCAGTAGTCAGTATATTTTTGGTTAAATTTATAACTGAATAATGTTGATTTATATTGGTTTAAACTGTGGAGCTTTCTTGTTTACTGTAATTTAGTCTTAAACTATTTTTTTACTGACCAGTGCTTATGATGATGTGGTTGACAACAAATTAGCAACTATTTTAGAAGCATCATAAAAGCTTCATTCTTGGAGTAATGAAAAAATAATAATAGAAAATAGTCTATAAGCCTATTCATATAGTTTAAAATACTTACTAGCTGTGTGAGTTTTGTGAAAGCTGCTACTGTTCAGCATAAGCATAATATGCAGCTCACAAGGAACAAATTTGTATAAGCTGGTAACTTGGAAGTCGTGGGGAAGCTGTCCAGCCTGGCTTTTCAGATGCTTTGGGATTGCTGTTGGTAATCATGAGATTTGAACTATGTAAACTGTCAAACAAACTGATATTGTTGCTGTTGTTCACTGGATGTACTTCCCAATGCCTTGATGTGAAGGGATACAAAAAAAACGTAAAACTAATGTAGTTATTGGATGTGGATTGTATTTACTGTGATGAAGATAAGGATTGATGCCATCAAAGCTTTGTTGATCAGCTGTTTTTCCACTAATAAGCAAGACATTGCAGGTGTTCATTCATTAAATATATCTGCCAAGGTGGAGCCACTTTAAAGAGTGAGTTGCCTTGTATCTTGAGAGATACAAGTATATGTTTTAAACTGCAAGATTTTTACTTGCTAGATAATCCATTTTAATACAGTGGTTTGGCCTCTATTTATAGGTTTTATAAATTTTAAAATCAATTTCTCTTTAAGGTGGCTCAGACTTTTCAACTCTTGTGCACATAAAATTGAGTTGAAATTCATTGTGCCTTTTTTTCTTTATCCAGACATTAATTTGACAACTATATCCTATTAACGCATTATAGTCTAAAATCTTGAAGTTGTGGTGTTTTTGTTTTTTTTGCTAAGAACTGGACAAAACCAAACCAAAATTAATTTGGTCATAGTTTTTTGAATTCCAAAGCAAACATGCGTTTGATGATATGAACAAATACCTTTCATTTTTAGACAGTATGCCCATGTTCTCTGTTGTAGATACATATGATTGAAAAAATTTCACTACTGTGAAGACCGATTATTTTTCTTGCACTCAATTAAAGATAGGAAAACAGATTTAAAGCAGTACCTTTGATTTCTCTCGGTTCTGTCACCTTATCCGCTTATTATCAAGATTCAAACATTTTGTAGTTGATAAAGGAAACCAAGGTTTGGATCCAAAGATTCTTCTGCCAAGAGCAGGCGTGGCGTGTGGTTTTGCTGAAGGAATTGCTGATTCCCCTTGCGCACCGTCTGGGGCTACACAAAAGGGGTGCCAGAGGGGCTGGAGACCCTCCAAAGCAGTCCTTCAGAGGCCACAGAGGGTTACAAAAGGAGGGGGGAATGGGCATTGTCTCTTCTGACCCGCATGCGGATCTTTGTATCCAAACCCAAAAAGAAACTGCTGCACTTTTAAGTTTTCAGGTGTTTTGAAATTGCATTGTGTTCATTTTTTTAAAAAACCTTTCAGTTAATTAAATTCTTCCTTCAAAAGAGGCATCTAAATGTGTTCCTAATTTTGTATATGGGCTTAGGTTTTATAATCAATAAAAAAGCTGCTATCAAATATTACCACCATGCAGGACCTTATTTTGAGGGGGGAAACTGTTTAAATCTCGGAGGGATGTCAAGTTCTCTTTGTTCCGTATGGAGTCAATGAATCACACATGTAAGTATCATACACATGATACTTACATGTGTGAACATCCTGCGGCTCCTCCATGATGACATGATGGCAACAGTTTTGGACAGCAATGGCTCCCAAAGTGACCCATTTAAGGTGGAATCCGGTGTCAAACAGGAACTTGATTCTCCATCTTCATCACTATGATACTTCACCTTGTTGATGGGAAGCTTCCCACCGGAATGGAAATCATCTATCGGACAGATGGCAAGCTATTCAACCTCAGCAGACTGAAAGCCAAAACCAAGGTTACAACAACATCTGTTATAGAACTCCAGTATGCTGATGACAACGTCGTCTGTGCACATTCAGAAGATCTACAAGCCACTCTAAACACCTTTGCAGAAGCATACGAGAAGCTCGGCCTGTCATTGAACATCAAAAAAACCAAGGTGCTGATCCAGCAGACACCAGCCAACCCCTCTCCAATGCCAGCGATACAGCTTAAAGGTGTAACATTAGAAAATGTTGATCATTTCCGCTACCTTGGCAGCCACCTCTCCACCAAAGTCAACATCGACACCGAAATACAACACTGCCTGAGCTCTGGAAGTGCAGCATTTTTCCGAATGAAACAGAGAGTGTTTGAGGACCGGGACATCCGTATGGATACCAAGTTGCTTGTTTATAGAGCTATTGTCCTCCCAACCCTGCTATATGCCTGAGAGACGTGGACTGTCTACAGACGTCACATGCAACTCCTGGAACGAGTCCATCGAGGGATTGCCTAAGTAAGTAAGTAAAGTATCATACACATGCAAACGTTCTGTTTGGGAGTGTTTCAAAACTGCCCAAACATTACTCTTCCCACTATAATACAATCCCAGGCCCCATCTACACTACCATGTGAAATCCAGATTATCTGCTGTGAACTGGATTATATGGCAGTGTAGACTTATATAATCCAGTTCAAACCAGATATTGTGGATTATTTGCCTTGATATTCTGGGTTATATGTCTGTGTGGAAGGGCCCTAAAATAATCCAGTTCAAATCAGATAATGTGGATTTTCTGCTTTGATAACCAGGATTAACTGGCAGTATAGAAGGGTGGGTTCTAACTGTTCCTGCTCAGTCCCTTTTTACTGCCAAACTGGTGACATCTGTTTTTCTTTATATAAATAAAAGTGTAATGATCGTTTGTGGGATTAAAAGAACTCAAAAACCACTGGACAAATTGACACCAAATTTGGACACAAGACACCTAACAACCCAATGTATGTCCTTCACTAAAAAAAAAAAGGAAAAAAAAAGATTTTGTCATTTGGGAGTTGTAGTTGCTGGGATTTATAGTTAACCTACAATCAAAGAGCATTCGGAACCCCACCAATGATGGAATTGAACCAGACTTGGCACACAGTTCTCCCATGACCAACAGAAAATACTGGAAGGGTTTGGTGGGCAGTGTCCTTTGGTTTTGGAGTTGTAGTTCACCTACATCCAGGGATCACTGTGGACTCAAACAAGGATGGATCTGGATCAAACTCTACACGAATACTCAATATGCCCAAATGTGAACACTGGTGGAGTTTGGGGAAAATAGAATCTTGACATTTGGGAGTTGTAGTTGCTGGAGCATTCTGAACCCCAGCAATGACCAATTCCGGGCACCACAATTGAAGGGAGATGTTGACAAATTGGAATGTGTCCAGAGGAAGATGACTAAAATGATCAAGGGTCTGGAGAACAAGCCCTATAACAGTGGTTCTCAACTTGTGGGTCCCCAGATGTTTTGGCCTACAACTCCCAGTAATCCCAACCAGTTTACCAGCTGTTAGGATTTCTGGGAGCTGAAGATCTGGGGACTCACAGGTTGAGAACCACTGCCATATAAGGAGGGGCTTAAAGAGCTGGGCATGTTTAACTTGCAGAAGAGAAGGCTGAGAGGAGATAGATAAGATGGCCATGTGTAAATATGTCAGGGGAAGTCATAGGGAGGAGGGAGCAAGCTTGTTTTCTGCTGCCCTGGAGACTTGGATGCAATACTATTTCTTCAAACTATAGGAAAGGAGATTCCACCTGAACATTAGAAAGAACTTCCTGACTGTGAGAGCTGTTCAGCAGTGGAACTCTCTGCCCCGGAGTGTGGTGGAGGCTCCTTCTTTGGAGGCTTTCAAACAGAGACTGGATGGCCATCTGTTGGTGATTTTTTGAATGCGATTTTCTTGCTTCTTGGCAGGGGGTTGGACTGGATGGCCCATAAGGTCTCTTCCAATTCTATGATTCTTGCCAGGTGAAGGTTACAAAGATGAAGCTTAGCCTTACTAACTTGCAAATTCTTCTCCAGTGCTTTAGCTGGCAGACCCATCATCAAAGACCAAATTGGCTCACTCTTCCTCAGTGTACTTTGCGGACCCAACAGAAATATTTTTCCTACCTCAGGAGCTGGGTACATCATCTAACGGAGACACGTGTTGGTGCCCTTGCCATCAGTTACTCCTTGGCCTCTTCACCATTATTTGAATCAAGCCAAATATATGCAGGACTCTCTGTACAAGACCTATGTACTGAATCCGCCTTTTGGTATGAGTGGTCCATTGAATGACTACAACATGGCCAGTGGCATCAGAACCAAAGCAATGGAAGAAGTTGGAGCCTAAATTGGATCCTTCCTGTAGTGAGTGTACTTCTATCAACTCCAAAGTGTTTACTGTGTACATGATCGATAGCTCTTCCATCCTTTTATGGAGTTCCCCCTTGCTATTCTAGAGAAAAATGTCTCGTAGAAAGTTAGACTCAGGGATAGTTTACTGTGAGTGTTCCGGGCTGTGTGGCCATGTTCCAGAAGCATTCTCTCCTGACGTTTCACCCACATCTATGGCAGGCATCCTCAGAGGTTGTGAGGTCTGTTGGAAACTAGGCAAGTGGGTTTTATATATCTCTGGAATGTCCAGGGTGGGAGAAAGATAGATGATAGATGAGATGGGCTGCATGGCCATGTTCCAGAAGCATTCTCTCCTGACGTTTCATCCACATCTATGGCAGGCATCCTTAGAGGTTGTGAGGTCTGTTGGAAACTAGGCGAGGTTTATATATCTGTGGAATAATGTCCAGGATGGAAGAAAGAACTCTTGTGAATGTTGCAATTTATCCCCTTGATTAGCATTGAGCTTGGCTGATCGCTGCCCAGGGGAATCCTTTGTTGGGAGGTGTTAGCTGGCCCTGATTGATTCTTGTCTGGATTTCCCATTTTTGGGTGTTATTTTTTATTTACTATCCTGATTTTAGAGGTTTTTTTAAAAAAATATTGGTAGCCAGATTGTGTTGATTTTCATGGTTTTCCTCCTTGCTGTTGAAATTGTCCACATGCTTGTGGATTTCAATGGCTTCTCTGTGTAGCCAGGGATAGATCTTGGCCCTCCAAAGTGACGTTCCAAATATATAGCAGGGAACATATCAAATCCCATCTCTTGGACTTTGAGGACATGATCTTTTATTCCCAGGAAGAGGCAGATGCCTGCGGATATGAGTCTATAATAGAAGGAGAGCCTTTGAGTCCGGAGAACAAGCCCCATGAGGAGCGGCTTAAAGAGCTGGGCATGTTTAGTCTGAAGAAGAGGAGGGTGAGAGGAGATATGATAGTCATGTATAAATACATAAGAGGAAGTCAATAGGAGCATCAATAGGAGCATAGTATCTAGGGAAGTCATGCTACTCCTCTATTCTGCCTTGGTTAGACCACACCTGGAATATTGTGTCCAATTCTGGGCACCACAATTGAAGAGAAATCTTGACAAGCTGGAATGTGTCCAGAGGAGGGCGACTAAAACGATCAAGGGCCTGGAGAACTTTGAGTCTGGGGAACAATCTCTATGAGGAGCGGCTTAAAGAACTGGGTATGTTTAGCCTGCAGAACAGAAAGCTGAGAGGAGACATGATAGCCATGTATAACTACGTGAGAGGAAGTCACAGGGAAGAGGGAGAAAGCTTGTTTTCTGCTGTTTTTTGGAAGCTTTTAAACGGGCTGGATGGCCACCTGTCAGGGGTGATTTGAATGCAATATTCCTGCTTCTTGGCGGGGGTTGGACTGGATGGCCCATGAGGTCTCTTCCAACTTTTTGATTCAATGATTCTATGCTGCCCTGGAGACCAGGACGTGGAACAATGGCCTCAAACTACAAGAAAGGAGATTCCACCTGAACATGAGGAAGAACTTCCTGACTATGAGAACTGTTCAGCAGTGGAACTCTCTGCCTCCAAGTGTGGTGGAGGCTTCTTCTTTGGAAGCTTTTAAAGAGGCTGGATGGCCATTTGTCAGGGTGCTTTGAATGCAATATTCCTGCTTCTTGGCAGGGGGTTGGTCTGGATGGCCCATGAGGTCTCTTTCAACTCTAGGATTCTATGATTCCATCTGAACATTAGGAAGGACTTCCTGACTGTGAGAGCCGTTCAGCAGTGGAACCCTCTGCCCCGGAGTGTGGTAGAGGCTCCTTCTTTGGAAGCTTTTAAACAGAAGCTGGATGGCCATCTGTTGGGGGTGTATTGAATGCAATTTTCCTGCTTCTTGGCAGGGGGTTGGACTGGATGGCCCATGAGGTCTCTTCCAACTCTAGGATTCTATGATTCCTCCTGCTGCAATAGTGTGGAACAGGAATGCCACCGAGTTTGTTTCTTTTTCTCTGCAGGGGCCACTTCCTCGAAGGCCCCGCCCCTCCTCGGGGTCGCCTAGCAACGGAGCCCGCCCCTTTCCTCCCTCCCTCCCTCCCTCCCTTCCGGAGACATGTCGCCAGGCGATGCCGGAGAAGCAGCGATGGCGGCCTCCCTGTTGGCGTGCGGGGCCCTGGTGGCGCTGAGCTGGGTGCTGGGTGGGCGCCTAGGCCGGCAATGCGGTGCCTCCCGCCCGGATCAATGGCTGCTCCGCTGGCTCTGCTGGGACGCCCTTGTCCACGCCGTCCTGGTGAGAGAGAGCGAGAGAGGGAACGAAGGAGGGGCCGGACTTCAGCTCCCAGCATGCCCGGCCATGCGCCAAGGCAGCGGAGGCTTCTGGGAGTTGGAGTCCAAAACTCCCCCAAGGCCCTGCTCTTTCTCTATAGGTGATTCTTCTCCTCTATGATAAATTTGGGCCCTATCCTAGAGTTGGAAGAGACCTCGTGGGCCATCCAGACCAACCCTCTGCCATGCAGGAAAAGCACTCCTGGCAGATGGTCATCTGTGATCAGAGGGGACCCCCCCCCCCCCAAGATAGTTCAAAATCATAGTTTTGCCAAGGACATCAGGCTGGAATGATCCCATAATCCCCTATCTCTCACCCATATAGGCTTTTTCCATGGCCCCACATGGCAATGCCCCTGTAACCCAAACTAGCATCTGACCAATTTGGCTATTATTTATTAATTGGATTCCTTTTTATGAATGAAACTCCTGTTTTTGTGAATAGACTCAGAGTACGTGCTGCTAGGGTAGAGTTTCTCAACCTGGGGGTTAGAGACCCTAAATTGGGTCTTTTTAGGTCCACGTCGCGGGAGCACGAAAGGATGGAGATAGTCCCAAAAAAAAAGATCAAAAAACAAGGTTTATTTTAGTTTCTTCATGAAGAAGACAGACAGCCGGGTAGCATGCACAGATGCTATCCTTCAAGTGGCTGCCATGCCCCCCTTGGCTTTTGACCACCAAATATATAACCTCAAGTAAACAAGAACATTTTTTGTCATGGAAAGTACTCTCTTTCCAGCCCCCTCTCTTGACCTTTTGATGGAAAGTACCTTCTTGTTCTTCGCTTCAAAAAACAACCTTTTAAGTTAACCACAAGCATCCTGTGTAAGAAAGTTCCTCTTGTACTCAAAAACATTTTCTTCCGTATTGCTCTTTTTAAATCAGAGAAAGGGTATGTTTCTCTTTTGCTGTTAATTTCATTCAAAGCCCCTTACTCAGAGACCCTTGAGGCCTCCTTCAATGAGGGTTCTGTGTGGGAAGTTTGGCCCAATTCTATCGTTGGTAAGGTTCAGAATGCTCTTTGATTGTAGGTGAACTATAAATCCCAGTAACTACAACTCCCAAAATGTCAAGGTCTATTTTCCCCAAACTCCATCAGTGTTCACATTTGGGCATCTTGAGTATTCATGCCAAGTTTGGTCCAGATCCATCATTGTTTGAGTCCACAGTCCTCTCTATATGTAGGTGAACTACAAGTCCAAAACTCAAGGTCAGTGCCCACCAAACCCTTCCAGTATTTTCTGTTGGTCATGGGAGTTCTGTGTGCCAAGTTTGACTCAATTCCATAGTTGGTGGAGTTCAGAATGCTCTTTGATTGTAGGTGAACTATAAATCCCAGCAACTACAACTCCCACAGGACAAAACCAATACCCTCCCCCAATCCCACCAGTATTCAAATTTGGGTGTATCGGGTATTTGTGCCAAATTTGGTCCAGTGTATGAAAATACGTTCTGCATATCAGATATTTACATGACTATTCATAACAGCAGCAAAATGACAGATATGAAGTAGCAACAAAACTAATTTTATGGTTGGGGTTCGCCATAACACGAGGAAGTGTATTAAGCTTGGGCATAAGGAAGCTTGGGAACCACTAGGGCCTTCTATACACCCCTCTTATGAACTCTTATGGACTTTCCATTAACTTTATAGGAACTTGTATAAACTCTTGCCAAACTTTTTGAACTTTTATGGACTTTGGGGGGGGTGACTTCCCCTTAGACCCTGCATGATTCCCCCTCTTCCTATGAACTCTCAGTATGCTCCCCTGCCCCATTCCTTATTCCCTATATGTATGTATGCCTATATGAAAAATATGAAGGAAAGCAGCCTGTTTAATAAAAGCCAGCAACTCATGGGTCTTGGAGTTTCCAAAACTTCCTGAGCCAATAATTCTCTAACAAAGCATTTCACCGAGCTCCGAGAATTACTTGGGAAGGAATCCCACTGGAGCATTGCAGCGCACCCAAATACCTGGGAATCACTCTGGACCGTGCTCTTACCTACAAGAAGCACTGCCTGAACATCAAGCAAAAAGTGGGTGCTAGAAACAATATCATACGAAAGCTGACTGGCACAACCTGGGGTTCACAACCAGATACAGTGAAGACATCTGCCCTTGCACTGTGCTACTCCGCTGCTGAGTATGCATGCCCAGTGTGGAACACATCTCACCACACTAAAACAGTGGATGTGGCTCTTAATGAGACATGCCGCATTATCACAGGGTGTCTGCGCCCTACACCCCTGGAGAAATTACACTGTCTATCCTGGACCGTGGACCTACAAGAAGCACTGCCTGAATATCAAACAAAAAGTGGACGCTAGAAACAATATCATACGAAAGCTGACTGGCACAACTTGGGGATCACAACCAGACACAGTGAAGACAAAGGCTGGATGGCCATCTGTTGGGGATGCTTTGAACGCGATTTTCCTGCTTCTTGGCAGGGGGTTGGACTGGATGGCCCACAAGGTCTCTTCCAACTCTAGGATTCTGTGACCCACAGGTTGAGAACCACTGCCATAGAATGATCCTCAATTTAGCCATCGGTCATATCAAAATCCATAATTTTGGCCCCCAAACTTGCCCACAGCTTATACATGAAGTCACCGTATATGTGACCCTATACCAGGGGTCCTCAAACTTTTAAAACAGAGTGCCAGATCACAGTCCCTCAAACTGTTGGAAGGCCGGCTTATAATTTGAAAAAAAATGAATGAATTCCTATGCCCACTGCACATATCTTATTTGTAGTTCAAAAAACACTTAAAAACAATACAACAATTAAAATGAAGAACAATTTAAACAAATATAAACTTATTAGTATTTTAATGTAAAGTGTGGGCCTGCTTTTGGCTGATGAGATAGGATTGGTGTTGTTGTTGTTGTTGTTGTGTGCTTTCAAGTCATTTCAGATTTAGGTTGACCCTGAGCGAGGGCTGGATAAATGACCGTGGAGGGCCAGATCCAGCCCCAGGGCCATAGTTTGGGGACTCTTGCCCTATACAGTAATATTGCAGGGGCTGCAAATAACTTTCATCCCCCCCCCCCCCCCATCCTTTCATTTTTATTGAGCAATAGGAGATAAAGAAGAAACGGGTATACCTGGGAATGTGATATTTTTATCTGAGGAAGTGTGAAAGAGCAAAAATGGATGCACACTGAGAAATGGATGAACCTCTCCCATAAGGAAATGTGATGCTCTCCATTTCCCCATATCTGTCTTGTGCAAACATGTCATTAGTAAGTAACATTCTATGGATTATTTGCTTTTCACCCACAGGAAGGTTCGTTCGTGTACCTGTCTCTGGGGGGAAGTGTTGCAAAATCAGACAGTGTAATTGCCTCATTATGTAAGTATATCATATACATAAAAGAAACTCTTATGGAAATCTGTTATAATATTCTTCATTTCTTCTACAATTCATTAGTGCTTTTTTAAAAAAGCATTTTGTTGTGTTTTTTTAATTAAATTTGTAAAATATTATTTTTTTCCAGCAGTATTAAGCACATTAGCAGAAAATGTGGCTTCAGCAACATCTCCAAGGCCCCTTCTACACTGTTATATTATTGTTTATTTATTTATTTGTATACCGCCTTTCTCAGCCTAATCTAGATTATCAAATATGGATTAATCCAGATTATCAAATCAGATAATCCACAATATCTGCTTTGAACTGGATTATATGAGTCTATACTGTCAGATAATCCGGTTCAAAGCAGATAATCTGGATTTTATATGGCAGTGCAGGTGGAGCCCAAGCTATTATTAAATCTTAACCTTTATGTCTTATCATCTTAACTAATTAATAATCTAATTAATGAGGGCAACATTTTTCAAGTCTAATAACACTATGTAACATGATTTTTGTTCCTGGGTTATAAATGTCACTTCCTAATAGGATCTCTCATATAAAACATGGAGCTGCATAAACTTTGCTTTTGTGGGACCTTCTGCAGCACGTTTTGCTATAGTTGTTCAATGAATATCTCATAGAGTTACAACCAATTCAACCTAGTTTGTAGCAGCCAGAAAAACAAAGTTTCTGGAGTATAACAATTACTTTCAAAGTCAGTACTGTACAATTAAACAGGAATAATACTTTCAAACCAGGAACAGAACATTTTTCAAATTTTGTTATATAATGTAATTAAGGAATAATAGCACATCATATACTCTAGTCTTATTGTTTTTAATAGGGTGACTCATTACCTTATTAAACATAATTGTAGTGAAGGCGTCTCCAATGTGAAAAAAGTTTACCTTCCAGCACATACGTAATGGTAATCTCAAATACCTGCGGCTAATTAAGATTCCACTGATTCCATCACTAATTGCTTATTTTCATGTTTACCTTTTTAATATTCGCTATACTACAATTAATGCCTGCATTTTATCTATATAAATTAGCATTTTTTTTTGGTTCTAGCCTAAATGCTCTAAAGCATTTTTTTGACCAGGGACCACTTTGATTTTTTGTTGTTGTTGTTATCAGGAACCACGAGGTTCAAGAATAATATTTATTTATTTATTTCGCGTATTTCTACCCCAGCCTTCTCAACCCCCGAGGGGGGACTCAATTCGATGCCAACAACAAACAATAAGATGAAACGTGTATCAATAGCAATTATAAACAATTAAAACAAGCAAATTATATATCACAATCAATCAATAAATGGTGTTCATCTAAAAATAAACATTAATCCAAGCTTTTAACATATTCACTAAACTTAATAGTTACATGAATTAAGAGTACTATTATAATATGAAAAAGAACATTTTAAATAGAAAATTAAATTTGGTTTGCATCAGTGTGATTTTTTGAGCTTGCGTCTTCTTTACAAGTTGTTAATCGTGGGCCTAATATTGCTCGAGGAAGCAGGAAGGAGGGAGAAAGGAAGGAGGAGGAAGGGGATGAAGAAAAGACCAAGGAAAGAGAGAGGGAGAGAAGCAAGAAGAGATGGAAGGACTGGAGGAAGAGAATGAAGAAAGGAAGGAAGTGGGGAAGAATGTGGGAGAGGAGGAAGGAAGAAAAGAAGGAAGGAGGGCCATCTGTCAGGGGTGCTTTGAATGCAATTTTCCTGCTTCTTGGCAGGGCGTTGGACTGGATGGCCCACGAGGTCTCTTCCAACTCTAGGATTCTATGATTCTATGAGGGGAGCAAGGAAGGAAGAAAAGAAGATGAAGGGATAGTACCAAGGGATGGAAGGAGGAAGGAAAAGATCAAGGAAGGAAGGAAGAAAAGAAAGAAGGAGGGAAGCAAGGAGGGATTCCAAGGAGTGGTGGGGGGGGGGGAGGATGGGGCCAAGGAAGGAAGGAGGGAGAGAACGAAGCAAGCAAGAAGGGCTGGAGGGAGAGAGGGAGGGAAAGAAAGATGGAAGAAGGGGAGGGCGGGAAGAAAATAAGGAGGGAGGGTAGGAAGGAAAGAATATAAAATCCACATTGAATGGATTGTATGGCAGTTTATATGGACTCCGATAACCCAGTTCAAACAGATGCCATAAAACTCTCCAGCAGCGTGCAAAAGAATGAGGAAGTACTCCATCGATGTCACAAATGGATGGCGAAGCGACAGCTCCCCGGTGGCCAGAATTCAAAAAGCATACCCTCATGAAACTGGAAAGTTAAATAGCCCTGTGTGTCTGTCTATATATGTTGTGTGTCTATGGCATTGAATGTTTGCCATGTATATGTGCATTGTGATCTGCCCTGAGTCCCCTGCGGGGTGAGAAGGGCGGAATATAAATAAATAAATTAATAATAATAATAATAATAATAATAATATATTATTGATATTCTGGGTTATATGGTTGTGTGTAAGGGCCCTCTCTCTCGCTCCTCCCCCTCCCTCTCTCCCTCTCTCCCTGTTCCTACCTGGGGATAAATCAAATGTTAGTCCCACCTTAAAGGGTTGCATTGAGAGATGAAGTTTACAGAATTGGTGGCTAGTAAGTCCTGTCATGGGATTCACTGCTGGGACCAACATTGGTCCTAACCCCTAGTTTTTAATGTATGCTATTTCAGTATTTATATAGCATAAGTCAATGGTATATTTAATTTTCTACAGGGAAGGAATATGGCAAAGCAGATGCAAGGTGGCTACACTCCGATCCCACTATTGTCTCAGTGGAGATACTAACTGTTTTTCTGGATGGGCTTTTAGCATTGATTCTCATTTATGCTATTCTCAAACAGAAGCATTACCGGTGAGTATTTGTAAAGAAATGAAAACAATTTGCTGCAATAAAACACACGCTTCTTTGATAGATTTCCTGAATACATCCAGGTAGTAACATTACGAATTCAGATGATATCAAAAGATATTATTTCGTTTCAGGATACAAATAGCAGGAGAAGTGATGGTCTTTAACTGTAATTTTATATTGTTGCATATTCATATGTTTTATGTAATTAAGATGTTGTTTATTGTTTGTGTTTTCGGTTTGCGTTCGGTCATTCTTTATTGTAATTGTTGTTTGGGCTTGGCCCCATGTAAGCCACTCTGAGTCCCCATTGGGGAGATGGTCGCGGGATACAAATAAAGTTTATTATTATTATTATTATTATTATTATTATTATTATTAAGAATTAATAGTGGCTCATTCTCCTGCTAGAACTTTTTTTAAAATGGTCATTACAAACCTTTAATTCAGTGAAGATCACACTGCAGAATGTATTATGCTTCTGCATGAACTATTGCATTCCCTTTGATCAGGCATGGGCAAACTTCAGCCCTCCAGGTGTTTTGGACTTCAACTCCCAGAATTCCTAACAGTCGGTAGGCTGTTGGAATTGTGGGAGTTAAAGCTCAAAACCTGGAGGGCTGAAGTTTGTCCATGCCTGCTTTAGATGTTGTGTTTACATTGGGAAGCCATCATCCTCTCTCCAGGTGCACAGGCCGGGAAACATGCTCCCTCCTCTCCTGATCAGTCTGAAGTGGTGATTGGCTGCACTTTGGAAACTTTCTAAAAAGAATCACTTCATTGTAAATCTAGACATCACAGCGTGTCCTCATTTTCCTTCTTATAGTACTCTTCCATATATTTTTTCACATTATGTCTGTTATTTTTCTTTAGTGATTTCATGCTGCTCTGTAAAATAAACTCTCAAAATATTTGGTTTTGGTTCTCATCTATATAAATAAAAATGTAATGTTTGTTTGTGGGATTAACATAACTCAAAAACCACATGGCAAATTGACACCAAATTTGGACAGTATACACCAACAACCCAATGTATGTCCTTCACTCAAAAAAAAATTAATTTGTCATTTGGAGTTGTAGTTGCTGGGATTTATAGTTCACCTACAATCAAAGAGCATTCTGAACTCCCACCAACGATGGAATTGAACCAAACTTGGCACACAGTTCTCCCATGACCAACAGAAAATACTGGAAGGGTTTGGTAGGCAGTGTCCTTTGGTTTTGGAGTTGTAGTTCACCTACATCCAGAGATCACTGTGGACTCAAAAATGATGGATCTGGACCAAACTCTACACGAATACTCAATATGTCCAAATGTAAATACTGGTAGAGTTTCGGGAAAATAGAATCTTGACAATTGGGAGTTGTAGTTGCTGGGATTTATAGTTCACCTACAATCACAGAGCATTCTGAACCCCACCAACGATGGAATTGGGCCAAACCTCCCACACTGAACCCCCATGTGGGCCACAGCAATGTGTGGCAGGGGACGGCTAGTATCTATATAAATAAAAATGTAATGTTCGTTTGTGGGATTAACATAACTCAAAACATAACGAATTGACACCAAATTTGGACACAATATACCTATCAGGCCAACGAGTGACCATCACTCATAAAAACACTAAAAAACATAGCGGAAGAGACTTAAAAAGCCCCCAAAAATAAAAATAAATACATTACAACGCATGGGTAAAACCACATATATAAATGCAAACACACATATATAAACATATACACAAATATATACGCACACATATACACACACACAAAACACATATACACAGACTGGGCCACAGCAACGTGTGGTAGGGGACGGTTAGTTAATAATAAAGGACAGATAGCTTGATAAGCTCATAAACAGGCTATTTAAACAGTGGATGCAACAATGTATGTGTATCTTACAATTTTATTTTTATTGCAGACACTTTGTGCAGATTACGCTTTGTGTTTGTGAATTATATGGAGGATGGATGACCTTTTGTCCAGAGTGGCTCACAGGGAGTCCCAACCTGAACACCAGTTCCTGGATGTATCTGTGGGTCTATTTAGGTTTTTTTAATGGCTTATGGGTGATTATCCCCATAGGTCTACTGATACAGTCTTGGGTAGCCCTCAGAAAAATGCATGATGAACGATCTAATCGGAAAAAATACAAATAATGACATTATAATTGCCAATTCAAATTAACTGTGGCTTGACCTTGAATCTCGCCAATATAGAAAGCTACTTCTAGGAGCAGAAGAGCAAAATTAAAAGTTGATTTTTTTAGATGAAGACCACAAGGCATCTGATAATTTTCCTACCCCTGATCAAAAAATAAAATGAGAATGAATATTAATAAAACAATTATAATACGTAGTTTATAAAGACTTTTCAGTGACTCTGCTGCCAGTAATGAAAGGACCAAGGCATTGACATCTCTGACCCATCCTCTGTTTGGATATCAGCCAGCAAAATCAAGAAATAGTTTTCTGAGTTCTACAGAGATACTTGCAGGAACACCTCAGCAAGCTAGAGTCCAATAGTGGCAGACTAAAACCTGGAACCTCAATCAGAAGCTGAGACCAGATGAGAGACTCCCTCCTGTGCACACAGAAGAGTGAATGACCTGGAAGGTACTGAACAGAGTGCACTCTGGCACCACAAGATGCAGACCCAATCTTAAGAAATGGGACTACTAGGTGGAGTCCGCGACATGTGAGTGTGGAGAAAAGCAAACCACAGACCACTTACTAGAATGCAGCCTGAGTCCCGCCACATGCACAATGGAGGACCTTCTCACAGCGACACCAGAGGCACTCAAAGTGGGCAACTTCTGGTCAAAGGAAATTTAGTACAGTGCCAAGTTTTATACTTTGTAGGTTTTTATATACATTATAACTATTTTCAATTAGTTTCTGACACAATAAATAAAATAAGTGACTCTGCAACCAGCTACTCGCAAATCACTGACCTGAATACAGCTAATGTTTACAGGAAATTTTAGGGCTCAAGAATAAAAAGTGCATTGTAAAAGTTTACTATTTATAACAAATGATTTTTATATAATTGTATTCTTTAATAACGAGTTTGTGGTGGGTAGGGTTTTGTGTTTTTTAACTTCTGTCTTTGCATTAAAAACCATTTGTGATTATCTACCTGTGCATATTTGTTTTCATACAATTTCTGTCCTAATTCAACCTTTAATTCTCCAGTTATTCTTCAACTGCACTTCCTATTATCCTTCTGCACCAGCTGTGCTGATAAGTTTTATGGCAGTCTGGAGCCTCACTATACTTGCAGGAACACGTCAGCAAGCTAGAGTCCAATAATGGCAGGTGAAAACCCAGAGCCTCAATGAGGGACGTCCTCCCTGCCTTTGCTTTAAGCCTTCCTTGTGAGATTCTCACCTTCTCTCATCATTAGCTATGGTGCCAGCAGATGATAGTTGTGGTCCCACAGCACAGTTTGGCCCAGTTTTGTTTCAGATGTACCTTAAAACAACAGACTCCAATAGACAGACAAAATTATTTTTATTTATTTCCTATATTTATAGCCCGCCCTTCTCCCCCGGAAAGGGGACTCAGGACAGCCTAACAAAAGCATCATATGATGCTAGCATCATAAAAACAACCACAGTACAATCAAAATATTAAAAATTAAAACAATTAATTAAGATACATCTATTAAAATCAAAATCCAAAAACCAGTCCGGGTCAATTTATTGCCATAAGTTGTGTGATCTTCTTCCACTTGCTTCTCACTGATCAAACGTTTAGCATTCAATGGCTTGGAAGTGCCTGGGGGAATCTCTTGTTGAGAGTGATTTTATGTGCACAGCAAAACAACAGAGGGGAAACAAACAGGCACATAAAATCACTCTCAACAAGAGATTCCCCCCAGGCACTTCTAAGCCATTGAATGCTAATCAAGGTGATCAGCTGAAACATTCACACCTAGCCCCAGCAGACAAAAGTCCTTTGTCTCACCCTGGTCATTCCACAGATATATTAACCCTTATTCGTTCAGCCATCTCCGACTCTTCGTGACCTCATGGACCATCCCACGCCAGAGCTCCCTGTCGGTGGTCACCATCCCCAGCTCCTTCAAGGTCAGTCCAGTCACTTCAAGGATGCCATCCATCCATCTTGCCCTTGGTCGGCCCCTCTTCCTTTTGCCTTCCATTTTCCCCAGCATAATTGTCCTCTCTAGGCTTTGCTGTCTCCTCATGATGTGGCCAAAGTACTTCAACTTTGTCTCTAGTATCTTTCCCTCCAGTGAGCAGTCGGGCTTTATTTCCTGGAGGATGGACAGGTTGGATCTTCTCGCAGTCCAAGGCACTCTCAGAACTTTCCTCCAACACCACAGCTCAAAAGCATCAATCTTCCTTCACTCAGCCTTCCCTAAGGTCCAGCTCTCACATCCGTAGGTGACTACAGGGAATACCATGGCTTTGACTAGGCGGATCTTTGTTGCCAGTGTGATGTCTCTACTCTTCACTATTTTATCGAGATTGGACATTGCTCTCCTCCCAAGAAGTAAGCGTCTTCTGATTTCCTGGCCCAGTCTGCATCTGCAGTCATCTTTGCGCCTAGAAATACAAAGTCTGTCACGGCCTCCACATTTTCTCCCTCTATTTTCCAGTTGTCAATCATTCTTGTTGCCATAATCTTGGTTTTTTTTTTATGTTTAGCTGCAGCCCAGCTTTTGCGCTTTCTTCTTTCGCCTTGATTAGAAGGCTCCTCAGCTCCTCCTCGCTTTCGGCCATCAGAGTGGTGTCATCTGCATATCTGAGGTTGTTAATGTTTCTTCCAGCAATTTTCACCCCAGCTTTGCATTCATCCAGCCCCGCACATCGCATGATGTGTTCTGCATACAAGTTAAAAAGGTTGGGTGAGAGTCTGCAGCCTTGCCGTACGCCTTTCCCAATCTTGAACCAGTCTGTTGTTCCGTGGTCAGTTCTGACTGTTGCTACTTGGTCCTTGTACAGATTCCTCAGGAGACTGTGGCCAGGAAATCAGAAGACGCTTACTTCTTGGGAGGGGAGCAATGTCCAGTCTCGATAAAATAGTAAAGAGTAGAGACATCAGACTGGCAACAAAGATCCGCCTAGTCAAAGCCATGGTATTCCCTGTAGTAACCTACGGATGTGAGAGCTGGATCTTAGGGAAGGCTGAGCGAAGGAAGATAGATGCTTTTGAGCTGTGGTGTTGGAGGAAAGTTCTGAGAGTGCCTTGGACTGCGAGAAGATCCAACCAGTCCATCCTCCAGGAAATAAAGCTTGACTGCTCATTGGAGGGAAGGATACTAGAGACAAAGTTGAAGTACTTTGGCCACATCATGAGGAGACAGCAAAGCCTAGAGAAGACAATTATGCTGGGGAAAGTGGAAGGCAAAAAGAGGGGCCGACCAAGGGCAAGATGGATGGATGGCATCCTTGAAGTGACTGGACTGACCTTGAAGGAGCTGGGGGTGGTGACGGCCGACAGGGAGCTCTGGCGTGGGTCACGAAGAGTCGGAGATGACTGAACGAATGAACAACAAATTTTCCAGTTGTCAATCATTCTTGTTGCCATAATCTTGTTTTTTTTTTATGTTTAGCTGCAACTGTGGGAGCAGTTGACTGAATATACTGTGCAGGAAGAAGCTACTGGAAAGCACTGAAGTTGTGCAACTGATCTGCTGCTGAATTGTGAGATAAAGCGCGACAATTCTGAACCCTACCAATGACAGAATTGGGCCAAACCTCCCACACAGAACCCTCATGACCACCAGAGTGGGCCACAGCAACGCGTGGCAGGGGATGGCTAGTAAATAAATAAACCAAATAAAAAACCTGGCATTTTTTTCTAATAGTGTTACTAATTAACTAAATGATATTACCTAACACCCCAAAACAAACAATGCCTTTTTAAAAATAATCCAAGATAGCATAATAATAAAGGAATGGTGAGATTGGAAGTCCAAAACACCTGGAGGGCTGTGGTTTGCCCATGCCTAACCTAGGTGCTCTAGGCTACATTTTAGAGGGAGCAGGAAGCCCTCCCTCCCGCGCGCCCCAGCCAATCCGAGAAGAGCGCGGGCAGCACGCGCCTCGCGGGGTGAGGGCTTAAGGAGGCTGTCCTTACTGCGCCTGCGCTCAGAGGAGGTTGGGTCCTATCTTCTTGAAGGCGATGCTGTGGCGCTTCCTCTGAGGAAGAGAAAGAAGACGCGGGTGAAGGGGGTGAGTCCCTTCCCTTTCCTTCTCCTCTTGCGGGGTTTGTACCTGCCTTGCAGGCCAAAGAAGCCTCTGCACAAGGGGATGGGGGAGTGCCCGCATGTCTGCGTGCGTTTGTGGAGATGGTTGAGGCCTGGAGTGCAGTGGTGCATGAGAAGGTAGGCCTGGCTTGGGCATGGCTTGTGAATCAGTGAGCCTGGGACAGTCCTGTAGGGACCCTCCTCTCAGCCTGTTGCTGCTGCATTTATTTATTCCTCCTTTGAATAAAAGAGCTCCATTCAAGCCCTGGTTGAGATGCCCAAAAATAATTTGCACTGGAATGCGAACTCTTTGTCTCCTTCATTCTAGACAGAAGTATACTTGACATACTTTCCCCCGTGACAGATTATTATTATAATAGTTATTTATACCCCTTTTTATCTCCTCTGAGGGGGACTCAAAGTGGCTTAAGAAGAAGGAGAACTTTGTATTTTCTAAGGCTTTCATGGCCGAAATCACTGGGTTGTTGTAGGTTTTTTCGGGCTATATGGCCATGTTCTAGAGGCATTCTCTCCTTGCGTTTTTGCCTGCATCTATGGCAAGCATCCTCAAGATATGAGGTCTGTTGGAAGTAAGGAAAATCAGTGTTATTAAATTTATTATTTATTTATTTATTTACTTTGCTTATATACCGCTGTATCTCAAGCCCGAAGGCGACTCACAGCGGTTCACAAACAGTAAAAAACAGTAGAAACAGCAGTGGTTCCATACAACATATAACAATTGACTTAACACATTATCCATAAATTACCAATAAGCAATTACAATGCACAATTATTACAAAAAACAACTGTACCCAATCTTCTCATCATCCAAGCATAGTCCAGGTTCGTCGTCCATTGTTCCATTCCTATGTTCCATTACCAGATTGCACTAAATTACTCAAACGCCTGCACAAACATCCAGGTCTTCACCTTTTTGCGGAATACCATTAGAGATGGTGCTAGTCTAATGTCCGTAGGAAGGGCGTTCCACAGCCGAGGAGCCACCACCGAGAAGGCCCTATCTCTCGTCCCCGCCAGCCGTGCTTGAGAAGCAGGCGGGATCGAGAGCAGGGCCTCCCCGGAAGATCTCAAAGTCCTGGTGGGTTCATAGGCCGAGATGCGGTCGGATAGGTAGCTTGGGCCGGAACCGTTTAGGGCTTTATAGGCCAATGCCAACACCTTGAATTGAGCCCGGTAGCAAATCGGCAGCCAATGGAGCTGGCGCAACAGGGGGGTTGTGTGCTCCCTGCGCTCCGCTCCTGTTAGAATCATGGCTGCCGCACGTTGGACTAATTGAAGCTTCCGGGCCGTCTTCAAGGGCAGCCCCACGTAGAGAGCGTTGCAGTAGTCTAGGCAGGATGTGACAAGAGCGTGGACTGTGTTGTCTTCTCTGTGTAGTCTGACATGGTGGTTGTGAGAGTGGTCCAGCATTTCTGTGTTCTCAAATAATATGCTGTGTCCAGGCTGGTTCATCAGGTGCTCTGCTATGGCTGACTTCTCTGGTTGAAGTAGTCTGCAGTGCCTTTCATGTTCCTTGATGCGCGTCTGGGCGCTGCGTTTGGTGGTCCCTATGTAGACTTGTCCACAGCTGCATGGAATACGGTAGACTCCTGCAAGTGAGAGGATCCCTCTTGTCCTTTGCTGAACGTAGCATTTGTTGGATTTTCTTGGTGGGTCTGTAGAATTGAATAGCAGAGCACCTGATGAACCAACCTGGACACAGCATATTATTTGAGAACACAGATGTGCTGGACCACTCTCACAAAACCACTATGTCACTACACAGAGAAGCCATTGAAATCCACAAGCATGTGGACAATTTCAACAGAAAGGAAGAAACCATGAAAATGAACAAAATCTGGCTACCAGTATTAAAAAAAACTCTAAAATTAAAACAGCAAAACAGCAGAGGGAAAACAATCAGGGACATCTAATCGCCTCTCAACAAAAGATTCCCTCAGGCACTTCCAAGCCATTAAATGCTAATCAAGGTGGTCAGTTGAAACATTCACACCTAGCTCCAGCAGACAAAAGTCCTTTGTCCCACCCTGGTCATTCCACAGATATATAAACCCATTTTCCTACTTCCAACAGACCTCACTACCTCTGAGGATGCTTGCCATAGATGCAGGCGAAACGTCAAGAGAAAATGCCTCCAGAACATGGCCATATAGCCCGGAAAAAACTACAACAACCCAGAGTTCTTCTTCTTAAGCCACTTTGAGTCCCCCTCGGGAGATAAAAAGGGGTATAAATAACTATAATAATAATAATTATTATTATTATAATCTGTCACGGGGGAAAGTATGCCAAGTATACTTCTGTCTAGAATGAAGGAGACAAAGAGTTTACATTCCAGTGCAAATTATTTTTGGGCATCTCAACCAGGGCTTGAATGGAGCTCTTTTATTCAAAGGAGGAATAAATAAATGCAGCAGCAGCAACAGGCTGAGAGGAGGATCCCTACAGGACTGTCCCAGGCTCACTGATTCACAAGCCATGCCCAAGCCAGGCCTACCTTCTCATGCACTTGTTTCTTTTCTCAAGCAAGCTTCCTTTCAACAGAAACAGGGTTTGTTTCATCTGTATGCACAAATGTACAGCTCACTGGGCAGGGATTCCAGTTTCAAGAAGGTACAAAGCTGTGAAAGGAGAGATCTGCATTCCTGTTGTGTGTTTTCTTGGTTGTGCTCTCAGACCTTGGCATCCTAGTGGCAAGGAAGGGATCAAAGGGGCCTCAAGGTTAATATGCTTACAGGCTGAGTGCAAGCTCTCCTTCTGCATTATTGGCGTGGGAATGTGCTGAGAAGCTAGGCGTTTGGGCCTCTGTAGAGCTTCAAGCATTCAGGAAATACCATTATGTGAGTCTCCCTTATTTTGCCTCTCCTCTGAAAAACATGTGCTCATTAGTACCCACTATTGTAGTCGTAAACAGTTATATGTTGTTGTTGTGTGGCCCCATGTCCTTCCCAACTAATGGATACCCAAGGGGGGAGGGGGAGGAGGATTTACTTTATTTGTATCCCACCTTTCTTCCCATAGGGACGCAAGGTAGCTAATATTGACATGACACAATACAATAGAATGAAAAAACAAGGCAACTATATAAAAATATAAAATAAAAAACCAAATTAAATATTTGCATCATGGGTGTAAAAATTAAAATGCAATTAAAATTGCATTTAAAAATAGGATGTACGTTTCACCTTGTTTTATTGGGATGGTTTGATCAGAAAGAGGTTGCTTTTGCCTTTCTCTGAGGCCGGGAGAGTGTGACTTGCCCAGGACCACCCAGTAGATCTCCATAGCTAAGTAGGGGTGTGATCTCTAGTAATCTAATGCTTTAACAACTATACCATGCTGGCTCCTGTTATTAATAAAGGAATTGATGGGAATTATTTCTATTATTAACAAAGAAATTGATGGGGATTATAAACCCTGTGCAGGCTGCTTGTTATATCAGTGGCTATTGCTGTTAAAATATTCCTTGACACACCCACCTCTGGGTTAATTGCATGTGATGGCATGATAACATTTTTCTGCGTGCCTGAAAGTCATATGTTTTCTGTGATAGTCAAAGAGTTCAATTTCTTTCAAAATAGTACAGTATTTAAAATATAATACTCTTAAAATTATATTTAAAAATATAATAAGGATTAAAAAATTAAATAAAAGAAAGAAGAAAAAATATAGAAAACTAAAATCCAAAAAAATTAAAATTAAAAATACAGATCAAATTAAAGAAGAAAAGGAAAAAGACAAATGACTTCTGATCTTCCTTTCTGTGGTTGTACAATATATGTGTATTGATATTTTTACCTCTCTCTTCAAAATTACAACATACAGTTGACCTTCTGTCTCCATGGGTTCAATATATTAAATATATCCGAAATGCAAAAAAAAAAAAAACAACCTTGGTTTTGCACTTTTACATAACTGACACCATTTTACTACGGCATTGAATATAATGGGGCTCTAGCATCGGCAGATTTTGGTATCCATGGGAACTGAATGCCAGCTAATACCAAGGCCTTGCTCTATTCAGTAGTCTTATTTCTAATCATGAGAACTAAACATTAACAACTAATTTTCCTTACATCTCCCCCCCCCTTTTTTTTTTTGCAAAAAAGTCTTCAAGAACTTTCTACATTTTGAGAAATGTTGCTAATGACCTTTCTCTAATTAAATTGGAATGATTGAATGAATTTTATTGTTTTGGTCACAGACCAAGAGTTAATTAAATCAGACAATGTTTCAATTTCTACTAAGTCCATAAGTTTCCACAACTATTCCATTATGCCCAGGATTATAACTTGTTCTTCTTTCATTTCAAATTCTATCATTCTATATTTTGGCAAAAACAACAACAACACTTTGTTTATATTCTGCCCTTCTCCTCAAGGGAACTCAGAGCGGATTACAGCAGATAAACAAACACAGGCAAACATTCAATGCCTTATTACAATGAAAAATAAATACATTTCCGGTGCTAGAGGCGGTGCTCATCTCCGGCTCTGGAAGAGGTGCTCTTTCTCCATTTCCAAGCCAAGAAGCCTGCATTAGTCGTAGACATCTCCTGGTCACGCGGCCGGCGTGACTGCTTTGAGCGTTTTTTTTGCCTTTTCCCGCTGAGGTGGTACTTATTGATCTACTCACATTTGCATGTTTTCAAACTGTTAGGTTGGCAGGAGATAGGGCGGATTCAAACTACCATATGTACACAGTTGTATTTTCAGTAAGCCATGTCCCACAAAAGGATTATTGAAATGTTCAATAGTACTACAATATCCATTCCATCCAAAACTCTTTGATAGACCTACCTCTCAGGTAATTGCATCTGTATTATGTAACTATCCAGACGTTATGTTACAAACAATTCTGCTTGCTTTCAAGTCATGACTTAACATTTTTCTGTAACTATCAAAGGTTTTTGTTAATATAAATAATAATTTTCCCCCAAAGGTTGAACTTCTAGCTTGGTTGTGGTAGGTAATTAAGGCAATAGCTTAATTCACTGTTTATTTTTATTTTACCCTGAAAGTTCTTTGTAAATTGAGATACATTTAATCAGACATAAACAGCTGCATTGGTGACAGGCATGCAAACTGTGTGATGAATTTCCTGCAGGTACAAGGCTGCAGAGGTTATATATCAGGTCAAGGGAATTGGGATAGACTCAGGACAGATGCTTTAAACCAGGGGTCCTCAAACTTTTACAGAGGGCCAGGTCACAGTCCCTCAAACTGTTGGGAGGGCTAGATTAAAATTTGAAAAGAAAAACATGAATGAATTCCTATGCACACTGCACATATCTTATTTGTAGTGCAAAAACTCTTTAAAGCAATACAATAATTAAAATGAAGAACCATTTTAACAAATATAAACTTATTAGTATTTCAATGGGAAATGTGGGCCTGCTTTTGGCTAATGAGATAGGATTGTTGTTGTTGTGTGCTTTCAAGTCGTTTCAGACTTAGGTTGACCCTGAGCGAGGGCCAGGTAAATGACCTTGGAGGGCCGTATCTGACCCCCGGGTGGTGCCAGTGTTGCTTTAGGTGGTGCCCTGCTTTAGGTGGTGCCAGTGTTGTGGGGAAGTGTAGAGGCTCTGAAAGCACATTTAGATTGAGAGATAGGACATTAAAAGTAACTTGTCCCGCAAAGATGGTTTTCTCCCTAGTGTTGCCAGTGTTGCATTCAGGACTGACAGGAGGGAGGAGTCTCAGTGTACAGTTGAAAGGAAGGCTCTTTATATTATTACACATATATTATTACACATATTATTAGACATGGATAATATTTTGGAAAAAGATTGAACTGTAGGGGAAAAAAGACAGATTCTTCCAGAACTAGACTTTAAATCAGTGGTTCTCAACCTATGGGTCCCCAGATGTTTTGGTCTTCAACTCCCAGAAATCCTAACAGCAGATAAAGAGACTGGGATTTTCGGAAGTTGTAGGGCAAAACACCTGGGGACCCACAGGTTGGGAACCACTGCTCTAAATGTTCAGTAACAAGATGATGGCAAGAGTAGCTTTTCAACCGAATCCTAGAGGCAAGGTGACTACGGCGTTTTTGGGGCTTCTGAGTCAAATACTGTAGAATATTTCAGGGGCATGAGAAGAAAATGGTTTAGGCCTGCCTAAATGAGGCTGGGGTAGAAAATAACTACAGTCTTATGCTCGTGCTAGGAACTTCTGGGCCAAAACACCGGGTTTGGTGTGCTTTCACTTTAACAGGAAACGTAATTATAGTGAGTAAAAGGGAGAACATTTAGGAAAGTCAGCTCAAGGTATAAGATTAGATGGCCTAATGAGAAATAGGAAAAACAGGGAAGGGTGTTCTGTGTAAAAAGCTTAAAGGGCTGTATTGTCTGTGTCCACCTGAATTCTACATCCCTTCCCATTGGTTTCCTCATGCTCAATTCAGATATGTGCTGGGTTTATCTAGACCAGGGGTCTTCAAACTAAGGCACGGGGGGCTGGATATGGCCCTCCAAGGTCATTTACCTGGCCCTCACTCAAGGTGAACTTAAGTCTGAAACAACTTGAAAGCACACAACAACAACAATCCTATCTCGTCAGCCAAAAGCAGGCCCACACTTCCCATTGAAATACTAATAAGCTTATATTTGTTAAAATTGTTCTTCATTTTAATTATTCTATTGTTTTAAGTGTTTTTGCACTACAAATAAGATAGGTGCAGTGTGCATAGGAATTCATTCATGTCTTTTTCAAATTATAATCTGGCCCTCCAACAGTTCGAGGGACTGTTACCTGGCCCTCTGTTTAAAAAGTTTGAGGATCCCCTGATCTAGACTGGCCAGTACAATAAGTGGTACCACCAGCCAGATCACGTCTGGGACCTTGACAAGAGGATGTATTGCACCTTTTGGAAAATCCCTATAGTCTTCAACAATACTTCATAATCGATTACTTTAAGGGCTTCTACCATAGTAGTTCATTTCACATTTGTAGAGCGGTGAAGTCTAGATCTTAGTATGATGTTATCCAGCCACATTAAGGGGATTATCACAGAATCCTGCACTGTATGACCTCCATCCTTCCACCCAACTGAAAAAATGAATAGAACATAACCAGTGTCAAAGGCAAAACATCTGTGCAAGATTAGAAGCCATGTGTTTTCTTCCTTCAAACATTTCCGCAGACAGTGCAAAAAACAGTAACTATTGGGTGGTGGTGGTAGTAGAAATAGATGCAGAACTTTATTATCAAACCTAAACTTTTAGATGCTTAAGTAAGATAAAACATATCATTTGTAATTCATTTTATACCATTGTATTTATGGAATTAATGCGTATTGTTTTGTCCTGCATATTCTGACTTCTAGCCAGATGAACCCTGTTTGATTCTGCTGATCTTGGTTGGAGCTCATTTAAATTGTAACTTACTGATTCGAAAAATTAAAAATCTTCTTCTCTCCTCTTAGCATAGCCCCATGCTTGTACTGAAGTCCTTGGTTGTCTCAGATAAAATGTCCCTGATATCTTAAGGGTTTTCATATCTCAGTATCCAGCTGTCAACAAATTTTTTATTTCAGATGATTCCATGAATGTATTTCAAATGGTCGAAGCAACACCAGCACATTGAAGTCTGTTATGAAGATCAGCAAGTGTCAAGATGGATGTAGGAAAGTGGCCAATATTTACACTGCTTTCACCTCAAGAAATATCAACTATCCGTAAAGCATGTGTCTTTGGAACTTCTGCCAATGAAGCTATATATATTACCCACGATGATGAGGTAAGAATCTGAGACAACCATACCAGTGTGTTTTGGTAGTTGAACTGTCTTAATGAAAAAGATTGTCCTGCCCATAAAGCAGAAGTAACATAGTAACATAGATCATGTGTATATTGGAGGTGTTAATAAAATTATGAAATTAGTTCTAGAAATTGATATTCAGCTAAATTCCTCTTAAAGCATAATGAAAAAACTCTGTCTATAAATCTTTTATGTTGGACCATTGTATCTTCTCTAACACTATTACAGAATTAACTACTTATTTCTTTCTGTACACATGAACACGATTTACTCAACAACTAAAATTTAAGTTGTACACCTTTAGTCTCACTGAATTCAATGGGATGAACTTCTGAACAGACACCTAGAACTATATTGCTGTGAATATTCAATCCCAACAATGCCATTAAAATCAGTTGTAAATATCTGTACCAGTTATATAGAACTCTTGCCTTCCAGGCACGTGAAGCTTTACCACCCATAATTCTTTACAGTTTGACATGAAGAGAGTTGAGATCTAAAACATCCGGAGGGTCATAAACCGTGTTCCTAGAACCTTTAGGATTGGGCTGTAAGTCTATACAATTTTCTGAGAAGGAATCACAACAATAAGGCAGAAAAAATACTAAGCATAAAATAGGGGAAACTGTTATGTTTCAATCAGTATATAAATATTTATAAAAATGAGAAATGATCATATTGGGAGATGGTAAAGGGGAAGGAAAGAAATGTGAGATCTTTAACTGGTTTGTGGGTTATTTATTTTGTATCAAAAGCATTGCATACATAAGTATAAAACTGATTAAAAAAATAGAAGGAGCACAAGCGGCTAAATAATTTTTGACCAAAACAAAGCAACAGCAACCACATTTAGCTTTAAACAATTCTTCCTCTGTAGGTGAGGCAGGGTATTGTGGGTAAGCATACAGATATGGAGTTGGTTGTTCTGCTCCATAGTCACACAAGGTGGATGATTCTTTTAAGTAGTGCCATTTGGCCAGGTTGGCTTTTGATCAGCCCACTCTACTTCTGAGTCTGTTCAGGGACTTCAAAGTTGCCCATTCTTGGTTTGCCCATGGAGGCAGACCCTTGTGGGGGGGCATCCAATTGGGATTTCCTGATTTAGTTACCCAGAGGGATACTCTTGGTGTTGCTGGGGTGATTTGAGGTTTGCAGGTGATCCTGGTAAGGTGATACTATCACCTGCATTTTAGCACTTGTACTATCTTGGCCTTTCCTAAGTCCAGTGGAATGCCCCTAATATGTATGTTATGTAGCCTGTTTTCAAAAGTGCAATCTTTATAAGTACAGGTAAAGGTAAAGGTTTTCCCTGACATTAAGTCTAGTTGTGTTTGACTCTGGGAAGTTGGTGCTCATCCCCATTTCTAAACCGAAGAGGCGTAGACACCTCCAAGGTCATGTGGCCGGCATGACTGCATGGAGCTCTGTTACCTTCCCACAGAAGCGGTACCTATTGATCTACTCATATTTGCATGTTTTCGAACTGCTAGATTAGCAGAAGATGAGGCTGACAGCGAGAGCTCACCCCACTCCCCGGATTCGAACTGCCAACCTTTCGGTTAGCAAGTTCAGCAGCTCAGCGGTTTAACCTGCTGTGCCACCGGGGCTTATAGATACAACATACATAACAATACAAAATAAGCAAACTATAAAAATAATTAATAGCTAATACATAAATAACATGACAATTTTCTCCAAACTGTTTCGAGATCTCAAAAGTCAGACACTGCTATTAATTGACTGCTTGTTTCTCCTGTCAGCATTGGTGTTGGGGTAATTTCGAAGAGGAAAAAGCATTTGAATATGTAAAACAGCAACAATAGCAATAGCTGCAGTTTAGCAGATCAGCAACTTCTTGAGCTAGCCATTTCAGCAATATGGAGCAGAGTCAAGTTTCAACATTATAAAACACTTTGTTTAAAGACCCATCTTTCTAGATTGGAAAGTAAAGCAGGGCCTAGCTATCTAACACCTTTTCCATGTTATGCCTGACATGTTAAGTCTGCCCTCAAAAGGAAGCTGTAACTGAAAACTAAACACCCTGTTTATTTCCTAAATTTATTTATTTTTCTCTTTCTTTTGTGTGTGCACACATATGCATGCACAGTCTTTAACAGAACCTGATTGACTTTCATCTTGATGGTCATTGTCATAAATACAATTATTATAATGTTGGCTTCCTTTCAGGTTTTTGTATTTGGGCTCAACTGTAGCAATTGCCTAGGAACTGGAGATAACCAAAGCACTATTGTACCAAAGAAGCTTGAAAGTTTATCTGGAAAGCGGATTCGCAGTCTGAGTTATGGAAGTGGGCCTCATGTAGTGCTCAGCACAGAAGGTAGGCGACCTTTTGTTCTTGAGCACTAATAAACATAAGGAAGGGTTCATTACAAAGAGGATTTAAGTGACTTGCTTCTGCTTTGGAAATGTGTTTGTGAGAAATTGTCTGATTGTGGTCACTCCATTATATTTTTTGCTTGATACAAACACAACCCTGAAGAATAGGAAAGGGCATTGCCAGCCTCTTATGCTAAAACTTGAATGGGCTGCCTGTAGTCCCAGAGCTGTATGTACACCTGATCTTTTGTAGCTTTCTGCCTAATTTCAGGTGTCCAATCTGCTTTGAACTAGATTATATGAGGCTACATTGTTATGTAATCCAGATCAAAGCAGATAATCTGAATTTTATATGACAGTATAGATGGTTCTTCCTCTATTTACCACAGACCTCCCTGCCCCACTACTTTTAATGCCTCCCAAAATGTAGCTCAAAAGGGAATGCCACTTCCCACAGAGAAATCTTTGTTCAATCCTGCCTTGTGTCTTCAAAATAAATGTGTGCATGTACTTTTTCTGTTCTATTTTCATTGACACGAATATTTACATTTGGATTACTGTGATATATTCTATGTGGGGCTGCCTTTGGAGAGCATTTGAAAACTTCTGCTGTTATAAGATATCCAATGAACTTTCCAAGGCCCTTTCTACATTGCCATATAAAATCATATAATACAGTTCAAAGTAGATAATGGGGATTATCTGATGTGATAATCTGGATTACCATATATACTCGAGTATAAGCCAACCCGAATATAAGCCGAGGCACCTAATTTTACCACAAAAAACTGGGGAAATGGATTGACTCAAATATAAGCCGAGGGTGGGAAATACAGCATTTATGGGTCAATTTCAACATAAAAATAGATACCAATAAAATTGAAGTGACTGGATTGACCTTGAAGGAGCTGGGGATGGTGACGACTGACAGGGAGCTCTGGCGTGGACTGGTCCATGAAGTCACAAAGAGTCAGAAACAACTGAACGAATGAACAACAAACCAATAAAATAACATTAATCTATACATCCTTGGTTAAATGTTTTTGAATATTTACATAAAACTGTAATTCATCATAAGACTGTCCAACTCTGATTCAACTATTATTCTAACCTTCTTTAATGTAAATATGCATACGTATCCTTCCAATAATAATAGAGTAAAATAATAAATGTAATAACAACAATAATAAAGTAAAGCAATAACAACAACAACAAAGTAAAATAATAAATAACCTTGACTCGATTATAAGCCAGGGGAGACTTTTTCAACCTAAAAAAAAGACTGAAAAACTAGGCTTATACTCGAGTATATATAGTATATGGCAGTATAGAAGCGGATCAAGATACGATAGGCAAACCAGAGTATTAAGTCCTCTGTTCCAACAACTTCATTAGCTGCTGGTTCATTGCCAACACAATTAATGGCCCATCCAGACAGCCATATAACCCAAAATATCAAGTCTGATAATCCACAATATCTGCTTTGAACTGGGTTATCTGAGTCCACACTGCTATTTAATCCAGTTCAATGTGGATTTTATACAGCTGTGGGGAAGGGGCCTCAAAGAGTGGTTGTGATCTATAAGACCCTACATGTCCCTTATTAACATGTCTGGACCCTGAGACCTGGAGGAGAGGCCGTTCTTCATCAGTGTGTTTGGTGGCTACTTGACACAGGACCTTTTCAGTGGCTGCCAAAGATTCAGCAGTGTTAACCCCATTATATTGCTTATATTTGGGACATCAACATGGTTTCCAAATATTTAAGGCAGTCTGCGATCTGTGCTGAGCTTGCACTGTATATTGAAGGATTTTGTATGGAGTATTTTGAATCTTTGGTCTATAGAGATATGTTATGTTTAGTAGTAAGTTACTTGTTTGTGTTTTGCTAAGTGCATTTTCTGCCAGTTAATGTATGTCAGTCCAAATGCTCTCTGCATCTAATAAAAACTACTATTATCCTATGTATTGTAAGTTCAAATCCAGTAATTTGTATTTGGGTCTTATATTTTTCCCTTCTGTTTTTCTGAGTTGGGATTGAAAATGTCACTTAATTATCACAATATGTTGTTACTGTTATGCAGGAATTTTGTTCTTTATTTTCCATAGACGGTGAAGTTTATGCTTGGGGACATAACGGATATAGTCAACTTGGAAATGGGACCACCAATCAGGGTGTCACACCTATTCAAGTTTGTACCAATTTATTAATCAAAAAGGTGATTGAAGTGGCTTGTGGATCCCATCATTCTTTAGCACTGTCCTCTGACGGTGATGTAAGTAATCTTTCTTTAACTAGTTGCTAAAACAATTGCCTTTCAGAAGTATTCTTCTTACATGTTTAAATGTCCTTGAGTTGTGATTGATTAGCAGCCATTAATTGACTTATATTTCTTTAGTGTTTCGGCTTGAAATCTTATCTTAGCAAATAACATACTTTAAGATGTAGTTATTGCATTTACAGAAGGAACAAGCTAGCATTGTGCCCATGAAAGTCTCTTTTTAAATAGAGCCTTTAACATGCTACATGTAAATATTTAAAAGAGGTGTAGGTCAAGGGTAGATTAAAAATTAGCTAGAAGGTGATATGAATTTGATTTGATTTTAAAATAATTACATCCTAACTTCGAGAGAAGCTGCTGTCTGAATATCTTGCAACAACAACATATTACATATGGTACTCAGTTTCTTCAAGTACTAAGGAATTGTACATGTTATATAAAGCAAAATTTTAGAGATTGACAATTGAAACTTGAGAATATTGGATATACTGCTTCTTAGCATTATATCCAATATTCCATAGGAGGGTGACTAAAATGATCAAGGGTCTGGAGAACAAGCCCTATGAGGAGCGGCTTAAAGATCTGGCCATGTTTAGGCTGCAGAAGAGAAGGCTGAGAGGAGGCATGATGGGCATGTATAAATATGTGAGGGGAAGTCATAGGGAGGAAGCAACAAGCTTATTTTCTGCTGCCCTGGAGACTAGGACATGGAACAATGGCTTCAAACTATAGGAAAGGAGATTCCACCTGAACATGAAGAAGAACTTCCTAACCGTTGGCGGTGGGACTCTCTGCCTTGGAGTGTGGTGGAGGCTCCTTCTTTGGAGACTTCTAAACAGAGATTGGATGGCCAGCTGTCAAGGGTGCTTTGAATGTGATTTTCCTGCTTCTTGGCAGGGGGTTGGACTGGGTGGCCCATGAAGTCTCTTCCAACTCTATGATTCTATGATTCAGACATCTACATCTAGGATCTGGCATCAGTAAACTCGTGTTTGCAGGAATTAGAATTGGGCAGATTCACAATCTCCTTTTCCAACGCAACCATCCCTTCCTTATTCAACGGGTTAGGGATTAGGGCACTTTCATCGAAAAGTGGGATCTATGGTGCTCTTTTCCCTAATCTGTGGAGTAATCTTACCCAGCTGTACCTGGAAGTTCTTGGGGACATTTGGAAGTAATTTAAAAGAGCAAGGGGAGCCTCCCAGCGTATACAAAGGAAAGGATGAAAAGGGAAAAGCTGGGGGAAGGGGAAGGGGGAATGGGGTGAGTCCACCTTGTGTGCGATATGTTTGTGCCTCTAAACAGCAAGGTATGGTTTAGATGAAAAGAGATTGCAGAAGGGGGTGCTTACTCCCCCCCCCCCCCCCCCCCCTTAATATGTCTGCTTCTGTTGCCTTGATGTCACCACTTCCCTTCCATATACTCAACCCCTCGGGCTAAGCCGAGAAGTAGACGATTGGGTGGACTTTCCTACTGCAGTCCACATGCTTCTTCCATATCTGATTTGGAGGCGCTTCATCTTGAAAATAGGAAGTCATTGGGGGGTGGATAACGCCCTCAACAGGTTCATGCGCAAGCTGTTGCCTCTGAGCCACTGTTTTCACCCTGTTGAATTATAGTATACTAGCCGTCCCCTGCCACGTGTTGCTGTGGCCCAGTCTGTGTATATGTGTTTTGTATGTGTATATATGTGTGTATGTGTGTGTTTGCGTATTTATATGTGTGTGTGTGTATATATATTTGTGTATTTGTGTGTTTATATGTGTACATGCATATTGTGTATATGTGTGTGCTTGTCTATATGCATTTGTGTGTATATATGTATGTATGGATATGTATATGTGTGTGCATGTGTATATGCATATATGTATGTATATGTAGCTGTGTATATGTGTGTATTTGTGTGTGTGTGGATATATACGTGTGTGTGTGCATATGTATGTGAGTGTATGTGTATATGTATATATGGTGTCTTGTTGGGTTTTTAAGTCTGTTACACTGGGCTTTTGTGTGTGTGTGTGTGTATGTGTGTGTGTGTATGGGTGATGGACACTCGTTGGATTGCTAGGTGTATTGTGTCCAAATTTTGTGTCAATTCATCCAGTGGCTTTTGAATTATGTTAATCCCACAAACAGACATTACATTTTTATTTATATAGATAGTCAGAACTCATTAATTCAGTGTGTGGTCGAAAGAGTGGACCATGTGTTGATATAAAGTTTATACTAATAATTTAGAATGGTTGAAAGAATGGGTTGTAGCAAGTCAAGATGTCAAAAATCATGAGATCCCTGTAGCGGGCCGCTGTTATGTTACAAAAATGAAACATACAATATTAATGCGGTACTCTTTTGTAACCCAGGTACATCGATAGCCAATACAGTTAAAGTGGGTCATTCACTTGTTACACCATTTCCATGCCACACAATTTTTTAGACACTTTAGAAACTTGGGGTTATTTATTTATTTTGCTTCTGAAGGAACATTTTTCATGTAAACCCATAATGTTCTTTCACTTTTTTTCTTTGTGTAAAGGTATATGCTTGGGGCTATAACAATTGTGGCCAAGTTGGGTCTGGATCAACAGCGAATCAACCAACTCCTCGTAAAGTTTCCAATTGTTTACAGACTAAAATTGTGGTCAGCATTGCATGTGGCCAGACCTCCTCTGTAGCTGTAGTAGACAATGGTGAGGTAAGTTTTCTGTGATTCTCCTGCTTCTCCGCTTCTTGTAGAAATGCTAAACTACAGAACAAAGCTGTATTTAGAAGACATACCAGATACTCTAGTTCAGAGGTGTCAAACTTGGGACCCTCCAGGTTTTTGGGCCTCCAACTCCCAGAAGCTGTAGCCAACTTGCCCAGTGGCCAGGAATTCTGGGAGCTGAAGTTCAAAACTCCTGGAGGTCCACACGTTTGACACGACTGCTCTAGTTAAATTGTGGGGCTGTCGTTTTAAATGGTACAACTGTGGCCATTTCAGTTTTGATGGCTTATGTTCTATTATGAAATATTATATACCTTCAAGGGTTCAGAAAATATTTCCAAGAGCATGCTGGGGCCCTTAGAAAGAAAATATAGATCTTAGTATCTCTTTGGTGTTCTTCTAGTGGCATGATGGGAGAGTGAGACAGGGAGAGTGACCTTGTCCTTTCTTCCTCTGCATTCCCGGCATAAAATGTACTCAGGGGTTGAGGAACACCTTGAGTGACATACAAGGTTATGCTAGGTGAAGGGGAGACAATTCTTAAGATTTTTTTCCTTTCATTTTACTGAGAGACAGACAAAGGTACATTTTATCACTCTTGTTTGTATTGTAAATACAGAATGTATCTTAGCAGGATTTGAATTAGAGGAAGGAGTGTGAAAACTAGAGGAAGAAACATCAATAAGATGTACCGCTGACACCTTATTATTAGCTGAAAATAGCAAACACAGGCAGCTGGATATTAAGAAAAAAAATCCTATACGTCTCCGGTCCAGCGTACCTGTCCGAACGTATCTCCTTGTACGTCTCACCTCAGAGCTTAAGATCCTCTGGGGAGGCTGTGCTCTCGGCCCCATCTTTGTCTCAAACACGTTTGGCGGGGACGAGGGACAGGGACTTCTCGGGGAAATTAGATCATCGTCACCCCTCCTCACCCTCAGAAAGAAGGTAAAATCGTGGTTGTGGGACCTGGCCTTCAGGCAATCAGGTTAAAGGACTATGGATAATATTTGACTATGGCTTGGCAGTGGAATTGTATAAGTGAAGCGGAGTAATCATTAGTATATGGCTAGATAAATAGCCACCAGACTGGCAATAGCTAAATGGATCGTAAGAATACTGTTTAATTTTTATTTTAATGCTCATGTTTTTAATTGTTATGTTTGATATTTGTATTTTATGAAGCGGCATTGAATTGTTGCCAATTGTAAGCCACCCCGAGTCCCCCCAGGGGTTGAGAAGGGTGGGATAAAATTTTTGAAATAAATAAAATAAATAAATAAAACAAAAATAATCGCCACATAAGATCGAACTGATTTAAGGTGGCTGATGAAGACATCAAGATTATTGTGAATCTTTTAAATCATTGGCCAGTTGTCAAATAAAAATGTCGACTATAATTGAAGAGGTCAGGAGGAGATTTGGAACAGTAGCTAGAAAAGCTCCTTAAGGCCAGATCATGGCACAGCGTTTCCATTCTCTGAGAACTGACAGGAAGAGAATCAACTCATTTGAAACATGTTGCAGGAGAAGAATTCTACAGATATAATGGACTAGTAAAATTGCTAACATATGGACTAAAGATCAAATTAAGTCTAAATACACTATAGAAGATTAAATGACTAAGCTGAAGCCTTCACATTTGGAGCTTATCATAAGAATGCATATCACATTAGAAAAAAAGTGCTAACTCTCAGGAAATTTGAAGGAAGTGTGAAAAGAAAAAGAGCATATTATAGATAGATTGAAGCAATCAATCAAGGAAGCCATGAACCTGAACTTGTAAGATCAGAGCACTTGATGAGCTGGGCTCTTAGAGGTCTCTCAGTCTCATAGTGTCACTATAAATTAAAGCTGTCTTCAAACAACAACAACATGTTCTTTACAGGTATTAGCAGGGTAATGTTTAACAACTCTAAATTATGTTTACCTCCAGATACCTCCTCTTTGCATTTCTTTTTGTTTTAGGTACAAACAGTATTTTCAGCCCCACCTAAAGTAAAAGCTGTAATTTATGAATTGTTTTTATGGAATGGTACTCACTTTCCTCAAAAAGAGCTTCTCTTGTGCAAACAGTGCATCAGACTAACTGTTCTTCCTCCTCCAAGGTATATGGCTGGGGCTACAATGGCAATGGACAACTGGGTCTTGGAAATAATGGCAACCAGTTAACACCATGCCGAGTGGCTGCTCTCCAAGGCGTTTGTATCATGCAGGTTAGTATATAGAGATATGGCAGCATGTGTTACTTAAAGACAGTTTATTATGGCTACCATTGAATCTCCATTCTGTGTGTATTAAGGCTGCTGGCAAAATTATCCTTGATTTTGGTTTTCCTGGGGTCCAGACGCAGACTGCAGCTGGGAAATTAGGAGATGCTTACTTCTTGGGAGGAGAGCAATGTCCAATCTTGATAAAATAGTGAAGAGTAGAGACATCATACTGGCAACCAAGATCCGCATAGTTAAAACAATGGTATTCCCATAGTAATCTACGGATGTGAGAGCTGGACCATAAGGAAGACTGAGCGAAGGAAGATAGATGCTTTTGAACTGTGGTGTTGGAGGAAAGTGCTGAGAGTGCCTTGGACAACAAGAAGATCCAACCAGCCCATACTTCAGGAAATAAAGCCCAACTGCTCATTGGAGGGAAGGATAGTAGAGGCAAAGGTGAAGTACTTTGGCCACATCATGAGAAGAAAGCTTAGAGAAGACAATGATGCTGGGGAAAATGGAAGGAAAAAGGAATAGGGGCCAACCAAGGGCAAGATGGACAGGTGGCATCCTTGAAGTGACTGGATTGACCTTGAAGGAGCTGGGGGTGGTGACGGCTGACAGGGAACTCTGGCGTGGGCTGGTCCATGAGGTCACGAAGAGTCGGAAACGACTGAACGAATGAACAACAATAGAACTGAAGGCTCAGTCTTTTCCTCCTGGGTGGGTAGAGGGTGGGAGGGATGCATGGATACCATGGTTGTTGTCTTCTTCCCCTCTTGGAGATCTTCTCACCAGCTGGGGAGTCTTCCATATGCCCCAGTACCTTCCCAGTTGAAAAAAGATGCACAGGAACATGGTTGGAAAAACAAGTTATCTTCAGTCACCAGAGGGCCATCTATCTCCCTTTCATGGTGAGCAAAGCCTCCCTGGCCCAGACAGTGGTTACAGGATTGGTCCTGTGGTTGCACCTAGTTCGAAAGCATCACTCTGCTTGAATATCGCCTTTTCCTTATCACTTTTTGCTCACCTGATATAAGCAATAGCTGTAGGAGCAATCCAACTGGGTTAGGAAGACTGCCTGCTGAGGAGGAAACAAGCAGGTGAAGCCATCTTCTCAGGATTCAGTGAGGACATGGGATTGTATGGTGAAACCTCTCGTGGACATAAAATCATTGATCTTTCTCCCTTCAACAATCTGCCTCCCACTCTTTCTCCATGGCAAATGAGAAGATTGGCCCTGCCCCCAGTAAACATGGAACAGTTAAGAAAAAGAGATTGCCTAGATTTTAATGTGACACAAGGAGTGATAGCTTTGTTATACTCCTGTATAGGAGCTGATAGTCTGACAGACATTTTTATGTATCATATTAAACCATTGTCCACCGGCTCAATATGCGGGGAGGTGGGGTTGCTGATTTTAACAACTGAATTGCAGAGAGACACCTGTTTTAGATGGTGAATTGGCACAATAGTCAATTGGGAGTTCATGTGCTGCAAATAGTATTCCTCTGTTAACTAACTGGGCTGATGACAATAGCAGAACTAACTGTATGGTAAAGGTAAAGGTTTCCCCTGATATTCAGTCTAGTTGTGTCCGACTCTGGGGCGTGCTGCTCATCTCCATTTCTAAGCCAAAGAGCCGGCATTGTGTGTAGACACCTCCAAGGTCATGTGGCCAGCATGACTGCATGGAGCGCCGTTACCTTCCCACTCTTGATCTACTCACATTTGCATGTTTTCGAACTGCTAGGTTGGCAGAAGCTGGGGCTGACAGTGGGAGCTCACTTCTGCCAACCTAGCAGTTTGAAAACATGCAAATGTGAGTAGATCAATAGGTTCCACTCTGGTGGGAAGGTAATGCGATCCACACAGTCATGCCAGCCACATGACCTTGGAGGTGTCTACAGACAACGCCGGCTCTTAGGCTTAGAAATAGAGATGAGCACCACCCAACAGAAAATAGAGAGCAAGGGTTCCTGAAATGCAAAAGGCAAAAGTAGAACAATTATATAATTGCAATAATGTATATTATGTCTTTGCTTAATTGCTACAACATTCAATATATAGGCATCTAGTACAAATTATATAACATACAATTCTCTAAACCAAAAATTATTTTTTATGCGGTATAATTTTGCTGTAAGAATTTGTTGTTTATTCCTTATAAGAAAAATAATTTTTGCTTTAGAGAATTGTATGTTGTATAATTTGTAATAAATGCCTATATATTGAATGTTGTAGCAATTAAGCAAAGACATAATATACATTTTTGCAATTATATAATTGTTTTACTTTTGGTCTTAGGGACCTTTTGCCTTTTGCACCACCCAACAGAGTCGGACATAACTAGACTTGATGTTGCAAAGAAACCTTTACTTACACAGGTATATATAATATGGTAATTGTTTACTGGTCATCTTTTAAATATAGCAGCATTATGAGTGATTTCTTAGTGATTAAGTAAGCATTGTACCAAACCATCACTAACCATATATGAAGACATGGACACTCTTCTGGCATTTTTGTGATTGAATAGTAATGTGTATTACAGTGCTATGCTGTATTTAAAAATACTATATTGGAACTATGGTTGAAGTGTTTTTAACTATTTCTAATAATTTTTAAAATTATTATTTTTAAGTGTTTATAAATTAATGTTTTGTCTGGATTTTAAAAATATCCAATGCCATTTTGAGGGAAAAGTCAGTATATAACTGCAATAATCAATCAATTCCAGGCTGCAACTAATAACATGTATCAAACAGTGATATCTTGAATGAGTTCTTGCACCCAATGCTATCTTTGATTGATAAGAATGTTAACTCTTCCTTTCTTTGTAAACGTACTTGCAGATTGCCTGTGGCTATGCACACACATTAGCACTAACTGATGAGGGCTTAATGTATTCCTGGGGCGCTAACACTTACGGGCAGCTTGGGACTGGCAACAAAAGCAACCAGCTAAGCCCCGGGCAGATCCTGATGGAAAAGGAGAGGTAAATGCTGCTGCAACTAACCCTTGGGGAGCTGGGCGGCAGGGGTGTTTCGTCTGTCCAATTTCTTTCCGTGGTTCTGGACAGGTCCCTTGTCTTTTTCATTTGGAAAAGACAACGTTCTGCAAGAGCAAACTCCTCACAGCCACAGCAAGTTCTGAGGCAGTGGATACAATTCTCCTTTTCTCTCCTTTCATCTTTTCCTCAGTTCTCTCTTCAACCAGTGAAGAGGATTGAGGGATTTCCTCTTCCAATGTTTTTCCTCAAAAAACATTCCACTGCTATAAATGCGTTCTTTTATCAAATTAATCTGGAAACATGTAAGAAAACACAATGCAAATCAAATATAAGTATCAAATGTGTACCATTGAATAGTTTAAGAAGGACATTGACAAGATTGAACATGTCCAGTGGACAGCAACAAAGATAATATATCTGGAACAGTTGAGGGAATTGAGTATATTTAGCTTAGAGGCTGAAAGGTGGCATGATGGCCAAATATGTGGTGTATGGAATGAATTAGTGCTCTATTCCAGAGGATAGGATCTCAAATGGATTTGAATTAAAGGAAGGAAGGTGCTGAGTAAAGTTTAGCAAACACTTCTTGGTTATAAGAGTAATTTGATGGTAAAGTGGTCTTGAAATGGGTTAAATGGGCATTGGTGGATTTGGGACTTTAGGCATTTCTTCCGGCTCTACGGTTCTGTACTTCTGTAGGGCAGCATGCATCACCTCTTGTGGTTTAAGTCAATTGCTTCTGTACACAAAGTGTGCGAACACTCTGTTTTCTTCTGGATTTTGCCTGGCTTCTGTGGTTAATGGGAGATTCTTCCAGCTTGCTTTTCAATATTTATTTTATTTATTTATTTATTTATTTCAAATATTTGTACCCCTTCCTTCTCTACCCCTAATGTGGGACTCAGGGCAGAATATGCGTTTGATCATAGTTCCACTCTCAATTTTTTGCTGGCTTGTTGGTTTTATAATCCATTGGTTAGTTTGCATGGCACCCCATTGCGGGCACTATCTTCTTCATTGGTTTTTCCAGCGGCAACTTGTCTCAGAGTATGAGGTTTCCACCACCAGTAGTAGAAAGAGGAAATTGGGTAGAAGTCCTACTTCCAGTGCCTGTTGAGAGGACTTGCCCTCTACAGAATGTCCTCTTATCTCCAAAAGAGAAGAAACATTTGTAGTAAGTTGAAAATTTGATTTTCGGAGAGAAAAAAATTATACCAAGATCTTTCTTTTCTCCGATTAGAGAATTACAATTTGGTATGTGTAATATGTAAAATAGAGCTGTTGGGGCATTTTGGACTAGAACTCATGGAAACCCACTGGGTGTCCTTGAGAAAGTCACACTCTCTCACTCCATGATGAAGTTGGATGACAAACATCCTCTGAATACTTTTATTGTGCTTTTCCTGCATGGCAGGGGGTTGGACTAGATGGACCATGTGGTCTCTTCCAACTATTATTATCATGCTATCGTTCTGTTAGCCAAGAAAAGCCTAAGGAGGAGTTGCAGTACACATAACAACACTGACAAGTCTACAAAATTCTGACAAGACCTGATCACATTCCACGTAGTAAGTTAAAATAATAACTTATAACAATACAGTAAGTAAAATAATAATAATCTATATTTTATTTTTATAGATAATCAGCACTTTGCATGAGAAGGGCCTTTCCTGAGGATCTTAGGCCTTAGGAGCTGTTGCAACAGGAGACTTATGTGCTCCCTGTAGCCAGTCCTGGTTAACAGTCTGGCTGAAGTTCTTTGGACCAGCTGAAGTTTCCGAACACACTTCAAAGGCAACCTCACATAGAGTGCATTACAGTAATCCAGACGGGATGTAACTAAAGCATGTGCAACCATGACTAGATCTAGCTTCTCAAGGATTGGGCACTCGTGGCAGGGGACGGCTAGTGACCTGTAAAGTTCTATTTGGCTCTGATCCAGGCTATTTGGACCAGGCTGTGGCATGGCTAGTTAGTAGCTAGCTGCATTATATCACTACTGACGAAGAGGTAATGAGTTCAAAGCCAGTTCAAGTTGGAGTGAGCTCCCGACCATTAATTAGTCTAGCTTGCTGCTGACCTATACAGTCTGAAAGAGTTACACCTGTTATGTTGGAAATTTAGGTGCCGCTTTACGTGGGGAGGCTAATTTAACTAATTTACGACACCATAAAACCTTCCAGCGGTGTGCGCAAGAATGAGGAAGTACTCCATCAAGGACTTGGTGTCACAAGTGGATGGTGAAGCGGCAGCTCCCCCTGTGGCCTAAATCAAGCATACCCTCATGAAGCCGGAAAGGTGGAATGTTAAATTGTCCCTGTGTATGTCTATATATGCTGTATGTCTAATGGCATTGACTGTTTGCCATGGATATGTTCATTGTAATCTGCTCTGAGTGAGAAGGGTGGAATATAAACATTGCAAATACATATTTGGCAGATTGTATCTCCCTGTATGAACCTGCCTAGGCCTAAGATTCTTAGGAAAGGCCCTTCTCTTGTTTCCACTTCCATCACGAGTGCTGTTGGTGGGAACGCCTTGAGAAGATCTTCTCAATGACTGCTCCTGGGCTCTGGAGCTCTTTGCCTGGGGAAGCCAGAATGACCTTCTCCCTGATCTCCTGTCAGCAGGCTAAAACCTTTTCATTCAGACAAGTCCTTAAAAGAGAAACAAACATGGATGTATTGTTTTAGTTGAATTGTCTTTAACAGCTTATAAAGGAGAGAGGCTAGAATGAGTACAGTATGAAGAAAATGATGTTTCTGCCTCTTCACTTTGTGTTTTGTGCTTCTTTGCCACAACTTTGTGCTTCTACTATTTTAAAGTTGGTCTTTCTTTTTTTATTGTTCCATATAAATGCGCATTTATGCATTTTTGTTATTTATAAAATACATTACCTCATTTAAAAATGCATTAAATGGCATATGTGGTGGTCATGTAAAACCATACAAAATTTTTGGGAAAGCATATTCAAAGAAATAAGAGCAATAATAAAAATAGAGATTAAGACTACACCAAAATTAGCTTTATTACTTATACATGACAATACAATTCCATCACAAGAGGAGAAAGAATTGGTTTCTAATTTGATAATAGTAGCTAAATTGCTAATAGCAAAATACTGGAAAGAACAAAAAGAAATTCAATTAGAAGAATGGTATAGGGAAATTTGGAATATAGCTATTAATGATAAGCTAACCTGCAATATTAAAATTAAAAGGGGAATATGGAAACAAACAAATTTCTGGAAAATATGGGGAAAATTTATTGAGTATATTTTTAATGAGGGAAAGGGGCACAAGCCAGCAACAGAAACAATGACATTTTGGAATTGTGAAATAGCATGAGTAGGTTGGTCCTGGTGAAGGGGGCACAAACTAAGGGTAAAGGGAAGAGGGGGGAAATGGTATAATACTAATTATAAAGAAATAAAACATGTATAAGTAGATAAAAGGTGTGTGGTAGAGATATACATAGTATAAGTTGTAACGGAATGATAAGAAATATGCTTAAAGATGTATTTGATTATTTTTACTGTTAGATTGTATATAATATGACAAATTCTTCTATCTAAGATGTGGTGAAAAGAGGGAAGAATATATGCTTATACATGTTGTTTGATAAATGTATAATAAAATATTAATAAAAATGCATTAAAATGGGGTTCAAGGGGCGGAACGAATTAATAACATTTCGACGAATTTCAATTTGCTTTGAACTAAGAGCATTTTGAGTTAAAAGCTTGGTCACGGACCTAATTAAACTCTTAAGGTATCGCTGTACTGAACTACTGTGTGTCACAACAAAGCAAACCTGTCATACTAGTCTAGGATTATGACACCTTTTGTAATTTTTCCGGTACACTTTAGTACATTCTGAGCATCAACTGTTTTTCTGTGTTTCAGATGAGTAGCACCATGAGTGAACTAATTTGTGGTTCCCTTTCAGGGTTGTAGAGATTGCTGCTTGCCACTCTGCTCACACTTCTGCTGCCAAGACACAGAGTGGCCTAGTCTACATGTGGGGTCAGTGCCGAGGGCAGTCGGTGGTTCTCCCACATGTGACCCACTTTTCTTGCACAGATGACGTCTTTGCATGCTTTTCTACTCCTGCCGTGATGTGGCGTCTCCTCTCAGTAGGTAAGTACTTTCTCCAATAAAACCAGCCTGGGCAACCCTTGCTGGCCTGATGACTTGTGAATGATAGTGGAAGCTGCCATTCAACAAGACCGGGTAACATTTCTTATTCTGAAATCACATTGTGAATTTGCACAGTTGGGGGTGCTTGCCAAAAGTTTGACAGACTATCAATTCCAAAATTTTCAGAAGCTGGGTCTTGTATATAATATACAACTGTGCTTGTTTTTATTGCTATTGCATTCTACATGTTTATCTTTGATTTATTTTCTCTGCATTAAAATTGCAGCTTTATTAAACACGCCTTAATAATCTTTATTTGTATCCCGCTACCATCTCCCCAAGGGACTTGGTATGGCTTACATGAGGCCAAGCCCAAAATACATCAACCAAAACATTAATAAACACAACATCAATAAACAATCAATAAAATACAAATCAAATAAATCACATGAACATTTCCATCAACGGGTCCCCTGGTGGCGCAGTGGGTTAAACTGCTGAGCTGTTGAACTTGTTGACCAAAAGGTTGGTGGTTCGAATCCTCTGAGTGGGGTAAGCTCCCGTTGTTAGGCCCAGCATCTGCCAACTTAGTTCGAAAAGATGCAAATGTGAGTAGATCAGTAGGTACTGCTTCTGCAGGAAGATAACAGCGCTCCATGAAGTCATGCTGGCCACATGACTTGGGATACATCTATGGACAATGCCGGCTCTTCAGCTTGGAAATGGAGATGAGCATTAACCCCCTGTTAACTGTTTTCTTCACTCCTTTTAAGCCTCCAATTCTAGGCCAAGACTAGGCTTAACATGAGGGGAAACCTTTACCTTTACTATACAGTAAGTTCTGCTATTGTCATCAGCACAGTTAGTTAACAGAGGAGTACTATTTGCAGCACATGAACTCCCAAATGACTATTGTGCCAGTTCACCATCTAAAGCTGGTGTCTCTCTGCAACTCAGTTGTTAAAAGCAACCCCGCGTACCGAGCCGGTGGAGCAATGGTTTAAACCCTTGTGCCGGTAGGACTGCCGACCGAAAGGTCCATGGTTCGAAACCATGGAGCGGGGTGAGTTCCTGTCTGTCAGCTCCAGCTTCCCATGCGGGGACATGAGAGTATTTATTTTTATTTATTTATTTCCTATATTTATAGCCCACCCTTCTCCCCCCAAAGGGGGACTCAGGGCAGGCTAACAAAAGCATCATACGATGCTAGCATCATAAAAACAACCACAGTACAATCAAAATATTAAAAATATTAAAACAACAATTAAAACAATTAATTAAGACATATCCATTAAATCAAAATCCAAAAACCAGTCCGGGTCAATTCATTGCCATAAGTTGTGTGATCTTCTTCCACTTGCTGCTCACTGATCAAACACTTGGTCCCATAACCAGGTCTTGATTTTCCTTCTAAAAGACAAGAGGGAGGTGGCCAATCTCATATCTCTAGGGAGGGCATTCCATAGGTAGGGGGCCACTGATGAGAAGGCCGTCTCTCATCCCCATAAACTGCGCAGTGTTTTATTGTTCTGATGTTTCATTTTTGCAGAGCATGAAGACTTCTTAACAGTGACAGAATCTCTCAAAAGAGAATTTGATAGCCCTGAAACCTCAGATTTAAAATTTAGAGTTGATGGAAAGTTCATCTATGTGCATAAAGCTGTCTTGAAAATCAGGTAAGATTTTTTATTATATAGATATATATGAAAAGTGTGTTGTGCAAGTGGGCTTACTAACAAAAGACCATCCTCATGAATGTGTAGCCGAGTAACTCATTAGCAGCAGCATGACCCAGCACCAGTAACCCAAAGTGATTAAAAGAACAAAAACACACAGGCCAATGTTATATCTTCCAAAGGAGTTTTTTCTTCATAGTAAAAATAATATCGTTGCACTATTTACAAGAACAAGGTTTCTACAACACAAATAAACAAATACATAGTAGCATTACACACCACAGCCTTCACACTGGAGCTTTCTCACACGAGGCTTCTCTCATACTGAGGTTTACCTCACACTCCTCAGGCCCACTAACTCTAACAGGCTTTGGCCTACTCACTCTTCTCAGGGCGACACTAGCTTTGGCCCACTGGCTCTAGCAGGCTTTGGCCTACTAAGTCTTTCAGTGCTTGACTCACACTTTGTCATTAAAAATGTCTAGTTAATTTTTAATATTTCTGACAAAATGTCCCTGTTCTCACATACATACAAATTCAACTTTCTGAATGCACCCAGATCTCTTCAGATGGTCTCACAAGCCTTTGGGCCAGATGTGAAGGGGTTACACAAGGAAGGCGAAAAGTATAGGTGAGCAGGCCATAGGCCACACACTGCTATGCAAGGAGTTCTTCTGGTCTGGCACTTTTTTTCTACTGGAAGTTCTTGTTTTTCCATTCCTGAAGGCTTCCAAATGTGGCAGTTTATGTCTTTTGGGGGCAGTAGGCCCCATCTCCTCTCACAAACATATAAAGGGAAAGAAACTGGGAGTGGAGTAGAAGAATCCCAGTTGTGTTGTTTAGAGTAGGAATTGTTTCAATCTGCTGCAACCGGTGCAAGGTCCTGGCTTAAGGTTTGGACGTTTTGTAGTTGCCATCTTCTACAAAAAGATTTTTAAAAACCTTAGAAAGAACCTTATCAATTTTACAGCTGTGGCAGTTTGTCCACTGGGGTGTCAAATTTGAAGTCTGATGGGAACAGATCTGGAGCCCTTGGGTAAATCAGCCGATATGATTGCCTGATTGTAACGTCAGCAACGCCAGATCCAGTGCTTGGAAATAAATTATTGGGTTGACTCTTTCGGTGCTTTTAGGTGAACATGTTCTAATCCTATTTTTAAAATACTGGGAAGGAATGGGTTGCAGGGATGGAGAATAGCAAGTCTTGAAGAATAGTGAATTGCTGCTTCTGAAATTACTCCTGTTAGTAGTTCTAACTAGAATAGACCTATTGAACCAATGGGGTTTAGATAAACATTGGCTCACCATTGAGAAATGGATTCCACTGTTGTGCTCCTATTGGGAGTACCTGCAGGATTCTGGTTTCAGATCTTATGATCTTAAGCTGATCAGAACCTGAAGAAAGGCGCCTTGCAAAGACTGTGTCCCAAGTTCTTAATTCTTTCTGTTGCAGGTGTGAACACTTCCGCACTATGTTTCAGTCGTACTGGAATGAGGACATGAAGGAAGTGATAGAAATAGACCAGTTTTCCTACCCGGTATACCGTGCTTTTCTTGAGTACCTGTACACAGACAGCGTTGATCTACCGCCTGAAGATGCCATAGGTAGCTCTGGGGCCATGGGCAATATTATGGAAGGCGGGGGGGGGGGGGGATAGAAGGTCTAATTGAAAGGAAAGAGGCTATTCCGCTGCACCTTTGGTGACACCACTGCACAATATGACACCATTGCACCCCTCAACGCTCTTCCCACTGGAATACACGCCCTCCAAATGGGAAGTTTAGCTTCACAACTATGTATGTTTTTACTAGTTCCCCTGCAGATAACTTGCTCCTATTTTTATCTCATTAGAGTCTTAGAATCGTTTTTATCTTGTACATGTGGCCCGCCCATTGTTATTGTGATTGTGCCTATTGGAATGTTATTTTATGACTGTGTTTATATATATATATTTCTTTCTTGATGTAAATTGGTTATGTTGTTTATTGTTTATGCTCTGGTTTTATTTTGTTGTAATATGTTGTCCGGGCTTGGCCCCATGTAAGCCGCTCCGAGTCCCCATCGGGGAGATGGTGGCGGGGTATAAATAAAGTTTATTATTTATTATTGATGCCCTTCTTGTCTGTCTTGACCTGTCTGCTCTTTGTCCTGGCCTGTGATGAACTGATAGTAGCTAATGGAAGCAGAGGAATATGCTTTAAATGAGCTGTTTCGGTCCATGTAATAGATTTTCCAAAAATGGCTGGTCCAAATTATTATTTTTTATTTTTTATTATTATTTTTTTATTAACTTTATTTGTACCCCGCTACCATCTCCCCAAGGGACTCGGTGCGGCTTACATGAGGCCGAGCCCAACACAACAACAAAAGCAATAAAACATCAATACAAGCAATTAAAAACATAGACAATAAAATACACAACATTATAAAAAGCAACACATAATTAAAACAGTGGGAAGGCCAAATGCAGAGTTAAAATTGGAAATAATGCTAGGCAATCTCTTTCCAGTGTCCCTTGCTCTCTTTCTCTCCATGAAGCCAAACATACCAGGAGTAAAAACTACACAAAATCAACCAACCCAAAGTTCCTCAAAGTGGACAAGAGCAAAGCAGACCACAATCTCCCAAAGAGGACAAAAGCACAAGGCACTGAGATTGCTCCCTTGAAAACCTAGTGCCCTGTACTCTCGCGCTAACTCTTTGCTCAAAATACTGCTCGCATGTCATAAGTGAAACCTGGGCCAAACTTTTTAAAATTGAGATTCTCTTAAGCCAAGGTTCCACTGTACACCAAAGTCCTGTGATTTTGCTGAGTTTGTATTCTCCCCTATGAACCACCAAGACAATTAAGATCTTCTGTGGGACCCTGCTCTCGGTCCTGCCACTTTCGCAATTGCATCTGGTGGGAATGAGAGACAGGGCCTTTTCTGTGGTGGCCCCTCGGCTATGGAACTCTCTCCCGATTGAGATCAGATCTGCCCCTCCCTCCTGTCCTTCAGGAGGCTGGTGAAATCCTGGCTATGGAAGGAAGCATTCCCAGAGTAATGGCTGAAACCGGCTACAGAACAAAGTTATCGACCACACATACGGACTGAGTTGGACATGATTTTATCTTGGCGATTTGGCTTACTTGTAATTTTAATCGATATGTATTTTAACTCGTTATTATATGATGTTTTTAGATTGTACTATTAGCATTGAATCCTTGCTGTAAGCCGGTCTGAGTCCCTCTACGGAGGTTGAGAAGATCAGGATATAAAAGTTTTAAATAAATAAATAACAATAAATTTGTGTGCTCATCCCTCCCTAGCTCCATGCCTGTTCTGCCCCTGGAAATTCCTCCTGAATGTGGAGCCCTTTTAATGTGGAGCCCATATAATTGTGTTCTGCGTGGTGTGGTTGCACCCATAGGATGTTTACATCTCCTCAGATATGCCTGCTATCCAAGTGTATAGAGCAGTGATTCTCAACCCTAGGTGTTTTGGCCTACAACTCCCAGAAATCCCAGCCAGTTTACCAGCTGTTAGGATTTCTGGGAGTGGAAGGCCAAAACATCTGGAGACTCACAGGTTGAGAACCACTGTTATAGAGGAATGTTGCTTTGGTTCTGTGAAGACAGGAATGTAACATGTTGATATGGTATCTTTGACTTCAGGGCTTTTGGATTTGGCGACATCGTACTGTGAAAACCGATTGAAAAAACTGTGTCAGCATCTCATCAAAAGAGGGATCACGGTGGAAAATGCTTTCTCGTTGCTCTCTGCAGCAGTGCGCTACGATGCAGAGGTAAACTAGAGCTTGAACGTGTTCACTGGGGTGATAGAGCCCCCAGGGATGACAATAGTCGCTTTGTCTCACCTCCAGTGAACTATCGCCACCAGGTTCTGCCATCTTATGAATAGAAATGGGGTCCGTGTAATCTCTTTTGAACCATGAACAATACTAGATTTGTAGGAAAATAAATCCTTTGGTAAGCAAAGATGACTGCATTGAGATTGTACGCTATGCAAGCTCTTATTCTCCGAGTATCCAGCACATAGTTTCCAAGCAGGGAATGCCTTCTATAGTAACTACTAGACATCATACTTGAATTCTTGATCACCAAGATGGTCAGCTACTAGATTTAATTTAGGGGATCAGATGTATGTGTGAACATACATCTTTTTAAAGTAGCATTATCAAGATATGTCTGGCTTCCATGTTTTTGTCTTCTGATGCTAGCTGGAGACGATCCAAAATGTGTCCAGAGAATCATAATTAAAGGCTGCAATTTGGAAAGTCTTGAATGAAGTGCCACGGGACTTTGTCCTGGGGCAAACACTCTTCAGTATTTTAACCAATGACTTAGATGGTAGGTTAGAGGGACTCTTTCAAGTTTGCAGTTTACACTCAAGATAGTGTTGATGCTCAGTGCTCCCTATATCACTAGACCTTTTTATTTCCCAATTAAGATTAGAAATTGAGGAGTTTAAAATACTATAGTTTAATTATGCAGAAAATACCACCAAGACAAGAAAATCATCAAGAAAAGTGCCACGTTTGAGTGTCTCTGAATCATGGGTTTTATAGTCTCAAACTGACGGAAATAAACAGATGCACACACAATCAAACATCCTTTTTCTTCTGTCTGTAATTTTCCCTTTAAAGCTGCTCTTTCTGCTCCAGTGCCTCTGTATCTCTTTTCTGCTTCTTAACCATCCTTTTGTTTTCTCCTATTGTTTTGTAAACATTTCCTTGTGTTCCTAAACAATTCCTGCTCATTCTTCCCCTCACATCTTCTGTCCGGTCAGCCTGATCTCTTTTCTACCTCTCACCCAAATCTCAGTGATGCAGTAGGTTAAATTCTTGTGCTGGCAGTGGTTCGAATGCGGGGAGCAGGGTGAGCTCCTGTCTGTCAGCTCCAGCTTCTCATATGGGGACATGAGAGAAGCCTCCCACAGGCTTTGCCCCTTTCCAAGCTGGAGAGGAACTGGAGTCGTTTTGTTGTGTTGCTGCTGCTGTTGTGTGCCTTCAAGTTGTTCCTGGCTCATAGTGACTCTAGAACAAATGTATTACAGTTTGTTAACAAGATGTGTTCCCCAAAGGCTTGCTGTTAGCTTCTTCTGAGGCTGGGAAGGTGTGACTTGCTGAAGTGAGTTTCCATGGCTGAATGAAGATTTTGAGTTATTCTTGGGCTATGTTGGGAGGCCAGCATTTTCTTGGGGCAGTATCCATATCAGTGTCACCCCAGGCTTGTTTAAGGAGGTTTTCAGCAGTCTCCTCATTCCCCCTTTCAAGTGCAGTGAGCCAACATAAAGGCAGCTCAGAATGGCCACTGGACTAGCCAATGGAGTGTGGCGCATGGCGGGTCCTGTGACTCTAGTGGAGGCTGGGTTTTCTGCAGCTGTATATATGTTCCATATAGAACAGAGCTGCAAGAAACTCCCAGTTTATTTCAGATTTCAGCACAATTTTTTTCTCAAGGCTGCGAGTAACACTTCAGATTGAGCAGTGTCCATGTTTTTGGCTTCAACTGGCTTTTGGTAAATGAAGTGGTGACTGAAATGCCCCAGCAGACACGTGGGCACCTTTACACTGGTGCTTACTTTGCGTGTATTTAACTCCTTCCTGCCTTGTCATTGGGATCCTCCTTGTGCCTGAAGTTAGTGAAAGCACATGTTCTGCCGGCTGTGCTCTTAAGCATTGTATTTGCCCATTACATTAAATGTGTACGCCTTTCAAACTCAAGAGTAGCACTGTGATTTATTATTTATTTTACAGGATTTATTAAATAGTTTTTTTTAAAAAGAAATGAATATTTAAAGAGTGTTTCTTTTTCCACTCTTAATGTGGCTTTCGAAGAAATTGTACTGTGTGACAGTGTGTATTTAAAGGGGGAAAAGAATAGAAGTGCCTGTTCCATGCAATATGACAGTTTCCCAACTGCATTCTGGATTTGACAAAATGAATGTACATGTTCTAAGACACAGATTTTGTATTTTTTTTCTTTTGGAATAAAGAGCACTTGCAATATATATATGTGCGGCATTTTGTTTATTGACACAGCAGAGTCATAAGACGATAAGTAATTCTGGATTCGACCAGAGGGGCCATCTTAGACCCCTTCCACGCAGCTGTATAAAATCCACATTGAACTGGATTATATGGTAGTGTGGACTCAGATAACACAGTTCAAAGCAGATATTGTGGATTATCTGCCTTGATATTCTGGGATATATGGCTTCCAGGAGTCAGCACTATGACATCAGCAGTGTTGTTGCTCGTTTTCCCCAGCAATTGGCATTAAGGCCAAGGAGCTGATACAAACCTTCACTACTAATATATATTAAGCGCCATTCCTCTGGGCATTTGTCCAGCCCACTTCTCAAGTTATTAGGAGTCACTTCCTGATCATGCACTGAATCCACAGCAGAAGCAACCTTGCCCAGCATCTACTAAAAAACTCTACTGAGCAAGAACTCTCTTCTGAGATAGTTTATTCCTTTGCCAAAAACCCTCTTGCTGTTAGGAGGTTCTTCCAAATATTTAGTCACAATCTTCCCTTCTTCTCATTGAAATCTTTTGCAGCAGAAAAAACAAAGTTCTCAACTATCCCTTTATTTTCTGCCATGAAGACTAGCCCAAATAATTATCGTAATTCTCTATCTGCAGTTTTTGTATCCTTATACTACAACAGGCTTGCTTTTCAATATCCCAGTTCCTCCTCCTGACCAATTTCAAATGCTGAAATATTTAAAGAAGTCATAAATTACACTTTGTAACAAAATTTGAAAACATTTCTGTCCCTGGTTTGAAAGTGTTATTTCCTGTTTAGTTGTGTGATACTTACTTTGAAAGTTGTTGTTCTACTCCAGAAACTTGGTTTTTGTGGCTGCCACAAACTAGGTTGAACTGGTTGAGACTCGATGAGATATTCATTGAAAAACTATAGCAAGATGTACTGCAGGATGCCCCACAAAAACAAAGTTTTGGCAGTTTAATAAACCTTTTCCATGTTTTTATGATAGAACCAATTAGGAAATGATATTTATAACCCAGGAACAGAAATCGTGTTACATAGTATTATTGGTCTCAATGTTGTCAGAACCCGTTTCACATCCCTTTTTGTCTCTTGGTATTTCTTTTGTGTACTTTCTGTTTTTCTTTTTCTCTACATTTGAGTAAGGCTTCTGTTTTGTCAAAGAATGAATTAACCACACGACTGTCTACTTGGTGGTACTTCTCCCGAGCCACAAGATACATGACAACTGAGCTTCTGTTATTTGGAAAGAGTTGCCCCTCTGGATTTTCCATTTCAGTTACATTTCCTCTTTGAAAGTCATGTGATTCTGTTGTACTTATTTGACTCTTTCATATTTATTTATAAATTAAAATCATGTGGATACCTAAGTTTTTTTTATCGTGTCAGAAGCTACTTGAGAACATAGTGCAAGTTGTTTCTGGTGTGAGAGAATTGGTAGTCTACAGAGACGTTGCCCAGAGTATGCTTGGATGTGTTACCATCATGCCCCCGCAAGCTAGAGCTGACAGATGGGAGCTTACCCCATCTCACGGATCTGAACAAGCAATCCTCTGGGGCAGTGGTCCAGCCAGCACAAGGGTTTAATCCACTGCGCCACTGTGGCTTTTTGCGCTACTGTGGTCACCTTGAGCAAGTGTTATAAAATGTAGTCATTATATGATATAGCAATCCTATTTCTGTTGTGACCCAAACATGCATTTTATCCAGTAAATAGCTGAAGTCACCAATTAACACAAGACTTGGAATGCTTTTTTGATTAAGGGGACTATAATATGTCTACACTGTTAAATTACTTTTGGAGTCTTCATGGCATATATGTTAGAAAAATGTAAGCTGGGCATTAAAGTACGGTAGTTACAAAACAACCAGAAAGACCAAATAAACTTTAAAAGCTACCTTTATGTAAAAATTATGTACTCTCAAGTAGAAGGAAATACTTATCAGTGAGAATTTCTGTTATCTGTTAAAGAATTGCAAATATTACATACTTGAAATCAGAATACCTAACTTTTAAATACTGTCTTTATAATATCAGTGGAGTACATTTGGAAACAAATGCAGTCTGGATGGGCACATCCTTAGAAGAAGCTACAGGGTTTTCCAAATTCCTTTTCCCAGCACAAGGGAGTAAGTTTATGTACAGGTCAATTAACTGTCAGAGTTCCTATAGAGTCCCTTTGCCTTGGTAGGAGGCTTGGGGAGAAGCTCAGGAAAGCCTAAGGTGGGAGGTCAGTGGTCACCTGTTCAGCCTTAAAATACTGGTTCTAGACCGCATCACTTCTAGTAATAGTGGAATAGATAACATGAAATTATGAATGATGAACTTGGAATGGCTAGACCAGGGGTCCTCAAACTAAGGCCTGGGGGCTGGATACGGCCCTCCAAGGTCATTTACCCAGCCCTCGCTCAGGGTCAACCTAAGTCTGAAATGACCTGAAAGCACACAACAACAACAACAACAACAATCCTATCTCATCAGTCAAAAGCAAGCCCACACTTCCAATTGAAATACTAATAAGTTTATATTTGTTATAATTGTTCTTCATTTTAATTATTGTATTGTTTTTAAGTGTTTTTTGCACTACAAATTAGGTATGTGCAGTGTGCATAGGAATTCATTCATGTTTTTTTTTTTCAAATTGTAATCTGGCCCTCCAACAGTTTGAGGGACTGTGACCTGGCCCTCTGTTTAAAAAGTTTGAGGACCCCTGGGCTAGACGATGTTACTGGAAATCTATTTTAACAGGATGACGCCAGAGACAATATGTTTTATTGGCTTTTATATATGTTTTTATACTGCTATGTTGATTGTTTTTGTGTTTTATGAATGTATGGCATTGAATTGTGCCAACCTGACACCCACCTTGAGTTGCCATATGGCTGAGAAGGGTAGGCTATAAATATAATAAATAAATATTTTAAAATAACAGAAGGCCATTTTTATTATCAGTGAAGTTAATGGAAGGCTTTTTTTGTCTTGTGTCTAGGACTTAGAAGAATTCTGCTTTAAGTTTTGTGTCAATCACTTGACGGAAGTCACTCAGACTGCAGCCTTTTGGCAAATGGATGGTTCTCTGCTAAAGGAATTCATTGCTAAAGCCAGTAAATACGGAGCATTTAAAAACTGAAGGATATTAAGGACTGACTGGTACTGTGGTTGCTGGTGTGATTTCATGCACCTTTCTCTTTTGTGATTGTCAGTGAAAATACATGTTGTAAAAATCATTTCTTTTTCAGCTGGGCTGTATAGGAACTCCAGATCAAGCACTGAGTGCTTTATTTGGCTTAGGGTGCTCTACATAGTTTTGAGCAGCTTTGAGGAAAGGAATTGTGAAAAAGACCTAAATGGAAAAGGGTTGAGGAAAAGGAGACAGTGTTCTGCTGCCAGAGGCTGTTTCTCCAATCGTGGCCTATTGACTAACTAGAGATGGCCACTGTGGTAATTCTCCAATTACTCCTTCTAAGCACTATCAAGACAGCTGGAACTGAGATGTTTCTCCACATTGAATGATATGAAAGTGGGAAAATGCAGTATTGTTTTGTGCATTCGGTCCATTCAATTCAATGAAATATTTATGACCAATGAGTACCAAAGAACTTCATTGGTTCATAAAACAATTAAGTGTATTTGAGTTTGTACAATTTAGCTTTTTTTTTTAAAGAGCAGGAAATGATATAAAAAGAAAGATAGGGGATAATTATTTCATAATCTAATTGGAATTGAGTGTTCCTACTATACCTCTTTTAAGAGTTCATCAAATTGAGAGGAAAGAACTGTTGCCTTGTGGCAGCGGTAGGGACTCAACAAAACCAAGTGATTGTTGGAAAACCATTTTACATTGCAATTATGTATCTGTATATTCTATGCAATTATAGAAATTATGTATTAAAATCTGTTTGCAAACTGTGTTCTAAATTTATCTATTAAAAGAATATGTCAAATTATGAGAAGCATGGTTTATAGAAAGGGCTGCCTCTGTCCCGAGTAGGATTGTGAGTGTTGCTGTTTTGTCCATACTTCTCACGCTGCTTGGTTTGTTTGAATATTTCCTGCAAAGTGATCAGTTAATGTGAATTTGGTAACTGGTGCATTTTAATTGTAATGAAACTGTACAGTAAGCTTTAATTTCTCACTTTATTTGTATTAAAATGAAGTTGGTACCACTGAATTTGAGAAATAATTAACCAAGATATGACTTTGTAGGACTGTCTGCTTTTTAGGGACAGCTTTTTTATTTTTAGGAGAATGTAATCACTCTGGTTCAATATCTATGATCCACATTTCTTTTTCTTGGATTCAAATGCAAGGAAAGAGATTCTTAAACATTAGGAAGAATATCCTGATGTTAAGAGCTATTCAGCAGTGGAATATGTTGCCTGGGAGTGTAGTGGAGCCTCCTTCTCTTTAAGCAAAGACTGCATGGCCATCTGTCAGGAATATTTTGATTGTGTGTTCCTGTATGGCAGAATGGGGTTGAACTGAATAGCCCTTGGGATCCCTTCAACCTCTATGATGCTTGATTTTGCTACCTTTATGGGATTTGGACATCAGATACCTCCTGCAAGTTGGATGCACCAGAATGTGAAAATAATCCTTCTTTCAAATTTATCATTCTCTAAATTGGCCATGTAGTGTGTAGTGTTTCCAACTTGAACTTCTGATACCTCACAAGCCAATCAAATAGATGTAAAGCTAGACTTCATGTCCCTATGGATGCCTTCTTTGCCCAAATGCAGATCTTTAAAATTTGAATTCCCTCTTCTGAATCCCACAGGAGCAGTAATTTAGCCCTTACTAGGTATGCTTGCAATGTTTAAGGCACCTCCGCACAAAAAAAGGAGTAGTAGTTTTTAACTACTTCTAGTCTTGGCATTTTTGACAGTCCGTGTGGCTCCTGCATCTCTGGCACTGTCTATTCCTATGCTAGGTTTCCAGCTTTGTTTCATAACTGACAAGCTGCATAACATTCGCCCATTTTAAAAAATGGTATCTGCTTATTGGAGTCGAAGACGGCCTACAGCCTCACTTTCATGATTGTCCTGAAGACAGCCATTCTTGATATCAATAGATACATATTTAATGCGTTATATTTTCCTGAAAAAAATGTATTAAACAGATATGTACAATTCTGTAATGTTAAAGGTAAAGCATTTTGAACATTATTTAAAGCACAAATGCTTAGGCTTGTACATTTCAGATTCTTAACCTTCTCACATAAGGATTAATTTTGAGACTGCTTTGAACAACTAATGCTTGACCTCTTAATCATAAGTTCCTGATTGAATATACATACATACACACACACATACATGTAAGACCCAATCTGTGAAAACGGCAAGTAGAAAGTACAGGGTGCACAAAGTAGAACAGACTTCTTTATATCTTAGGACTATTTGTGTCTGAAAGCAAAGATGTATTTGTTTAAAATAAGGAGTCAAAAATCTGGATTGACTTATCCACAGTCCATGTGAGTTCTATGCCTTAATTTTAATCAGGTAAGGATCCATCTCCTTCTCTGTGTAATATCATGAAAGACAAAAACTAACCCTAAATAAAGTTACTCTCTTTAGAGTTGGGCCACTCCTGTTTTTAATGTGTAAATGGGGAAATAGTGGCAGGGACAGCTGGTTATGAGGTAGCATTAGTGTTTTCCCCTCCCTGTAGGATGACCCTCAACCTATCCACAGATCATACAAAATCCAAAATGTTGGCCCCAAAATATACCTATTGGTTTATGAATATATGGTAGTTGGCTATATATTATTATAGTGCACCGCAGTTAGAACTGAAATTAAACTTGGACTTTAACAATCCATGTAATGGAAAGACTGCTGAAGAACTCTCTGGCCCCACAGTGATTCTGGAAGTGATTTGTCAATAGCAGTACCTGCAAATGAAGCCATGGAAAACATGGCATCCTCATCTAAGTCATTCCTTGCAATTCTTGTGTAAATAGAAGGAAGGTGCAACATGGTCCTGCAGCTGGACATCCACACACACACCCATCCAGAGGACTTTGCCAACATCAGCACGTCCAAAAACAAATTTGATCTTTAAAACAGAAAAGGTAGTATAAAGTGTCTAAAAAAGGGCAGGTAACAGAAAGTGACACATAAAAAAACATTATAAATTCAATTCGATACAAGAAATCAAGCATAAAAAAATGAACAAACAAGTCTTAAAGGAAGATGTGTGTTATTCAGAGGTACTGTTAGATATGCTGGCTGTGTCTCCCGGAGAAGAAAGTACTACTTCTTTCAAATCTTGAAGAATCTCAATCTGGGCATCCAAACTCTTCCTTGTATTTAGTAGCGTCTGAATTTTTTCTTCAGTTCCTGGACAAATTAAAACCGATGCTTCATATGAACAGGGAATGTGATTGTGTTGTTTACAAAACCTGGCATCCTGTGTTGCAGTTATGTGTAGCGTAGCATTACGAATCCATAATGCTGCCATATTCAGTAATGCCACATATTTATGATCATGGCACTATGGCCACTAAAATAATAGCTTCCCCCTCCTTCCCCTGCCTTTACACACAACAGTGGCAGTGAATGATGGGAGGCTGATCATGGCATGGGATGGTGATGCTGGCAACCTCCTACAGACAGCAAGGAAGGCGATGGCAGGCATCCTCAAATTGTAGCCCTCCAGCTGTTTGGGTCTCTAATTCCCAGAAGCCCTAGCTGGCTTGTTCAATGGGCAGGAACGCTGGGAGTTGCAAGCCAAGGCAGCTGGAGAGCTGCAGTTTGAGGACACCTGGACTATGGCAAGCAGCAACAACAACTGTTGCAATTTTTCATTGAGGCATGCTAGCTGGCGAGACAGGGCTGAAAACCTCCTCCTCCGGAGTCCCAAACAACAGCTGAATTGACCTCCATTGGTAACTCTGAAGGCAGGTCTGGAGAGCCTGGGACAGGGGGATGTTGCCTGGTGACATATTTTTAACTGCCCGCTTTGCTAGAACGTTCTCTAAATATACCACTCCTGTAGAAAAATGAATCACTAAAGTAAACCAAATTAAAATCACCTAAAACCATGGCAATGATTCCAGGCCAATGGTCAAAAATTACATTACAATTCACACCAGAAAAAAGGCCTGGTCATGGATTATTGAAGTTAGGAAGGAGCTATGGTAGGAGTGGGAGAAATGTTCCGATCCCCTGAAGATGCCAGCCCCAGATGCAGGTGAAATGTCAGGAGAAAATGCTGCTAGAACATTGCCAGACAACCCGGAAACCACACAACACCCCAATGTTTATGCTCTTGGCTACATTCCCTTAAGGAAAATCCCAAGGTCGCATGCCAGGGACCAGTAGGACCAAATCAGCATCATGCTAAACAAGATAACTCTCTTGGACAAGTAGCATGAGAGGAAAGCTGAAAGGATCCACATTCTGTGTAATATCAACATATCATCATGTCAAACCTTTACAAGTATCAAACATGTTAGATGTTTTCAATACATACCTGACTGAGCAGACGTAAGTATATTTTCAAAGAGGCCGCAATCAAAAAGTGACATTACTGTTTCTTCATATTCTGAGAACAGGTATTAATAATACATTATTATATTTGTTTCATATATTCTGACCCCCACCCCAATGAATACATATCATTTTTGTAATTAGAAATAACACCAATTTAAACTAAATGCAACAAAAGATACACACTCATAAAATAGTAACAATAGGGGCTACTGGGAAGACTATACAACATCAATCTACTTCTCAATGTGTGTCTCTTATTATTATTATCTTTTTATTTTTCTGTTTGTCTGTACTCATATACCCGATTTTATATAAAGTAAATACCATTTTCACAAATAATGTATCCCCCTGCACAAACCCCCTAATAAAGATTATTTTTAAAAATAAAAATAAAATAGTAACAACTCAAGGCTACAGTTGCTCTCAAAATCCTATGTGAGCAAGAATGTGTAAAACTGAAGCCACAGAAATAACTTCTGAAAGATTTTAATACATGTGAAAATAGGGGACAGCAGGTAGCCAGATAACAGCTAGAAATCCCATTCTAGAACTGTCTTCTCCAGCTTGTACTACTGAAATGCAATGCAAAGGTAGGATACTATATACACTGGGACATTTAACAGTCTGTACCTTCTGGGGAGGAAAAGTCTAATATACAATTCATCTCCAAGGCTTAACAAGAAACCATAGGATGCACAAGAGATAGGAGCATAAAGAGTTTGCCTCATGAAAAGGACATCCTTGCACAGCATCTTCTAAAAAATGACTTAGACTATGAGATTTAAAGTGACAGCTGATCTATACTTTGTGCAGTACCTGTTTCTGAAGTGTTGTCATCCATCAGCTTTTCCTGCGCCAGATGAAGTGTGTCTAACATTTCCTCAAATATTTCATCGAGAAGCCCAGCCTGCTTACACTTTCTTAAAAATTCTATCTTTCCTGTTGAGCGAAAGATGGAGAGAAAGGCAATCTTAATAAAACAAAAATCATATCCTAACTCAGTTCCTTCTGGCAATACAAAACTCATCCCACTATGAATATCACTTGTCAGCCCACAATGGTAAGCAAAAGGGATGGTAAACAATAGGCCTGGGTAACAACGCAAAAATTTGTTTCTAAAATCGATTTGTAATTGGGGTGTTTTTTTGTTTCGATATTTAAAATAATTACAAAATTTTCCCTTAAAAAAGTTCGGTATTTACGAAATTTCGTAAATATTTACGAAACGATTCATTAAGATGGCGGACCCCCCGCGCATGCGCAAAATCACTTCCGAAGCTTCGTTATTGGCGCGGAGTCGATTCGTTAAGGTTATAACGAATCGATTCGTTAAAACGGCGGACGCGATTGCGCATGCGCAAAAGCGACTTCCGAAACTTCGTTATTAAATACGAATCGATTCGCTATTAAAATAATAACGAATCGATTCGTTAAAATGGCGGACGCGATTGCGCAATGCTAAATGCTCTATAAACAAAATCATTTCATAAAATAAATCAAATAAAATAATCAAATAGAACAAGATATTAAGATATTAAATAAAAAAGTAATAAGATAAAGTATCCAAAACTGAGTCAATTTAATAATATAATGAAATAAACAATAATATATATAATAATAAAATTTAAATAAATAAAATATAAATAATAAATAATAATAATAATAATAATAAATAATAACAATAAATAATATAAAATTATATAATATAATAATATATTATTATATATTATATAAATGAAATAAATAATAATATAAATATTTAAATAAAATATAATTAAATTTCTAAAATATTTCTAAAATATAATTATAAATAATAATAAAAATAATATATAAAATTAAATTATAAATTATTAATATATAAAAATAATGTTATTATAAAAACTTAGAAAGTAAATATAAGAAATAAATAAAGAAAAAGTAACAAAAAGTAACAGAAATTGCACTTTGAAAAAACTCTGAAAATTATCTGGGAAGTATTGCATACATACTAATTTCTGTAGCAGTATTGCAAGTTAAGTAAGAAGGACCAACTTCACATTTGGGTGGTGTCTCTTAATGTGCATCCTTAGCCCTGTTGTGGCTGACGCTCACACCGCAATGCCTGCAAACTGCCAAAGTGGCCCTCTCATTATGGACGTCGTAATGATCCCATAGGAGCGATCTCGGCCTACCCCTACTAGGCACTTCAGATGTACTCATGCTCGTGTTTGGACTGTCGGTGTTTGTGGAAGGGAGTATAATCGTTGGTTGTTTCTGTAGCTCGCCCTCCATCAACATGCAGTCCTCTTGATCACTAATTCCTGTGGTGGAAGCACATTCCATCTTGTCTTCCTCCCATTCCTCTGACACGTCCGCCTCCTCGCCCTCCTCTTCATAACAAGTAATATCAGAGGTACTTGGAACGACATCAGGATCTGAACGTAGAGTCTTTCGAACTGATGAAGAAGAAGGTTCTGCCATCTCACAGCTGGTTGAAGCATCTGTGGGTGTTTCAATAACCATCTCGTTGGATGAATGTTCCCTTCTTGTCAATGTGTTCATCTTCAGTCCCCTGCCTTTCTTCGGTATTCGCGATAGCACTTGGCCCTTGCGACTAGAAAAGCCGGGAAGGAAGCGTTTCATCACACTGGTTGGAACTACACAAATAATGAGCAAAAGGAGCGCACTGGTTGGAACTACACAAATAATGAGCGAGCACTGTATTATAGCACTTTCTGTTGGCAAAAGGAGCGCACTGGTTGGAACTACACAAATGAGCGAGCAGTGTATGTAGCACTTTGTGTTGGCAAAAGGAGCGCACTGGTTGGAACTACACAAATGAGCGAGCACTGTATTATAGCACTTTCTGTTGGCAAAAGGAGCGCACTGGTTGGAACTACACAAATGATGAGCGAGCAGTGTATGTAGCACTTTGTGTTGGCAAAAGGAGCGCACTGGTTGGAACTACACAAATGAGCGAGCACTGTATTATAGCACTTTCTGTTGGCAAAAGGAGCGCACTGGTTGGAACTACACAAATGATGAGCGAGCAGTGTATGTAGCACTTTGTGTTGGCAAAAGGAGCGCACTGGTTGGAACTACACAAATGAGCAAGCACTGTATTATAGCACTTTGTGTTGGCAAAAGGAGCGCACTGGTTGGAACTACACAAATGAGCAAGCACTGTATTATAGCACTTTCTGTTGGCAAAAGGAGCGCACTGGTTGGAACTACACAAAGAGCGAAGCACTGTATTATAGCACTTTCTGTTGGTAAAAGGAGCGCACTGGTTGGAACTACACAAATGATGAGCGAGCAGTGTATGTAGCACTTTGTGTTGGCAAAAGGAGCGCACTGGTTGGAACTACACAAATGAGTAAGCACTGTGTTGGCATTTTGAGCGTCTTTTGGGCGCTTTGCCAGCAACAAGTTCTTATTTACTTTCTGTTTTGACACACCCACGTTTTCAGCTTGGATAGTAGGAAGCAAAGCCTGCTCATAAAGAGCTGCCTTGAGTCTTATTTCTCTATTTTTTTTGGTTTGAGGTGTAAAAGCCTCACAAATTTCGCAAGCCTGGGAGAGATGGGCTTCTCCCAAGCACGCAACGCACTCCAAGTGCGCGTCGTTGTCCGGTATTTTGTTCGGACACAGAATACATTTCTTAAAAGAGGTAGTCATGCTTAAAATCTTTCTTCTCTGTACAAACTCGTGTTGTCGTTGCTGCCTTTTGAGGCGGATTAACAGAACTGGCCGGTAGCCCCGCGGTTGGGCTATTTATGGAGTGGAGAGAAAGGGGCGGGGTTACCTAACGGTCAGTGAGTTAGCTCGTGAGTGTCCGTTGCTGGCCTGCGCGAGCGCAGGGAATACCATTGGTGTGAATCACAGGCATACCACGCGGGGAAACTGTATTATAGCACTTTCTGTTGGCAAAAGGAGCGCACTGGTTGGAACTACACAAATGACAAACGCACACACAGCCACCGAAGACTCTTTTTTTTTTTAGAATATTTTTTGTATTTTTTTTAAGAATAAAAGACAGGTATTTTTAGAAAATATTCAGAAATGGAAAATTAACTAAAAACTGGCCCTGATGTGGACCAAACACAGCCACGAGACAGGGCAAATGAGAGCACACACCAACAGAAGAGTCTTTTCTTTTTTAGAATATTTTTTGTATTTTTTTTAAGAATAAAAGACAGGTATTTTTAAAAAATATTCAAAAATGGAAAATTAACCAAAAACTGGCCCTGATGTGGACCAAACACAGCCACGAGACAGGGCAAATGAGAGCACGCACCAACAGAAGAGTCTTTTCTTTTTTAGAATATTTTTTGTATTTTTTTAAAAACCAAAAACTGGCAAACACAGCCACGAGACAGGGCAAATGAGAGCACACAGCAACAGAAGAGTCTTTTCTTTTTTTAGAATATTTTTTGTTTTTTTTTTAAGAATAAAAGACAGGTATTTTTAAAAAATATTCAAAAATGGAAAATTAACCAAAAACTGGCCCTGATGTGGACCAAACACAGCCACGAGACAGGGCAAACTAGAGCACACACCAACAGAAGAGTCTTTTCTTTTTTAGAATATTTTTTGTATTTTTTTAAGAATAAAAGACAGGTATTTTTAAAAAATAATCAAAAATGGAAAATTAACCAAAAAATTTTAAGAAAGACAGAAGGAAGGAATGAATCCAAGCAAGGAATAATAAGCACTAAGCAGCAAGGAATGAATCCAAGCAAGGAATGAGCAAGGAATGAATCCAATCCAAGCAGTTGCAAGCCAACCCAATGCAAACCCTCCCGGACCTCTTCTCTTCTCCCTCGCCTCTGCAACAATGAGCTGTACGGCCGCGCGGAGCCGCTTTTAAAGGGCTTGCCGGCCAATCAGAAACAGCCACGGTGCACTGCTTGGGTGCTTGGGAGCGCCGGATTGGCTCCTAGGGCACCAGCATCCTCCATCCCATTTACGAAACGGGCGGAAGCTCGTTAAAAGTATGGGGGGTGCCGTTTCGTTATTTTAAAGCCCTTCCGGGTTTGAAAATGTGTTTTGTATTCATTTTGTAATTGCTAAAAATAACGAATATTTAACGAATTACAAAATTAACGAACGAAACCGCCCAGGCCTAGTAAACAAACATCATGCAAGACACTTTTTAGGGAGACCTGAGTCTAAGGAGCCAAAAACAACTTCTGAATGCGATGGCAGGCTGCATCCTCATTTCTCTAAACTGAAGAGCAGTTGCTTTTTGCTCATCATTCATAGCTTAAAGGCCACTGAATGACAAGCAATGAAGCAACTCAACTGTTACATGTTTTGAGTCTGTAATGAATCTCGCAGCAACCTCTTGAAAGAAAAGGTGATGGCCACTATGGGAATACAATGCCAGAATGAACTTTTAGTGTGATGTCCAGGATAAAAGTTGAAAATACAAAATATAGAACTGTGTTTAGCTGTTTTCCAGGCCTCCCAAATCCCAGAGGTGAACCTTATCTCAAAGAGGAACTTTCAGTTACCCTTTTATTAAGCCCTTGGGAATCCCATTAGATCAGGCATAGGCAAATTTGGGCCCTCCAGGTGTTTTGTACTTCAATTCCTAACAGCCTCAGGGCTTTCCTTTCCCCCCTCAGCCGCTTAAACTTAAGGCGAAAAGGAAGGGGCCTGAGGCTGTTAGGAATTGTGGGAGTTGAAGTCCAAAACACCTGAAGGGCTCAAGTTTGCCCATGCCTACATTAGATGGAACTTCAGTCAAAATGATGACAGGTCTATTACCAATCACCCTGACAGCTACCTAACAATATGAAACAGATTTATGTAAAACTAGCCGTCCCCTGCCACGCGTTGCTGTGGCCCACATGGGGGTTCTGTGTGGGAGGTTTGGCCCAATTCTATAGTTGGTGGGGTTCGGAATGCTCTGTGATTGTAGGTGAACTATAAATCTCAGTAACTACAACTCCCAAATGTCAAGGTCTATTTCCCCCAAACTCTATCTCTGTTCATATTTGGGCATATGGAATATTCGTGCCAAGTTTGGTCGAGATCCATCATGGTTCGAGTCCACAGTGCTCTCTGGATGTAGGTGAACTACATCTCCCAAACTCAAGGTCAATGCCCACCAAACCCTTCTAGTGTTTTATGTTGGTCATGGGTGTTCTGTGTGCCACTCTTGGTTCAATTCCATCGTTGGTGGGGTTCAGAATGCTCTTTGACTGTAAGTGAACTATAAATCCCGGCAACTACAACTCCCAAATGACAAAATCATTTTTTTTTTGAGTGAAGGGCATACATTGGGTTGTTAGGAGTCTTGTGTCCAAATTTGGTGTCAATTCGCCTAGTGGTTTTTGAGTTCTGTTAATCCCACAAACGAAGATTACATTTTTATTTATATAGATGAGATCTCAATAGCTTTGCATCGAAGTGTAGAAGGAAATTAAACCAACATGGGACATCAAGATAATTATCATCATCATCATTATCAGCAACAAAAACTCTAATTTGCCTACTAAGAATGTTGAATATTTTTCAGATATCATAAAGTCATACCTTTATGTTGGTTCTGCTTTTTCCTGAGGGCTTGTAGGTTTTCTTCTACAACTGTCTCTTTATTATTCTGTCAAAAAGAATTGTAGAATTGTGACATTTAATTAATCTTTTTATTTGCCTGTATTTTGTTGCATAATAGCTGGCACCACATATAAATTGCACTCCCATTATTGGGGTTCCAACACTGGGATTTTTGATGTTCCTCGTGTAATAGTCACAATCATCCACCCACGTGCCTGAGCACTTTGCAACTCCCTTCAGCTGGCAACAGAAGCTGCAAAAACGACTCAGCATGTAATTGTCGCACCCACCCCCCTTTTTAAATAAAAAAATGGGGAGGGGGAAGTGGCCTATTATGCGGTGAAATATGGTACTTGCTTTTACCCCATACTTTCCCCAGGGAACTCTTCATCCATACTCATAAAGTAAATTGAGTTGAGAGGCAGTGATCTCCCAAGGTCACATAGAATCATAGAGTTGGAAGAGACCTCATGGGCCATCCAGTCCAACCCCTTGCCAAGAAGCAGGAATATTGCATTCAAAGCACCCCTGTCAGACAGCCATCCAGCCTCTGTTTAAAAGCTTCCAAAGAAGGAGCCTCCACCACACTCCGGGGCAGAGAGTTCCACTGCTGAACAGCTCTCACAGTCAGGAAGTTCTTCCTCATGTTCAGATGGAATCTCCTTTCTTGTAGTTTGAAGCCATTGTTCTGTGTCCTAGTCTCCAAGGAAGCAGAAAACAAGCTTGCTCCCTATGACTTCCTCTCATGTATTTATACATAGCTATCTTGTCTCCTCTTAGCCTTCTCTTCTTCAGGCTTAACATGCCCAGCTCTTTAAGCCGCTCCTCGTAGGGCTTGTTCTCCAGACCCTTGATCATTTTAGTCGCACTCCTCTGGACACATTCCAGGTTCTCAGTATCTCTCTTCAATTGTGGTGCCCAGAATTGGACACAATATTCCAGGTGTGGCCTAACCAAGGCAGAATAGAGGGGTAGCATGACTTCCCTAGATCTAGACACTATGCTCCTATTGAGGCATGCCAAAATCCCATTGGCTTTTTTTGCCACCACAGAGAATGTTTCCTACATAAGGGGAGATCTGATCATTCATCAGGAACTTTAAGAGAAAAATTGAACTGCCAGGGAGGCTATTGTTGACCCACTACATTCACAAAAAACCTATCTTGTTATAAAAGAAGCACCAAAATGTTTAAGCATGTATCAACAATTTGAACACATATGTAAGGAAAATGTAGGAGGAGAACGGGGTGCTCCACAGCAGGCAACAACCTCTGCTTCGTCCAGCCCAGATGCATGGGCCTATATCTGGATCTGAGACAATGGCTGCAGCTATGTCTATGCATTTACACAAGCGTAGTATTTCCAAAGATTCAGCACTCAGCTTATTCCTAGCCCCAGGTGGAACTTTATATAGCACCGGAGACATTGTTACAGTCAGAAACTGGCACAGAACTAAAGCAAACTCTGCTTTGAATATCCCGTAGACTCAGTATTTTGCCTTACAAGAGTTTAATGTCACATAGCCAGACTAGCCTGATGCTGTAAGTCCGGCACAACCCAGGGCTTTTTAAGAGTCTTATAAGTGCCTCACTGGAAGACTTGGTCACTGAAAAATGCAGCAATTGTTAGACCTTCATTACCATTTTTTGTCTAGTCGAGGGAGATTTCATGAGGACTGGGGACCTTGCCCTCTTACGCTCGTCATCTAGAAATCAAGTCAAAAGGTAAAGAATTACACTTCATCATACCATTTGCTTTATTACTAATCCACACAAATATCTATTTATCTATATCTATATAGATTAGAATGTCACCAACTCTGTGGAGTGGCCATCCAATATAAAATCAATATGACACATTAGAATTATTTTTCTTTCCTTTTCAACTTTATTACAAGTTTAGGGGTAAGAAATGAGTCATCTAGTGAGCTCACACTGTCACAAAAAAGAGACTGAAGGAATGGCTGCTTGTCGTAAAACAGACCTCTTCCTTTTCAATTAAAGGTAAAGGTTTCAAGTCTGACTCTGAGTGGTGGTGCTCATCTCTATTTCTAAGCTGAAGAGCTGGTGTCTGTAGATGCCTGCTAGATCATGTGACCGGTATGACTGCATGGAGCACTGTTACCTTCCCACCAGAGCAATACCTATTGATCTACTCACATGTGCATGTTTTTGAACTGCTAGATTGCCAGAAGCTAGGGCTATAAGTGGGAGCTCACCCCGACCCATGGATTCGGACTGCTCATCAGCAACTTTATTTATTCTTTATTTATTTACGGCATTTATATCCCGCCCTTCTCACCCCGAAGGGGATTCAGAGTGGCTTGCAATATATATTTTCATACAATATATTATATTATTAGCATAGTACAATATCAGTATTATATATTACTATAGTGCACTATACCATTATATTGTAATATTATTACTAATATTACATGTAATGTCAATATATAATTATAATTATATTATTGTATTATTATTACTAGTATTATATTGCATTATATTATAATTTTATAAATATTACATGTATATACAATATACTATATTATATTATTAGCAAAGACAAGATGGAAGTGTCTGCAGTCTAGCGGTTTAACCCTCTGTGCCACCACGGCCCCTTCCTTTTCAATTACTGTACTGTATACTGTCTAGCCGATATTGCACCACCTGACATCCGCCGGGAAGTAGCAGCCAATAGTGAAAGGACCAAGGCAGAGACATCTCCAGCTCATCCCTGTTTGGGTATCAGCCAGCACACCAACGACTTAAATCTAGAAATAGTTTTCTAAGATCTACAGAGACACTCGCTGGAACACCTCAGCAAGCGAGAGTCCAAAAGTGGCAGGCTCAAACCCAGAACCTCAACCAATGGCTGATACCAAATGAGAGACTCCCCCCTGGGCACACAGAAAACTGGGCGACTTGGAAGGCGCTGAACAGACTGCTCTGGCACCACGAGATGCAGAGCCAACCTTAAGAAATGGGGCTACAAAGTGGAATCCACGACATGCGGGTGTGGAGAAGAGCAAACTACAGACCACCTGCTGCAATGCAACCTGAGCCCTGCTACATGCACAATGGAGGACCTTCTTGCAGCAACACCAGAGGCACTCCAAGTGGCCAGCTACTGGTCAAAGGACATTTAATCAACTACCAAGCTTTTTTTGTGTTTTGTCTGTTTGTTTGTTTGTTTTTGTTAAAAAATGTAATACAAATGTCTGTTTGCTGGTGACACGATAAATAAATAATACTGTACTTAAATTCAATGTGTGCAGCGATCAACGAGGGAGGATTTTTGGGACAGAAGGTCATTCAGTCAAAAAGAACACAGAGTCCTCAAAACAGCAGGGGTGATGAAAATACTTCACAATAATTTGGAATAAGAAGTTAAAATATACATATGCAATGGATTTAAAAGAAAATTGGCTTACGATGTTTCATCGATGGTGTGTCACACCTAAAAAACTAGAATTAATGTATAAAAATATGGATAAAAATGTTGGAAATGTCATGAGGTAGAGGGTAGTTTCATACGTGGTGGTCTTGTAAAAAAGCTCAAAATTATTGGAAAAATATACATGAAGAAACACAAAAAAAATTGAAAATATCATTCCTAAGAAAACCAGAGTATTACTTATTAAATATTACGGATTTAGAATTCACTTCGGACCCAAATAAAGACATCTTATTTACTTATATTTCGACGGCAGCAAGGATATCATGCAAGAATTTGGAAAATGGACAAAACTCCAGAAATAGAAAATTGGACAGATAAATTACAGGTGATCAAAGATATGGACAAATTAACTTTCTTTTTGAAGAAAAACTCGAGAAAACAAATAAAAGAGACAAACTGGTCATCATTTGAAAACTATTTAATGAAAAGAAGTCAATAGGACAAATAACAATAAAACTACTCTCTGAGATTTTTTTAGACAAATGAGTGAAGAAGAAGAATCCTCAGAGAGAAGTGAGAAAAGACAAACATATTATAAGCGAAGACACAGAATGGAAGTCAAACAATTATTGTGTGTGGTTTTTTTTCTTTTTTCTCTTCTCTTTTCCTATATTGATTTCTAAAATTTCTTACTATCCTATAACCAAATGTTCCCCCACTTTCCTTGTAAATCTCTTTCTTTTAAGGATATGTATAACTTAATAAAATTTATTTGAAAAAAAAAGAAAAGCAAATATTTCACAACCACCTCTGACTTGTTTTAATCCCACAAGAATCCTTTTTAAACAACAGTTGATATGCTTCAGAGGGCCTAAGGATCCTATTGAGTCAGGTTTTTAAAATAAGGGAAACCTCAAAATTTGTCTCAATGGTATATTTTTCTCATTCATGATTTAAAAAGAAGTGATGGGGACAGACAACACCACCGAAAGGGTCTACTCCTTAAGTGGAGTGTCTGATGCTACCTAACCACACCACCAGTCACTGTCTCTTTGGCAATGAGTACTACAACTTTAAATGCATTCTCCAAAAGGCTCTGTCTTATGCTTTGGGACAGTTGCTGATCCAATTCCAGAAGAAACTGACAGAAATAACAAAGCAATTGAAGAAACTCACCATAAAAACCGTTTTTCTTGGCAGGGTCATGATTTGGACAAAACACTCTGAAAACAATGGAGAAATGTTGAGAGAAAATAATAATTATTATTGGTATTAATATAGAGGTTTTCATCCTTTGCAAAACAAATGTAAAAACAATAGGATTCACTGGAAAAGAGTGCCTGATTCAGGTGAAACATGGGTTCTATGTATACTGATGCACAGTACCAGGGAATGTGACCCATAAGCGGTTAGCAAGATGTGTCACTATGGATCGTGTACATTGATATGTACAGAGATCAGTGTTCACCAACAATACAGTGATAATGTGTTGTTGAAGGCATTCATGGCCAGAATCACTGAGATGCTGTGAGTTTTCTGGGCTGTACGGCCATGTTCCAGAAGCATTCTCTCCTGGCATTTCGCCCACATCTATGACAGGCATCCTCAGAAGTTGTCTGCCATAAATGTGGACGAAATATCAGAAGAATGCCTCTGGAACATGGCCATACTGTTCCATACAGCCTGGAAAACTCACAGCAACCCAATACAGTGACACCTTGACTTAAGAGTCCAATTGTTCCATGACTGAGCTCTTAACTCACAACACTCTTATCTCAAAGCTTATTTTCCCATTTAAACACTATTAATCCGTTCCAGCACCCCATCCCCAACCCCATTTTTGTTCCATTTTTTTAAAAAAAGAATGACTTTATAAATAGCAAATAATGTATAACTGCACATTCACATGGAAAATAAAAAAAGAAAGATCAACTTTAATATGGTAGAAGCACAAAGTTGTGGGAAGGAAGCACAAAGTAAAGAGGCAGAAGCATCTTCTTCATACTGTACTCATTCCAGCCCCCCTCCCTCCCTCCCTTAAGTCAAACCTATCAAGAAAAACCACACAAAAACAACTATCCCAAAGTTCCTAAAAGCGGACAGCAGTCTCCCAAAGTGTAGAAGAGCACTAGACATGGAGGTTGCTCCCTTGAACCTCTAAAGCCCTCACGCTTGCACTCCATTGGCAGAAACAGCTCAGTTATCTGACCGGGTCAAGATGAACGGCAGTTCTACAAATTCCCATCCCTGTTATAGTCAGTTTAATTACATTTTAATTAAAATATTTTGTACATTTTTATGTTACAGTATTTGTTTTGATTCTGTAATTTTTTGAGACTTGGTTCTGGGGGGATGGCAAATAATAATAATAATAATAATAATAATAATAATAATAATAATAATAATAATGTCATCTTTATTTGTACCCTGCTACCACCTCCCCAAGGGACTCGGTGTGGCTTACATGAGGCCAAGCCCAGAATACATCAATAAACAAAACATCAATAAACAAAACAATCAATGAAATACAAATCATATAAATCACATGAACAAAAAATAAGCACTAAACAATCAACATATAAACATTTAAAACAATTGATCAGGCCAAATGTAATAGGTTAAAATTAAAAATCATGCCAATGTGAACAAGATAGGATATTACTGGGATAGGGTTTTCAGAGAGAAATGAGGGAACGCAGTCAATCCTAAATCAGTGTTAAAGTGCATTTTGAGGGCATAATCCTGAGAGTTTTCCTTATTCTGGGAAGGCACACTGGAACAACCACGTTTTCAGACTCCTCCTAAAGACTGCCAGCATTGGGGCATGCCTGATGTCCTTGGGAAGTGAGTTCCAGAGTCGGGGGCCACGACTGAGAAGGCCCTCTCCCTCATCCCCACCAATCGCGCCTGCAAAGGAGGTGGGAGCGCGAGCAGGGCCTCTCTAGACGATTGAAGAGATTGTGTGGGTTTGTTCACAGAAATGCGGCAATCAATCAATTAATGCTTCTCATATCAAACAAGTAAACTTCTTAAGAAATTATGTTGTTAAATACCGGTAAGTGCCTTTCACACCATCGGTTTCTATTGCTGCATCATCACATAGTGCACAGAAATAATGATAGCCTCTGCGACAGTGTTTTATCTCACAGCCAACGGTAGCTCCTTTCTTGCGACAGAAATAGCACATCTGTAACAAAAAGAGAATCTGGAATTGCAATCATAGTTTAAATGCAACAATCCCAGCTTTTTAGAATAGAGTAGGAAACCAAAGACTAGATGCATGCATTTCTCTGACATTTCCCACCCCTTACTCTGAATCCAATGCTGTCATCCTTATTAAACGAAACCAGTTTTGTTTTGTTTTGTTTTGTTTTTTAAAAAATTGAAATGATGGGAGCCTGTAGATTAATTTCACTTTGCTTAACAGGGATAAGAAGCCACTTAACACAACTGAGCAGAGACAATTGGGGCAAAGTGTTTCACTTTTGTTTCCCAGATAATTAAGACAGCTATCATGAAAGGGCTGTTGAACTGCTGCTTGTCACAAACTTCTATGAAACTGCAGTTCAAGTGAAGATTTTCCCCTTTCACCCCAATCCAATAAATACAGATTTACATTTATGTCTGTCCTCTCTTATTTAAAATGTACGGCTGAGGTCTGAGACTGTTAAATCATCTTTTTTTAAAGGTGCTGTTGGAGCATTTATGGCTGATGGGTTTTAATAATAAACCAACTGAACAATCAATCCAAAAGGTTTTATATCACACTTTCAGATCAGCTACCAGTAGGACAGTTTTCTTATCCCAATAATTAACGCCTTCTTGCTTCTACTACCCTTGTTAATATTTCCGGGTTAACCAACTAAAAGTGGCCTGGCTTTGCTTCTTTCTTTTTCATCTCAAATTATACCAGATGAAGGTTTATCAGTTAAGTTGCTATGAGTTTTCCGAGCTGTAGGGCCATGTTGCAGAAGCATTCTCTCCTGTTGTTGTACCCACATCTATGTCAGGCTTCCTCAGAGGTTGTGAGGCCTGTTGGAAACTAATTTATTTCATATATTTATATCCCACCCTTCTCCCCACAAGGGGGACTCAGCGCGGCCTCACATGAGCATCAGAGGATGCTAACAGCATAAATACCATAAAAATTACAATTCACAATAAAATCATTTTAAAACATTTTATAACATCATCCGTAAAATTTAACAATCAATTAATAGATTAACGTGCCAGTACAACCAAGTCGAGCCGGGATAATCCATATCGCAAAATCCAAATTTCCTTTTCCTTTTGCCGCTGGCCTCTAATCAAACGCCTGGCCCCAGAGCCAGGTCTTCAGTTGTCTTCTATAAGCAAGTTGGGTGGAATATATATCTGTGGAATGTCCAGGGTGGGAGAAAGAACTCTTGTCTGCTGGAAGCAAGTGTGAATGTTATAATTGGCCAGCTTAATTAGCACTGAATAGCCTTGCATCTTCAAAGCCTGGCTGCTTCCTGCCTGAGGGAATCCTTTGTTGGGAGGTGTTAGCTGGCCCTGATTGTTTCCTGCCTGGAATTCCCGTTTTCTGAGTGTTGTTCTTTATTTTTCGGTTAATTTCCACCTAAGAACACAGGGTAGCACACTGAATATTAAGGTATGTTTCCAGTTTACCTTGTGTATTCTGAATTTCCTTTAAAGAGAACTACAGATTAGCCAGGGACACAGCAATGCAAACACACTGAATTCAACATTTATTCAAGCGACGATTTTACCATGGAAAGATTAAAAAATGGAATGTGGAATATTGGAATTTGTTTGATCAGGTCCAAATGGTCAATATAGTGTGTCTAACTCGAGATGATGTGCAGGAGGACAAGAAAGAAATTAAAGAGGAATGGTTGGCCTGCATAGAATGGATAAAAAGTGGGGAAGCCAATGTAAATATTGTACAAAGAATAAGAAAACTGTGTTCATTGTTAAAGACATACAGGAAAATGTGATATGGGGTGGAGAGGGGGGAAAAGTGAAAGGAATAATCACATTCTAAAGAGATGAATAGATAATATAGAAATGCTGCATTCTATAAAATGCGTATATGCAATAGCTGTATATTATCTACTAGCTGTCCCCTGCCATGCATTGCTGTGGCACAGTCAGTGTATGTGTTCTCTCTGTGTGTATATATGTGTGTGTGTGTGTATTTGTGTGTTTGTGTATATATATGTGGTTTTGCACATGCGTTGAAATGCTTTTTGGGGCTTTTTTAGTCTCTTCTGCTGTGTTTTTCAGTGTTTTTATGAGTGATGGTCATTTGTTGGCCTGATACATGTCTTGTGTCCAAATTTGGTGTCAATTCGTCCAGTGGTATTTGAGTTATGTTAATCCCACAAACAAACATTACATTTTTATTTATATAGATTTACAGATTGTGCTATTATACAGTTAATAAAATAAAAATGATTTCAAATAAAAAAAATTAAAAATATAGATAAGTACAATATAGGCAGTCCCCGAGTTACAAAACATCCAACTTACAAACAATTCGTAGATACGAATGGGGCAGAGGCAGCCAGCTGGGGAGTGGGGAAGCTAGCTCGCTGTTCCAGGCAACTGGCTTGAGTTCTGTTCAGACTTACAAACAAATTCAACTTAAGAACAAACCTACAGAATATATCTTGTTTGTAAATTGGGGACTGCCTGTAATATGAGTAGCAAGTATCTCACCAGCCTCCTCCCTCTCTTTATTTCATTCACTACTGAAGCCACCTTGAACCGTATTTCAACATTGTCCGAATTGTGTTCTTCAGACTCCACAAATCCTGAGGAATACAACTGCAAAAGAATAAAAAACCAGAAATAAGACAGAAACTTCTTAGTTAGGAGATGACAACATAAACCAACAAAACCCACCAGTTAGCACCAGCTGAAGATTTAAGTCAGTATTTTCTGAAAGATTTGCACACACGCTCCCCACTCATCACATTATTCACTGATCTGCATGTTATCATTGTTATTGTTAATGTCACCACTAACCATGCCACAGAAAACTGACCTATGCTTTCCTTTTTAAAACCAAAATCCAAGCCATGTAGCATCTAGCAAAGGGCTAATAAAAATAATAATGGTAGAATTAGTCAAACATAAAGGGAGTCCAAGAAATTCACAAAAACAGGGTGGGAGGAATTAAAAGGTGCATTGGTGGTAGTAGTAGTAGCTTGATAGTAGCCGTTTATTTTCCGAGCCCAATTTAAGCTGCAGGTGCTTACCTACAAAGCCCTAAACGGTTTGGGACCATCCTACCTGCGTGACCGCATCTCCATTTATGAACCCACGCGCTCACTTCGTTCATCCGGAGAGGCCCTGCTCGCGATTCCGCCTACGTCGCAGGCGCGTTTGGTGGGGACGCGAGACAGGGCCTTTTCTGTGGTGGCCCCCTGACTCTGGAACACCTTCCCCAAAGATCGTAGACAGGCCCCTTCATTGGCAGTCTTCAGAAAGAACTTGAAGACCTGGCTGTTCTGATGTGCCTTTCCAGAATAGGAAAACTCCATCAATAAGTCCCAGAAGCACTTTATTAGAAATTAAGATCACTGGCACACTGCACACTATAATCCTTACATATCACCTGTCACATCAGCACTTTTAATCTGTACCCATTGCTCTGGCCCGGCCCAGTTTTATTGTGTCTTGGTGTATTGTTTATTGCTTGTTGTTAATATTGCTTTAACTGTTTTTAATTTGCTTTAGGTTGTGTATTGTTATGTTGTGTTTTGAGGCCTTGGCCTTTGTAAGCTGCATCGAGTCCTTCGGGAGATGCTAGTGGGGTACAAATAAAGTTAATAATAAATAAATAAATAAATAAATAAATAAATAAATAAATACTTGTGCATTATTGCTTCTATTGCTGCAGTTATCCCAAATTGCAAATGAAAGTTTCCAGGTGGCTTGTGTCAAAAATTTTGTTTTGGAAATAATGTCATTATTCCTCTTGTTAATGCAAAATCAATCTGTTATGAATGGGGCCTATGGTGGCACAGCGGGTTAAACTGCTGAGCTGCTGAACTTGCTGAACGAAAGGTCAGCTGTTTGAATCTGGGGAGTGGGATAAGCTCCCGCTATTAGCCCCAGCTTTTGCCAACCTAGCAGTTCAAAAACATGCAAATGTGAGTAGATCAATATGTACCGCTTCGTCGGGAAGGTAATGGCACTCCCTGCAGTCATGCTGGCCACATGACCTCGGAGGTGTCTACAGACAATGCCGACTCTTCAGCTTAGAAATGGAGATGAGCACCACCTCCCAGACTCTGACACAACTAGACTTAATGTCAAGGGAAACCTTTACCTTTATGATGAATGGAAGTGGTAGTCTTAATTGCAATTGGGGATAAAAATGCTAAGACATTTCAGAACATAAAGGAGGAAGATTGACAGCACAGTGACTGCCTCACATTTCTCATTTGTTCAGTTTATACATCTGCATTTTGCTTCTTTAAAAAGTTATCGGAAGTGGACTCTTGCCTAGAAGTTTCTCAACAAAGAGCAACATTTTCCCAAAACCTTTATATTATTGAAATACAGGGTTGCTGGTGTATTTGATTTTTTAAAAAGAAATGTTGAGGATTATCAACACAATCCACATTAAAGAAACAGATGTATTTGACAAGATCACAAAACAGCATTCATGCATTTCTGAGAGTCCTTGTGAGCTCAGGCATGTTAGAAGCAGAAAATTGATCCCCAGACATTCCACAAATGCCCACTCCTGTCCAAGATATATAGTAGAGTTCCACTAAAATAACTAGTTTTAAAATCAGAATTGTGACGTTTCTATACAGTTTTGGACCAATGTTGAACTTTGGAGTTTTTAGGAGGACCGCACATTGGATATATAATTGTTAGGTATTTTGGGTAATGCTACAAACTCCATAGAGAAAAGGATCACATACAATTAAAAGGTGAAATTGCTCTGATCTCTCTCTGCACATTCTCTCATTTTCTAGTCAATCATTTTGGACACGGCTAGAATGCCTTTGTAAAGCTCACCAGACAATCCTGATGGACTGCAAGATCTTGTCCTTCGGCAACATACATAATGGCACATTCCTCATCTTCAGGGCAAAATGCACACCGTCTTCTTACCATCTCCGCCATTATCACGGTCTGCCTTTAAAAAGGATTTCAAAGATTAATACAAAACAAAACTATCCCTTGTCTTAAGGAGGATAAAAGTAGTCAAAGGCATCGAAGCAATATTCAAGCAAAAGATCTTCAAATATACCATTCAAACAACTTTCGAAGCCTTAACACTGCTTTCAAAGCATCATAGAATCACAGACCAATTTTAAGATTGCCCAAGGGACTAAAATCCGCCATCCAGTTAAGTTCAAAACAGCAATTCTCTTTTCACAAAAAGCTCTTGCAACTTGCTATTAAAAGTGCTGGCCATGACAGTGGAAAACAAAACTCAGGGAGAAGTCCTGTCTATGCACTGGAGTAATTTCTTTAGAATTTTTTTAATATTCTTTAAGCTCCAGTAGAAAATCAGATGAGAACATGCAGATGACCCCTTCATAAATGCATTTTCTGCCCAGGTGTTGGCTACATGGGCCAATAGTCAAATTATATGTAAGGTACCAAAAACTGAGGAGGTATTAATTGCTGGAAGAAACATTAACAACCTCAGATATGCAGATGACACCACTCTGATGGCCGAAAGTGAGGAGGAGCTGAGGAGCCTTCTAATCAAGGTGAAAGAAGAAAGCGCAAAAGCTGGGTTGCAGCTAAACATCAAAAAAACCAAGATTATGGCAACAAGAATGATTGACAACTGGGAAATAGAGGGAGAAAATGTGGAGGCAGTGACAGATTTGTATTTCTAGGTGCAAAGATTACTGCAGATGCACACTGCAGCCAGGAAATCAGAAGACGCTTACTTCTTGGGAGGAGAGCAATGTCCAATCTCGATAAAATAGTAAAGAGTAGAGACATCAGACTGGCAACAAAGAACCGCATAGTCAAAGCCATGGTATTCGCTGTAGTAACCTACGGATGTGAGAGCTGGACCTTAGGGAAGGCTGAGCGAAGGAAGATAGATGCTTTTGAGCTGTGGTGTTGGAGGAAAGTTCTGAGAGTGCCTTGGACTGCGAGAAGATCCAACCAGTCCATCCTCCAGGAAATAAAGCCCAGCTGCTCGTTGGAGGGAAGGATACTAGAGACAAAGAAAACAAGCTTGCTCCCTCCTCCCTATGACTTCCTCTCGCATATTTATACATAGCTATCATGTCTCCTCTCAGTCTTCTCTTCTACAGGCTAAACAAGCCGTTCCTCATAGGGCTTGTTCTCCAGACCCTTGATCATTTTAGTTGCTCAATTGCTCCCAGTGCAGCCCCCAGCATTGTAGTTATTGAATATATTTGCTGTTTTAATGTGTTATTGTAATATGAATTATGTTGTTTTACTGACTGTATGTGATTTTATGGTTGGAAACCGGTCTGAGTCCCTCAAAAGAGGTGAGAAGGTCGGTATACAAAACTTTTAAATAAATAAATAAATAAATAAAGTTGAAGTACTTTGGCCACATCATGAGGAGACAGCAAAGCCTAGAGAAGACAATTATGCTGGGGAAAGTGGAAGGTAAAAGGAAGAGGGACCGCCCAAGGGCAAGATGGATGGATGGCATCCTTGAAGTGACTGGACTGACCTTGAAGGAGCTGGGGGTGGTAACGGCCGACAGGGAGCTCTGGCGTGGGCTGGTCCATGAGGTCACGAAGAGTCGGAGATGACTGAACGAATGAACAACAAACTGGACCCTGTTTAATTGTGTGGTCCTTACTTTGAAAGTTGTTGTTATATTCCAGAAACTTAGTTTTTGTGGCTGCCATAAACTCTGCTGAAGTAGCTGAGACTCAATGAGAAGCTCATTGAAAAACTAGAGCAAAATGTGCAGTTTAAACTTTCCCCATATGTTTATGACAGAATCAATTAGGAAGTGACATGTAGAATCCAGATACAAAAATCGTGTTACTGAAGCCCCTTCCACACTGCTGTATAAAATCCCACATTATTCAAGAGAGATATTGACAAGCTGGAATGTGTCCAGAGGAGGGCGACTAAAATGATAAAGGGTCTGGAGAACAAACCCTATGAGGAGCGGCTTAAGGAGCTGGGCATGTTTAGCCTGAAGAAGAGAAGGCTGAGAGGAGATATGATAGCCTCCTCCCTGTGAGAGAAAGCCACAGGGAGGAGGGAGCAAGCTTGTTTTCTGCTTCCTTGCAGACTAGGACTTGGAACAATGGCTTCAAACTACAAGAAAGGAGATTCCATCTGAACATGAGGAAGAACTTCCTGACTGTGAGAGCCGTTCAGCAGTGGAACTCTCTGCCCCGGAGTGTGGTGGAGGCTCCTTCTTTGGAAGCTTTTAAACAGAGGCTGGATGGCCATCTTTTGGGGGTGCTTTGAATGCAATATTCCTGCTTCTTGGCAGGGGGTTGGACTGGATGGCCCATGAGGTCTCTTCCAACTCTTTGATTCTATGATTATCTGCTTTGAACTGGAATATATGGCAGTGTGGACCACTTCAAAGCAGATTATTGTGGGATTTTCTGCCATGGTATTCTGGGTTCTAGGGCTGTGTGGAAGGGAAAGGGAAGCTGAAGGGAAAGTGAAACTGAGACGTGCTCCCTTTCTGTTCCACCTCAGTTCGGCCTGGAAGAAAGGCACTCCCTTTGGGGACTTCGCTCCTGGTCGGTTTCCCCTCAGGTTTCTTCAGAGGGCCTTTTGCCTTGACCTCCATCCGAGGCTGAGAGAGTGTGACCCGACAGAAGCCAGCAAGTGGGTTTCCATGGCTGAGCTAGCGCCAGACTGGCCACAGGAGAGGGGGGGGAGGCTCCTTCGCAAGGAAGGACACACAGAAACAGCTGCCTGGCTGCCATTTCCTACCTACCTCCCTCCTTCCGTCCTCGCGCCTTACCGTTTTCCTGGGAAGCATAAGCTGAGTGTCAGCCAAGGATCCTCGCGCCGTGCTGACGTCGCCGGGCCTCCCACGCATGCGTCTGACGTCACCACGCTCCTCCCGACCTCAACTGCTCCCAGTGCAGCCCCAGCATCCCTTTTGGTGATGCTCATAACAGCCAGGCTCAAACTCTGAACCCCTCTCTACACTGCCATCCAAATGATCTGCTTTGAACTGGGTTATATGGCAGTATATGGCCATATAACCCAGAATATTAGGCAAAAAATTCCCACAATATCTACTTTGAATGGGGTTATCTGAGTCCACGCTGCCATATATCCCAGTTCAAAGTAGCTAATGTAGGATTTTATTCAGCTGTGTGGAAGGGGCCTCAAACACTGCTGCCTCTTCTTCACTGGTATATAAAATCCTCAAAGCCAACTTGGTTTTGGCCAAATTAGTCGCTCTACTCCGAACTCAAGTACGGAAAACAAAATGTTGGAGGACAGGAAAAGAGATTCAAAGATAGGCTCAAAGCCAACCTTAAAAGCTCTGGCATAGACACTCAGAACTGGGAAGCCCTGGCCTTTGAGTGCTCCAGCTGGAGGTCAGCTGTGACCAACAGTGCTGCAGAATTCGAAGAGGCACGAATGGAGGGTGAAAGAGAAACGTGGCAAGAGGAAGGCACGTCAAGGCAACCCCGACAGGGACCGCCTTCCACCTGGAAACCGATGCCCTCACTGCAGGAGAAGATGCAGATCAAGAATAGGGCTCCACAGTGACCTACGGACCCACCGCCAGGATACTGATTCTGGAAGACTGGTTGATCCAGCAGTCACCAGCCAATCCCTTTCCAATGCCAGAGCTCCAGTATGCTGATGACAATGTCGTCTGTGTGCATTCAGAGGAAGACCTACAATCCAGTCTAAACACCTTCACAGAAGCTTACGGGAAGCTCAGCCTGTCATTAAACATCGAGAGAACCAAAGTGCTCTTCCAGCAGTCACCGGTCAATCCCTGTCCAATGCCAGGGATACAGCTTAATGGTGCAACATTAGAAAATGTTGACCATTTCCACTACCTTGGCAGCCACCTCTCCACCAAAGTCAACATCAACACCGAGGCGTCCCCTGGGCAACGTCCTTGCAGACGGCCAATTCTCTCACACCAGAAGTGACTTGCACTTACTCAAGTCGCTCCCGACACAAAAAAAAAAAAACCTTTATAACTACTCTCAATTTGCTTCTGCTATGATAAATAAAATCCACATTATCTGCTTGGAACCAGATTATATGAGCCTTCACGGCCATACAATCAAGTTCAAAGCAAATCATCTGGGTTGCAGCAGGCGAGTCAATCTCCCCAAAGCCCCTTCCACATTGCTGTATAAAATCCACATTGAACTAGATTATATGGCAGTGCAGACAAAGGGCCCTTCCACACAGCCATATAACCAATATCAAGGCAGATAATCCACAATATCTACTTTGATCTGGGTTATTGGAGTCCACACTGCCATATAACCCAATTCAAAGCAGATGTGGGATTTTATTCAGCTGTGTAGAAGGGCCCCCAGTTCAAAACAGATATTGTGAATTATCTGCCTTGATATACTAGGTTATATGGCTGTGTGGAAAGGCCCTCAGATTATCCAGTTTAAAACATGTGGATTATCTGTCTTGATATTCTGGGTTATATGGCTGTATGGCATTTCCATGTAGGGACTCACACTGTGGAGAGGCACCAACAGAAATTGATGACCATATTAAGTTAAATGGAAAGATATTTTATTATTATTATTATAATTATTATATTTCCAAAACCACACCCTATTTCTATAGCAACTGTCATATACAAGAAAACCCCCAGAAAGGTACAACAGTAAAAGCTATTATCTAAATAATAACAGACATCTAAAGTGCAATCATCCTAAAATCCAATGAGTTTTAAGTAAAGACCAAACATCAAGAAGTTTTTGTTCAATTTCTAACATCCTTCAAACATATAGCAAGTTTAGACCCCTTCCAGACAGCCCTTATATCCCAAGATCTGATCCCAAGTTATCTGTTTATCTCAGATTATCTGAATCTGGAATTTTGGAGAAACATCCAAAAACTCATAGTTAAGAATGAGGGTGAGACAATAGGAAATGAGAGCAATCTATCCCTCGGAAGGGAAATTCACTCCTCAGAGTTATCATGGGGAAAACACGTCTCCACTGGAGCTTTCTCACCAATCCTTGTTTCCATAATAAACCACAAGGACAAAAAGTGAGGTGAAATCTACTGAACAGGGGCACAGATAGGAAAAAATGCCATAGAGTGTATTTTGTGTTTAAAGTACAATCTTATTTCCATTATCTACATATATACAATTTCGGGTATTCCAAAATCTGAACATGAAATACAAGACACATCTAATCCCAAGCATTTCAGATAAGGGATACTCAATCTGTGTTAGTTTAGATGGACTACATGTTTGATCCAGGATTAGGCACCTTGTTATATGGCTGTGATGTCATTGAGAGTAATTTAAAATGTCCTAATGTGAGCAGTTATATAAAACTAAACACTCTTCTCCAGTTTGTCTTCCAGCTTGTTTATTTATTTATTTGTTTGTTTGTTTAGGGCTTTTATATCCCATCCTTTCTCAACTTCTGCAGAGGGACTCAAGACGGCTAACAAAGTGGCACCCCATGGTGCCCACATCAAAACATAAATATACAATTAACAGTAATGTAATAATAACAATATAAAACAGTATAAACAGTTTCTCCATGACGAGGTGAATCAAATCACTGCCATTTTTGGAATATGAATATGGCGCCTTTATTTTTAAAAGTATTATTAAGAGTAACATCCTAACATTGATAAAATGTGACCTCTTGAAATCACCACCAAACTATGGTGCAATACTTGCTATCACCCTTAGAAACACGTGATTATGTCAACTGGCCCACAGAATGAGAACTTCTTGTGAATCTGGACTAAGACACAATCATTCTACAGTATTTTTTTTCTGCACTTCAGAGCCTTGCAGTAACAAGGTGTCTCTATTTCGGGCACACTTCCAGGTTCATAGCCATAATCCCACGTGAGTTCGGTTCCAGCTTTTACATGCCTAGGAAGCAAATAGATCATAGTTAATAAAATGGTGATACTTAAAGACCAACTGCAATTACTTTTTGTCTAGGTAATTTTTAATGGAAGGATGTCAAAATTAGAATTTTCATTCCTTACTTTCAGCTACTCTTAATTAACATCATCTTAGGTATAGTTAGTAACTGAAGTTAATCTAAGGCCCCTTTTACATTGTCATATAAAATCCAGATTATCTGCTTTGAACTGGATTATCTGGCAGTGTAGAAGGGGCCTAAGGCAAGAATAGGTAAACTAGCATTTTGAGTCTAAGGCCTCTTCTACACTGATATATAATCAAGATTATAAAAGCAAATAATCCACATTATCTGCTTGGAACTGGATTATATGAGTCTACACTGTCATATAATCAAAGCAAATAACTTGGATTTTATCTGGCAGTGTAGTAGGGGCATAACTCTTCTAAACCTTCACCACTCACTGTGCTAGTGGGAGCTGTTGTAAAAAAAGACTTGCATGGCACCAGGATCCCAACCTCTATTATGAGGGACACTCTTTATATGCAAAGAAGCACTTTTTTCTCATGAGGAAAACATATCATTTTGAGAAGGAAGAGGCTGAAGGGCTTGTAAATCAGAAAGATGACACAAGAAAAGGAGCCAGTGAATCTTCCTGAAAGGTTCCCCAAAAACAAGGCAATAGTATACAAGTACTGTCCTTGTCTCTCACATTAGCACTGTGATGATTCATTGATTTACTCCATATCACTTCTAAGTGAGCTTATTTTCATTCACAATAAGAGACTATGTCTGTCTGATTGTATGGCCATGCATCGCTGCTTCAGTGGTTACAATCCTTTCATCTGAATTTTGGGAGAGAAGGGATGCCCCTAAGAAGATATACCTCAAGAGTTTCAACTCTTATCTCAAATAGAGACCACAGTAATAGTGTCTCTAGTGGCCTTACAGCCTGTCTTATTACACCTTTCTGGGCAATACAAGTTGGGGAAGGGGTAACTTTGAAGAGCATGTTCTGCTAAAATTCCCAACTTGGGCTGTTAGCAATAAATGTTTGTTATGACACTATGCATTTATTTCATAGTAATGCAGATATAGGGCCCCCTTGTGGCGCAGCAGATTAAATCACTGAGCTGCTGAACTTACTGATTGAAAGGTTGGTGGGTCAAAGCTGAGGGAGCGTGGTGAGCTCTCGATGTCAATCCCAGCTTTTGCTGTTTGAAAACATGCAAATGTGAGTAGATCAATAGGTACTGCTTCTGTGAGAAGGTAATGGTGCTCCATGCAGTCATGCTGGTTACATGACTTTGGAGGTGTCTACAGACAACGCAGGCTCTTCAGCTTAGAAATGAATGAGCACCAACCCCCAGAGTCAGACACGACTAGACTTAATGTTAAGGGAAACCTCTTTCTTTACTTTTAATGCATATATAACTGAGCAGGCGTTCGGTTAACTCAGTGCAATAAGTGTAATGATTGAAGGACTGGCAATCTGGACGACGAAACTGGATCACGATTTTAGTCAAGAGATGAATTGGATTGTTTATTGATATATGTATTGTGGATTATGTTTTTATGCTTTTAAACTGTATACTGTTGTTTGTTATAAGTTGTTGTAAACCGCGTTGAGTCACCGGTTAGGCTGAGAAACGGCGGTATACAAGTATAGCAAATAAATAAATAAATAAATAAATAAATAAATAAATATAAGCTATTAACTGTCTGGATAGATGCAACTTTAAAAAAACAGTTGAGGAGCTCTGGCTAGATGTTTTTCAGCTGAAACATGCCAGTAAACTTTAACTGGAGCTGAAAAGTTTGGTGTATTATGGACTGTGCGTTTCATCTTTCAGCCTCTGCTGATATGTGAGATAAAAATTAGAGATCATTTCTAGCTGGTGGAGATCATTTTGTCATTTGTCGTTTCTGAATACATATCCTACATGAGACAAATGATGGTATTAAAAAGATATTCTTTGTACACAAATTTAGGGATAATGACTGAAGAAAGAATAATAATAATAATAATAATAATAATAATAATAATAATAATAACAACACTTTATTTATACCTCGCTACCATCTCCCCAAGGGACTCGGTGCGGCTTACATGAGGCCGAGCCCAAAATACAACAATACAAGCAATAACAACAACAATACAAGCAATTTAAAACAACAAAACAATAAAACAATAGCATAAGCATTATCAAATAGGACAACACACTTTAAAATCTGTGGGTAGGCCAAATGTAATTAAAATTACAAACAATGCTTTTAATAATAAGAACCTTTAATAATAATAATAATAATAATAATAATAATAATAATAATACTTTATTTATACCCCGCCACCATCTCCCCAAAGAGACTAGGAGCAGCTTACATGAGGCCAAGCCCAACAACATATTAATAAAAACAACAAGCAATAAGTAAATAAAACAATACAATTAATATAACTCACATATAGACAATTAACACGCAGAGATTTAAAAACCTATATTAACTGTAAATGGGTAGTTATCCAGAATTATGTCATAAAAGCATGATTAATACTTGCACTCAAACACATTTGGAGGCTAAATGCCACTGGCACTAGAAAGACAATTAAGCCGTTGTCTTTATGACTTGCTCTCTTAACCAAAATCATGAAAGAAACTACGAGGCCACGCTTCATCTCATTCAGGCTAGCTCTCCCTGCTGGGGATCAAGCACAGGAGGATAGAGAAACTATCTGTAACAATCAAATTATCTGTAACTTGGCTATAAGCCACACTTGGAAGATTTGCTTTGTAGTCAACTGTTAGCTGGTTACAGTTAATGTACAAGTTTCTTTTTCAATCCCTTAAAAAATAAGAAAAGTTTGGAGGTATTTCAATTGGCCAGACACATTACTAAGTTCAGCATAGAATCATAGAATTAGAAGAGACCTTGTGGGCCATCCACTCCAAGCCCTTGCCAAGAAGTAGGAAAATCGCATTCAAAGTACCACTGACAGATGGCCATCCAGCCTCTGTTTAAAACCCTCCAAAAAAGGAGCCTTCACCACACTCCGGGGCAAAGAGTTGCTCTGCATCATCCCCCTAACTGTATAGATACATCAGCATTTTCTATAGTCTTGGTAGCACATTATTACTGCCCTGGAGCTTTGCTGACAAGTCCATTCTAATGGTCCCAAGGACAGAGCAAAATGGGTGAGTAATATTATTATATGGTGTGCTGCATTTTGCAGCATAAGAAGATTGTAGGATCAATGCTTGGTTTTCTATAGTATTTCTAACTAATCGCATACTTTAACTCATGGGATTATTTCTGGTATATGGCATAAAAATATATCAAACCTGTTTGTGAAGAAAGCGACCCATGGGAAATTTCTGTTGTGAGTCTCTACAAATACACTCTGCACAAAGAGGTTTGGGGAGCAGCTGTGCTATAAACAGAAGAAATGCAAAAAGTTAAAATGGAAGGACCTGATTTTCCAGTGACATACTTGTGCAAAGTCATATTTTGATCTGACATAGCCTCTGAGCTTGTAATTTGCTCCAAGGTTAAACACTATCCTTACTGAATAATAATAACAACAACAACATAGCATTGAATGAAACATGCAGAATAATCACAGGATGTCTTAAACTAAACTGTTGATAAACTCTACAAGCTAACTGGCATTGTCCCCCCCCCCCACCCTGATGTGCGACGGGAAGTTGCTGCTAAATGTGAGAGAAATAAGGCTGAACACTGTGAAAGCCACCCACTACATGGCTACCAGCCTCCTCCCAGCAGACTCAAATCAAGGAAAAGCTTTATGAGAACTACCACTCCTCTTGGCGTCCCTCCAGCAACAGCAAGGATATCCCTCTGGGCAGCTAAACCAGGAAATCCCAACTGGAGGGGCCCCCACGAGGGTCTTCCTCCAAGGGCAAACCAAGAATGGCCAACCTGGAAGTCCCTGAACAGACTCAGAAGTGGAGTGGGCATATCAAAAGACAACCTGGCAAATGGCACTACCTAAAAGAATCGCACACCTTGTGTGACTGTGGAGCAGAATAGACAACTCTGCATCTGTATGCTTGTCCACTATGCCCTGCCTCATGTACAGAGGAAGAATTATTGGAGGCTATAGACAATGCCATTGCTGTTGCCTGTTTTTGGTCAAAAGATATTTAGCCGCTTGCGCTCCTTCTATTTGTATCAGTTTTATACTAATTTATGCAATGCTTTTGATACGTACTGAAGTCTGCACACGTTCAGGATCTTAACACTTGATATGAAAGTCATGCTGGCACTTTTATCAATATTTGTCTATTATTAAACTGGGAAGACATACCTCTATTACTTACATTAAGAAATCGGCCTACATTGCCTTCCCTGGTGGCATCCAGCAAATAAGGACTCTCCTTGGCCTTTAGTTGTGATTCATCATCTTCCATTGCGTCCTCATTTTGAACAGATTCCCATTTGCCTCTCCCAAGCTTTTCTGTGCATGCGTTACCAGTCCAAAGTAAGTGCCCACATTGCTTTTCGTCCTGCACAGGTGGCGTACTATTCAAATTAGCAATGGAAAGAGGACTCTCTGCATGGTGGTCTGTATTAACTTTGAGCTGTGCAGGATTCACAGTTTCTCCAACCTCTACTTGTAGACCTGTTAAATAAACGTATCAAGATGGCATGAGGTCCACAAACTCCATTAATCTAATTAAATAGAGCAATTTTATGAGCTGTATGGAGTTCCTTGCCGGGAGGCAGGGAAAACAGTAAACAAACAAATAGTAGGCTGAACCCCTCCAGCAATCACACTGACATACAATATCACACCTTATTAAAAGTAAATATGAATTGAGTATAGAAAAAATAATAGTTAAGTCAATGGGAAAGGTATTCATATCTATCAGATTTATCTAGACTCCATCCAAATTGATAAGATGCTGCTACAATATGATCTGACATGATGCCACAAGAATGTGAATGTATGTTGTTGTTTTAAATTGTTATTTTATGATAATTTAAATGTATTATTGATGTATCTGGATTGTTGTTTACATGATTTTAATATGTTGTAAGTCGCTTTGCGAGAAAAGTGGGATATAAATAAAGATATTATTATTATTATTATTATTATTATTATTATTATTATTATTATGCCCAAACACTATGAAGATCTGAGTCAGAGTAAATCTCTTCATAACAATGGGACCGTACTGCATTCCCAGCCGCAAGCAGCACTGCTATTGGCAAAAATTCAGCTGAACATTAATAAACTGACAGCAGCATACCAGTTACATCCTTCCCATTTAGGATTGTTTTCTATACTATTTGTAGTTTTTATTGGATATTATCCTTCATTATTTTATTTTTGTGTGCAACACAAATATTACTATGGTTAATTTTCATAAGTAATTTCATAATTCCAACCTTCAAGGTGTCCAACTTATGACATCTTTCTTTACTATGTTTTAGGATATAGGTAGAAGTATAGATCAATAGAAGACTGCAAATCTGTCACTGAATCTTTCAGTTTATTCACTTAAAGGAAGCAGTTTTTGGGGAAGGGGGCTAAGTAATTTTTGTTTCAAAAGGGAACAGTAGACCACATGGCAGCGATAGGAAAACAACAGAAGACAGGTGTATCCCAGCCTGAGGTCTTAGGAAAATAAATGAAGATTAGTGATGGCAAAAGGGAAGATAAAAGCCAGGAAACAGAAAGAGAATGGCGGGAGGGGGGGGGGGGAAACAGTGAACCAACAGGGAAAAACTCTTAGGGGATTAAAGAAAGAGAAAAAAGATGGAAGCAAGAAAGAAATTGATAGAGAACCCTGTGGTGGTGTGAGGAGAAATGTCTGAGAACGAAAAAGAAAGGGTGGAGGTGAAGCTAGATGGAAAGATTCAGCCACATAAACAAAAAAGATGGCAGAGAAAAAAAAGAACCAACCTTGCTACAGGAAAAAACGGATTTTTTATAATCATTTCTGTCGTGTTCTACACTCTACAAATTTATCTGGGGATCAAAAAAGGACTGGCAGCCCATGATAGCTAATTATGTAAGAAACGAAGAATGGTAACATTACTTTCATGTCCTTTCTGGGTTGTAGTAGTCACTTCTCTCCTTGCTGGTTTCTGGCCCTCAGCACTCTTATCTTCATATGAGATGCCATCAGCAATATCCTTCAAAGAAAAAGATTCATCACCTACATTTGTCCTTTGCCAGATACTGACAGGTTTTTTTTTCTTGGACTCCGTGAGAATATACTGAACTTGTGAGTTTACCGTGACAGAGTGAGAGTAAGCAAGCCAATGCCTTTTACACTACAATATAGAATCACTTGGAAATATGATTGGTTTTAAAAGATCATGAGAAGAATTATTCATGTACAGGTTTTTAAAGTATTTGTCTTAAGAATTGATAAAAGAATTTTTAAATGATCAGTGGATCTTAATTTTGCTCCAGTCTTAGTATGTCCTGCACTAAAAAAATGTAGCAGGAGATGAAGAAATTAAGCAGTAATTTTCAAACTGATTCTATAGCACTGCTTCCATGGACATCAGCCCACAAAGTTGCAGGTTCAATATCTACGAAAACCTATGCTAAAGTAAATCTCAGTGGTCTGCTTGAGTTTATCTTTGCCACCACTCCTTTTCCATTTTATCAAATGACAGGAAAGAAAATTACACCTAAACATTAGGAAGAACTTCCTGTCCATAAGAGCTGTTCAGCAGTGGAACTCTCTGCCACAGAGTCTGGGGGAAGCTCCTCCCTTCAAGGCTTTTAAACAGAGGCTGGACAGAATCTATAAGGAGTGCTTTGATTGTGCATTTTCGGCATGGCAGAGGGTTGGACTACATGGTCCATGACTACATGGTCTATGACTCTATGATTCATGCTGAAGAAGAGACTCATGTGTCAAATTATCATATCTTCCTTTGACTCCCCCCCCCCATCTCCCCCATATGAGGTGTACTCCTCTGAAGGGTATGATAATTTGATATTAGTATCAGATCCCATTATCCAGTCTTGATATCAAATCAGAACACAATGAATTGAAACAATTAGGCATGCATACTGGAATTCAGTGAAAAGCTCACAGGAAAGGTTTAAAAATAAATCTGAAATATTTACTAGTTGTCTCTGGAGATGCTGAGGAATAGATGTTCTGGTTTCTGGCCTTTTGTCAGCTTGGTTATGCCAACTCTTGTCACAGCTGGAGTTCTGGATTCTGATAAGAAATTACAATGTATTTAAAGACACCATGAAGTAGGTTTTTTAAAGGTACTTAACAGATTGTTCAGTTTCAAAAGGACAAAGCACAACCTTTATGTAGTATTTTACATAACTTTTGTAAGACAGAAAAACTCCTGAAATTAGCAACACAATTCCTGATTTGGAGACCAAGTTTATCAGACACATTAATATTAGTTTTCATTTCTACTAAACTTGTTATCTGTTACCTCAGATAAAGAAAAAAATGGAGTATTAGGATCAAGTGAACAGGAAATGGCACAGTTTTAATTTTCAGAATGAGTTTAGGATGCAGCATAAGTGTTCTCTATTTTTAAAAAATGTTCATGTTAATTTAAGATGGAAGTATTGTTCCATTACACCTGGGAGATTGAATGCCCAGTTACAGAAGATACAAGATTCCACTTATATTCTTAACTAGCCGTCCCCTGCCACGCGTTGCTGTGGCCCACATGGGGGGGTTCTGTGTGGAAGGTTTGGCCCAATTCTGTAATGGGTGGGGTTCAGAATGCTCTGTGATTGTAGGTGAACTATAAATACCAGCAACTACAACTTCCAAATGTCAAGATTCTCCAAACTCCACCAGTGTTCACTTTTGGGCATATATTTAGTATTCGTGTAGAGTTTGGTCCAGATCCATAATTGTTTGAGTCCACAGTGATCTCTGGATGTAGGTGAACTACAACTCCAAAACCAAAGGACATTGCCCACCAAACCCTTCCAGTATTTTCTGTTGGTCATGGGAGAACTGTGTGTCAAGTTTGGTTCAATTCCATCGTTGGTGAGGTTCAGAATGCTCTTTGATTGTAAGTGAACTATAAATCCCACCAACTACAACTCCCAAATGGCAAAATCATTTTTTTTTTAGTGAAGGACATACATTGGGTTGTTACGTGTCTTGTGTCCAAATTTGGTGTCAATTCGTCCAATGGTTTTTGAATTCTGTTAATCCCACAAACGAACATTACATTTTTATTTATATAGATTGCTTGTTCTCAAGGTTATTAGCTGCAATAGAGATGCACTGCAATCCTGCATCTTCTACGCTGTATTCTATAAAGGATCACTAAATATCTGAAAGATTATTTATAATTTGGAGTCTGGAAGGTTTTTTATTCTGGGTTTACTAATAATAATAATAATAATAATAATAATAATAATAATAATAATAATCTTTATACCCTGCTACCATCTCCCCAAGGGACCCGGAGCGGCTTACATGAGGCCAAGCCCAACAACACATCAAAAACAACAAGCAATAATAAAACAACAAGCAATAAACAAGATAAACAATACAATTAATATAACTCACAAGTAGACAATAACACACAAGAATTTAAAAACCTTTGGCTGGGCCAGATGTAATAGTTAAAACTTTAAAAATAAATGCTGGACATGAATAGAGGATGTATCTATTAGGAGGGTTTTAAATCAAAAGTAAAGAGCAACCCAACGGGTAATTAAAGTGCTTCTCAGAGTATTTGCAGGGGATTGTTTCTTTTATTCAGGGAAGGCACACTTCTTAGTTAAAAGGCTGCATCCACAGAATTGGAAGAGATCACAAAGGCCATCCGGCCCAGGCGCCTTCCATGCAGGAATACAGAATCAAACCATAAAAGAGACCACTGAGACATAGAAGTATGGCTAATTGTCTTGTATGGTAAGAATTTCCAGTCCATTTCCAAGCACAATTCAAAGTGCTGGTCTTGGCCTATAAAGCCCTATACGACTCCGGCCCAGCTGACTTATCTGAACATATCTCCCTCTATGGTCCACCTTGTGGTCTAAGATCTGCCGGGGAGGCCCTGCTCTCGGTCCCACCAGCTTCGCAAACGCGGCTGGTGGGGACGAGGGACAGGGCCTCCTCAGTGGTGAACCCCCGCCTGTGGAATTCGCTCCCCAGCAAAATTAGATCGGCGTCCTCCCTCCTTTCTTTCAGAAAAAAACTGAAGACATGGTTGTGGAACCAGGCTTTTGGCTAATGGATATAACGGCACCTGAACAGTGAATTGGACCAGACGGTTGTTATAATGGAAATGCTTTTATGATTGGACAACTAATGTTGTTTTAATGTATTGTATTGTATGATTTTATTTTGCTTTTATAATTGTAATTATTGCGGCATTGAATCGTTGTCATTGTTAGCCGCTCTGAATACCCCTGCGGGGGTGAGAAGAGCGGGGTAGAAATGCTGTAAATAATATAATAAATAAATAAATAAGAATTGGGGTGGGGTTCTTTTACCAGAGTATTTAAAAAAATTGAAAATGGAGGTTGCATGCCGAAGGGTGTAGTCTTCTCCCCAAGTCCAGAGCTAATGCCCCCAACAGTTGCCAGTTGGTTGGTTTTATTGTTGCAATGTAGAAATTGATTGTTAATTGCTTAATTGCTGCTATATTGTTTTTATTCTACTGTTATGTTGATGCTGGCATCGAATTGTGCCTTTGTAAGCCGCCTTGAGTCCCCTCCAGGGTGAGAAGGGCGGGGTAGAAATAACCGAAATAAATAAAAATAAAAATCCCTGCCTCTAAAATCTAGCTCAATACTCAACTGATTAATCCAATAAAATGCCATAGTCAGTGATATCAAAAACTGCTGAACAGCAAGGACTGTGGGCCCTTCCAGAATATCAAGGCAAAAATCCCACAATCTGCTTTGAACTGGGGTATCTGAGAACACACTGCTATATATTCCAGTTCGAAGTAGATAATGTGAGATTTTATTCAGCTGTGTGGAAGGGGCCCCAGTTATATTCCCTTTATCCCTCGTCTGATAAAGATCATCCACAAGGAACTAAAATGTAACACAGAACTGGAACTGACAGATGAGGGGTAGGCAACTCTGGTCATTCAGGTTATTATTATTATTATTTTTTGGCTACACTTCCCATTAGCTCACAGTAATCCACCAGAATTACAATGGAAAAACATCTAGAAGGGCATTGTCTCCTTGACTTTAGATAATCTGTATTTTTCAGGAACAAGTGAAACTGATTTTTCACGACTCTCTGAAGTAACTTTGAGGAGATGTTTACTGTTAGACAGTGAGCAGGAAACATCAAGGTTTAGGGAAGATGTTTTTTCACCCAAGTAATGATACCACATCTGTTTAAGCCAATAATAGAGAAGAGCTAGGCAAGACCTTCAGTTTCTATTGTGCTAAAACAAGGACAAAAAATTTAGCACCAATGGCATCAGGAAACCAGTACAAAAGGCCCTTTGGCTCAGCATACATTTTGCTTAAGGATCAAAGCTCCACTACTCTTTCTAACTTTAATTTGTTCAATGGTTCAGAGACAGCTTGAATAGTCACAGTGAGTTTTTACACAAGGGAAGAAACCCTAAAATTGTAACTTTTACTTACATGTCTGGCTGATCTTCAGGTTCTACATGCAAATATTTTTCCGTCCCCGTTTGGTTAAGTTCAGCTTGTGACTCAGAACAGACAATTTCTATTTTTCTTGAAAGTAAGTTGTTGCTTCTGTTACTATTCTCTGCATCCTCCCCTTTATCCTCATCTCCACCATCGTCCTTTACTTGCCAAGATTCATCTCTGCTCATCAATCTTCCTAGAATAAAACAATAGTTTCTGGAACAGTGTATTTCTGCAGCTTTACACAACAGCCCAAATATCTGCAGTGAAACAGACAATACTAAAGGGCAGCATGGACACAAAACATATTTCTGATGTATACAGTATTTACTATTAGGACATTACTCCATTGCTTCTATGAACTGCACATTTGCATGTTTATATTCTCTGTTTGAAGAAATTCTGAAATTAAATCTGAATCTATTACTGAAACCTAGTGGTGACAGCCAACTGGCTGGAGGCAAAAATTGGGCAACTGAAAAACCAGAGGGAAATATAACCATAAGATTAGGAGTGGTACAACAAATCCTTGACACACATAAACGTTTTCTCCAGAAAACAGCCTTATAAAGGTTGAACATCTGCATTTATCACAGAGTGTGGAGTGAAAAGGAAAGGGGGGGGGGTTGAATGGCATTTTTTTAAAGGGAGCGGGCTGTCCAGCTGAACAGACATATTCTTGTTATATATTGAAAATATACTGCGCAATGTCTTTCGGTGTGGTGCCTGATTAAGCGACTCTCGCCTTAAAAGTGAAACTTGGCCACCAAAAGTGAAGTTGTGGTTTCTACATGCCAGGGTGCGGTACAAAGTACATAGACAATTTTGTAAATTAAACAGTAAACAGATTAATAAACATCAAAAAATGAACAAGCAACCTCATAAAGATGCGTGAATTTTCAGGATGTATCGAACACCATGGAGGGAGGCTAAATATATATCAACAATTAAAGGAAATGTCTACAATCCAATACAAGGAGGTTGAAATATGGGTATTTTATATAAGCATTGCTTCAATGTTTTCATGGATTATTTTCCAATAGCTTTTGGCAATTTTACACCCCCACCACATATGGAAGAAGGTTCCAGTTTGAGTGCCACATTTCCAATCTTTAACATTTTTATAAAATTTAGCCAATTTTTGTGGTGTGATGTACCACTGGTACATCATCTTGTACCAGTTTTCTTGTAGATCAAAGGAATATGTATACATTATTTTTTTCCATATTAGTTCCCATTCTTCCAACAGAAGAAGAATGGAAACTAAAAATAATGGAAATAAAGAATATGGATAGACTAACTTACTTTCTGAAAGGCCATCAAGGCAAACACAAATGCCCTACAGATTGGACTTTATTAGACTCCCCCCCCCCCAAAAAAAACAAACAAAAACAAACAGATGGACATGATGTAATTATGAGAAGACGGAGAGACTAAATATAATTCACATGCAAGAGATCAATCTCCCAGACAGGGAAAGAATTTGGAAGTCAACAAGAAGATTTTTTTATTATTATTTTTACAATTTTTCTTTTTCCCTTTTTTTCTTTTCAAGAACTTTTTTCTCTTTTTTCTTTTCCTCTTTTTTACCCCATTTTTTTAACCTTTCCTTTCCCCCAGCCCTTTCACTCCAATCTCCATTAGTAGGGAAACTTCCATACCCCCTTTAACCATAGTTAGCTTCTTCCTCTTTCCTACCCGTTAAACTTTCCCTATTGCACCCCCCTTTTTTCCTCCTCTTTTTAAATTTTCTTTTCTCTTTTCTTTTTCCCTAAAAATTCAATAAAAATTACTTTTTTTAAAAAAGCATTGCTTCAATACAAGCTTTACTTCTATCTTTGAGTTTAAAGTGTAATATCTGGTCTTCACTCTGGGATTTGGTCACACAAAGAACTATGTCAGTGTAAGAAATGGGTATCAACACACTCCATGAGAAAATGAACTAACCTGAACGTTTCCTTCAGTTTATATCCTGCAACTGCTATATAGGGGTTTGGTTTTTTTTTTTGCCTGTTAAATTAAAATACTGATTTGCATTCTTTTCTCTTTTTTTGGACAAGTTTTGTTTTACCTGAGTACGTACAAACAAACGTCCCTTTGTCAATATCATCAAGGCAACGGACCCCCCAGCCCTTCTTTTCGGTGTTGAAAACCTGGAGCCGCACCTGAAGGCCATGTTGCACTAATCTGTTCTGGCACATGATCTTGTCACAGCCGCACGACAAGCTGCACTCGTAAATTCTGATTAAAAAAAGGAAAGAGACAGTGAATATCCCTTCTAGGTAGGTAACCAAGGCAGAATGAACACTCATTCACACATAGTGCAGGGCAGAGGGCTGACTGCATGCTTACACCTAGAAAGCTGAAGAAGAAAGTTGTGTTACGTGACTTGAACACAATTCTCATGTGGCCAATGCAAACTCTGGAAGCAGGGATTCCTCTTCCATATCATTCCTGCATAGATTGCTCAGCCCCTCCTTTGTTCATACTCCCTGTAGGCACTCTGTAGATGTCAATAGCTCAGGCTTGACAGCTACTTCCTTTATGCTAGTTAGTGCTGTCACCTAGTACTGACATGCTCCAAGGTCATTTACCCGGCCCTCGCTCAGGGTCTACCTAAGTCTGAAATGACTTGAAGGCACACAACAACAATCCTATCTCATCAGCCAAAAGCAGGCCCACACTTCCCATTGGAATACTAATAAGTTTATATTTGTTAACATTGTTCCTCATTTTAATTATTGTATTGTTTTAAAGTGTTTTTTACACTACAAATAAGATATGTGCAGCGTGCATAGGAATTCATTCATGTTTTTTTCAAATTATAATCCGGCCCTCCAACAGTTTGAGGGACTGTGACCTGGCCCTCTGTTTAAAAAGTTTGTGAACCTGTCATAGACGATTCTATGGTATCTTTCTGCTGGAATTACCCTGGTGGCCCTAGCAAATTCCTTCCAGCAGAAGCTGTTCATTTCGATAGGTTCCTATTTACTCTATGATTTCATGAACATATCCCTCACAGATATGGGGTCCCACTGTATAACATCTTTAAAAACACAAGCACACAAGAATTACATATTTTGCAACGTTTGTTGCCTTCGGATATGTATTTGCTATTTCATCTGTTTTGCTGTAATTCAGAATAGTTTTATTGATTAGCCCATTGGCTGTATCAAAAGTTTTGCTGTAATTGAAAAACTACCTGCCTCTCAATTTCATACCATAACCTACTATAAAGCAGAGCACCACGCCAGGCAACTACTAGAGCAGGAGCCCTCAAACTTTTTAAACAGAGGGCCAGGTCACAGCCACTCAAACTGTTGGAGGGCTGGATTATAATTTGAAAAAGATATGAATGAATTCCTGTGCACACTGCACATATCTTATTTGTAGTGCAAAAAACACTTAAAAACAATACAATAATTAAAATGAAGAACAATTTTTACAAATATAAACTTATTAGTATTTCAGTGGGAAGGGTGGACCTGCTTTTGGCTGATGAGATAGGATTGTTGTTGTCGTCGTGTGCTTTCAAGTCACTTCAGACTTAAGGTTGACCCTGAGCGAGGGTAAATGACCTTGGAGGGCTGTATCTGGCCCCCGGGCCTTAGTTTGAGGACCCCTGTACTAGAGCACATGAATCCAGTGAAATAACTAGTATAAATGATCCTAAATCTAAAAAAAATCCTCAATTTCCTTACCCGCTAGGAACCGGTTCATCCAGCCTTTTGTAACGATAGCCAATAAATTTTCCGTTTCCTGAATAATCCGACACTTCATGGCATTTTCTCTCAGTAAGACGCAGGCAGGCACATTTTGTCCTAGAAAGCATATAGCAGATCTAATGGGAATAAGGATATGCAATAAAGGAAAGTGGCTCATTTACTCTATGGACACAGATTTGAAATTTTTTAGTTGTACTGTGTAGGCTGTTTAAACATTTTCTCAGACAATTAAGTTGAATTTTGGTGCACTGAACAATCACAATAGATTTACTGTCAATTTAGCAATTAGGATGTGTTCGGGTTCTTAACACCAGTGAATACATTGCCTGTTCTACAAAGAATTTTACCCGGTCAGATAAACACTGAGCTCTCCTCCCACTCTGGGAGCCATAGTTTTTAATTTTATTATTATTTTAATTTTATACTCGGCGTACTAGACGACCCCCAACTTTTTATAAGGTTTTACATGCCCAAAAAGTCGTCTAGTACCCTGGAATGTACGATACTTTAAAATGCTCTCCGGTGAATCCCAAATCCTTACCTGTCGACGCAGCCATCAGTGCAATTGCACGAGTCAAGAAAAGTGCTGGAGAAATTGTTTAGGAAGTATCCATGGGGCCATGAAGTCTTCCGATATTTAAAATAAGGCAGTTGACTGTGGTCGATGTCATTACAGAAAGAAACTGGTACTGTTTCAGCCCCTTTGCTGATATCATAATCAAATACACACGACTGATGACTAGGATTGTTTCTAAACACCTGCACATAGGTATTGAAGGAAAAGTGATCTAAAAATAAAAAGCTGCATTCTGTTTGAAACAAATACTTCTGCACGTCTTGGAAATTTCTCAGACTCTTTCCACAAGGCGCTCTGTACATCACATCATGCGACTTGAAGACAGCATTGGTTTTTGCGTGTCTCCTCTGGAAATGACACAGCAGTGGCAGGCAAAGAGGGTTCTCACCCTTGTATGAGTTCCATGGCCTTTTGGCAAGACAATTTTTAGAGCACATATGATGTTGGTATGGAACCTTGAATGCCTTTTCGGTTAGCATTCTTTTACTCCTTGAGGGCAACACTTCATTTGTTTCCATTCTTCCACTGGAATCACATATGCAAGAGTAGAAGAAAACAAAACGATCAGGCACCTAATAAATTACTTAGAATTTACAGTATTTCACCACATAATAGATATACCACCCTCTTTGAAGTGGGGAGAAGGGCAAAAAGTGTAACTATTAAAAGATAAATAGTTCTCCTCAACATTAAGTCTAGTCATGTCCGTCTCTGGGGGTTGGTGCTCATCTCCATTTCTAAGCTGAACCCCCCCCCCCCCCCCCCCCCCCCCCCCCCACCAACACCAACTGCTGCTCTGAGATCAGAATGAAGAGAGGGGCCAGAAAGGCAGTTCCATCTTGTCTCCTGAACTGTGCTTATAACATAATATAATATATTGTATATACATATAATATTGATAATATTATAATGTAATACAATATACTACTACTACTAATAAAATGATATTATAATTATATATTTTATATTAAATGTAATATTACTAATAATATTATAGTATAATGTTGTAGTACAATGTAATATATAATATTAATATTGTGCTATGATAATAATATATTGTATTTACTTATTACTTGTAAGCCGCTCGGAGTCCCCTTCGGGGTGAGAAGGGTGGCATAGAAATGTCGTAAATAAATAAATAAATAAATTGTTCTAGAAGCATTCTCTCCTGACGTTTCGCCCGCATCGATGATGATGATGATTATTATTTCAAACACTTTTACCCCGCCCTTCTCAACCCCTAGGGGCACTTAGGGCGTCTATGGCCAACATCCTCAGAGTTTGTGTTATTGGTGCTAATTTATAGATAAAGAGTCTAAACCACTAAGGAATAAAAGGGTAATATTTATAGTCTTATACTCACAAAGAAAAAGCATTTCCAGGATTTTCTCTAACTTCACTTGAAGCAGAAGAATGCAAATCAAGTTCGCAATTCTGAATATCTTCTTCAGAATCAACATTTACTTTGAAGAGAAGAGATGCAAACTTTAGCATGGGAAATGTTAGATTACAATTAAAATGATCACACTAAGCCATCCTACACAATTACAAATATGCTTGAACACAAATAAAACAAGAACCTTAAATCAGGAATACTATTTTTCATTTTTAGACTGCTTGAGTAATTCTCACTGGGTGCCTGAAAAGAATTTTTTCTTTTCAATACGCTGTTAGCAAAATGAATGTTTGCAATGGAAGTGTGTAAAAACAGAGAGCCAAAGGATAAGTTGGTTAAAAATTTCCATCCCTACAAAAAGTACAGATTCTTCACCACACAGAACTCCATCCTCACAAAGAGTACAGACTTTAACAGCATACTGAAAGGCAAAGATTCTTCTCAGGCAGGCAGTGAGAATTACCAGAGCAGTCTAAAAATGAAAAATAATGTCATGTCTGACTCAGCTGTAGTAGTCCCCTTGCAGAAAAGAAATCAGAGAAGTACAACTATTTCAGAATGCTAACTCTTTCTAACATATTGTGTTTTCTTCTGGCAGAGAAAGAGGTAAGTAGGCACCCAATATAGAGCAAAGAAACTGTTTCCTACCATTTGTCAGATGTAAGAGATCAGTCATATCCACTTGTTGTATTAATGCAAAAGCTTGGTAGCATTCTGTTGAAAAGACAGTTCAAAATAATGTTAAAATCAACATTAAAAAGAGATTTCAAAATGATTAATATATTGATATATGAGGTAATAGACACTCCACATTTATACTGTTGCTGTTCCTAACCTATAGTAGAATCTTCTCCTCAGTATAAAGCTATTTGAAATGGGCCAAGTAGTCAACACAGAGATCTCTGTATTTTTTGCCAAAATGAATTTCTGGCTCTACAGGAAGGAAATTCTAGATGTACCAAAACACTGAAAAGTTTTCCCAATTTGCATACTCTTCTTATCTTCCAGAAAGTCAATGCAGTGAAGAGTCTGGCACATTGGACTACAGCTCTGAGACCAGGGTTTCAATCCCAATTCAGCCATCAAAACCCAATGGGGTTTCATGGCTACACACTCTCAGCCTCAGAGTCTGAACAACCTTGCCAGGAAAGCCCTATCATATGGGATGTTATAAATCAGAAGAGACGTGAAGGCATACAATAACAACTTATCTTCCATGTACAAAGCTCATTTTCCAGTATGAAAGAGTAGCTCTAGCAGTCTCCCAATATTCATAATCTCTTCCTTTCACTCAAAAGTTCTACTTCCCAGGAGGACAGAAGTAGTGGAAGGTTCTCACTGATCTTCCTTGACTGAGGTAGGCAACCTAAGGAAGCCCATAGCCCTCACCCACCCATTTGTGTAGGCCGGTGAGAGCTATGGTGCCTTCTTCGGTTGGTGGCTCTCCCTAGCGCCTGCCAAATGGATCTACTGAAAGTTCCCCAGCTGGCGGCAGTAACCAGTTTGCCCATAACCAGGCTTTCTTCAAGCATCACATACAGAATGAAAACATATTTATACAGTATATCTTGATTTGTATAATTTACATTAAATGAAAAACTGGTGCTTATGAACTAGCAGGTGGTAAAACAATGTTTTGTTTGATTTTTCTTATAAAAATTTTCAAACCTTCCTCAGTTGCAGTTCCAGCCTTGATTTTCTGCTGCAGAGACAACAGCACTCCTTGTAGTCGTTCAAACATCAAATCCACTATGTAGCTTTCCAAATGACTCCAGAATAGTTTTGCATCAACTGTTTTCAAAGAAATTTTAAATAAATTTTCTAATTAGAATATATAACTATATGTATTATATGTGTGTATGTGTGTGTGTATATATATATATACACGAGAGGTATTTTTTAAGTAAGGTCCATTTGAACATAAGTACACAACGAAAGTTTATTTTAAAAAAGTAAATTTATTTTCAGAAAGTACATACTTCACTCTATTTTTCGACATAGTTGCCAAGTTTGTTCAAACACTTATCATACCTCTGAACCAATTTTAAAATACCCTCTTCATAAAAACTTGCCGCCTGCTCCGATAACCAAGCGTTCACTGTAATCAAAGAAGGGCGACCGGAGCGGTCCTCATCATGGACGTTGTCACGGCCATCTTTGAATTGTTGTACCCACTTACGCACTTTGCTTTCACTCATAACAGTATCACCGTACACTTCACAAATCTGTCGATGAATTTCTGCAGCAGGCAGGTTCCTTGCTGACAAAAACCGTATCACTGAGCGAACCTCACATGCGGAGGGTGAGTTGATAGTCTTAAACATTTTTAAAGCACAGAACAGAACCGTACAGGTTAGCTACAGAGCGGAAACTGAGCACAGTTGTTCCCGAGGCATGCCGGTACATGACGCACACGCTCGTTGCGGTATGCGCGTGAACTACTAGTGTCTACAACAAAACGGACCTTACTTAAAAAATACCCCTCGTGTGTGTGTGTGTATATATATATATATAATGTTTGTATGTTTGTTTAGTTTTCTGGCTAGGGCTCTGACTTCTACAGACCACTGCAAGCCCCACGCATGGTGGACCTGGAACAAACTTGGCAGACTGACCCCCCCCCCCCCCCAACCATGAGCCACTTTACATTTTGGTGCAGTTTCAGGGGAGGAGGACCACGGATGATGGGATTTGCAGTCTTTTCACCTACTTCTACAGACCACTGTGACCCCCACAAATGACAGACATGGACCAAACTTGGCACACATACCCCCCCCCCCCCGCCGCAATTACCCACTTCACATCCTGGAGTAGTTTGGAGGAGACTGGTCCATGGATGATGGGATTTGTGGTCCCTTCACCCACCTCCAGAGACCACTATGACCCCCACCAATTATGGACCGAGATCAAACCTGGCAAAAAGAACGCTCATGACCAACTTAACCAGAATGGCTATGCATTCTGGGAGTTGTAGTTCACCCTTATCTAGAGAGCGCTGAACTGAATCTATCTGATAACACAGGGGTCCTCAAACTAAGGGCCAGGGGCCGGATACGGCCCTCCAAGGTCATTTACCCGGCCCTCGCTCAGGGTCAACCTAAATCTGAAATGACTTGAAAGCACACAACAACAATCCTATCTCATCTGCCAAAAGTAGGCCCACACTTCCCATTGAAATACTAATAATTTTATATTTGTTGAAGTTGTTCTTCATTTTAACTATTGTATTGTTTTAATTATTTTTTGCACTACAAATAAGATATATGCAGTGTGCATAGGAATTCATTCATGTTGTTTTCAAATTATAATCCGGCCCTCCAACAATTTGAGGGACTGTGACCTGGCCCTGTGTTTCAAAAGTTTGCGGACCCCTGTGATAACAGATTGGCCACCTTGATTAACAAGCTTCAAAGACTGGCTGATTCCTGCCAACAAAGGATTCCTAGGCAGGAATCAGCCAGTCTTTGAAGATGCAAGGCCATTCAAGGCCTATTGCAACATTCACACTTGCCTCAAGCAGACAAGACTTCTTTCTCCCACCCTGGCCATTCCACAGTATATAAACCCCTCTTGCCTAGTTTTCGGGAGACCTCACAATCTCTAAGGATGCCTGCCACAGATGTGGGCGAAACGTCAGAAGATAATGCTTCTGGAACATGGCCATGCAGCCTGGAAAACTGACAGCAACCCACTGGTCCAACTACTGCTTCTTTTAGCATTTGTAGCAAAGTAGCACTGGGCTTCAGTTTGTGGAGGCCAAAGGTATTGCCGGGCCAGGATGGAGAACAAGAGCAGTAAAGCCTACCCAGGACGGTGGGCCTTCAGCCTCTCCTAGAGTTTAGTCCCAACCCCCATCTACACGGCTATGTAACGCAGTTTGAAACCGGTGAGTGTGGGAGACGCTACCTTCCATGGCGCCCCATCCGGCCATGGGCCTCCCTTTCTGTCTCAGGGAAGCAACGCCACAGCAGGCAGCCCGGGAAAGACGAACTCGACTCCAACACGGGAACGCCCACTGCGCAGGCGCGGCCTACCTCGGCTTCCTACTGCGCATGTGCCCCAGGGCCAGCGGGCTTTTGTCACGCGGCGAGCTCAGCGCGAGCCTAGAGTTCTGTTTCAGGGCAGCGACAGGCTTTTTGCCGGAAGTGACGACACGCCCTAGGAAACTTATTCTGAAAACAAAACTCCGAGCAGCTAACCCTTGCCAGAAATTCGATTGTTTGCATTGTAACTGCATTCAAACCAAACTTACTTCTCTCTATATTTGACCATCCTTCTTACTTGCCTTGCTTTAAATGGGGAGGGGGGTGTCTATGTGCCAAGTATGGTCCAGATCCCTTGTTGGCAGGAATGCTGGGGCTGTCTGGATGAGAGAGCCATCTTGGAAAATACATAGGTAGATACATACAGAAAAGTAATGGTAAAGTTTTCCCCTGACATTAAGTCTAGGCATGTCTGACTCTGTAGTTCACATCTCCATTTGTAAGCCGAAGAGCAGCCGTTGTCCATAGACACATCCAAGGTCATGTGGCTGGCATGACTGCATGGAATGCTGTTACATTCCTGAAGAAGTGGTACCCTATTGATCTGCTTACATTTGCATGTTTTCAAACTGCTAGGTTGGCAGAAGCTGGGGCTAGCAACGGGAGCTCATCCCACTCCCTCAGCAAGGAACACCTCAGCAAGTGAGAGTCCAAAAGTGGCAGGCTCAAACCCAGAACCTCAACCAATGGCTGATACCAAATGAGAGACTCCCCCTGGGCACACAGAGGACTGGGCGACTTGGAAGGCGCTGAACAGACTGTGCTCTGGCACCACAAGATGCAGAGCCAACCTCAAGAAATGGGGCTACAAAGTGGAATCCACGACATGTGAGTGTGGAGAGGAGCAAACCACTGACCACCTGCTGCAATGCAACCTGAGCCCTGCCACATGCACAATGGAGGACCTTCTTGCAGCAACACCAGAAGCACTCCAAGTGGCCAGATACTGGTCAAAGGACATTTAATCAACTACCAAACTCACAATTTTCGTATTTTGTCTGTTTTTTTTTTTTTTTTGCTTTGTTCTGTTAGAAATGTAATATAATTGACTGGTTGCACTGACACGATAAATAAATAAAATAAAAATCCCACTCCCCGGATTCAAACCACTGACCTTTCAGTCAGCAAGTTCAGCAGCTCAGCTCTTTAACCCGCTGCACCACCAGGACCCCCCAGCATCCCGAGCTCTGAGGATTACCTGGGAAGGAATCCCACTGGAGCATTGCAGCACACCCAAATACCTGGGAGTCACTCTGGACCGTGCTCTGACCTACAAGAAGCACTGCCTGAACATCAAGCAAAAAGTGGGCGCTAGAAACAATATCATACGAAAGCTGACTGGCACAACCTGGGGATCACAACCAGACACAGTGAAGACATCTGCCCTTGCGCTATGCTACTCTGCTGCTGAGTACGCATGCCCAGTGTGGAACACATCTCACCACACTAAAACAGTGGATGTGGCTCTTAATGAGACATGCCGCATTATCACGGGGTGCCTGCGCCCTACACCACTGGAGAAATTACACTGCTTAGCCGGTATTGCACCACCTGACATCCGCCGGGAACTAGCAGCCAATAGTGAAAGGACCAAGGCAGAGACATCTCCAGCTCATCCCCTGTTTGGGTATCAGCCAGCACGTCAACGACTTAAATCTAGAAATAGTTTTCTAAGATCTACAGAGACACTCGCTGGAACACCTCAGCAAGCGAGAGTCCAAAAGTGGCAGGCTCAAACCCAGAACCTCAAACAATGGCTGATACCAAATGAGAGACTCCCCCCTGGGCACACAGAGGACTGGGCGACTTGGAAGGCGCTGAACAGACTGCGCTCTGGCACCACGAGATGCAGAGCCAACCTTCGAAATGGGGCTACAAAGTGGAATCCACGACATGCAAGTGTGGAGAAGAGGAAACCACTGACCACCTGCTGCAATGCAACCTCAGCCCTGCCACATGCACCATGAAGGACCTTCTTGCGGCAACACCAGAAGCACTCCAAGTGGCCAGCTACTGGTCAAAGGACATTTAATCAACTACCAAACTCGCAAATTTTGCCTGTTTGTTTGTTCTGTTAGAAATGTAATATAATTGACTGGTTGCCCTGACACGACAAATAAAATAAATACCAGGACCCCCAATACATACATATGTACATATATGTACTGCAGGTCACATTGTTCATGATCCATTCTCCCCAAACCTCACTGGTCCAGGGTCCATCCCCCCAGTCCCCATCAGGACATAAAGTGGGTGATGGGTGTGCATGTCTGTGTGCTAAGTTTAGTCCAGATCCATAGCTCATGGGATTCGCAGTAGTTTCTGGATGTGAGTGATAGTACTGCAAATCCCATCATCCAGGTTTCTACCCCCCACCACTACCACCAGGACTCAAAGTGGGTCATGGGATATCTGTGTGCCAAGTTTGGTGCACATCCATGGCTGATGGGGTTCGCAATAGTCTCTGGATGTGAGTGAAGGTACTGCATTTCCCATCATCCAGGGTCCTCCTCCTCTCCCAAACCCCTTGTGGTTCATTCATTGTCATTTCTGACTCTTTGTGACCTCATGGACCAGCCCACGCCAGAGCTCCCTGTCGGCCGTCACCACCGCCAGCTCCTTCAAGGTCAATCCAGTCACTTCAAGGATTCCATCCATCCATCTTGCCCTTGGTCGGCCCCTCTTCCTTTTTCCTTCCATTTCCCCAGCATAATTGTCTTCTCTAAGCTTTCCTTTCTTCTCATGATGTGGCCAAAGTACTCCCAAACCTCACTAGCAGTTCAAGGGTCATGAGGAATATGTGTGCCAAGTTTAGTCCAGATCAGTTGTTGGCGGGAGGTACGGTGCTTTCTAGAAGTTGGTGACATCATGCTGTCATGTCTCCTCTCAACCTTTTCTTCTGCAGTCTGAACATACCTAGCTCTTTAAGCTGCTCCTCAAAGGGATTCATGATCTCCAGACCTTTGATCATTTTAGTCACCCTTCTTTGGATACGTTCCAACTGTCAATATTGGAACGTATCCAAAGTTGTGGTGCACCTGAATTTCTGAACTGTTAAGAGGAACACAGCCTGGGATCTGGGGAGTCCACAGTCACTATCTGGTGTTTATGTCAAAGGTGCACTGGAAACAATAAAAGTTATTTGTGCATAAATCTGTATCCAAGTGCCCTGTAATCCTATAAATACTTTTCCTGTGATAAAGTCCCTTTGAACACCGAGGATAATGCCTCTCTGCATATGCAGAGTACACATTCACAATGAATGGCTGAAACGTAGCTGCTTCACTTTATTTCCCTGGCCTGACAGTGCAAGGTTAAGCGATTTTAAAGAAAAGTGTTGCAATGTAAGATGGATACACAGCATTGCTCTTTGTTGATTATGCTTCCTGGGTTTAACTGAGCAAGAAAGCAGAAGATAATCAGTATCAACAATGTTAGGAAATGCCCTGTATTTCCTCAGAGCCCTCCTAATATTGCAAGGAGTGAGGAGGTTTCCCAGCAAAAGTTCCACCCTATAGGAAAGAGTCCACCAAACTTATCTCTGATTCCGGGCAAAAGATAGCACCAGGGATTCCCCGAGTTTGGAATGTTTAAATATTTGCTTGACTTCTCAATTGGATCACACAACACTTCGTGTTACTAGAATCGAGGAAGATCAGTCACAGAGCAACATTTAATTTGGTTAATTACTATGCCACATGATACAGCATCCTACATTATCATTCTTTCTCCCCCTCCCATTGTTCAGATTGAGTCAGGATGTCGTTATTTATTATTTATCACACTTTTATCCCTCCCTTATCAGCCCGAAAGCTACTCAGGGCGGCATACAGACTGGCAACAATTATTGCCAAACACACATAAATATATTGTTTTAAACAGGTTAAATCACAAAATAAAATTCATATAAAAACAATTTTAAACTATAAAAATCAATCACTTCTGGGTTTAAATCCATGTCCATTTGCATCATTAAGCCGTTCCATATTCGTTCACAATACTGATTTTATCTGGTTACAATGAGATTCCAAAAGCTTGCTTGAAGAGCCAGGTTTATACTCTTTTCCTAAAGGTCAGGAGGGAGGGGGCCGATCTAATATCCCCAAGAAGGGAGTTCTACGGCCGAGGGGCCACCACTGAGAAGGCCCTGTCCCTTGTCTGTACCAAGCGCGCCTGTGAGGCAGGCGGGATTGAGAGCAGAGCCTCCCCAAATGATCTTAAATTCCTGGAAGGTTCGTAAGGGGAGACACATTCGGATAGGTAAGTTTGGCCGGAACCATTTAGGGCTTTGTAGGCTAAAGCCAGCACTTTGAATTGTGCCCGGGAGCAAATCGGAGCCAATGGAGCTGGCGCAACAGCGGAGTTGTATGCTCCCTGAGCGTTGCTCCTGTTAGCAACCTGGCTGCTGCACGCTGGACCATTTTAAGTTTCTGAACCATTTTCAAAGGCTACCCCACATAGAGCGCATTGCAGTAGTCTATACAGTATATAACCAGAGCGTGGACTACCATGGCCAAGTCAGACTTCCCAAGGTACGGGCAGAGGTGGTGCACAAGCTTTAACTGTGCAAATGCTCCCTTGGTCACCACCGAAACTTGGGGTTCCAGGCTGTACTAAGTAATGAGCAATTATTGAAAAATAGTGGATCGCAGCATTAGAGGGAAAACAAGTTCCATAGCGCCTCATTGCGGCAAAAAACAGATACTGAAGTGACTAATTATTAACAATTTTACTAATAATATTACAATATAATGGTATAGTGCAATATATAATATATAATACTGATATTGTACTATGCTAATAATATAATATATTGTATGTATATATATATCTTGTAAGCCGCTCTGAGTCCACTTCGGGGTGAGAAGGGCGGCATATAAATGTCATAAATAAATAATAATTAGAAGGACAATCTGTTGGTTCTTAGCTTGGCATCTTCTCAGCTGAGAGAGGGAGTGGTGAGATTCCTCCTTTCCTTACTCGGTGCCTGGTTGGGAGGGAGATTGCTATCAAGCACAACCACCCCACCCCTAATATAAAGGGAGACATAGTCTAACCATTATTATAGTTTCCCAAGAACACGGGACAAGGATGAATTACAAATGGCACCCGTCCCTTTGATGAAGTCTCCCCCAATCCTTCTGGGACCAGCAGCATAGTAGTGATTGTCAATTGGAGGCACCAGGGCTTCCCCACCTGGCTGGGAGGGGATCCTTGGCAGCTTCATTGCCTCCTCCACCAACCAGAGAGTGCTCTGGCTAAGCCCACCTCTCAACCAATCAGAGGCCCAGAAAATGCTGGCCAACTTTCTGGCACTAGCCAATCAGTGGAATGGGAGGGAATTTCGAATTGCAGCAATGTTAATGCATGGAAATTCTTATGTCTAAAAATGACTGCATTTCCCATATGCTTTATACATGTACATTTTGGGCACCTGTGGCTGTGCAAGCATCTCTTCTGCAGATTGAATAAAACTTCTGTCGTTTGCCTTTATGCTGGTGAGATCCTGATTTCTTATATGGAACATGCGCGGTTAGTGGAACTCACCAGTCTTCTCTCGGTATCTGGAGATCCTCGAAAACTCACATTTTCGGCTTCAAAAATTGGGGGGAGAGGGTCAGAGGTCCCTGGAAGTGGAGTTTGGGGGAGGAACAAGGTATTTACAAGGCCCTTTGTGAGCAAGACACTCCTCTCCTCAGCTGTCCTTGTGCCTGTTTTGCTGATAAAGGCCAAGTTGTTCTTTGAGCCTTGTTACGAGATAATTCATAATCAATTGTGTATAATCTTCATCTCAAGATGTGCAAAGTATAATACAGTGTGACTAATCTTCACCCACATATATACCTTACAGACATAATAAAAGATAATAATAACTAACTGGAGTACCATAAATCATAGCCAACTTCCCACCCACCTCCTCCCATCCTATAACAAGAAGAAAACTATAGAAGACTACAGTGTGATGTGGTTATGACACACTCTTATGCTAACCTCTGTACTATTTTCTTACTTATTTGTTATATCAATACACTGCTATTATGTTAGTATTAGAATTTTAGGGAGCAATACCATACTTACTAAGGGGCCAAAAAGAGAGAGAGAAAGAAAGGTGTAAGAAGCAGTGGAGAAAGATTGTGCTGTTATTTACTTATCTGCAGCTAAATAATAGAAGAGGTCTCTTATGCTTGAACAGAGCTGATTATTGATCGATTTTAATAAGACTGCCCATTTGTAAAGCCTTACTTACTTAGACGATCCCTCGTAGTCCGAGGATGATGGTCCTCCAAGTGTAGTGTCCTGGTGGTGGGTCCATATGTGACTATGGAGCCCTATACTTGATCTGCATCTTCTCCCGCATTGAGGGCATCGGTTTCCAGGTGGAAGGCAGTCCCACCTGTCCCGCTCCTTCCTCATGGCACGTTTCTCTCTTTCGCCCTCCATGCATGCGTCTTCAAATTCTACAGCACTGCTGGTCACAGCTGACCTCCAACTGGAGCACTCAAGGGCCAGGGCTTCCCAGCTCTCAGTGTCTATGCCAGAGTTTTTAAGGTTGGCTTTGAGCCCATCTTTGAATCTCTTTTCCTGTCCTCCAACATTCTGTTTTCCATTCTTGAGTTCGGAGTAGAGCAACTAATTTGGCCAAAACCAAGGTTACAACAACATCTGTTATAGAGCTCCAGTACGCTGATGACAATGTTGCCTGTGCATATTCAGAAGAAGACCTACAAGCCACTCTAAACACCTTCGCAGAAGCTTACGAGAAACTCGGCCTGTCATTAAACATTGAGAAAACCAAAGTGCTATTCCAGCAGTCACCAGCCAACCCCTCTCCAATGCCAGAGATACAGCTTAATGGTGTAACATTAGAAAATGTTGACCATTTCTGCTACTTTGGCAACCACCTCTCCACCAAAGTCAACATCGACACTGAAATACAACACCGCGAGTGCAGCATTTTTCCGAATGAAGCAGAGAGTGTTTGAGGACCAGGACATCTGTAGGGATACCAAGGTGCTTGTTTATAAAGCTATTGTCCTCCCAACCCTGCTATACGCCTGCAAAACATGGACAGTCTGCAGACGTCACATGCAACTCCTAGTACGATTCCATCAGCGCTGCCTCTGAAAAATCCTGCAAATCTCTTGGGAAGACAAGCGAACAAATGTCAGCGTGCTGGAAGAAGCAAAGACCACCAGCATTGAAGCGATGGTCCTCTGCCATCAATTCCACTGGACCGGCCATGTTGTCCAGATGCCCGACCACAGTCTCCCAAAGCAGTTGCTCTACTCTGAACTCAAGAATGGAAAACGGAATATTGGTGGGCAGGAAAAGAGACTTAAAGATGGCCTCAAAACCAACCTCAAAAACTCTGGCATAGACACTGAGAATTAGGAAGCCCTGGCCCTTGAGCGCTCCAGCTGGAGGTCAGCTGTGACCAGCAGTGCTGCAGAATTTGAAAAGACACGAATGGAGGGCAAAAGAGAAAAACGTGCCAAGAGGAAGGTGTGTCAAGCCAACCCCTACCGGGACCGCCTTTCACCTGGAAACTGATGCCCTCACTGTGGGAGAAGATGCAGATCAAGAATAGGGCTCCACAGTCACCTACAGACCCACCACCAGGATACTACACTTGGAGGATCATCATCCTCGGACTATGAGGGATCGCCTAAGTAAGTAAGTATATTCCAGGGCCCTTCCACTCAGCCCTATCTCCCAGAATAGCAAGGCAGAAAATCCACAATATCTGCTTTGAACTGGGTTATCTGAATCCACACTGCCATATATTCCAAGCCCCACACAGCCCTATCAAACTAAGGCCTGGGTGCCAGATACGGCCCTCCAAGGTCATTTACCCAGCCCTCACTCAGGGTCAACTTAAATCTGAAACTACTGCAAAGCACACAACAACAACAACAACACTATTTCATCAGCCAAAACCAGACCCACACCTCCCATTGAAATACTTTTTTTGTGTGTGTCAGGAGCGACCTGAGAAACCGCAAGTTGTTTCTGGTGTGAGAGAATTGGCCGTCTGCAAGGACGTTGCCCAGGGTATGCCCGGATGATTTGATGTTTTTGTCATCCTTGTGGGAGGCTTCTCTCATGTCCCCGCATGAGGAGCTGGAGCTGATAGAGGGAGCTCATCCGCCTCTCCCCGGATTCGAACCTGCGACCTGTCGGTCTTCAGTCCTGCCGGCACAGGGGTTTAACCCACTGCACCACCGGGGGCTCCATTGAAATACTAATAAGTTTATATTTGTTAAAATTGTTCTTCGTTTTAGTTATTGTATTGTTTTAAAGTGTGCAGTGTGCATAGGAATTCATTCATGGTTTGTTTGTTTTTTTCAAATTATAATCCAGCCCTCCAACAGTTTGCGGGACTGTGACCTGGCCCTCTGTTTAAAAAGTTTGAGGACCCCTGCCTTAGCATATCAAGGCAGGAAATCCCACAATACCTGGTTTGAACAGGGTTACCTGAGTCCACACTCAGAGATAATGTGGGATTTTCTGCCTTGATATTCTGGGAGACAGGGCTGTGTGGAAGGGCCCATTGTGGATGACCTGCCTTGATACTCTGGGTTCTATGGCTGTGTGGAAGGGCCCTGTGGGACAGTGACCAAGTTTGGCCTCAAGCAAGGACTGCCTGGTTTCCTCCAGAGGCCTTTCCTTGCAGTCCAACCTGGGCTCTGGAGTTGGGAGCTCGGCTGGAGGGAGGGAGGGAAGGAGGAGCGGGCGGCCTTCCTTCCAGGACGGGAGCTGGGCCTGCCCTCTCTCCGCCCCGTCCTCCTCCTTCCTTCCTCCCTTCCTGAGCCCGGGGCTGCCCCTCTCCTTCCCTCCTTCGCCATGAAGCCCGATGGCAAAGTGGTGCTGCTGGGCGACATGAACGTGGGCAAGACCTCGCTGCTCCACCGCTACATGGAGCGCCGCTTCCAGGAGACCGTCAGCACCGTCGGAGGCGCCTTCTACCTCAAGCAGTGGGGCGCCCACAACATCTCCGTCTGGGACACCGCCGGTGAGAACCCCCCCGCTCCCTCTCCCCCTCTGGGCCTGCGTCTCCACTCTCTCTCTTCACAGCCTCTTCACAGCCCTCCGTTGGGAGCAGAGTGCGGCGGGCTTGTGTTGTGGAATGCTTTCATGGCTGGAACCACTAGGTTGCTGTGAATTTTCTGGGCTGTATTCCCCGGGCAGTAAGCAGCCAGGCTTTGAAGCTGCAAGGCTAATCAAGGTGGCCACTTGCAACATTCACACATGCCTCAAGCAGACAAGAGTTCCCAGCAGGATATAAAGTTTTAAAATCACGCTCTGGTTACATCCCACCTAGATTACTGCAATGCTCTCTATGTGGGGTTGCCTTTGAAGACAGCTCGGAAGCTTCAACTAGTCCAGCGTTCAGCAGCCATGATTCTAACAGGAGCGGGTCGCAGGGAGCATACAACCCCCCTGTTGTGCCAACTCCACTGGCTACCGACTTGCTACCGGGCTCAATTCAAAGTCCTTTAAAGCCCTAAACCAGGGGTAGGGAACCTTTGGCCCTCCAGCTGTGGTGGACTTCAACTCCCACAATTCCTTGAGGCTCGGCATTGGGCCAAGGTAAGCCTTTGGGGCGAATGCCGAGCCTCAAGGAATTGTGGGAGGTGAAGTCCACCACAGCTGGAGGGCTGAATTCAAAGTGCTGCCGTTGACCTTTAAAGCCCTAAACGGTTCCGGCCCAAGCTACCTTTCCAACCGCATCTCTGCCTATGAACCCACCAGGACTTTGAGATCGTCGGGGAGGCCCTGCTCTCGATCCCGCCTGCCTCACAGGCACGGCTGGCGGGGACGAGAGATAGGGCCTTCTCGGTGGTGGCCCCTCGGCTGTGGAACGCCCTTCCCACAGATATTAGGTTAGCACCATCTCTAATGGCATTCCGCAAGAAAGTAAAGACCTGGTTATTTCAGCAGGCGTTCGAATAATTGTGCAATGACTGGTAATGACATAGGAATGGAACAATGGATGACGAATCTGGATCATGTTTTTAGTGATGAGACCTTGTGAATGGTTATTATAGTAACTGTGTATTAATGGTGCAGATTAGGTTATTAACTGCTTTATATTGGTGTTGAATTTTGCTATGTCCTGTGTTTTGTGAACCGCCGTGAGTCGCCTCTGGGCTGAGAGCAGCGGTATAGAAGTAAAGTAAAGTAAATAAATAAATAAATAAAATATTATTATTATTATTATATCCGGGCTGTATTCCCCGGGCAGTAAGCAGCCAGGCTTTGAAGCTGCAAGGCTAATCATGGCGGCCAATTGCAACATTCACACTCGCTTCAAGCAGACAAGAGTTCCCAGCAGGATATAATAATAATAATAATAATAATAATAATAATAATTATTATTATTATTATTATTATATCTGGGCTGTATTCCCCGGGCAGTAAGCAGCCAGGTTTGAAGCTGCAAGGCTAATCATGGCGGCCAATTGCAACATTCACACTCGCTTCAAGCAGACAAGAGTTCCCAGCAGGATATAATAATAATAATAATAATAATAATAATAATAATAATAATAACGGTTATTATTATATCCGGGCTGTATTCCCCGGGCAGTAAGCAGCCAGGCTTTGAAGCTGCAAGGCTAATCATGGCGGCCAATTGCAACATTCACACTCGCTTCAAGCAGACAAGAGTTCCCAGCAGGATATAATAATAATAATAATAATAATAATAATAATAATAATTAATTATTATTATTATTATTATTATTATTATTATTATTATTATATCTGAGCTGTATTCCCCGGGCAGTAAGCAGCCAGGTTTGAAGCTGCAAGGCTAATCATGGCGGCCAATTGCAACATTCACACTCGCTTCAAGCAGACAAGAGTTCCCAGCAGGATATAATAATAATAATAATAATAATAATAATAATAATAATTTATTATATTATTATTATTATTATTATTATTATATCCGGGCTGTATTCCCCGGGCAGTAAGCAGCCAGGCTTGAAGCTGCAAGGCTAATCAAGGCGGCCAATTGCAACATTCACACTTGCCTCAAGCAGACAAGAGTTCCCAGCAGAATATAAAGTTTTTAAATTATTATTATTATTATTATTATTATTATTATTATTATTATTTTTCTGGGCTGTATGGGCATGTGCCAGAAGCATTCTCTCCTGATGTTTCCCCCGCATCTTTTTTTTTGTTTTTGTAAATAATGATCTTTATTGAGATTTTCCATTAAAATATATAACTAAGATCTAGGAAAAGTAAAAGAAGTGAAAGAAAAAACAAAACAAAACCAATACAAACCACAAATTAAATAAAACACAGAAAAGAAAAGGGAAATGACAAAAAAGACAAAACAAACAAGAAAAAAAACCCATCGCCCCCTCATCTATGGCAGGCATCCTCAGAGGTGGTGAGGTCTGTTGGAAACTAGGCAAGTGGGGTGTATATATCTGTGGAATAAAGGATTCCCTGGGCAGTTAGCAGCCAGGCTTTGAAGCTGCAAGGCCATTTAATGCTAATCAAAGTGGCCAGTTGCTACATTCACACTTGTCTCAAGCAGATAAGAGTTCCCAGCAGGATATAAATACAGTTTTTAATTATTATTATTATTATTATTATTATTATTATCTGGGCTGTATAGCCATGCTCCAGAAGCATTATCTCTTGATGTTTCGCCCCCATCTATGGCAGGAAGCAGCCAGGCTTTGAAGCTGCAAGGCCATTTAATGCTAATCAAAGTGACCAACTGCAACATTCACACTTGCCACAAGTAGATAAGAGTTCCCAGCAGGATATAAATAAAGTTTTAAAATTATTATTATTATTATTATTTTATTATTTTCTGAGCTGTATGGGAATGTCCCAGAAGCATTCTCTCCTGACATTTCCCCCACATCAATAGCAGGCATCCTCAAAGGATGTGAGGTCTGTTGGAAACTAGGCAAGTGGGGTGTATATATATCTGTGGAATAAAGGATTCCCTGGGCAGGAAGCAGCCAGGCTTTGAAGCCACAAGGCCATTTAATGCCAAAGTGGCCAATTGCAACGTTCACACATGCCTTAAACTGACAAGAGTTCCCAGCAGGATATAAATAAAGTTTTAAAATAATAATTATTATTATCTGGGCTGTATAGCCATGTTCCAAAAGCATTATCTCTTGACGTTTAGCCCACATCTGTAGCAGTAAGCAGCCAGTTTTGAAGCTGCAAGGCGTATTCAGTGCTAATCAAGGGGATCAATTGCAACATTCTCACTTGCCTCAAGCAGGCAGGCAGTTCTTTCTCCCACCCTGGACTTTCCACAGATATATAAACCCCACTTGGCTGTTTTCCGACAGACCTCACAACCTCTGAGGATGCCTGCCATAGGTGTGGGCAAAATGTCAGGAGAGAATGCTTCTGAAACATTGCCATACAGCTCGGAAAACTCACAGCAACCTGTTGAGTTGTTTGGAAGGACGGCCTATGGATGATAGGCAGCCCCATCAGAGCTTTCACTGCCCCTGACTTAATGCTATGGGCAGTTCAAGCATTTTGGAAGCCGCTTTCTTGGAAACTTTTAAACAGAGGCAGGGATCTGTCAGGGATACTTTGTGCTTTTCCTGCACAAAGTATCCCTGGAGGAGCAGGTCTTTTGTGGAGCAGGTCTTTTGTGCTGTTAGTACATTGGAGATCACGTCTTTTGTTTGTTGCATTTCTATTTTTTTATTAATAAACTTTAATTTGAGAAAAAAATACAGTTGGGGGTTGGACTAGATGGCAGATGTGGTCTCTTCCAACTCTGTTAGTCTATGATTCACTGCCACAGGCTCAATGCTCTGGGCAGTTGAGGCATGGGCAAAAGGTGGCCCTCGGGGTGTTTTGGACTTCAACTCCCACAATTTCTAACAGCTGGTAAGCTGGTTGGGAGTTCTGGGAGTTGAAGTACAAAAGACCTGGAAGACCGATATTTGGACCTTATTGCTTGAGGAAATATTCAGTTTCTGAGATTTCGAACAGGTCCCATCACATGACATTTGCCCCATCCTTCCAGTATTCTTCCGGAACCTGTCTGCAAAGCGTCGCAGAAACTGATTATTTGCAGGTTGAGTTCTAATTGTGTTTTTTGAAATACTATGGAAATTAGTCTTTTGGAAATTAGTCAAGTGGGGTTTATATGTCTGTGGATTGTCCAGGGTGGGAGAAAGAATACTTGTCCGTTGGAGGCAACTGTTGCAATTGGCCACCTTGATTAGACTGAACAGTGTTGCAGCTTCAAAGTCTGGCTGCTTCCTGCCTGGAGGATCCTTTGTTGGGAGGTGTTATCTGGTCCTTATTGAGTCTTGTCTGGAATTCCCCTGTTTTTTGAGTGTTGTTCTTTATTTATTATTTATTTATTTATTTGGTGCGCTTATATACCGCCAATATCTCAGCCTGTATGGCGACTCATTGCGGTTTTATTTACTGTCCTGATTTTAGCGTTTTTAAATACTGGTCATCAGATTTGGTTCGTTTTCGTGGTTTCCTCCTTCCTGTTTAAATTGTCCACATGCTTGTGGATCTCAGTGGCTTCCCTGTGTAGTCTTTGACATGAATCAAAGACCATGAAAGGCACTGCAGACTAAGTCAACCAGAGAAGTCAGCTATAGCAGAGCATTTGATGAACCAACCTGGAAACAGTATATTATTTCAGTGGTTCTCAACCTGGGGGTCGGGACCCCTAGAGGGGTCGCGAGGGGGTGTCAGAGGGGTCGCCAAAGACCATCACAGACAGTATTTTCTGTTGGTCATGGGAGTTCTATGTGGGAAGTTTGGCCTAATTCTATCATTGGTGGGTTTCAGAATGCTCTTTGGTTGTAGGTGAACTATAAATCCCAGTAACTACAACTTCCAAATGTCAAGGTCTATTTTCCAAACTCCACCAGTGTTCACATTTGGGCATATTGAGTATTTGTGCCAAGTTTGGTCCAGATCCATCATTGTTTGAGTCCACAGTGCTCTCTGGATGTAGGTGAACTACAACTCCCAAACTCAAGG